TTGGCAAGTCATTTTGAGACCATAATATTTCTTCATTGACCTGTAGGGAACATTGAAATCATTTTCAGGTCATTCCATATCGGAGCTTCCAGGCTATAAAATCCAAATGTTACCTCTTTGGTTTAAAAAGCCTTATATGAAGGCCTATTCCGGAGCCGATATCTTCTGTACGTATAACGAGCATCTCATATACGGTCTTCTAGATGATAATTTGGGGTCTTGTGGTTAGCCCAACATGCCTATCCCGCATGGTCGATGCGTCATTAATAATTATATACGCAATATAAATTCATGCGTAAAATTTGTACCACTTTGAATTCGTTTGGCAGTTTTAACCCAATATTCCTCTGTTTATTGTTTGGTATGACATTAAGGTACTCTCTCCCATAATGCTATAAAATAAAAATAGAAGTAAGAAAATTGCTGCTGTTCGGATGGGATTGATGGAAACGATTTCCATCCATCGGAATCAAAAGATCGTAAAATTAAGACGTCTCAGAATTTCATACTTCAACCAGATTTTGCATCCTAAACGACTCATGATCGATGATATATAAGGGTTCACACTAAATTGCAGGTGCCCTTTTCTTCTATAAGCATACATGCCTCTATATAGACTAGTATCTGGATTTTAAGAGTACAAATTTATCAGCATACCGAGTAAATTTGTGACATTATAATATCTTATCACTGATATATCATATGTAGGCGGTGCAAACAGATTCCGATTCCTGACCAATTTTTATTGTCATACAGAGCTGGCTGTTGATTTTATGCTGTCCTTATAGCTTAATTGAGATATATATAATATATATTATAATATATAATATATATAGTATATATATCATAATATATATATATATATATATATTATCAAATATAAACAATTAACTTTCCAAAGTAATCCTTTGCAGGCAGCAAATTTAGTTAAATTCCCTAGATATCTTCTTTAAATGTAGACCAAGATAGAAAAAAAGGTTATAAGTATTGCCGGATGTAGCTACGAACGCTGAAATAAGTCAAAATGTTGCGTCCTGGGCCTTTTTTTTTTTTTTTTTTTTTTTTTATTGGAAGGGAAACGTAGAAATCATTGGATGGTTCAAGGCAGCACATGCCTAAGAAGCACCAAATTTTTTTTTTTTTTTTTTTATTGAAGGGAAACGTAGATCAATTGGATGGTTCAAGGCAGCACATGCAAGAAGCACCAAAAAGAAGTGAAAGAAAGGATCTCAGGAAAGGTGAAAGCTGTAGATTTTACTTATACGGTCCTCCTTCCATGTAACTGGAAAAAGGAGAAACAGAACTTCGAGCCAAGACTTCCTTTTAGGCTGGCATGCACATACCCATATAGTTATAATAATTGATTGATTATTTCGCTTAACCGAAAAGGAAAGAAAATAAAATACATTTATATATAGAATCCTGCGTATATGTGAGAGAGGATAAGATATTATATAGCCTTCACGCAACAACATTAATCTTCTTTTGGTTTCATCTTATATGAGTTAATTAGGGTTTATGGCCACTTTTCTTTTAGGTGTTTTCCTCTTTTTGGCTTTGGAGGTAGCCTTGATGAGTCAGACACCTCCATTCTAAATTAATTAGCTCATGCTCACAAATTAACTAATTATTTATTCACTTATTTATTTTCAGTGTGGTAGATAAATAATTTATTCACTTATTTATTTTCAAATGAAATAAATACATAAATAATCATCTTCCCAACCAATATATATTAGGAAGAGATGTTTAAGAAAATTAATTAATTACTTCTTTCACTCCATATTATAGGTGTTCATTTAGAGAATTCGCTAGAATTAAAGAAACATGTGAAATCATTAATTAGTAGGGTTAATATTTTACTAAAACGTCATTTTCAAAAGGATAAATAAAAATTAATTACATTGACTCATAACAAGAATGCCGCATTTGAAAATAGTTATTTGATGTTATTTTGAAAATAGTTATACAATGTTATTTTGATTTCATTAAAAGACACTTAAATTTTATTTTAAAAAAGAAAAAGACACTTAAATTGAAAAAAAAATAAAATAAAATTGCTTAATGGACACTTAATATGAAGTGGAAGGAGTATTACGATGGAACTTAAGAAAAATAAAAGAAAAAGGCAACAGTTAGTAATTATTATTGACGTAATATACTATTATTATTATTGCAACAGGGATTACAAGTAGGAATTAATATGTTAGAACAGTAGTGTTGAAAGACATGATTCAATGAAGAGAGTAGCTTAGTAAAACATCAAGTGGAGAAGAGAAATGATTAAAGAGCAAGAGTTTGTCGCTCTGGGTCTGAAACACGGCTTTCGTAGAATCTGGCAATGAAAGCAGAGGCTCGTCCATCAATCCCTGGATCGCCAATCCAACGTCTTCCATCTTCATCGCTTGGATATATTCTTCTTATGTAGAACCCATCTTCACTTATATCATCGCTGCCGTGTGAACAACAAGCCTTGAAAATATTCAACATAGAGAAGCAAGATTTCCTCAGCTTGCCCATATCTATATGTTTAAGTTGTTGATGATCGATATTCACTTCTCTTATTTTGCTTAACTATATAGTTATTGACTTTTTTTTTTATTTTTTCTTGGATATTTAGATGTGTAGTGCCAGCAAATTTTCTCCTTCAATTTATAGCGGAAGGAGACAAGCTAGTTGCATTTCATTTGCATGCATTTATATTATTATTATAATTAACAATAATATAATATAGCATGTTAATTTATATTTTTCGTAGATTCGTTGGAAACGCTAAGAATGCTCATTACGGTTGTAAAACATAAGGCCAAAGCAGAGCACAACAATTATTGTCCTCTCTTTTCCAATTGACGCAAATAGTACACTTTCACTTTGTACTTGAAAATTTCTCTTTCTTTGATGGTATTGTACCCAACTTTTTTTTTCCCCCACTTAATTAATTATGCGCTTTCCTTCCAAAAGATACCTTCTCAATTCTCAACTCTTCTTTAAAATATTAAAGAATGCCTATGCATGCCCTATTATATATGCCTACACCAAATTGCTTCTTCTACTCTATGATCTATGAATCTCTTCCTTTGTAGATTTTTTTTTTTTTTTTTTTTTTTTTTTTTTAAAAAATATTAAAGAATGCCTATGCATGCCCCTATATAATATGCCTACACCAAATTGCATCCTCTTCTACTCTAATGATCTTATAATCTCTTCCTTTGTAGATTTTTTTTTTTTTTTTTTTTTTTTTTTTTGCTTTTTCTTTTTTTTTTTTTTTTTTTTTTTTTTTGCTTTTTCTCTCTCTAGGCGAGTGTTCCTGTATCTCTATGTTCTCTCTTTCTGTCTCAAGGTATAAACATCTACGCTGATCAAAAACTAAAAGCGAAGCATTCGTCTTAATGTATTTTCCCCCAAGATTAAGTAACTAACGCATTTAAATTAGGGGCTAATACTGTAATGCAAAAGTGAAACCGTAACTATGATGATCCCTCTATATTTTTATAAATCTTGTTTTAATTATTTCGCTATTGCAATTAATTTTAAGTAATTAACGCATTTAAATTAGTGGCTTATACTGAATGCTAGTCTTGTTTCCCAAAGCTTAGTGTGGTTGAGTTCAATTAACAACTCTTAGTTTATTCAAATATATAATTATTATGTTAAGGAAATTTTATTTCTTTGTTGATAGACTAGTGGATTGCTTATGTACAAAGAAAGGATACATATAACAACAGCAAGAAGTTGTTGGGGTTCATGATAGGCTAGGCAGATAAAGTTGCACAGAAGAGGAGGGAAGAGAAGAGAAGAGAAGTTTCTTTATTGAAGAAAGGGCAAAAAGGAATGATTTAGCAAAGATTAAAGATGGTACAAAAAATTGTTTAAAGGGAAGCTTTCTATTATTATTATTATTTTTATATCCTCTTTCTTTTGTAAATTTATTAATTTGCTTACTGTCACATAGGAAGGCATTGGTTCCTTCCACTGGCTGTTAAGGACTAATACTTAATTTGGCAGCAGTGCATTCAAGCTGTGGAGCCAGAATTTAGAATTGGAATGTACATTTCTCTCTCTTATACATATATAAATAAACAAAAGAAGCAATGAGCTGACACCTATATAGCAAGGGACCGCCTAACTCTTACATGTTTATTATACATATATAACCTTCCACGAAATCTAGAACAGCTGTTGTGGACTCACGGGTTCCCATTTCCTTTCACACTGCCCTCTAAATTTGGCAAATCTAGTTTGATGCATGCATGTGGTTATTGTTTTTACATCAAATTAACTTTTTTTTTTTTTTTTTTTTTTGTAAAATTTGGCAAAAATCTAGTTTGGGATGCTGCATGTGGTTAGTTTTTACATCCAAATTAACTTTTTTTTTTTTTTTTTTTTTTTTTGCTCGCCTTCACCACAATTCACAGTACTTGATGTTTTTTTTTTTTTTTTTTTTTTGCCCCTTCACACTTCACAGTACTTGATGATACTAGGATTATTAATTCGTTAAATCTTTTATATTATAGTATCTGCTTTGCAAAATCACATAATTAAATGTTACCGTGATACTTGATATTATATCTATTATCAACGTTTTTATTGCATCTTCCACTTAATTTATTGGATTAGACGGTATGTGAATATATGAATCTATTCATAGACCAAATAAGATTTATAGCAGTTGTGATCAGAAGCTTTGCTAGCTGCTGATGCCAGATTGGGCACGCAAATTTGCTCCTACGTTGTGATCAGAGATTGAAGCACCGATTCCTTCCTATAGGTACGTAGTAGTAGTAGTGTGTATGGACTGAGGAAGTGAAGGTTCATTGCTATAAGTCCAAGGCCCAAAAGAAAAGAAAATGTCAAATGTGAAATCCAATAAGATTTATAGCAGTTGTTGGATGGCCTTCACCTAACCAGATCAACCATTATACGTTTATCATGCTACCTAACCCTGTTTTGACTTTTTTTTTTTTTTTTTTTTTTTTTTTTTTTTTTTTTTTTCTTTCACCTTTTTTTTTTTTTTTTTTTTTTTTCTTTCACCTTCGCATTTCCCTTCCTTTTACATAGCCACCTCAGCACATGTCCTGGGCTACCTCCACCAACAACAGTAAACGAAAACTTCTATCTTATCCGGCCATTGACACTTGACAGGAAAGCTTAGGCTCTTTGGTTTGGTTGTTTTGAGACAAAATACGATGGAAGAATCATCCTCATCCTCCAACACAGGAAAGCTCGATGCCCCACTTGATGCGATTGGTTTCGAGATTGAAGAGTTGTCCCCTCATAAGGTCACCGGCCGCCTTCTTGTTACCCACAAGTGCGTTCAGGTCTCTATCTTTTCTTCCCTTTCTTCATGTCTTACATATACAATTACAGAGAGAGAAAATTAACATAGCCAATCATGTCTTCATGAATCAAAATGGCAGCCATTCAAGGTGTTGCACGGCGGAGTATCCGCTCTGATCTCGGAGGCGCTGGCCAGCATGGGGGCCCACATGGCTTCCGGATTTCAAAGAGTCGCTGGTATTCACCTTAGCATCAGTCATCTGAAACGTGCAGAGCTTGGCGACCTTATCCTCGCTGAAGCTTCTCCTCTCAACCTTGGCAAGACCATTCAGGTTCCTGGATTCTTCATTTTCAATTTTTTTTTTATCAAATTTTTATTATACCCACTCTATTGTCAAACGAAACAACTATGAATGCCTTTATATATATTATATATATTATATATTACTCATGGAGTATATTTATTTTATTTGTTACCAAACAACGAGCTACTCTACCATTGGCGTGTTGCAAATATTGGCAAATGCCATAATTGGACCACCTGAATTTTTCAATGAAATGTCGAACATTTTTTTTATACAAATAGCCTCCTATTATTGAAACATAAATGCATTTATATATATTACTCATGGAGTATATTATTTTATTTGTACCAAAAGGCTACTAACATTTTGGCGTGCAATATTGGCAAATGCCATTAATTGACACCTGAATTTTTCAAGAAATGTCGAACATTTTTTTTTATAAAATCGCCACCTATTGAACAAATCATTCTATTGAACACAAATTAAAAATTGCAGTGACTACTTATCAAATGATTCAAATCCACACTTTGCATATAAAAAACAAGAGTATGAAAAATTATTATTATTAGTGTGAAAATAAATGGTTATCAAAATTAACCATAGGAACACAAGATTATTGTCAAAATTTGGTGCCATCAGGCTAAAATTATAAGGGGCGGTATTTATGAAAAGAAGAAACAAAACAACAATATAGGATAAATAAATAAAAATGAAAGCTACATGTATGGGATGGAATATTGTTTTTTCTTTTTAAGCTCAGTGGAATGGCTTATCCTGAACAGGTGTGGGAGGTACAGCTCTGGAAGGTTGATCCTTGTGACAGAGGAAGCAAATGCAAATCCTTGGTTTCATCATCCAGGGTTACTCTTCTATGCAATATGCGTGTGCCCGAGCATGCAAAAGATGCTGCAGACAACCTCAAAAAGTATGCAAAACTATGAACTCTGCTATACGTCTATATGTAGTTGCAAATGCAACTATGATAAAACCCTACTGCAGATAGTGCATTTCCGGTTTACTTCTATATATGCTTATTCCCCCTCGCCTATTATGATGCTTTGATAAATGTGAGCTAAGAAACTTGCACTCATTGATGTGATTATCATAAACTGTCATTATAAGTTCATCTAGATAATTAAGCCAAAGTGTTGCATTGCCATAATGAACTCAAATTGCGAGGAGGAATTCAGGAAATGTTTACCTGAGATTGGTGATTTGTTGGGTCAATTCGTTAATCTCAAGGGCAGAGAGTTCGAGGGAAGACAAGGCTCCAGACACCTCTTAGGAGACGACATTGGACAATTTATGCAAAGAAATCCCGCAAAAGCCTAGGTGGTCAATATAAGTATGAATATAAAGCAGACATTATTAAAAACGTAAAATGCAAAATGATTGATAAAATAACAAGGAGGCATTACATTTATAGTTGGAATGGAAATGATAGCCAAGGAGACAACGGATCCGATAGCCTGCAAGAGCGTACAACAGATTGAAATTGGATTACGTCCACAAAAACATACTATAATTTAAAAAAATTGAAGTATACAAAGGGCGAAGAGGAGGGAGAGAAAGCCCAGTTGAGGGGCTGGTGGAAGCCTTATAGTTTTGACCACGGGAGTAACCGGCAATACAGTACAAGGGATAAATGATTGCTTTGTAATACACAGCACAGCACCCGTCCCGTTCACTATACTTCACTCTTCCTTCATCTCATGGCAGATCTATATTTAGTCTCTTAGTTGGGAGCTATCCACCTAAGGGCTTGTCCACGGGAATCTGCTACTAACCATACTTTGTGGAGGAAGAATAATGCAGAAGAACAATCTCATTAGTTAAATTTTCGTGGAGAAAAATTACTTGTTTAGATTAAATATAATTTAACAGAATGTTTGATCCCATATATACTTAGCATTTTGACCCAATTCTGGTCAACAAAATGGTATTGGAATTACTTGAAAATTTGAATAACGGAATTGATTTAAGAAAAAAATTAGTCCGAGCAAAGAAAAAAACTATGCCGTCTCATAGAACTTAGTAACTAAAAATAAACTTACATATTCATATACATGTATGTGTGAACATTACAAAAAATTTAGATGAACATAAAACCCTTCCCCATGGTAATGCTTATGCTTAAAACTAAGGAAATTGCAGCCTCCAATTAGAAAGTTTCATCATTTCAAAAGCTTCTATAAATAGCAGAAAATAAGGAAGGACCAGGCTCTATGAATGTGCCTGACACGGCTGGCACACTCACTGATGAAGGTCAATTCGAATGCAGACTATGCATGCAGCATATCTCATTATTTTCCACAATCTAATTCAAATGGCGATGTGTGACACACCTACGTACAGCATACCAGAGTTAAACCATGACTTTCTGTATTCGCCATTTGGCTGTGGATAATGAATGAGCAGCATGACCAAATCAGTGACACAATTGTTTCAAGCATTGGTGATCATCAACCAAATCTTTGAATCCTCCTCCGGCGTACTTCTTCCATTGTGGGATTGTCAAATTGATGTGAAAATTGACGTGATGACGATCCATTGTCACCTCGAGTTGTTCCACACATTTCGCATACACTTAACCAACCAGAGTTATCATAGGTACATGCTTGACACCTCCACACCCTTGACACACTCCTGCCTGCCTGACTCCCACCAACAGTTCCCCGACCAGAAATTTGCTGCCGCCTGAATTGAAATAAGCCTCTTAGAAATCTTAAAGGCCTGGCCAATATGCCGGCAAGATTTTTTATTATTAAAGTCAATGGATTTGGACCTAAATGCATTCCTCTCAACTTCAAATATAGAATTCCTGCAAGAATTCCACCAAGATGACCAAGAAATGAGACTCCAGGAACAAACATTTGGACAAGAATCAATTCAGCCCATGCAGCATGGCGTGCTGGTACCACCAGTCCATGAACATACGTATAGTCTTCTGACTGAGAATTAAGGACAACTTTCATTGCAAAGAGAACACCAGAGAACCCAACAGCATATTCAGAATAAAAGGGTCTGCCATAGTCAAAGAACAGGAGAAGCGACTTGGATAGGAGCAGTGTGATACCCTGCGACATTGTAAGCAATGCAGCAACCATAGATGCAAATTCAGCACTTCCCATGGAAGATTCCAACTGGATACCCTTCCATAAGAGAGATATCATGTTGTAGACCAGGTGAGACTCCCCCACATGGTAGAATGGTGACAGGAAGAAGCGCTTCAGGTCCCTATGCTGTCCAATTCAAAGGCACAATTAGAATCAAAATTTATTTACAGAATATGTTCCAAGACTAGAATCGTATGGAATGACAAAATCATCACTAAATCTAGAGGTAACAGCTGAAAAGAGAGGCAAATAGTACATGCGTCACAATCAAAAGCAAAAGAAAATGCCCAACAAATTTGCTTTATTACATGAATACAACAGTCACATTGAACCGCCGGGGAATAGGAGACAGAAACAAAATAGGAAATAACAACCAACATCCTGTCCTTCCGGCAATGGTTACTATAAATTCTTTAGAATGACAAAGTTTGAAGTCATGCTAGAATTTCTCTCAGAATGCCAAGTTACAAGGTATTTGCTGCTAGCATACAGAACTTGGAAGTGTTAGGCAGGGAAAACAATAACAAGCCAGTTATGAGGTAATTTCAACTAATGAACTAATTAAGACAAATCAGAATAATAAATAATAACAACAAAAGAAGAGAATACAAGGTAACTTGGGGCGGCACCTTTATAAGCTTTCAAATATTTTCTATTAATAATCAAAGGACAGCAATGGCATTAGAGGGAGAGGATACGGTTGGGATTATACAAGTATGAGGAGAAAATTCAAATGGAATGTGACGGCTAGAATGGAGTTTGAGAATATACCTTGAGAATGAGGTAGGAATTGAACCAGACCTCATGGATAGAAGGGAGGATATGATGGAGAAACGAAGGCCTCAAATAAATTAGGGTGTTGGTGGCAAGAAGCCCTGCAGTGACAGGGGGCTTCCAAGGCAGCCTATAGTACTCACTGACAGCGTGGACTGCCAGCAGCGGCAACAATCCCCTCGACCTTCTTTCCATCAGCGAGATTTGCCTCTCTTTGTCGATTCGCCTGATTCTAAAATTGCCAAGATGACCTATCAATTTCCTTTCTCCTCGAGCTTTACTCCTTTCTCTGGGTTCGCTCGATCGTAAGGTTTCTTATTTGCCCATCCATTTCCTTCGATACTTTTACTTGTGGTGAGGGTATTCTAGATGCTTGAAGCTTCGCTTCTCCCCTTGCACTGAGCACGGGTTTTCTGCACCCGTTTCCATTCTATTTTCCGTGAGTCCGCTCTTTTCTTCGTTTTAACAAAAGAAACTCCCATTTTATAAATCACGATGTCTTAACATTAATGCCGAATTACACTCAGCTCCCTGTTAGTTTGAGAAAATTGCATTGCTTTTTAGAAATGAGAAATTGATTCCCGAAGGGCGAAGACCTTTCTCTTTCTCACGCCCATCCGGCGTTGCCTTCCGGGATTTTCTTATCTTGTTGACCTTTCACACCTTAGCCAAAGTTATTTACAGCTGTTGAACTTTTAATTTCTTATTTTCTTCTCATAACATGATTTCATCTACAGGTACACGATCAGATTAATTTCCTGTGATTCAGATTCCTAATCAGTTCTGGCATTTTTCAATCCATGGGAGTTACAGTGGACAATCCATTCACTCGCCTGTATTTTTCTTTATCATATCTGCATCTATATTTTCTTTATTTTTATTTTTAGGTACATATCAGTATAATCGGTTCCAGTTGCATGCTCTGCTCATAGTAATAATGATAATGATAATAATATTATGAATCGTAGTGACAACAAAAAAACATTTTTTCAAGCACTCTAGTCGCGCGCTTGGCTAAAGCCCCATATTCAACGGTACAAATTCAATGTAAAATTTGTTTGGGAATAGGCACTTTATGTTGCACATATATTATAAGAATGGAACTTTTATGAAGAATTATACGAATCAAGTCATAGAATCACTTAGGTCTTTCCACCCACACCAAAATTATACGCTTTGAGTTTGTCGGGTTTCTTTTTCTTTCGCATGAATAATCTGACGGCAACTATTGGTATTGGCAGTCGTTAGCAATATCCAATCTAGGATGTAGATAGTTAGAAGCTGGGATGTTCGATTTATCCTGCTGAGGCCTACTTCTCAAGGAGATTCATTCTTCTTTGATTTCCTCGTTATTGCAACATATGCTATCCTTTGATTTCCTCGCATATGGCAACTTGTTGGCTGTCACATGTATAAAAAAACTGCTTGAATCATGCACAAAAAATTAAGTCTTATCTGCATTTATATGTTTTAATTGTTAATATTTATAGTTATTTATCCATTCCCTAATCCAAAAATGTTATTTTTCACCATAGTTTTTGTTTTTCCAATATTTGCACTTCAGGGACACTGTGCATCAGCCTGTCATTCCCGGACTGCCTGATGACCTGGCTTTGCGATGTCTTGCAAAGTTGTCCCATGGGCACCATGGAGTACTGGAAACTGTCTCAAAGAGGTGGAGAGATTTAATTCGTAGCTCAGATTATGCCTGCTATAAAGCTAAAGAAGGATGGTGTGGAAATTGGCTGTTTGCTCTTACTGAGCAATCTAAGAACCAGTGGATTGCCTATGATCCTGAGGCTGATAGGTGGCACCCCCTTCCAAAGTTTTTAGGGGATTATGCTGACTGGCATCACTTTGGCTTTTCTTGTGTTTGTGTTTACAACCGACTCCTAGTGATTGGTGGGTCCTATACACCACACGATTCATCACTGCCTAATCAGAAGCCTTTGATAACTGATCATGTGCTGCAGTTTGATCCATTTAGAAAAGAGTGGAAAAGCATGGCAAAGATGCGAACACCACGTTCTCATTTCGCATCTGGTGTTATCTCTGGTAAGGTTTATGTTGCTGGGGGACGCAACTCGTCTTGCACCAGAGGACTTGCCTATGCTGAGGTTTACGATCCGCTAGCAGACAAGTATGTGGTGGATACAAAAAATTTTTTGGGTTTCTCAGGCATTTGTGACCATTAATTAGAAACTTCTTATTTCATATAAATTATGGCTGTGAGGTTTATGCTTTCCATTTATCTCCTGGGGCATCAATTTTTCTTGTTGCATTTAAAGAAATGTTTCAAGGCCAGTACGGTTGTTATTTGTTTGATATAAGTTCCCCATTATCAGTGTGAAGTCACTCAATATTACTCTACATATTGATTTCGTACATGTTTCTGGATGTGACTTTTTTCTGTTGAAATAAAACCAAGTCTGCATGTTATCAGTTATTGTATCCCCAACTCCTCATCCTTCATTTTTATATCTGGGGACATTTCAGGTGGGAGGAGTTGCCGCCAATGCCGAACCCACAGATGGACTGCTTAGGCTTATCATATAAAGGCAAACTTCATGTTTTGAGTGACCAGGTAGGCCTGTCAGACATGAATGCATCTCAAGTTTTTGATATATCAAGCAAAGGATGGTGCACGGTAGAGGACATATGGCCCTTCTCTAAGGCAATGCAATTCTCAGTTCAGGTCATGGGTGATGGTCAAGTGTATACGGTTGTTGATTGGGGTGAAAGCTTGATTAAAACAAGAGATTGTGAGAAAGGAGAATGGTATAATGTTGGTGCAGTTCCTTCAGTTACTCTTCACAACCATGCACGAGCATTGGAAGCCTTTGGTTATGGATTTGCAACCTTAAGAGAGGAATTATATATATTGGGTGGAAAGGTTCTAAAGTGGGAAGAAGCAGGAACCGGAAGATTTGACATTGTTAGATTGGGTTTGGTGAGGACATGCAATCCAGTAATCAGGCCATTAAAATGGAAGGAAGCTAGACCCATGTGTCGGCCATCATGTGGCTCTATACTCGGATGTGCATCCTTGGAAGAGAAATGTTTTTTATATTAAAGGTAATGGCTAAACCAAAATTTCCTTGAATCGTACATCATGGAAAATATATGTTCTTTTGCTGAACAAGCCCCCAGACTTTTATATTTGTGTTTGGGTCTGTTTGGTGTATGCATACGTGGAAAGTAACCCAGTTATGTTCTTTATGGACATTTTTCCTTGTACAGCTTGACAGTAGATTGCAGATTACGTTTTTATCGGTATCCTTAATGAACTGAAAATCATTTTTAGTGCGAGAATTAACACATCAAAGTTAATACATTCATGTTCACATTTTTCCGTCTTTTGTCATGTTTAAACAGCACTTACACCAAGATGACAATTGAATATTCGTTGTCATATGCTGTGTTTTAAGAGCTAAGATGTTTTTAATTCTGATGAACAGATCAGCAGAAATTCTACATTTTCGTTAGAATTCTACATGATATTCTAGATATGCATTAGAATTGATAGATACTTCGCATATGCATGATCTTATCTTTGTTGTTATGATTGCCGTTATAGTTACTTATTAGCTATACTTTGTCACCGCACTCAGTTACCGTTATTTCCCCTCCTCACACATCATGTAACAGAAAGGGGATATGTTTCGTACAATTTCCCCAGACAAATCCGGAGATCCTTATTAAAATAAAATATGTCGTCCACGTTACTAGAGGTGTTATGGTGGCAGAACCTATTCTTTATCCCAACTTCTTGGCACTGAAAGTTAACAGATAAAGTGGGATATATATATTTATAGTGTTTGGAATTATTTGGACTCTCTAATGTCAATGCGAAAAGGTTAGTTTTGAACTGTGAGCCTCCCAAGGTCAATATCACTTTCCCCGAGTTCTGAACTGAACAAAAATCATGGTAGAAAATTGATGCAACTGCAGCAATACATTAGATTATTATTATTATTATTATTATTATTATTATATTGTAATAAATATGTAGAAAAAGAAAAATACATGTTTTGCTAAATTCGCATGTCTAAAAATAGCCCATAAATGAAGTCTTGCAGAGCTCTAACAGAAACTTGGGCGAAAGAAATGTTATTAATTATTACAGGCACTAAGCCACACGCAATTATCCTAGTTCCTTGTTAACCTGGTAAGGAGAGCGGCGGCCATGTCCATGACACTTAGCTTTTGCCCAATTGGTCCCGCTTTGGCTCTATACTTTCATCACCTTTAGGCCTAGTATTCATAAGGACCTGCGATAAGTAAAAGATAACAGTACAATTTCTTAGTTCGTTAACCTATAAATAAATATATATAACCCAGCTAATCCAATCTTATTGTATACCTTTCGAAGCATGGCGTTTTCATTAATCAAAGTCGAAATTTTCTCCTCTAATTTTGAGTTCTTGTCCTGCAATTCTTTGGCTCTTGATTCGAGCTCATTCACATAAACCTTCTTCCTTTCCCGGGCTTGTTGAGCAGAGACCCTATTCCGTAGCAACCTGCAGCCAGGATACAAATAAATAAGTAATACACTGTTGTAGTGAGCCAGCGATGATTCAATATGCATACATATAAAATTAAGCCACTATTAATTGCAATCAACATGGTTAATAAAGCAACAACATTAATTGTCGCTCAGCTGAATAACAAATTAATTTGTTAGAGGCTGGGTATATCATATTTTGTCACTGCTTAATTTGAAGTCGCCAACTTGATCCAGCTCTGTGGAAAGCAATTCGAGAGCATTTCATTTCTCCAAATTATAATTAACAACCTTCCCACAAACATAATTAACAACCTCTTGAGCCTTCTGTACTCCTTGTCAACAGGATTTCGTCCCCTCCGCCGTCTCTCGGGTTGAACCTCCGGATTCTTGTTGCAAGCAGTAGAGTTGGTAGTGGAAGCATTAGGAATAGCAGGTGGTCGAGCTTCCACATCTGGGACCGTGAAAAGATCTTCGTCGCTCTCTTCTGGAAAAAGATCCACAATATTACTAAAAATAATTGATTAAGAAGAAATAATCATACAAAGCAGAGAGCACCAACCGACTTTACTCTTCCTATGCGCATAGGAAACAACAGCGTCGTTAGTATTCCCCCCCAAGGAGCAAGAGCTAGCTGCAGCCTCTACCTCAAGCTGCCGTGGGGGCTCATAAATCGAATTCAAATTATTGTCGTTGGATTTGGCGTCCATTGGTCTTGGAAGAGACATCTGTAGCCGCTTTCCTGTGACATCGACAATCGACTACCCCTGAAGTGTTCAGTGTTCTCGTCTTGCCGACGTTGAGATTTTGGGAGGCCAAATAAGTTTTGGCTGATGAAGGAACACGTCGATGCATGGAGAGCCGTCACTTATTTCCCAACAACATCGACCTCTTTCTTCTAATTTTTTCAACACATCAACCAACCATATCACGCACCAGCCCAACCCAAAGGATTTAACCTTTTTTTTTTTTTTTTTTTAAATTAACGGATTTTACTTTTGTTTTCCAAATTTCCACCTCAAATAAAATTAGCTATAGAATAATACAAGCAAAATTGCCGAATGCTGCGGGTTTGTTATTTCAAGATTTGTAGTTCATTTAATTATTCGTAATTGATATTTAGAAAACATTCATCCATATATCACAAATGTAGAAATTTGCAAAATATAAAGAGAAAACGTTTAATAGATAAGTGTGGGTAATTGTAATTGAATGAGATATATTATTAATATTAAATAGAACAAATATAAAAGGAAACTCTTGATTAGAGTTGTAGTCGAAATATATAATTTAGAATAAGTTAAATAGGTAATTTGGAGTATTTGTAGTCGGTATATAACATATACTGTATATTTGACTGTCTAACAGAGTCCATATTAATTGTGGAGTAAGACCGAGCTATTACAGTTTAATTTTGTATTTTTGTTTTTTAATAGTTTTGGTAACACTAATTGATACACATCAAAAAATAAAATAGTACGCTAATTTACGAATTAAACTCATAAGTGATCTATCTTAATTTTACTCTAAATAAAATAAGGACCTTGTCCTTATCTAACAGATTTCATTTTAAATACATATTCAATTAGTATTTCAAATACTCATGGAATCAAGCATTGGAATGGTTACAAGACAATAAGAATGACATTTGAAAACACAAAGAATGAGTTAGTCCTCAAAAATGAAGAACAAAATCTAATTTTTAGTAACTGAGCTAAAAGAATTTAATAAGATCAAATTTAAAGATTCAAAGGGAGACATATTTACCAACCATACTAAAAAAAAGTGTCGAGATATAAATGACTTCATCATTAATTCTTAATTACTATAAAAATCTTTGACAATTCTTTTCAGACCCGAACATCGAAATGTTTATAGAAATTCAATGTCGCACTCAAATTCGCATATCTATGCTTACTCCCACCCTTCTTTTAGTCATACCTCAATCCTATATTGAATTTATACCCTTTTAGCAAATGCTTTTATTGTACCTCATTAATCCAATATACATATATATATAAAGAAAAATTTTAAATGATCAAATAAGCAAACTTCAAATGCAAACATGATGAAAGCAACGATTTTCAAAGAATGATTTATATTTAATAAGAATACAAAATAATAGGAGACAAATTTGAATTTAATGAACTTTATAAATATTATCCAAATCTTACTGAAATCCAGTTAAAATCTAAAATTCCGACTCTGATCGGATTGGATTCGAGCTGGATATATATCCGCAGAATCCGGTTGATTTTACCATCTCTATATACACATTGTGCGCTGCTCGGACCAATGCAACATAAATGAGAAAGAGAGAGAGAATGGATAAGGGGCCGTGGGCCTAAGTAATTGTGGGCTTAGACTTTCATTTTTCTGAATGTGAATTACAGACAGACAGAAACAAAGAAAATTAAGGGGGGAAAAAAGAGACAGTGGGGGCCCAAGGAGGCCAGTTTAAAGAGACAAGAAGCACGTTCCGTTTTGTATGGGTGTGGACACTGGACAGGACATCTAAACTGGATTCTTGTGGGATTGGGCAGTTGGCCGTAAACTAATCCGTATTTTGCCATTCTTGTGGGATTGTAATTTTATGTATAATCCAATTCTTTATTTTATTTAATTTCACTCTCGATCTCAGAATTACACATGCAAAAAGAAGCAAGTTGCTGTTTTCAGAGGTCTGCAAATGCAATGGATAAACAAAACCTTAACGTACCAACAATATTACCGGTATAACTTTTCAAGAAAAGAAAAAGTCAGCATAATAATGTCTTTGGTTCGTAAATGTATGAACATAACATGTACACTTGTTGAAAATAGTTGTTTATTATTATTATTGTTATAGTACATAATAAATACATTAGTTTATGAATTAGCATTTAATAATAATAATAATAAACCTTCTGCGCTTTAGCATGTGAGGTGTAATAAATAAAGAAAGCATGAAATGATAGATATATAACAGTATATGATCAAAGGGCATGTACTGTTACATTGGTCGCTGATCAGAGCCTCGCTCTCAGACATTGTAAATGTAAAATACACAAAACATAACAGATTGCTTTGCGGGAAAGCCAGCGCCATGTTTTTATTTTAAGAGTTCAATGAAACTTTAAAATAAAATAAAATAAAAATCTTGTTGTTGATTGCAATTTAATCTTGTTTGATTGAAAGGGTAATGCATGCATTATTATTATAATAATAATAGATAATAAATCACATTGCTCAGAGAATAAAATATGTTATTCCTCTCTTTGAAGTAAGTGAATGTCTATATCATAAGTTTTTCTCTGCTAACAGATATTTTAGGATGATAATTAGTTCTCTGAACAAGACAAGCCAAATGGAGCCCATATATATTTGCAACTTCCGTGGTCAAATTAATCGGCAAATTAGACAAGACCACTCACTTTTGTTAAAACTTATTATAACTTCAAAGGCCTTTACTTACTAATTACTATGATTGTTGCCCTTTTAGACGTCATATTCAATCTTATATTTTATTCTTTTTCTAAAAAAAAAAAAAAAAAAAACCAGTCTCCTTTCCAGGTAATAACATACCGCGAAGATAGTAAAATTGCTAGATAGTCTCTCACGCTCGCCTGATCAATAATTGATAAATGAATCCATTTTCTTGCCGATGTTCGTAGTCTCTGGAAGAGCTTATGCATGACTATTCATTCTATCGGGCACTGTAATTTTAGAACGATGGTGAAGAATTAAATGCTCAAAATTGTCATCTTTATTATTTCTCACTCACACATATTCCTATACAAGAGAGAGATGACATGCATAGTAATATATACACTAATCTAGGCTTACTTGCGCTGCGACCATTAGGCATTCGAACAATCATAAAAGATGGATTATATAGTTATGTCAGATCGAGAAATACGGGATAAAGTGAATGTAGTGACGCTGTGGAGGGACTCGTGGACACTAAATCTTTTCGACAGTTAATGTATCATTGGGAGCTAGAGGTCAAATTTCAGCACACACCACTCTATAAATTATTACAATTTTCCCTACTTTTATTGCTTAACTTCGTCACAAATAGTGGATAAAGTATAACGGATTGTAGCACACCAAGATAAACAACAATGTACATAGATAATATGATGAGAGCGGAGCGAATAATATTATTATGTTATTAGGATCCACACGCGAGGGTGCATCTAAGGGTACGAGAAAGACTTACCAGTCTTTTTCTGAGAGGATAGTAGGATTGTGTATCACGGAGAGGATACGCGTAACTGGATGCGTGATCCAGATGTAGCGATAAGTACTATATGGGATTCGCAGGAACACAAAAAGAGTATGAGAAATGACGCGATAATGCGACAGTCATCTATCAACTATAGGCTATATCTACGTATAGCTTGTAGAGAGACTAATGAAAATGTAGAGACTCTTACTGTGCTGATGCTGTCACGCATACAAGCATAAAAACAATCTTAGTCTAAAACCGTAGTAATATGACTAATGATCACATCTAATTGTCATCGCTGGTGAAGTGCTCGTTATAACATAGAATAATTTAGACGGAAAAATTGAACAATGAACTGCATATTAACTTTGATAGTGTTTAATCTCGCACATAAATAATGATTTTATCTAGTTAGACTTTCCGACTTAAGGATACGCGAGTAATACGTATTCTCGCTCAAATCTTACAGTAATCAAGCTCTGTACACAGGAACACAATGTCGCACAAGAGAACACATAACTGGGATTTAGTTTTCCACAGCATAGTGTCATACACGCAAACAGAACCTAGAGACAAATTTTTACAGTATGGGCTGTCAGTGCCACAAAAGAATATAGTTCTATCATGATGTAACGAGTGACAAGGAAATTCTTGGTTTTAGACCATTAAGCGTATATTAACATAAAAAATACACATTTATATCTAGGTTCTACAAGATGAGTGCCGTCGAGTATAGAGCCACATGATGCGCGGACTCAGAAAAAAGGAATCATAAAGAGCTCAGTCACTATATATCAATATTTTAATGTGTCTTTGGCCTGATACCGGATTGCATGTCACTATAGACTCACTCGCAACATGTATAAACAAATGGTCAACATACTCTCTGTCGGTTACATAATTGATGCTTTCCTCGCATCTTAGAATAACTTTTCTTACTAGCTCATAATAATGTATCATAAATAAATCACTCATCCACTTTATAAAGGTTGTCAATCTCTCTCAAACTCAGAAAAGGCTTCTCACACGACATGTCTGTAAGCCATGTGAGATTGTGAAAGAGGTAAACTAGAGGAATAGCACGCAACCATCTATCATAGCAGCAATTTTAGCAGACTAGGGATTGCTTAATAACATGAGCTATTCACGCCACAAGATCACACCAATGAAATGAATAGCGGTAATATACTCTAAACTTGACGCAATCAGTATCAAGAACACATTGAACTGAAACATGGGGACAATTGCATTGGCTAGATGAGAGGCCATATGTCCACTACCCAGTGTCACCATCCTCGTGTGCGCTTGATATATCAATCTGTGAGAATGTCACAAGTCAAGGCTCGACAGGCCACCGTAGGTCATCAAAAGCATACGATTTGCCGTTATATAAGATAAAGTCCGGTAATACAGTCACATCAGTGGGTACATAGAGAGCAATCTTGGCGGCAATACTAACATCGCCACATTGAAAATGTGCTCCCAGATATAAGAAATGAAGGGTGACGTGGGGATACAATAAACGGATACATGAGCACGACTTGGTTTTATTCAGATGAAATATAATTAGGTTCAACATCCAGATAACATGTATCGAAATCAATATTGTAAAGAAGTATATATCTGCGTATGTAGCTATCACACACTCCGATAAGGGGGAACTTATATAACAAATATAACAAAATCGATATACATGGCCTTATGAGAAAACTATTTCTAGTGTATAATGTTGCAACCAAGAAAAATTGATGCTCCCAGAGATAAATTTGTGAGAACGCCATAAACAGTCTCAACATGCCATATATTATATAATGAAATTATCTATGAAGTGTTCTTTAATGAATGTGTTCACAAGAAATACGCTGTGAGAAAATCAAAAAAATATTTGTTTGCTATACCTGCAACACATTAATATCTTGATCTAGCTATGCAGAGAGATTCGTATACACGCTACAGCAACATAATAGGACAAGTCCACTCTGTGCGGGCACAAGTCGAGTGTGTTGCGTCCTCCCCAAGCGCACAACAGATAAAACGCTATTACGCAAGAGTATATACGCATCCAGTATGCACGAAATCTGAGAACGTCGGGTGTTCGCACTTCTGTATTGGTCCATGACGTGTAATTTGCCAGTCTCTTTTACTATATATAGGATATATGTATAACTGCAGCAATTGATCTCTGCTACAGATATTTTAGATGATATTAAGTTTCTCTGAACAAGACCAAAAAAGGTCTACTTAAAATGGGGAGGTCTGCGCCACTAGTTGAGATGAAATTCGGGTGTTTGGTGGCACAATCACTGGACTCACCAACAACTAGGGTAGTGGCGTTCTGTAAACACACAAAAATCACAATGAAAAGCCAAATAGTCGGGCGAGATCAAGCATATATATTCACCTAGAAACACTTATGAGGAGACAGGGAGGGTGCTCACCTATCAGGCCTAGATTCATGATGGCAATTAAAAGGTTCTCTTATGATTGCTCAGTAGAGCTAAAACACAAGGCCTAATTACTTCACCACACTCTCAATTCATTCGACTTTTCGTTTGTACCGCTCTTATATGCTAAGGCATTATATGCTAGCAGCGTCATACAGATCATAAAATCTCTCTCCACCTCTTTTTTGAGTAGTGTATAGTTTTTTACCAGTAACTCCCATGGTGCCGCATGGGACAACTTTGCAAGACATCTGCAATATGCCAGGTCATTATGGCCAGTTCTCGGGATGACAGGCTGATGCAGGCAGTGTCACTAGAAGTGCAAATATTGGAAAAACAAAAAACTATGGTGAAAAATAACATTTTTGGATTAGAGAATAAGATAAAATAACTAAGAAAAGGATATTAAACAAGTATTAAAAACACTGCACAATAGCAGAGTAAGACTTAAATTTTTACGTGTGCATCGACTGTCTATAAGAGCGTACGTGTTTTTGTGATTAGATTGTTCATGATGCATGCACACACGAGTGTCGACGCTGAATCGGATGCAATGTGAAATCATATATGTGAGAAATAGCAAGATAAAAGATTTGAAATAAACAGAGAGAGAAATTGCGCAAAAAGAGAAAAATATGAAAATACTGGGCATGTGAGTAGATGGTTCACGGTCACACCGTGGCAGACAAGGCATCATGAATCTGTACACGCGCATCCTCTTCCGCTCTCAATCTCATCTACATCTCTAGATGCTGCATTCCCTTTCTTTTCGCCCCCCTCGCTCTCTCGCGTCTCATATCTCTCGCCTTATACTTGAGACTGACCAATATACAATAGTTGCTGTGAATAGACTTACGAGTAGCGGAAATGAAAGTAACTCCGAGAGCTTAGACGCACTGAAGCGCTACTCACACTCCATTGCGACTATCGAATGGGTGGAAAAGAGCTGACAATGATTCTCTGCACATTGACCTCGATATAGTACATAATCCTGCCTCTATCAGATCACTATGAGAGTACTTAAGACAGGTTATGTGACAAACTCATAAAGAGACACATATAGTATATGCACCTCGATAACGCAAAAGATCAATTAATGGTTCACATTGTGGAATATTGTAACACCCAGTGAGACTTATCTGGGCCTTAGCTAAACAAGCGCGAGAGAACGGAAGACTGACGAACGCTGCTGTATATGCTCGATATTTCATGTGTGTGTATACACACGGATTATACAGAAATATTACTACTATGCTATCAGTAGCCTAGAGTATACTTGATTGTACGCAATAAGCATAGTCACATGGAAACGATTATACTGATTATGTAAACTCATAGATGAATTAAATTAAATAAAATAGAAATTCACTAGTATGACACATGTGCATATGTAAAATGATACACAATATTATCAGGCTGGAGTGGTTTAAGCGGAGAATGTGCCACAGAGTGGATAGGCTCCATGATCGTCCACTTATGGAGAGAGAGATGCAGACACTGGGGACTGAGCTAGAGTAGTGCATGAATCTATATCGACGAGTTGTAAAGTGTAGTACTGATCGAGTAAGGTATCAATGTTGCTACAATGCACAAACAACTTGGCTATTATAATATGAAGACATTGCCAAAATGATGCAATTGACATATGTCACGAATTCTAGCGCGGTGTACAATACTTTGTGTGAGCACTAACGGAGAGTCGAAAGGTTTCAACAGATAGTAGTCACTCAGTTAGAGTAATGATACCGGCAATCCCGGAGACATGTGAGAGATGAAAGATAGGAAAAAAAAAAAAAAAAAAAAGAAGGAAAAGAAACGCAAAGTAAAGGCATTCACGTGTTAGAGGTCTGTTTGTGGGCATGCTCCATGTGCTAAGGTGCAGTGGGCGAAGATTTTTTAGATAAGAAGAAAAAATAAAATAAAATAAAATGAAAAAGAAAAGAAATAGGAGTGAGTGATGTTCCTCAAGGGCAAGGCTCATCTCACGGATCTTGCCTCTCTCTCTCTCATGCTGCTTCCCCTTTCTTTCCCCCCCTCTCTCTCTCTCTCTCTCTCTCTCCCTATTTATATATATTTTGAAGACTAGAGGGAATTAATTCTGTTGAGACTCCATCTCCCAGCGACACAAAGTTGTCATCTGCACATTGTCTCTAATCTATTCCTGCAGCACTGATCACTCCTGTATAAAAATAAAAAGAAAAAGAAGATCGATCGAAGACAATTAATGGCTTCTTGGAAAAAAACCATTGCTTCCCCTTTCAAGAAAGCTTGCACTTTCTTCAATCAGCAACCAAGAGATAAGAAATCTCAGCCAGAGCCAGGTATGTCCTTAATTATACATTTTTAAACTGTGATTAATTAAATTAATCTTTATACATGCAATTAATTCATTAACTTGGTGGTGCAGGAAATGAGAACCGAGTGATGGTCATGGATCTCCATGGGGAGGTGATGGCATGCGGTTACGAGGATGTTCAAGTGATGTGGTCGATTCTTGATAAGTCCAAGTCCACCAACTGCAACTTAACTTCTTCTTGATCTGCTTTCTGCTTTTAGCTCTTGTAGATACAAACAGATCCGCTTTGCTTTGTGCCCCTCCCATCTCCAAATTTTCAAGATTTGACGCAGGTGGCCAATTTTACGTTGTTGTGATTTAATTTTAGGGAATCCACGTGATTAATGATAAATCACGGCGAGATTTTTAATGGAAAGTTTTAGATTCTGCTATACTCTTGGTTTTTTTTTTTTTTTTCCTTCTTATCTGGAGTTCATTTGCCTCTTTTCATCCATTCAGTAATTAAATTGCCGGGTCGTAGTGTAGTGATTGAGAAGTACGGGTGCTAAATTTACTAAAAAGAAAATAAATGGAAAAATAGTGGCCTAGGGGATAATTATTTGATCAAATTAATTATTATTTGCAATTTTAAAAGTACATAATTTTGTCTGTCAAACGATAGAGTTCTCCCAATCCAATTAATTTTGATGAGCTTTGCCGCTATGTGGCTAGAAGTAGACGAAAATACCATAATACAATATCAGTTAAAAGTATCACTGAGGAAGAAAACCAAATAAAAGAGGAATTACCTATCAATTCTCGTCCAAATTTCTAAACAGCAGAACAAAGATTACTAAAATTGACTTCCAAATCATTAAAGGTTGCTTTGATTACTTTGGAGGAATAAAAACTAAAAGCCTTAAAATTTGCAAGAAAATCTATAAATCCAACATTAATAATCCACCAAAAGCCACAACAATTTGTTTTAGTCAAACAACAACATCTGAATCGAACAAGAAAATCCAGAAAATTGAAGCAGCCTAAAACCCTAAAGCAAATAATAACAATAATAGATTATAGATGACAAAACCATAAATCAAAACATGTCACTAACACTATCCAACAAGAAATTGGCTTTGGATTTTCTAGAATGGTTTCAGAGGACATAGGCCGCCCAATTTCATAAGCCTTTAACCAAGACATTACGACAAATAAATTTCTACCGTAATTTATAATAAACAAATCATCTCAAGCTAGTCTAAATTTATGTTTTAAAACACCATATTCTCTATTACATCAACTTTTTCAAAGATTCACTTGAGTATTCCGCTATTAGTTTACAGTTGCCAAACATATCTCAAAAGATATATTCTCTACAAATTACAGCTCTTTGATTCTCAACCATCGTGTTCGAGTTTTTCCAGCAGAAATTCGAAGTAAAAACAAGCAAGGAAGGGGCAACATTCACCAGTACAGCTCTACCATTTAACAGGCTTGATTAGTTCATCCAAAAAATGCAGAAGCCATCCCATTGCCCTGAAGGTCAGGCCAGTTATGTTAACAACAAAAATGGAACAGTATATGATGTCTCATATTTTCAATCATATCCAAATTTTCTTCTCATAAATGCCCCACTTTTCTGCGTAATTCACCGTGCATTCCTTTCCTCCCTTGCTTCAAGAGCATCCACTTCTTCATTTGATAGGAGATCAACAATTGGCTCATACACATCCCATTCCTTTCTTTTCCTAATGTATAGAGAAAACAAAAAAACCATAAGCTAGCTCCCCCCAACGTATAATTTCTATAGCTTCCCAGAAAATCACAAACATACCTAATCACGCTATATTTATTACTGAATAACTTCATCAAGTCCACTGCTGTACCACCTGCTTTACTGGGAGAAAGAGAGAAGTAATTCAATTTATCTGATCATTTAATCAAACACAGAGCAAATTAATATTACATCTGTTTCATAATACTTGTTACATTTGGAATTTCATATTCCTTAAGAAAACCATCAAATTTGTCTAAATTACAATAAATTAACGAGTAAATTAACTACATTACCCTTAATTTAATACTAATTTTCTAAGAAACCAATAAATTGAAGTAATAATTATTTGTGATATTATAAAAGGTAAACATGGAAAAAATGAATTTATTACTCTTTAAAACTAGAAATGTGACAAGTATTTTGAAATAAACTATTTTCTTAAGTGTGAAGTATTATGTAATGGCGGTAGTATTAGAGTAAATCTTTAGCTACGATGAGAAAAGAGGGTATTAAAAACATACATTGCAGGGATATATTCAGCACCCCGACGACCCTTTTTGCTCAATCTGCTTTCTCTAGCTGTAGCTACACTTTGAATTGCTATCTAATAGACCAAATATAATAAAGAAACAATAAGCGGACTGAAGAACTCAGTGATATAACCGACAAATATAATTAAGGTAGAATGAAACAGATTTGCAGTATGGCTCAAGTAGATAATAGAAGCTTAACCTCGTATAGTTGTTCCCTAATTGCAAAGGCAACTGCAGGCTGCAAAGAAGAAAGCAAGGCTAATAGTTAGAATGACAATAAAGGATGTCTAGATACAAATAAAAATAATAATAAAAAAAAAGAGGGTGGAGGATGGTGAGTTGTTGAGGGAAAAAGATTGATGATTAGATTTGCTTACTCCAACTTCAGGGTCTTCAATATCCAAATCTTTGCAAAAGGTTCTGGCAAAGTCTTCAGGATCACTGTCAAAGTTGTTCAAGTCCTGAAATTCATTTTATACTTGGATGCATTCATGCCGGAACAAAAAAAATTCCAAGAAAAACTGTTGCTTGCTTGAATATGAATAAGGAAGGATATTGAAATATCTGCTTTAGAATTTTTACCCACAAAAATTGATCCTTGATAAGAGTGTGATTCACCCGAAGATCAAGCTGAGAAGAAGCAAGCATCATAACCGAGCTTTTGAGTCAGTTGAAGAAAAATCAATAAAATAGAAAATTGCAATTTCCACGTATCAGGGAAGACAGAACCTTGATTGGAACAATTTTCTCGCCAGTATACATATCTTGACCTTCATAGGATCGAAACTCGGTCAATTGTGTCTGAGAAAATCGATGTCAAGGAACAATGAGCTAACAGTTCTATATAAGCAGTAATTTAATCGAAAGCAGAACAGAAGAAGAAAAACCTGAATGGATTGAGCGATCTGCATGACGAAAGCAGGAGGCAGCTTCAAGTCTTTGGCAGTCCTCTTAGCGAACACCACCACCTCCGAGTCGGGATCTACTTTCACACTGATTTAATTAAATATTTCTGACAATAATACAGTATATAAAAAAACATACATATAGAGAGAATACCAGAAGGGTTCCAAGTGAAAGCATCTTTGAAGCGGTGACCGTCGATTTCTATGTCCAGCCGAATTGGTACTAAATTCTCCGCCGTTGGCCTTATTTCTCAACAAGTTCAAATCAAAAATTAATATATACACAGAGAAAGAAAGAGCAGAAAGAAGGAATTAAAAATAAATAAAAATAAAAACTTACATTCTGAATTTGACAGGTGCTCTTGAAGACGTAGATGGTAGACCTTTCATTTTTTAATTTTAATTTTGTTTTGGTACGGGGAGGGAGTCGAAGCTCAAGTAGCTGTTTTACCAGGCAACTCAAACGGGAACGAGGCAATCCGAATTCGGTTTATCGAAATGTTCTATTTTCTCTGCATCTACTATCTACTGCTCTCCTGCTCCACCGGTCTCAATGTGGGCTTCTTCTATTGGGGCAGAGTTTGCTGGGCCTTGTTTGGGCCGTTTTAAGGACCCAATTACCATCAAAATTATAACCCCACTTTCTGTTTTGACAATTGATATACTAATTCTCTAATTTAAATTTATATTGTATCGAATTAGCATAAAAAAGTATGGCATTAAGGAAGTGTTAGAAATAAAATATCTAAATTTAATTAACTATTCAATTAATTTTTGTGATATAACAAAAACAAACCTATCTTCTTCTCTCTCTTTTTTTAACATGATCAACATAGATAATTAGTACTGATCAAACATGAATTATTATTAACCTAATAGAATTTCTATTTGAGTTAACAAAAATTCCTGTTTGAATTAAAACCAAACCAAATCAAAAACTAAAATTTAAATTATACAGATAAAATAAAAAGTATAATTCTATAATTCTTTTTTTAATATAAGGAAATACCGTTGTTAAATTATTGTTATGATAAATGCTTTATATGATACATAATCTGTTAGAACCAATGTTCGACTAGTCTTTTTTCATTTTTTAACGATTATTCGTGATGCATAAACGTTAGAGAAGACCTAAAAAAACACTCTTTACTACCGAGCCATACCGGTCAAGGATCTTACAGCTACTGAGCCATACCCATTCTTGATCACCTAACGTCAACCATCGGTAGCAACCTTAGCTGCCATAAGACCTGAGCTCCAACTAAAATTGTAAATAACCTTAAAAATGTGTTGTTCTTTTTCACCTCCGTTAACATTACTTGAGCTTCGGACAAGCTTTCCTATCTCAAAACATTTCGTTTGGAACAGTTTTCTAGATGAATGAATACATGAAGTAAAATATGAATCCACAGACATGGATAAGCAGGTGAGAGAAGGGAACAAACGGAGGTGAAAGAAATAGCTGTTCCCTCAGGTTGCTGACTTGCTCCCCTAAGGCATCTTTCTCTTTGCTCATAACAAACCTAGAATTATTCTATGCAGCTTTACTTTTGGCAATGACAAGTTCCAAGTAGAAGTAGGATCCGAAGATTAGTTATGTAATGGCGCTTCTCGAGGTATTCAACTTGTGCAACCGTAAAATCGTGGTGGATGTGAGCTACCAAAAACATGCAGGGCATGCACAAGAGAGTTATCTAATCTAACAGCTTAGCCAGCATGTGCGCCAATTGTTCGCATCTCCATTCAAAATGCTGCCTTTAACTCATAAGCTCATATGCAGATGGCACATCATGCAATGGGTGACCTTTTCGGTTTCTGTCAATTATCTTCTGTGCGAGAGAAACTTGCTTACCAACCACAAAGATAAACGCCTTGCCCTTTCCCACAGCACCTCTAGCTGTTCTTCCAACACGACGCACGTATTCACTTGGATCACGTGGAAAGTCAAAGAGTATAACATGATCCACACCAGTAAAATCAATTCCTCGCGATGCTCTGTCATGAATTTAAGAAATGTCATATCACTATTTGGCTGTGTGGGTGGGGATTTCTGCTTGCTGATAAGCAATCATCACAGTGGGAGAGGAAAAAATAACCGAAGAGTAATGAAAATACCTATCAGTGCAAACCAAAAATAATGAGCATCCTCCAGAACTATAATTCATGAACTCTTTCATGTTTGCAACCCTTGAATCTTGTGCCAGAGCAGCATGGAATGGTAGAACCCGAACATAGGCTCCTTTTCTATCAAAACGTTTTAACACATTCTCTACTTTTCTGCATGTCTCAATCTGTAAATTTCAGAGGGAAAACATAAAAAACCATTCTCTATTTATAGTAGTTTCAGAGTAATATAAAAAAATGCTGAGTTTCACATGGAGCTCAACCTACCTTGTTACAGAAAACAATTGTTTTGGAGACGGGACTTTGCTCCATAAGCTGCAGAAGAGCATGTTTCTTATTAACGAATGCTGTCTCTGGAGTCCGCTCTGTCCCAATTTCTCCACTGCAATCAACAAGAACCTGCACATGCAAAATGCTAGTTAATCTTTATTAATATTAAGAATAGCTTTCAGTCCATTGAAAACTTTAGCACCATGACAAGGACTGCAATGATTCCCTGTCTTTCCTCTCTCTTTAGTAGGAGGGGAGGGTAAAGATAACAATCGAAAACCACCTCTTCCAGTCTGGTACTCGTGCGATGCATACTGGGTCCCATGATCATTTCACAATCAGGAAAGATTTCAATAAGCTTGTTATACACATCTACCGGTAAAGTAGCAGTCACGAACAGATATTGTGTGGCAAGAGGTGAAGAATTCATCAAGCTTTGGAGTGCAAACTCAAAGTCATCATCTTTGAACAATATGTCTACCTCATCCAACACAGAACTGCAATATGAAGTTTATGTCAAGTTTTTAGTTGGCAGAATACATCACAAAAAAATGATGTTGCATGCTGATATAAACAGATGTATGAAATCACTGAACCATGTTTATTAGGACAACAAATTAAAATATTTGAATGCCATTTGTAGTTTAAAGTGCTTAATGAATTCATTTTTTAGGTGATAAATATATGAAAGGTGATCATGCAATTTCTATCACTTGTGCAAATACTTGAGTTGACAACACATATATATCACCCTTTTATATATCCAATTAGGAAAAAACATTGGGTGAATTAGGGAGAAATTCGTTATCATAGGTAACCATACTAACCCTTCATTTAACTTAATAATATGAAAAGATGTAATATTCAGACGAGCTTACCATTTCAGATTTGTCAACTTCAAGAATCCTTCCTTAATTAGGAACAAGAAACGACCAGGTGTGACTATTAGAATGTCAACACCTTGTTCTAGATTTTGCAATTGAGTCCTCTGAGAGAATCCCCCAGTTGCAGCCATAGACCGAAATGGAACCCCAAATTTTGACATTGATCGGCAATTATTCAAAACCTGCATGAGTTGCACCTTCTTTAAGCATTAGGTAAATGACACAAAAATATCTAAATTCTTATCAAGTCCAAGAAAAGAGACGGTAGGATTCTACTGGTAAAAATTAATGTAATATAATCAGGTCATGCACCTTAATCCATAAATTAGAAGTTATTTTGTCGTCCTCATGACAAATCAAATCCACATAAAACTGAAAGCATAATCGATTACAATTTACAATTTATTAATTCACATCCAAATCAGAGGAATGTTGGAAAACAGCGCATAGTTCATTAAAGGAAACAATAACAACAACAACAAAAAAAAAAAAAAGAACAGAATGGGATGGTTTATGAGAAAGAATGAGAAATCAAAATAGACTGAGTTTTAGATGGCTTAAGCATAAAGCACCTACCTGAGAAGCCAGCTCAGCCGTTGGCACCATTATAAGTACTCGAGGATTCTGTGATAAGGATTCACCAAGTCCTTGGAGTTCTTCTAACCTGAGACGCTGAATTACAGGTATAAGATATGCCAATGTCTTTCCTGATCCACTTTGATCTGCTATAACACAGCATTTCCCCTCAATTACAGGTGTAAATGCCATGGCCTGCATTACCCAAATGCATAAAATAGAGAGTTACATGTCATAAGACGATAACATTATGCCAGATCTCTACCCTTCATTAATCAATTAATAGCTCTCTTTTAGGGTAAACTATGCAAATGACAAGGCATTAACTTCAGCATTCCACCATAAAAGTACAAACAGAAGCTACATTCAAAATTTCAAATACAATTTTCCAAGTTCCACTATTACCTTTTAATAGTCTTCTCAACCAAATAGTTCATCCGAACTCTTTATGACATTCTACAGTTTCTCGCTTCTATAAAAACCCCATGTCATTCTCTCTTCCAAACGTATCCTTTAATATCTCTCTCTCTAATGATAACTGGTTTTATTCAATAACTCATGTTTATCTCATTCTAGAGTGATTTAACAAAATCAAATTCCTAGACCATTATTATAAAATAGCTTAATTTCTATATGATTTATGCTTCCCAATTTTAGAAATATACATAAAAATATTTTTGAAATCACGTTCATTAAACGTATATAAATACAATCATTATCATTCATTCATGGCTAGTGAATTCCCTCCAAAACTAACATAAACAACTATCTGCAAAGCGCAAACCATTAACTAAGGGCATCTACTTTAACTCGAACGAAGAGGTGACAACAAGAAAGCCAATCAGTGGACAAAATGATCTCATGAGGAACAAAAATGTTCCTATGCCAGAGCCTACCAAAGCTTATTTCTATTAAAATAGTACAGAAATTTATCACAACCAAAACTAACCAAAAAGAAACTAATATCTGGAAAACATCAAGGCAAGACAGTGAAGGGAAAAGTAACATGCTGGTCAACAGATAGAAATGCACATATTCAAGCAATGAACTGCAAAAACTCAAATCAAACCATCTTCTCCATGATTCTCCTTTCTTTTTATTCATTGATATTTCTATTTCTCTTTTTTTTTTTTTTTTTTAACCAAAAAAGTTTAAGAGAGGAGAATGTAGTTGCTTATAGAGTAACAGAACCAAGGGTAAAGGCTGGATAACTTTCAATAACCATCAATTGAATTGAGCTAGTTCAGAAGTAGAGGTGTGATGGAATATAAATTGAAATGGATTAAACAAGTTATGTTTATGGAGATGATGCACTTTGATTCTTTGTCAACAAAGCATATTATTGATCCACCTGAATATTTGAAGGGCGAAGGAAAGATTGTTGCTTTAAAGATTCCATCATAAATTGACTACATCCCAAATCTCTGAATGATTTTCTACTAAAGAAGTCATTCTGAGCAGAAAACTTGTGCTTTCTTTGTAGAGGATTTGCTGATTGGGACTCGAGACCAACATTACCCCATCCTCTTCGGTAAGAAGAAGAACCAGCATGAACTGTTCCAGCTCTTCTGGGAATAGATTTTACAGGTTTATCTGGCATAATTTCATAATCCAAAGTCTGATATTCACTAAGTTTCTTATTGGAACTGGAAACCTTCATTTTCTCTCCTCTCCTGGTAGCCATTTCATCCCCGCAAGACTTGTCTGTAGAATCTGATTTAGCATATGAGGTGACCAATGTATCAAAATCTGCATCTGCCGCTGCTGATACATCTGCATGTTTCCTTACCTTTTGCTTCATCATGAGGAATTTGACCTTCTGTGCTTTGAGTTTTCTGAAATTTCCAGACAATCTCTTACTACCTGCTGTTGGATTCGCAGTTTTTGTGACAGCGCCTGGATTTGCAATGCCTGTGAGCCCAATAATAATAATAATAATAATAAATCCAGGGAACAGACATAAGTGCAGGGTTTTTTTTTTCTTTAAAAAAAAAGGATTGGTGCAAATAAAAATGCGATCCTTGAACTTGATAGGTTAAATGTGAAATCAAATCACTAGTTAAAAACCAACATCTCCAAAATCAGAAAAAAAAAAAAAAAGTGCAACAACAAACTAGCATCAAATACTGATAGAGTGTGAGAGTGGTAATCTTTTTGCAGCTAACGAGAACTGAGAATGTGAAGCTATTGAAACGGAAGAGCCTTTTAGTTGCTTATTTAGCAAAATTGTGAATATAGATAAAATAAAAAGAATTCTCAGGAAAATTAGGAAATGAATAGAAAATTTTACTAACAAGTAAAGTTTGAGAAGACTAGGCACTTATTAGAAGTAACTGAGAAAAGAAAAAGAGCACCTGAAGTAGCATCTTCGTCCTCCTTGTTCGGAGAATGGGAGCAAACGCCGCCACCATCAGCGAGCTCAGTAACAGACTGAAATGGAGTGTTCAAGCGGGTCGAACTACATGCTGCTCTAACCAAAGCAAAAGGTTTTGCACCGCTTTTCGATACATAATCAAAGACGACACCCCTGTGGCTTTGGCTGTGGGAATCGGTGATTTGAAGCCTGAAGCTTGAAAGAGGATGAGGAGGAGCTATGGTCAGCATCTCTTTTCGATAGCCTGAGCAATGTCCCTCTCAACTGTATTTAGATAATTTAATTTTCTTTCAGAGTTTTATGATTAAATTTATTTTTCCCTTACCCTCTTGTCCTTGTTTTTTATTGTTATTTTTCGTTTATTTTATATCTGTATTAATATAATTTTATAAATAAGAATATATTTCTATAAAAAATATAGAAAACTGTGTAAAATAATAATAAAAATAATAAGAAATTAAATTCTAAAAAATTTAGAATAGTGTACGACTTAACAATAGATTCAGGTTCAAACTACTCCCCAATACTAAAAAAAAAATATCTATATCTAATTTTATAGAGATAATTGCATAAAAAAACAAAACAGAAAATGTATCCATGTGTGCTTCAATGGATTTCTTATCTGTGATAATAAGATGCTTTCCAAATTTCCGAGCTAGGATTGGTGTGTCGTGGAGGCCTGATGGCCCAGATTTAGACATGTTTGGTTAAATTAATTTTTTCTAGATTATAACAATAAAATAAATTTTTGTTGAAAAAAAAAAGCTTTCCAGATTGCAGCAAATCCAATATTTTTGGATTAATAAAATTGTTTTCACTACCGTCCTCTGCTCAACTTGCATATATATGTACTAAACCGCCATTGCTATTATTAGTGCAAAATTACACTAAAAAATATATTCGATTACATTACATTACGACCTATTTATGATTATATACAAGAGAAAAATAGACTACACCACTGCTGCATAGCCAGCTTTCAATACTTGATCAGATTCATTAGGCAGATTTGGCAAAGCCTATCCGTAGATTACCAAAGTCAAAAACAGTATGATATGCTCCCAAGAAGACATCTCCAAGAATCCTGCGCCATTCTTTAATGTCAAACATAACTTCCTACTGCAAAAACAGCTCAGAATTTGCTTTGCTTAAACCATAATTCAAGAATCAGTTAGTTATGACGTACCAAAGTGGACCTTGTGGGGAAGGCACATCCAAAGCAGTAAACCCGCTCAGGCAGATTGTGCCATACTTCTCTTCAACTCTAACAACATACTGAACCCCCAAACACATTCAAAGTTACTTCATTTAAAACAAAAGCTTGAGTTGCATTTGCATATATTTATCATTTTTCAAAACTTCTTATCCATTTCACACATGACGAGAATTTTCAGGAAATAAGCACCTTCTTGAATTCATACTTTCACGATGATAGAGATATCTCCTTTAGCAAAACAAAAGTTTTTGTTGCATTATTTGATCTTTTTATTTTATCAATAATTTTATTGTTGTGATCAATATCTTGTTGCTTAAGAATTCTCAGTTACGAAAAGTAAACAATAATAACAATAGGAAAACCTGCTCCGGAGACAGAGGAAAAGATTTATTTGCAATGGTGAAGGCAACATATGGCATGCTTGTGATGTCATTGCAGTCGATGAAGGATTTTCCCATTGGATCTGGAAGCCTCTCGCACAACTTTCAAAAAACAAAATGTAAGCTTAAATTTAAAAATCAATAAATAAAAAATAAAATGATTATTTATCTTATCGTGCATGAATTTCGTTATTATGATATTTTGGAAAAAGTTATATCATTGAACAAAAAGAGAGCACCTCGTCCACATATTTGAATATTTTTTCTTTTGCTTTCTGTTGTTTGAGTTGTACTTGAATCCAGAAAACGACCATCTCACAAAAAGTACATAGCGCATTCTCGCCAACTTCATCATCCACCGGAGTTTCAATAATAGTCCTGTGGATATAAATGCTGGCTCGTAATTGAATATACAGAGCAAGAGAAATATATGCCAAAAGGAAAACAATTAAATTTCACTCGCATTGACATACCTAGAACGATTATTATACACACACAGTCCAATATCAACACATATGATTTCTGGTCGTAACTGCAAACATGGGTTTTGGATTTTAAGAGGTGACAATAGTGAAACTATGAGCGTCAAAATAGAAAATTGAACCTGTTAAAGGAGAAGTAGAACAAACCCCCGATATTAATGTTTCCCATATTGAATTTCCATGGTTGAAGACAACGCTTTTACACTCCAAGCTTACAATTCCTTGTGCCCCAATAGCATGGTTGATTTGAGTTACAATACTCTGAAAATTGGAGCTGGTAAGAGTTGCTTATAACTCAAGAATAAAGACCAATGTTCAAAAAAAAAAAAAAAAAAAAAAAAAAAAAACAATTGCAGATAATAACAATCAAATAACACTTAAAGATAAAAAAAAAAAAAAAAAAAAAAAGAAAAAAACAACAATACTGCAGATAATAACAATCAATAACATTAAAGATAGGAAACTATTACAGTTGGACCAGCAATAAAAGAAGTCCCCGAGTCCACAATGGCAGCACAACCATGTTCACACAATCCTGAGAATTTTAAACATTGATTTAGAGATGGTTTTTCTCAATACTTTCTAGCATGAGAATAATTACATACTCCATACTCTCATTAAGGTTCCATAAAACTTGTGATCTTCTGTAAAACTTGTGTCTTAAAACAAAATTTCATTCAAAGTAAGAGAGGATGTAGATTATGCTATATAGTGTCACCTGTTGAATTGCCTGCGACAAACACATCTCCCACCACAATCTGGGAATAAGTGTCACGTAGGTTAGGTTTTGATGTCAGGAAGAATTTGGAGGAGATGAAATTTTTAAATTGAGCATACCTGCCAGTAACCCTGTTCAGTAACAGGGACATATGTATGCTCACCCCTGAAGTGCCTCCAATCGATACCTCCAAAGACAATCTCACCACCCAATCCCGCTGTTGGATCGCGACTTAGCCAAATGGAAAAAATTTTCTGGCTGACATGACCCTGATGTAACATGTTATACCTGTGTGTGGAGAAGTTCAGCGCATCAGGAGTAACTATAAATGAAGCCAAACAGAGAAATTTCTCCTAAGATCATCCGTCTTTCCACTATTGAAGGAGTTTATACCGACAAAAAATAAATATATAAACCAACACGATTCTGTAAGAACTATATACCACAATGGCGTAGCTTGACCAACAGCAATATCCTGAAACCCAAGACCAAGTATACCATCAAACTGCGTACCTAAGAAGGCTAAAAATCCTTCCTTTGTAACCTCAACAAAATCCTGAATAATGGGAAAGGTCATAATGTCATTGCAGAATACACACAAACGAGTATAAAGCATAGAATTTTATTCAAGGGAAACTGATGCACCTGATCAATAATGGTATCATCACCAAGTTTCACATAGTCCTGGCTGAAGAAGCCAGATATGGATCCAGAACCATAGTGAATTTTGCAAGGTATTCCTGAACAAGGAATCCAAGAAATGGATTGCTAGATATGTTATCACCAGTTCAACAATGAACAGACATTCAAAACAAATTGAATGCGAAAAAATACCAATCTTGGTATAACTTCGAGACATCCTTGCCCTGAATTTGGAATGGAAATAGCAAGCAATCTGCAATGGAGTGATGTTTTACAAAACTATTGGGATCTGAATGGAAATTGTTAGTACCATAGCAATGTAGGGCTTACAGAAAAAACACATTTAGAAGATGGGATCCAAAGATTGGAACTGCCAGTATCAAAGACGACGGCGAAACTTTGTGGTGGTGTTCCAATGCCAATCTCTCCATAATATTGGGTGTCAAGGTAATTCTTTAGGTATACTAAATCTGCTTTTGGCCTTGCCAATGTAGCATCAGAATCTCCACTACCTCTATCATATGGAGTATCAGCTCTAGTGATCTTTGCAGCCTGAACGCTGTAGAGGTCTAAATGCCGCTTCTTTAGACCAATTTTGACTAGTCCTTTAGAGGAAACCGTAAAAGCCAAGGAAGCACCCAGCCAAGACCCTAAGCAGATTGCAACTAGAAGAAATCTGAACCCCATGCTCCCAGGAGCAACACTACCCTGGTTTTACATAATGAAAATGGTTTCAGCAAAATCATATAAAATTTGGCCAAGCTTCATTTGCACATCATGCCAGAATATAAAGTTTAAACTTCAAACAAATATTAGAAGCAAGTAGGGGCAATTACAGTAAAAATATACGGCCAACTGAACTCAGTAGGTGTTTATGGATAAATAGATAAATGATGGGGATTAGAAGGAACAGTGACCTATAATTACATACCTGCTGCATAAACACCAAAGCAACGAGAAGAGGGAAGAAACTAATAATAAGTTGGGCCGAGAGAAGTTGGCACACCTTTTAAGGCATAAAAAAAAGACTGTATTTGTCCTCAACTCTTGGGACGGCATGGTCTGATACACTTCGGTCGGTACATCCGTAGACGAAGCCACCGCGTAATTTCCCGCTAGAACTTGTGTTTTCTGCTTTTTACCCCACTATTATCTCTGTATTTCTGCAAAAGCTTATTTTATGATGCCATGGGATTGGGATTACGGATTCAGGATAAAAACATGACACACACAATCTTCTATCTAGTATTGCCTCTGGGCTGTTTTCACTTTTCACAGGAAAATGATAGGAGGCCATCTTCAATATCCAAACATCAAGATGCCCCTTCTGGAAGACTCGATGAGTGACGAGGAATTCAGATGGTGCTTGTACTAAAGGACAGACCTTTTTGATATATATATATATATATATATATTGGGTATACCCTTTTGAGGTCGCAAAGAGTAGGTTCTTTCGTTACAAGACAGTACAGTCTTGGCAGTCATCTACACATCCATATGGTGAGAGCTGATATGAGATTCAATTTCACGGGTTGCTCTATCTATCATTATATTGCCGGTATTGCCATTTCAATTCACTCGACCCACTCTCTAAAAATCCGTTCTACCTTGTTCTTCTATCTTCTATTTCTATCTGAAGCATCAAATTATTAGTAGAAATTATATACCAAAAGTGGCGTTTTCAAGTATGAACAATATCAAATTAATATAAACATTACTTTAATCACATGAATTCTATCAGATAATTATGTTGATTAAATGCTTTTAATAGGGTATATTAATTAATTTTCTTGTAATAATATTATATTTATAATTGACATACTAAAAATTTTCCAATAAAATCTATTCCCGTAAAAAAAAAAAATACTAAATAAAAAGAGAAAAAGAGCGGGCAATTCAAGTACAGAAAGTGTTTGGTTTGCTGGGTTTGTTTGGATCAGAGCTGCAAAAAGAAATAAATTTCAGATGCACTGCCCATTGAAACCTTAAAACGGTCGATTTTAACTTGAAAATTTGAAACGAACCAAAGAAATAAGAGAATGGAGTTTGACGACGAAGACTGGGGTTTAAGCGCAGAAGAACTCGACTCCCTTGAGAAAGACGCTTACCGGAAGGTCGCTCAACAACAACAGCAGCACCAGCAGCAGCATTTCTCTTCTTCTTCCCATAAAACTCAGCCCACACTTTTTAACACCACCAAACCCATCTTTGATTCTCTTTCAAAGAAGGTAAAGCTCTCTCCTTTTCTTGTTTTGATTACCGCTCCTTTCGTTTAATTTCTTAGTTATACTAAATACTAATTTCTCATTCTTCTGTTAATTTCAAACAAAAACTTGTTTTGATTTATCCGCTCCTTTTCGTTTAATTCTTAGTTATTACTAAAATAACTAATTTCTCTTCTTCTGTTAATTTCTTTTTTTATAAAACTCAGCCCACACTTTTTAACACCACCAAACCCATCTTTGATTCTCTTTCAAAGAAGGTAAAGCTCTCTCCTTTTCTTGTTTTGATTACCGCTCCTTTCGTTTAATTTCTTAGTTATACTAAATACTAATTTCTCATTCTTCTGTTAATTTCTTTTTTTTTTTTTTCCATTTGAATTTCTTCCGTAATATCAACCTGTTTTATTCCTGTTTTTGCATTAATCTCATAAACAACGTATATGCAGGCTTTAAAGACACTGTCCCTTTTGAATTAACTAAGTTCATGCCCTAATCTTCCTATCTCCTATTTTAGGTGGAATCTTCGCCTTCTAGAAACAGAGTATTACCCTCTTCGGTCATGTACAAAGGAAAGCCTGGTTAGTTCCATTATCTTCTTTGTATGCACTACATTCAACTGTATGTTTAAACTAGTCTCAAATTATGCCTCAATGATAATGAAGATCATTAGGCTTTTGCTTTTTATAAGTTGTAACCATCTTTATGCTGGTTTTAATAGTATCCAGTTAACAATTGGCTCTTATTTGCGTGTGTTATACCCTTGTGTTTGAGAAGATGAAAGCTTAAAGGATTTCCCAAAGCAAACTGTCAAATTTATTTTTCATGCCAGTGGAAATATTGCTGCTAAATTTTCATATGACTCGGTAATTCCTTCTGTTGCTTGCATGCTTTGATTATTTGTCATTTGTGCTAGGCTGCCACTCCATTTTTTCTGACTTTTTTTGTTTTTATATATTACTCTAGGTATTAGTAGCTGCAATCCGTAAGGTCCCCAAGGCCACTTGGAATGCAAAAGAAAGGTCTTTCTCGGTTTCTGTCAATTAACTTAAATATATGCACATCCCACATGGAATTAATATGAGACTGCAGCCTCATCTTGTTTCCTTACTGTTGGACCTGCAGATTGTGGATTTTCCCTCTGTCCTCTCTGTCATCAGCTGAAAAAGCTCTATCTGAAATATCCGGTTCTAATATTGAGGTGGCAGCTTGAGCTTTTTTCCTCTGTTTTTTTTACCCCCCTATGACTAATGGTTACTTTGAACAAATACAAATTAGGATACATCTCTGCAATTCTTTGTTACTTTTTCTAACCTTATTGATTCTGTAATAAGTACTTCTGTTTCACAAAAGGGGTTCCTGATTAACCTGGAATGTGTCCATGTGCTCTTATTTATGTTTAAGCTTGCTCCAACAGATTGTTCTTTGACTTGCATGCATTATGTGCTGTAATCTTTGAAGGTAGAAAACCTAGATCCCTTGGTGCAACATGCTATTGCTGCTGCTTCTACTGTTCCAGACCTTCGAGGTAAATGCTAAACATAGATAAAGGAAATTGAGAAATTTGGTAATGCATTTGAAAATTGCGTTTACGCTGATGGTTCTTAAGTTTTCAAATGGTATTCTGTTCTGCAACAATAATTTCAATTGAAAATACTGAATTCTGTGGGAGCTCTTGTAATAATAGTGGTTTGATAAATGGTGATTCAAAGTTTGTGCTAGTATGCCTTTGAGTTAAATTCTATAAGGAGCACAGGAAAAGTTGAAGAAAGAATAGAGCTTTTGAGGTTTCATGTATCATCATATGCATTTCTGCTTTGCTGCAGTGTTCTCCTATAAATGCATACTTTAATCTTCCTTTCTTTTTTTGTGTGTACTTCAAATACTTTTTCTCCTGCAAGACCGGTATGACAGGATACCTAATTATATTGAGTCAAAGCTTCTGCCTTTTCAGCGAGATGGTGTTAGGTATGCTTGTTTTTAGGATTTTCCTTGTAAAAGCATTTTTACTTCAGAAGTGTGGATTACTTCAATTTGAAAGCAGCAAAAAGTGGTTTATGTACATATATATATACTCATATGTTGTGGACAATTCAATCATTGTTTTTTTTAAATTCTTTTCTCTTCTTCTTCTCCATCTTCTTCTTCAGGTTTGTGTTGCAGCATGGAGGGCGTGCTCTCCTAGCAGATGAAATGGGACTAGGAAAGACTTTACAGGCAATTTTATTATTTACTTTTTTTTTCTTGTAATATCTAGTATGTGAGAATCTATGGTATTTCCACAAGAGTTTCATGTTATGATAACCATATTGTAATAACAGCTTTATGTGGCACGACTACTGGCTAGGTTGCTAGCTTTCTCCCAAACTGTGTGCTGGTTTTGGTGGCATAGATGTTTGACACCTAGGCTGCCTATAATTGATTCTTGTTTCCTGTTATGTCTTGACATAGTATCAGAATAAATAACTTTAACATCTATTGTCTGCATATGGTGATGTCCATGTAATATGCACACAGCTTTCCATTTTGTATAAATAAATTATGATTTGTGCCACATTATTTTTATTGGAAAAAAACCATGGGAAGATGTTTTGTTGATTTTGTTTTTCTACATTTTGCATGTCGTCCCTTTCCTGCTTGCATTTGGATATTAGTTAAAATGGTAGGTTATGATTGGTAGATACCTCAGTTTTTAGTATTGTGGTTATCTTCCAGGCCATTTTGATCTTAGCGATTGATACTCTGGAAAAACTATATGGCAAAGGATGAGAAAGATCGTGTTTGGCTAAACTAATTTTTGGAGCAATTAGGTTCAACTTATGTTAAAAGACCTGGCAAGGAATAGTGTTTTAAATGGGCATTAGTTCTTTTACGTGTTAATGCAATATTGTTTAATATTATATCATGTGCAAATGGGTTTGTCATGGTTTTCCAGGCTATGGCTGTAGCAGCATGCCTTCGTGATTTCTGGCCTGTTCTTATATTCACACCATCTTCCCTGCGTTTGCATTGGGCTTCAGTAAGTTGTTGAATACATAATTATCTCTGTTTTTAAAAAGGCATTTTTACTAAAACTAGGTTGTTTACTTCTGCTTTTTGCAGATGATTCAACAATGGCTGAATGTTCCTTCATCAGATATACTTGTATGTTTTCTATAGTTCCTTTTGTTCTCACATTTATGTTGTCTTTTCATTTTCATTGATAGAAAATAGTCTCATTGCCTATTGCTTCTAGGAACTTCTTGCTTCATATGTTTATTTTTCTTTTCCTTCCAGGTTGTTTTATCACAATGTAGCGGATCAAACAGAGCTGGGTTCACAATATTATCATCTAATACCAAGGGCAACATTCATCTTGATGGCCTATTCAACATCATCTCTTATGATGTGGTCCCTAAGCTACAAAATGTTCTAATGGCTTCTGAGTTTAAGGTAAGTACAATTAAGTTTTGAATTATGTAATTTTTTTTTTATTGGCTTGCTTTATGGGCAAACCAATTGAACTGCTTATCTTGTTAATCATTGTCCAAATGCCTGTGTGTATGCAAGTGTGCATGTATATGCTTGTCATAGAGTTGCGTGGTTCTTGACAAATTGCTATTGTGTATTTATGCCATGGCTATAACTGCAACTTAAGTTTGATGTTTTTATTTAGGTTGTGATTGCAGATGAGTCGCACTTCTTGAAAAATGCTCAAGCAAAGAGGACAACTGCCTCTCTTCCAGTTATAAAGGTTTTTTTCTCTTGATAAATGACTACATGCTTGCATATGTTGACTTCATTCTTGAACTTGTTTGAGCATAGGTAAAATAAACGCTTCATCATAAGTAAAACCATGCTTTTTTGCGTTGCACTGTTACTTTATATCCATCAGTAACATGGAGTAAATAATTCATTTTTAGCAGGTTTTCAAGTAAAATAATTGTAGTGACCATTAGAGATGATCAGGATTTGAATAACCAAATCATGTAGTATGCTTTTTGAACAGAACTGTAAAGTATGTGTTAACTGTTTATCAATCAACCAGTTTAGTTCAGTTCAATCTTTTTTTAATGATCCAAATTCAGTTTACGATATTTAATTTGAATTTATATTTCATGAAAAGCCTTTGGTAATGAAGAACTTAGTGAAAATTTATCTTTTTTTACTATTCAGTACTATTATTGTATATTTGTGTATAAACACGGTATACTTTTTCATTATGGTTTTATTACTTTTTTTTTTTTTTAAATTAATTGTATGATGAAAAGTTAACTTATGAATTTATAAGGATCTATATCTAAAAATGAGAAGTGTTGGTAAAATATATAGACATTTCGGTTTATTAGGTTATACATCTGTTTTCAATTTTGAAAATCATAACCAGGTTGATTCTTTAGGTTAACCCTTTTTTTTTTATATTGGTTTTTCTATATCAAATCAGTGTTTTCAATTTTTGTCAAACCCAAATTCTAGTTTTCATGCCTTTTAATTGGGTATGAAATGCGCAAAGTGTGAACTGGAATTGAATAGTGTCAGAGTAAGATGTTACAAAATATGTTCTATCTGAATTCCAGTTTTATAGTACTAGTGCATCGTGTACGCTCTCTTCTTGGTGAGTGCAACTAACACTTGTTTCACGTTTCAGAAGGCTCAGTATGCAATGTTACTTAGTGGAACTCCTGCTTTATCCAGACCAATAGAGCTATTTAAACAGGTGCCTATAACTGCTGGTGTTGATGGCTTGTTGACATTAAGTATATGGAAGGTATTGTTAGGTGATTCTATATTTAGATCATAAGCATTGATGCGTTGCAGCTGGAAGCTTTATATCCTAATGTGTACAAGAATGTCCATGAATATGGTAACAGATATTGCAAGGGGGTAAGTTCTTTGATTTCTGTAAAACTACTCCGTTAATAATGCTCTTGGAAGTCAGCAATATTCCTTGTTTATGTATTGTTTTTGTAGGGAGTTTTCGGTGTTTATCAAGGTGCAAGTAACCATGAAGAGTTACACAACCTGATGAAGGCAACAGTGATGATTCGCAGACTTAAAAAGGATGTCCTTTCTGAGCTTCCTGTGAAGCGTCGACAGCGAGTAAATATATTTGTTCAAGAATTCACTGGGTTACAATAAATATGCTACAGTATATGTCTCTGCTATTTTTCTCTTCATGTGTCTGTGTGTCTCCACGCACATGGCTCCTAATATTTGTATGGTTATTTAGATTTTATAATAGTTTGAATGGATTCTCAGGTTTTCTTAGATTTGGGTGAAAAGGAGATGAAAAAAATAAATGCCTTATTCCGCGAGGTAACATATATTTACTTTCAGTTTAACTTTCTCTATGAAGCCAAGTGATTATGAAGTTAAAAACAAAAGCAGTATTAGTATTAGTGATCTCTTTTGTAGTTGGAGGTGGTAAAAGGAAAAATTGAGGCATGCTCATCTTCAGAGGAGGTTGAATCACTTAAGTTTTCTAAGCAGAATCTTATTAATAAGGTACTTATAGTGTGCCATAACATTTTTTTTTTGGGTCCATTACTCAACTATACCCCTATTGGATAGTTCTCCCCTTTCATAATGTACCCTCCTTGATCCTAGTGGGATTCAGACCTAAAACTTCTTTATTTATATCACAAGCCTTCACAAACCTAAAAAAAATTCCTGTAATGTTCTTGCAGGAATTTCCTAATGCCAACTTGCCTTTTTTTTTTTTTTTTTTTTTTTTTTTTTTTTTTTTTGCAACTTGCCCTTTTTTTTTTTTTTCTTTTTTTATTTTCTTTTTTTTATAGTTACAATGGCAACACATGAATGTTTCCCTTTGTGTACAAAGACTTTTTGAGTCAGCAATGGTATTTTCTGGCACTCACTATTATTTTTTTTCTTTCCCAATTCATTATTGGAATTCACACAACAATGAGCTTCTATTTGAACCTCTCTAATTTCATTTTTCTCTTGAATTATCAGTATGCCCTCCTCATTCTTTTTTTTTTTTTTTTTTTTTTTTTTTTTTTTTTTATAGTTAAATGCAACACATGAATGTTTCCCTTTGTGTAAAAGACTTTTTGAAGTCAGAATGGTATTTCTGGCATTACTATTATTTTTTTTCTTTCAATTCATTATTGAATCACCAAATGAGCTTCTATTGGAACCTTCTAATCATGTTTTCTCTTGAATATCAGTATTTGCCCTCCTCATTCAGTTGATGCCTCTGTTTCCTTCCAGATATATACTGACTCTGCTGAAGCCAAGGTCCCTGGTGTTTTAGATTATCTGGGAACTGTCATTGAGGTACTTTTCATAGTCTTCTTCTACTTTTCCTTGTCTCCTTCCTTAGTCTTCCAACTGCTTTTGCATTCCTTCATTCATTCCGATGATTCAAATATTTTAGAATGTCAAATATGTAAAAATACATTCATTCTGATGATTCAATATTTTTATTTATTAAAAAATCTAAACTATTCAGCAATTAGCTCTTTACAAATTTCTTAATTATTCAACTTACTAAGTTGTTGATTCAAATTTAGCATTCAAAATTCAGCCAAATAAATGACCCCTTATTCTTTGAATTCAATATACAATGATCAATATTTTTTTTTTTCTACATGCCTGATTTTCTTTTTTCTTTTTAGATTTCATCCTATTATGCATATAGTTGTTTTCTAATGGATGAACTATTGTTGACGAATTGCTTCTTGTAGGCAGGTTGCAAATTTCTAATATTTGCTCATCATCAACCCATGATTGATGCAGTACATGAGTTTCTTCTTGTAAGACCACTTAAAACTTTTCTTTGAAAATTCCTTTAGACTGGCTCATAATTTCCACCTCACTAATTTCCAGAAAAGGAAAGTGGGTTGCATTCGCATTGATGGCAGCACCCCCCCAGCATCAAGGCAAGCATTAGTTACTGATTTCCAGGAAAATGATGCTATAAAGGCAGCAGTGGTACGGCAATATGATTCTTTTATTTCTTTATTTTTATTTTTTGTGGTTGTCCCTTCCATCAGTACCATGTTTAGACCAACTATTATTCAGGAATGTTCTGATTTAAATCCAAACTGTGCTTATTAAAATGTATTTCTGAAGCTGTCTATCAAAGCTGGAGGTGTTGGATTAACTTTAACAGCTGCCAGCACTGTTATTTTTGCGGAATTGTCTTGGACTCCTGGTGACCTAATTCAAGCCGAAGACAGGGCTCACAGGATTGGACAGGTAAACTTTAGCAACTAGAAATACAACAACGTAGAATCAAGAAAAACACGAATTGGTGTTATAAATCATATTGATGTTTCATTGATAAAAAGGTTGTTATGATAAGCCCTGAATGTAGCAGGACTGATTTTTGGCTTAGCTTAGTTCGTTTTAGATATAATAAAAGTGTTGGATTTTAGTATTTTTGTGATGACAAAAGTCAATTACTTCATGCTAGTAAGTTTGAATTCCTTTTTTACTTGACTTTCTATGAGTGTTTTATGAGCAAATAGCTGTGTGGATCCAACATCTTGATACAATTGGTTCTTTCCTTTTAGGTTTCTTCAGTCAATATCTATTACCTTCTAGCAAATGACACTGTCGATGACATTATATGGTATGTTCATCTTGGCTCTTATTATGTTTGGCAGTAAAGTATGGGAATGAGTTTTTTGACAGTGATGACAATAACAATTGTCAATTGGTAACTTCAATATTTTACTTTTCTGTAGGGATGTAGTCCAGAGCAAGTTGGAAAACTTAGGACAGGTAATTTGCCTTCTCTCTCTGTTTTTGTGGAGTCATGAACATGTGGATGTAGGCCACATTTGATAAACCAGTATGTGGAAGTCTTGTGTGAATTAGGGGCATGTAATGGTTCAAATTCTTTAGAGAAAAGGTGTATTTTATATAATTTTTTATTTAGTTATAGTGCTGGTTTTCTACTAAAAGTTTCTAGCTGAAATATAGTTACGGTTTTTAGGCCTGTTTAGATGAATATGATGGTGGAAAACAAGGGATTGGAACTCTCAAATGAGATATATACCATATGACAAAACTAGATAAGGGAGTCCTAACATCTTCCATCCCCTGCCAGGATTTGGGAATCCAAAATAAGAAATAACTAATACTCCCTCCATCTAATTTTGTTTGCTTGTTATTCCTTTTTTGGATGTCCTAAAATGCTTGCAAGGTTTCTAAATTTAGACATGTAAACAATTATTTTTCCCATAATAACCTCTATAATTGTTCATTAAATGAAGAGCTTTTAATATCTTAATAAGTTATTAAGCGTAAAGAAAGAAAAAATAACTTTTGTTGACTAAATTCTTAATATGCATGTTTTGCTATGCAAACAAAATGGGACGGAGAGAGTAGTTAAGTTTTGATCTAATGAAAATAAATCTGAAATTCATACACTAGAAAAATTGCTGAAAACAGTGATCGCTTCATTTGCAGAAAATAGAGTTCTTTCCCTCTGGAAACATACTATAATTCATAAAATAAATCTTGATGTAAAATGCTGCTTCGACTAATATTGATTCAACCTACAAAAAATCCATGCCTCTGTTGTTACAGGGATCACATGAAAAAACATTTGGGCTGTGCAAATGAACCATGTTTTTATGTATACAAGTGTGAAAAAAAGAAAGAAAGGAAATCATGAATGTGCAACAATTAGGAGAGCTGCTTGCTTTGTATTATTTAAAGCCAGTTTCTGTCCTTCAAAGAATTTAGTTCCTTATTTTAAACGTAATCTGCATTTGGGATGGATAATGATTTTGTCCCTTTGTGTATGAACTGAAAAGTAATTTTTCCTAATTTAGATGCTTGATGGCCATGAGAACACCTTGGAAGTTTCAGCCAGTCAGCAAAGAACCAGCCCTGCGAAGCAGAAAACGCTAGACTCTTATATGAAGAGGTGTAATAATGTGGATGATTTGGAATATCAGTCCAAGTCCAAATACCGTAGGCAATGAGGGACTTACAGGTATTATGTTTCTACATTCACATGCAATGTCAAGGATACCGTAAATATGCTGGACGGGTGTTGGCACAGGAAATTTTTTTCGTTTTGAAATGCTGGAAGGACATTCACTAACATTAACCGGTTTAAACGATTTGCAGCATCAAATGGTATTATATCATTAGAACTTTGCATTGAGTTCAATAATTGAAAGTTGAGAGAGTGGCAATGGAGATATTAGCACAGCTTTTGGCAGAATGGGGACATGATAATTGTCTTTGCTGGCATTTTATGTTATTTTGTGAGGAAGAACATGTCAAATCTCAAATGGATGGGCAAATACAGAACAAAACTCAGATAGAGGCTTGTAATTTTTTTTTTTAATTTTTTTTTTAATTTTTTTGGCTTGGGGATATTCTTCATGTAGAAACCAGCGCTGGAAATTGAGGCCTTTTTATATGTGCAAGTCTTGGAAGTTGGTAGGCCATTTGAGGAAAATCCTGTAGCAGTTGTAGCATTCAGTGGAAGTAGCCTTTGGTGGGTACGAAGGGTCTATATAGTGCATCTGAAACTGCTAATAGGTGCCTGCGAAATATGTGTATGTAATATGAAATGTATGCAGTTAGAAGAAAAGCAAATTATAGCTCAGAAGCTTGTTTGTCCTTTTTTAACTCTTGCCTTGGGTTAATTTTACTTTTCTTCTTCATGCTGATTCTCTCTCTCTCTCTCTCTCTCTCTCTCTCTCTCTTGTCCTTTCCTTTTATTAAAAAGAAAATTAGTTTAATTTTGCATTTGTGGAGCAGTGATAGTTTGATTGAACAGAAAATGCAGTGCAGACCAAGAAGAATTATTCCAACATATTCATGTTGGAAATTTTATTTAATTTCACAGAATTGCTTTATATTTTCGATCAGTTGTATCGTGTATGCTTGATTTTTGACTTTGCCTGGTTCAGATTGAAAATTTCTTGACACGGGCAAGGAACTTTATCTCCAAGCACAGCCTCGTTGCTCTATTACTTCAAGCCTACATCCTAGTTATTAGATTTATCTACTGTGATCATTCCATTGTTTTATTAACTTCAAAATAAAAATCAATCCCAACCCAATTTTAAAAAATCAAATCAAACGGGAATGATTGAAATAACCAAAACCTTATTGAAATATATAAAATGATTTAATATGTTTTACATATGAAACATGTATAAATTGATTCAGTTTGGTTATTATGAATTTTTTTACCAAAATAAAACTAGAGCGAAATAAATTTAATTTAATAAAAATCATAATCAGACTAAATTATTTAGAAACAAAATCAATTTATCAAAATTAATCAATTCAATTCAGTTTCTGGTTGACCGAACCATTTTGTCACCCACCTTAGTTAAGTTGGAGGTGATCCGTTGATTCAAGAACAGGTTTATATTATGAAGATTACATGCAATCAATGAGTTATGCAGCTAGTTGTTCTCAAACTCTGCTTTATATACTACATTCTGTTTCAATCTAGGAATACAAATTATTACATCAATTTCATCTCTTTGTGCGCGCACGCAGCCACTAAAAAACCTTTTTACAGAAATTGAATAACCAAGGGAATGAAAAAAAATAATTAAACAAATGCTTAATCACTGATATTCATACAAGAAACTCTAAAACTAACATCTGTGAAACGAGTTAATCTTATCCGCTTTCATGATGATGGTATGGCAGCTATCAATTCTCGAGATCGTCCTAGATGTCCTGGAACATGCTGTCTTATCTCTTCAAAAGCGCACAATGTTTCTGAATCAAGACCTCCAGCAAACTGCGGGTAAATGTGTTAAGAGAGCACTGAACAGTACGTATATAAGCAGCTATTCAATATCACAATTCATCTCAACAGCCGAATCGAGAGTTACCTGGTGAGCCCTATATGCAAAATGCACACCTTGAAGCACCAATGCTTCTTGACTGGACTCCCGATCTGAATTTCGGGCCAATTCAAGCTCCATTATCACTCTTCTCATATACATCTTCGCTAGCTTCATAGAAGCCTGCTTTATCTGCATAAATATCATAACTTTTCTGTTTTAACCACGAACTCTCTGTAACAAGTGCAACACTAAAGCAGCCCTGACCATTGTCTAAAGACACAAGTTCTGGACATCATAAACATTTGTTGGAGAATATTACACCAAATTCAAGAACATTGGAATACCATGCGAATAAGCTAAAATAGCACTGCAAGGATTTCAGGCACTGAGGTGCTTCAAATGGAATACTCTCATAACTTTAGCTGAATACATTTAGAAAGGCAAGCAGAAGAAACATACCTTGCTAACTATTCCAGAATCAAGCATCCAATTGATTGGAATTTTCCAATCTTGATAGGAACGCAAAACTGAATTCCGAAGTTTGATCAGCCTTCCAATTCCTCGCTCAGACCTTGTTTGATCAGAAGAGAGAAGAGTAAGCGAACAAAACCATATGCTTAGAGGCATAAAAAAGTATGTGTGTAAATCCTTACCTGTCAAGTAAGATGGCCATCTTTTTCAATGCAGTTTCACACGGAATGTCAGTATCATCCTTAAAGGAAGATATCTCATTTTCTAATAATTTAAGGGCACGATATTCAATAGCAGCTTCTCTAATGGCATCAGCTTTCCTCTCTGGCCAATTGAAATGCTTTAACACAGCACGCTCATCAGCCTGTTGAATACAGGACACAAGCTAAATATTAATAGAAAAAACACATTCTAGAGTTATTTAAAACCAACTTACAACTCTGCTACCTTGCTAAAACCTAAGAAAACCTTACTGTATTAATCCCAAGCGTAACTCCAGCAGTATTCTATGGGGACTCATCATGGAAACTTTTACAGAGGCCATCATTATTAATACATTCTACTGATACATCCTAAAACAATTTCTCACTTGGAAAGTTAGAATATTTGCAGAATGGACAATTCCAGCTAAAAAAATTGAAGGGTCATATGTGTCAGCATGTACTTGCTAATTTACTGCAGTGATTTTATGGTTAAGGGTAGCCAGCCAGGCGTCTATTATTTCAAATGAATCAAATTATCATAGAATCAGAAAATTGTTAGCTAAACATGAGGATGTACTTGTCATCAGGTCATGAGCCATTTAATACCAAACAAATATGATTAGAAAAATTGAAGTATCACCATGCTTTGCCTTTTGGAGAAAGTAGAAGTTCATCAGAGAAGACTACTTGAGCACATAATTAATAATGGCAACTAACCCTCAAAGACTGTATGATGGCCAAAAACGTGATTATTAAAATATTCAGCAACTGATAATTAGAGACATTGCAGCTATTATAGCCACAAACTCAATGGAAAAGGGCATTCCTGATGCAAATTTAGAAAATGGATAAGAAATAAGGTCAAGGAATACGACAGGACAACTAAATGAAAAATTACCAGTGTTGATGGTTCAGCATCAAGCCACTGGTATAAGCTGCAGGGTAGCAGTTCATTTCATTTTGTCCAGAGTAGAAATTTAATTTTTACACACCATATAGTCATATACAGCCCCTACCAAACAACTAAATGAAAAATTACCAGTGTTGATGGTTCAGCATCAAGCCACTGGTATAAGCTGCAGGGTAGCAGTTCATTTCATTTTGTCCAGAGTAGAAATTTAATTTTTACACACCATATAGTCATATACAGCCCCTACCAAACAACTAAATGAAAAATTACCAGTGTTGATGGTTCAGCATCAAGCCACTGGTATAAGCTGCAGGGTAGCAGTTCATTTCATTTTGTCCAGAGTAGAAATTTAATTTTTACACACCATATAGTCATATACAGCCCCTACCAAACAACTAAATGAAAAATTACCAGTGTTGATGGTTCAGCATCAAGCCACTGGTATAAGCTGCAGGGTAGCAGTTCATTTCATTTTGTCCAGAGTAGAAATTTAATTTTTACACACCATATAGTCATATACAGCCCCTACCAAACAACTAAATGAAAAATTACCAGTGTTGATGGTTCAGCATCAAGCCACTGGTATAAGCTGCAGGGTAGCAGTTCATTTCATTTTGTCCAGAGTAGAAATTTAATTTTTACACACCATATAGTCATATACAGCCCCTACCAAACAACTAAATGAAAAATTACCAGTGTTGATGGTTCAGCATCAAGCCACTGGTATAAGCTGCAGGGTAGCAGTTCATTTCATTTTGTCCAGAGTAGAAATTTAATTTTTACACACCATATAGTCATATACAGCCCCTACCAAACAACTAAATGAAAAATTACCAGTGTTGATAGTTCAGCATCAAGCCAATCCACAAATTTTAGTACATCTTCAATGTCGACATATGCCACAGCTAGCACTTTTTGGATAAGTCCGTTGATAAAATCTCCTTTTGTTTCAACGTCAGCTTTAATCTGCAAAAGTCCAATAGCAAACTATGGTCAAAGGAAAATAGAAGATAAAGCGCATAACCAAGTGAAATAAAATTATCGCAAGGCAAAAAAGAAAAAAGAAAAAAAGTAAAAAAAAGAAAACAACGCTTGAAGAGCTTACAGCTAATAGATGTGCAGACCGATTTTGAATCTCTCCAACAATACTGCTGTGAGCACTTGCGACAGCTGGTTTATACTGATTCCCTGCTCCCTGGTTAGAATCTCTCTTCTCCTCTTGCTTTCTCAAGGAGTGATAGAACTCTACAACTGCGGGAATTTTTGGAGCAGCGGCTGCTCTCGCTACGGGTCTCATTGGGGGCGGGGGCGGTGGAGGAGGTGGCAGTGGCAAAGAGGAGACAGATTGAGCCTCTCTTCCTGCGTCAGCAGCTTTGGGCATGAGACGCAGTGGTGGCGGCGGCGGTGGACACGGTAATTTAACTATAGTTGGCCCATTGATTGCCTCCTTTTTAACTGTTGAATTCTCCAATTTGTTTGCAATGAGTTTCTGAATGTCCTTAAATATAGGGCTTTTCTGCTTTCCATTTGACTCCTTGATTCAAAATAGCAATCGGAAATAATATGAATAATCATTAATCCTGAAAACTGAAAATTCTCTCCTGTTTGGCGAATTTGTTCCTTTGAAATGAAACACCAGATTCAAAAGCAGCCTTCTCGGGAGTAGTAAACCAAAAGAAAAACAAGAAGAAAAAAAGTTTCTTTCTGTACCTGGTCACGAATATGAAAAGCTGCAACCTTGGCCTCAGCAGCAGCAAGATCCTGCGCAAGCTTCTTATTCTGCAACTCGAGCTCGTCATTGGAGCTCTGTGCCTTATCCAGCTCCGCCTTCAAAGCCAAAACTTGAGACTGCAAATCCTTAATCAAAATCTCATTCAATTGAAGCCTCTCCTGCAATTCCTTGTCGCCTTCTTCTTTTCGCCTAGCACTAGAGTCCAGCTGCGGCAGCCGCCTTGGCTTAGCAAATTGCTCGACAACTGGGCGGTTGACGGAGCGAGCCACGACTTTAACACCATTTTGAGATCCAAGCAATTGCTCCCCAGATTTCTGCTTGTTAAGCATTAAAGACCTCTTGAGCTTCGAGTCTTTCTTCACATCTGGAGGAACTGATTTTGCTCTTGCTTCCTGGGCTGGGGATAAGGAACCATTAGCAGCCTCCTTGGTTTTGGAATTGAGTCTGAAGCGAGATGGGGTAGTGGAATGTGACATGGCAGTAGGTTTTGCAGCCGGTTTATTAATATTTCCCTTGCGGTTGTTGGTGGCATCAATCTCTTTAGTTACTTAATCATGGCTGCTGCTTCAGCGAATGTAGATTTGAGGATAACAAGCTAGCAGGGCAGCGACTGCAAACAAAAAGGATCGGAATTTTTGTCATTTCTATGAAAAGGAGACTTTTTTAAAGTGAGTGAGCGGGTACCCGTGGGCCGATGTGTCAGTGCATTGACTGCTCTGCGCGACTGCTGCTGTTATATGAAATGAATGATTATCTAAATCAGACAAAAGTAGCAACTGATCGCTCAACAGCCTATATATAATTGAATGTCTTACTATTGGATTCCATCACCTTATGGTCACCACTAGTCAGTTAAAGACAACAGACAGAGGAAGTAGAAAAATTCTTTAGTTCAATTTCCATTTCACCATTTATTGCGTTTCATCTTCCAGACTGCCACACCACATGGGCAAATTAACCACCGTTTCTAAAGGCAAGCTTAATTATCAATAGCAGCCCTCAGAATCAGATGGTCAATGAGATGTATGGGTCCGGTTCTCGAGCTGGAGCTTCATTGCATCTGGAGAATGATGCAGGTGTAGTTTGTATGATGGGCTCAAAAATAACTACAACTTAATTAATCATATATGGGATTTGGATTTCAACTAAGTTCGCCCAATTGTTGGTTACAAGTCACGTTACAAAAACTCATTTATTTGCTTCCTTATACGTTTGGTAAACCCAACTACCTATAGATCTCATTCCATTCCGATATACAGGTAAAGGCATAAGGGTACTGATTCCTCTCCATTCTAGAAACTAGAGAGCACTTATAATACAAGGCTATAGCTCCATTTCATATTTGATTGTGTTATGTGAGGTCACATTGCATTTGTTATCTCATCTTATCATTTACTTATGCACCAAAATGTCGATTCACCAAGCAAACAACAAAAGAGAAATTGTTTAACAGTAATCTCCATTCACAGGAATCCAACAGCTTAAGAAAGCGAAATATGGGTCCCTCCCTCCTCCCGTGTCTAAATCAAGTAGACGGAAATTTTTTGTTTTCCTTTGTAACAAACATATAGACAGCCATAAATTTCTCCAAAAAAACTAAACATATAGATAGCCATATAGTTTGCCCTTATGAACTTTAAAGTTTTTATCTTTATCCAAACTATGAGGCCGGACGGCAATAATGTATATTGCCAAGAACTAAATTCTAACCCCAAAAGCAAAGACCGATGAGTTAGACGGACAGATGCCAGATCATTGTTATCCTATAATCTATTAAAATCGAATTGCATAAAAAGACCCAAGAAAAAGAAAAGCAAAACTGCAAACGCAAAGCTAGTACCTTTGCGGATTTGTATCAAAAGTGGATGATGGGAATGATTCTTGAAAAAGTAGAACTGGAAGTCATGTGATGTGGTGGATGGGCTAAATTTAGAATGTTGATGGGGCCATGACACGTGAATTTACCGTGGATTATTTAAATAGTAATGAAGAAATTTGTTCCTGTTTCTGTTTGGATTAGATCATATAACGAAACCCGTGATTGTGAAACTCAAATATTAACACTAACATGTGAATGAGCATGGAAAAATTTGGAGATGGAGGATGACAGGACGCCGAAGCCACTTGCATGCGCTTCTCAGTCAGGACCATCTCTCGGTCTATCTATTTCTTCCCCTTTTAAAAAAAAGAATTATAAAAGGAAAAACAAAATAATGATTTCAAAACCTTCTGCTTCTGAATTTATTAACTTTTTTTGGTGAACTCTCAATTATATCTATTTTATGTGTGGATTGAAAATCAAAACAGTTATTTTATTTATTTATTTAAAAAATAAAATCTTTTTTTAAAAACATTTTTGAAATTATTAGGAAAAAAAGGATTATGAGAAAGGGATAACCCTAAGACGTACCTGACGAAGAATTCTTCAGCCCCAGTCAGCGCTCTTCCTTGGCCAGCGACTGCAGTAGAGGTTAGGAAGGAAAGAGAAGAAGGAGGTGGCTTTAATTTAAGGTAAGAGTAACTTAGAGATGTATGAGTGCTTTAAAATTATACCAAATGGGATACGAAGTGGGAAACTAAAGGCATTACCTTTGAAGGCAAAATGGTGGGCGTTTGTTTCTGATCTGTTGGTTTGTTAGTTGCCACTTCGCATCACATGAGACTGTCATTTCTCTCTTTCTTTCTGTGCGTTTCCTTTCAGTTTTGTTATTACATAAATAATTATATTCTTGCTGATGTGGCTCCAAATTATATTCTTGCTGGTGTAAATATGCCTATGTTGCTATTTATCCGCAACATCATAGCTGCATCATCAATGGCTGATTGATTTTGTTCTATTTGTCGAATGCTATATTTAATTTTATTGAAACAGAGAGCAGAGAATCCATGAAGGACAAATGTTGTATCATGTGAAAATCGTTGCCCAAAGCGTGTCTTAATCCATTATGATGACATTAGGAGGAAAATATACTCTGTTTGTTGCCCACTAATAACAATCTCTCTCTTGATGTTGTTGTTAATTATAATATGGAGTGGAGTAGTTGGCAATCCTGTTTTATTGTTTTGCAATTACATTACATAGAAAGAGGGTTGAAATGTGGTTTTCAGATGTTGAGGTACCAACTGCCTCAGGTCTAATTACATAGAAACAGTGGACTTCACTGCTGTTCTGGGATATCAACGGAAGCACTTGTGTTCTGCAAATGTAATGCCACCAAAGAAGCATATATTCCATCCTTGACATTTATCAACGTCTCATGCTTTCCTTTCTCTGCAATCACTCCATTTTTTACCACTGCAATTAAATCTGCGTTCTTAATTGTGGACAACCGATGGGCTACCACCACTGTCGTTCTATTCACCATTACTCTATCCAATGCATCTTGAACTTGCCTTTCGGATTCTGCATCCAGAGCACTGGTTGCTTCATCTAGAAGTAGGATTTTCGGCTCCTTAACTATTGCTCTTGCAATCGCCAGTCGTTGCTTTTGTCCGCCCGACAACTGAACTCCTCTTTCCCCCACTCTTGTATCATACCCCTGCATTTTAACCCATTAAAGTCAATCTCACAGTGTTTCTAAATAATAGAAGCAAGCAGGCTAAGTACAACCTGTTGTAAGCTACTGATGAACTTATGCGCATTTGCCATTTCTGATGCAGCTAAAATTTCAGCCTCTGTTGCATTTCCTTCCCTTCCATATGTTATATTGACTCTGATACTGTCATTGAATAACACGGGCTCCTGCCCGACCAGGCCCATCTGCTGTCTCAACCACTTCACTTTTAGCTTTTCAATTTCAATTCCGTCGATTGTTATTATTCCGGAATCTGGATCATAAAATCTTTGCAGTAATGATATCACTGTTGATTTCCCACTGCCACTCTCTCCCACCAGAGCAACTGTCTGCTAAAACAAAATTTATGGCAGATCTTAAATTAGTTGTTGAAACTTGCCTGAATTATTGTACTGCACTACCGTCGTGTTACCTTGCCAGCCTGAATCGCCAAGGATAGATCCCTGAAAATTTGAATGTCAGGTCTTGATGGATATTTGAAACTCACATGTCGAAGCGCAATTTCTCCTTTAAGGTTTTCTATTACTGTCCCAGAATCATCGCTACTGTCTATTTTTGATTTCTGGTCAAGAATGGCAAATATAGAAGCTGCTGCACTATTTGCTTTGCCAGCATCAGGAACAAGGGAGCTTGTTTGGGTAAGTCCAAAAGCTGCCATGGTGAGAACACAGAACACCTGCAAACAAAGATTTGTATAAACAGGGAAATTAGAAGATTATGCTCAATCATCTCCTGTTTCAAATGGGATAAGGAAATAGTAAATATCATCACTTACTCGAAAAACTTCTGCAAACGTTGTATCCCCAGCCTCAATAAGTCGGGCACCAGCATAAAAACTGGTGGCGTACACAGAGTAAAGCAAGAAGAATGATAGTCCAAACCCAAATCCACTTATCAACCCTTCCCTAATACCAGTCTTGACAGGGCCTTCACATTTCTTTTTGTAGAGTTCCATCACCTTCTCTTCAGCACCGAAAGAAGCAACAGTTCTAATACTCCTTACTGCATCATTTGCAACTTGACTCGCTTCCTCATACATTTTCTGTAACCATTTGAAATGGATTTTTGACTTTAATCACTGAAGTAGAATATCTACATAGTACTATATTTACCAACAATTAGAAAGTAGATGTAAACTTTACTAAGAATGAACCGTAAGTGAAACAAAACCTTGACATCTGCGCTGAAACCTTCAATGAATTTCCACTGAACATATCCGTTAAGTCCTAGAAAAGGTATCATGAAAAGGATGATAAAAGACAGTTGCCAGTTTGCTTGAAAAGCGATAACTAAACCAGCAACTAATGTTGCAGCATTTTGAACCAGAAGACCAAGTGCATCTCCAAACAGGCTTCTCAAGCAGGCTGCGTCTGCAGAAAGCTTTGCCCCAATTGCACCACTTGAGTGCCCGGCTTCATCAAACCACCCCACTTCCATGTAAACCAATTTTTCAAAGCACATTGCTCTGATCCTTTTAATCAATTTACAACCCGCTACTGCAAAAAAATATGACCTTAGTGGATAAGCCAAGAAAGACATGGAGGCCAGACCAAGAAACATGAAAGCCCAGAATCTTGAATCCTTTCGGAGTTTGTCTGCTGGCTCAAAGAATGTTTTGATCATGCTGGCAACTAATACTCCAAAGAAAGGTAATATCACACCATTAGCTACGGCGGAAGCTGAACCTAGCAGTAAAACAGGGATCTCTGGCTTATTCAGATAGGCTAAGCGACGAAGTGGGACCTTTTGAGGAGGTGGAGGTGAGGCAAGAGTATAGGGTTCTGTCGTTGATGATTCTGGGACGTTGATTCCTGTTGGCACACCGAAGGGAACAGAGAATGAGTGACGACTACTGTTTCCAACACCAGATGAGCCCCGACTTGAGTTTCGTAATAAAGAAAACCGTTGACTAGAATGTCTTCCAGAATCCACAATGACTTCTGCCCTCTCTGGATCATTTACAATGTTGTTTTCTGACACTGTGCTCATTTGCTGCATTCTTATGAGCTGACAATATGCTCCATCAGGATCCTTGGTAAGCTCAGAATGAGAACCTGATCAGTTGAAATGGATGAGAATCCATTAAAATGTATTATAAGTAAGCATTCAGAATAAAGGGTTTGATGAAATAACTTTTTTCTGATTTGGTAGAAAAAATAAGTGATAACATAAGGACATAGTAGAGCAGGAAATCTAGTGTTTACGAGAGAGACAGAGAGAATAAGGGAAGAGAGGTATTTTGTTACTCAGAATAAGCAGGGTTAAATATTTTATTAATTACTGGCCAAGTCATTTAAAATTTAGAGGCTTTGACAAAATTTTTAGCTGTCAACTAACAGAAACCACCATCATGAAATGTAGTACCTTTTTCAACAATTTTCCCTTGGTGAATAATAGCAATCATATCAGCATTCCTTACTGTACTCAAGCGATGAGCTACAATAACTGTAGTTCGGTTGATCATGATCTTTTCTAGTGCCTCTTGCACAATTCTTTCAGAATCTGTATCAAGGGCACTTGTGGCTTCATCTAAAAGTAGAATTCTTGGGTCTTTAAGAATTGCTCTAGCTATAGCAACTCTCTGCTTTTGGCCCCCAGATAGAAGAATACCATGCTCTCCAACCATTGTGTCTAATCCCTGGATATACATTGAGAAAAAAGAAAAAGGAGGAAATATAAGTTGATTTCAGAAAGAAAGTAACCTGAGTTCCATATAATCTTAATAAGTTACTCGTCTTTTTCAAGTCTGGAAATGAAAATATTGCAACGAAAAAGTTGTGGTAATTGGACCTGAGGCAGTTTATCTATGAACTTAACAGCATTGGCTAGCTCCGCCGCAGCCCTGATTTCTTCTGTAGTTGCACCTTCCTTCCCATAGGCAATATTCTCTTTAATGCTGCAACTGAACAACACTGGTTCTTGGCTCACGACCCCTATTTTTTGTCTTACCCATTTCAGTTGGAACTCTTTAAGGTTAACACCATCAATTAAAACTTCTCCACTCTGTGGATCATAAAATCTCTCAATCAAATTGATAACTGTAGATTTACCACTTCCACTCTCCCCAACCAGAGCTGCAGTTGTGCCACTAGGTATTGAGATAGAAAATCCACTGAATATTTGCTCTTCTGGTCTAGCAGGATAGCTGAAACAAATATCTTTTAATTCTATATCTCCACGAATATCCTCTAACGTCAGACCAATGGTGTTATAAGCATCAATTTGTGGCTTTCTACCAATTACCTCAAACATTTTAAATGCAGCTGCTTGTCCAGCACCAAATGCAGTCAAGCAAGGAGATGCCTGTCCTAGAGACCTGGAACAAATTAAAAAAATTTCATTTACTTGTGATCCTTCATGAGAATGAATGAAAAATGGCAAAATGCTACTTACAAAGATCCAGTCAACACCACGAAAACGATAGTGATGATATCTCCCCCTTTATATCCTTCATTTAGCACCAGTTTTGCACCAAACCAAACAGCCAATGAATAATTGGAGAATACAATGAATGAAACCACACCAAAACCCAAGCCAGCGGCCAAACTCTCTTGCACACCAGACTTGTAAGCTTTTGTCAAAGATTTGTTATATTTAGCAATAGCCTGTTTCTCCCCAGTAAATGATGCAACCTACAATGCACGTAGTCATCACAAATCATATCTCCAAAACGAACCAAAAAAGAAAAAAAAAAAATCAACTCTATCTTAGTTTTGCATACAGTTCTAATTGAACCAATTGTCTGCTCTACCACTGTTGCCGCAATTGAATATGCAGTTTGTCCGTGAGATGCCAACTTTGATATATAAATGGCCACGAGTGCCCCAGCAAGAACAAGAAGCGGAATACTGGATAACATTACGAGTGTAAGTTTCCATCCCTTGAAAAATGCTATAATAAAACCCGAAATAAAAGTTACAATTAGCTGCTGGAATTTTCCAACCTGCAATAAAAATTAAGAAGTGAGTGGACATACTTTAAAGAAAATGGCAAAAAGTTGAGGCTTTTCAGTAGTATTTTCATACCTTCTCACCCATGGCATCCTGAATGAGAACTGTGTCTCCTGACATTCTCCCAATAATTTCTCCGGTGTTAGTTTCCCTATCAAAGAAGCCAATTTCTTGCCTCAAAATTGTCTTCAAGTATAAACTTCTAATTCGTGCAGCCTGTCTCTCTCCAGTGACCATCCAGCAAGTTACCTCTGGTATTTAGCAGAGCAAAGTAACTTCAGTTTTCACAAACATAAATTTTTAAGGCATGGGTTTTGTCTGATAATTTAAAGAAGCCCAATGAACTTACGAAGAAATCCAGCGGCACCTGCCCCTAAGGCCAAGAATACAAACTTGAGAGACACCTGAGAATTTTTTATCAAGCTATTATTTAGTATTGTTGACGGTGCGGGACTGAAGTTTTTACTAGAGATTCAACGAAATTAAACTCTCTCAGGTTGCCTATGCTGGAGCTGGAAAGACACTCAAAATGAGCATTCAACAATCAGGATTTAGTTAGAGGATACCTTTGAAACTTCATGAACCAGTAGGTTGGCGTTTACACTGTTCTCTCCGAAGGCATTTACTGTATCTCCATATATTACAGTCATAAGAGGCATACAAATGCCATTTGCAGCAGCAGCAAGTGTACCCACAAACATTAATAGGTAATCTATAGGATCGGCTAAAGAGAAAAGCTTGTAGTATGGCAATGTTTTAGTGCTTTTTTCTTTCTTCTTGGTCTTGTCTTCCTTCAAATCCATAACAGGTGGATGGCTCATAGATGCTACGTCCTGCTCGTTTCCCTCAGCCATGTAGTCTAGAGATTATTGCATTGCATTTGTATATTAATTAATGTGTTGGCAGGCAATGATTTAGTATCTATTTAAATAGTATGATGAGCATCTTGGAAAAGAAATTCTATATCACTGCATTCACACAAAAATCCAACAACATATGCTATAATCAAATGCGACAACATAAAATAACTAACGCGCAAGCAATGAGGATAGACAAATTGAGATGTAAGTTCTGTTTTCTTCCATTCTTTGCATCAGACAAGAAGATATGTATATTACTATGCGTCATCTGTCTTATAGAATGCAATCAATACATTTATCCTCTTTACTTTTGTTTCTGTTGGTGTCCTTGCAGGAAGACAGAGCGTTGATTATACACTCCTGCTCATTCCTCATAAATTTATAGAATTGACAAGGGTTATTGAAATTTTAAATATTACCACTAATTTATTTATTCTCAAGGATGTCCAATTCAACCATGCCCCATGGAAAAGGAAATCTTTAGAGATTGAGTTATAAAATAGAAATATTATGTGTTTGGTCCTGATGGCTCCAGATTTCACATGTTATCTTAGTCTGACAGAATTAACTAAGCCTCATTTCATCCGTGGAAAGTATAATTATCTTAAACAAATATAAGGTTCTACATAAAGTTCTAACCTTTAATGGTTTCTAAGTCAGCATGAGTGATTGGATTACCTCATTTGTCATATGTATATTTGGATTTTCGTACGAAGATGTAGAATAATTTTCATATGTATATTTGGCCTATTCCTTTTGTTCCAGAGCATTTTATTGCATAATTGCACGGGCAAGTAAAACATAGCCATCGCTGGCCGGCAGCTGCTGTTTCTTCCTACTGGCCCTTCACAGTACACAATAGTGGTCCTCAAATGAATGGACAAGCACCAAGTCCTCAAATCGAATATATATACATGTATATACAGGGACACTTTACCTAATTCTGACTGATCCCGCTCAACTTATTGACATTTATTATAAATTTTACACGTTCAAATGATTCCTCAATGCCTCCCACCAAATTAAACTCGCTGACATCTGAACCCATCCTGTCATCTTTTCAATTCTTTTGTATAATTTATTAAGATGGGGGCAATGCCACCCGATCAATCATGGCGCTGGGGAAAACTACTCCACAGATACTTGGGAAGTTCGCGGTAACAGGTCAACAAAAAGATAAGGAGAAGAACATGAAGCAAAATCAACATCTTTAAGCACACATAGTTACAAAGACATACACACCATTATTCTCTTAAGAAGAACTTGACTTGGGAGCCATTAAGGAGGCATAAATACCATTTTTGGTATTCATCAGGGTATCATGCTTTCCTTTCTCAACTATTACTCCATTTTTCACCACTGCAATCATGTCCGCACTCTTAATTGTGGATAAGCGATGTGCTATCACTAATGTGGTCCTTCCCACCATAACCCTTTCTAATGCGTCTTGAACCACTCGCTCAGACTCCGCATCTAGAGCACTGGTTGCTTCATCTAGAAGATATATTTTCGGAGCCTTCACTATGGCCCGTGCAATTGCTACTCGCTGCTTCTGTCCACCCGACAGTTGCACCCCTCGCTCCCCTACTGTGGTATCATACCCCTGCATTTTCCAAACTTGAAAGCATCACATCTAAAAGCATTTGGGGACTCCTAGTCACGAGTAAATGTAACGTGTTGTGTTCTACCTGCAATATTTCTAATTCTAGATATGTACCTGTTCTAGGCCACTGATGAAGTTGTGAGCATTGGCTAATTTTGCTGCAGCCATAATTTCAGCCTCTGTTGCATTTCCTTCCTTTCCATATGCAATGTTAGCTCTGATGTTATCACTGAATAATACAGGCTCCTGACTCACCAGACCTATCTGCTGTCTTAACCATTTTATCTTCAGCTTTTGTATCTCAATTCCGTCTAGAGTAATTTGGCCAGAATCAGGATCATAAAACCTTTGCAGTAATGAGATCACTGTTGATTTTCCACTCCCACTTTCCCCAACCAAGGCAACGATCTGGTGTACAGATTATTAGTATCAATAATCTAAGCTGACAATTTTTGGCTTTAAATTAGTGCAGGAAGGAATTGAACATAAAATCTAGTCATAACAATTACCTTTCCAGAATGAATAGCGAAGCTAAGATCCTCAAATATTTGAATGTCAGGCCTCGTAGGATACTTAAAACTGACATGGCAAAACTCAATTTCTCCCTTCACATCTTTTATTATTATTCCAGAAGAGTCACTAGGATCTATTTTAGATTTCTGATCAAGAATCGCAAACACAGAAGCAGCAGAACTCTTGGCTTTATTAGCATCAGGTGTGAGAGAGTTTGATTGAGAAATCGCAAGGGCTGCCATACTGAGAGCAAAGAAGACCTGCACAGCAGAAGTTAACCAACTTGTTGGAGATGAACTACCAGAAAGTGAAAAAAATGGCTTGGAGGATATGGCATAAGGAAATTACTTGGAAAACATCAGTGAATTTCGTCTTTCCATGATCAACTAGATGAGCCCCAACATAAAAACTGACTGCATATACAAAGAAGATAAAGAAGAAAGACAGACCGAACCCTATTCCACTAATCAACCCTCGTCTTATTCCCGCTTTAAGGGGGACATCACAGTGCTTTTGGTACAAATTTACCATCTTTTCTTCTGCACAGAAGGAGGCAACTGTTCTGATGCTGCTAACTGCATCACTAGCAACTTGACTTGCTTCTTCATACATTTTCTGTAAAAATTTAGCAATGTTTTCCCTTAATAAAAAAAAAGATAAAATCAATTATATTGATTGGTATTTTAGAATATCTATAGTACGACTTATCACCATCCCCTGTCCCTAATTCTGATATTATTTTTCCTCTTGAAGGACAAACTCAAATTCCTTTTTCACACATGGTCCTTGCTAAACTTGAGGGAGTTTACCAAAAAGCACATCATGATGATTAGAGCTAACCTTTGCATTGGCATTAAATCCTGTCATGGACTTCAGCTGCACATATCCACTAACTCCCATCAGTGGTAACAAAGCAAGGATTACAAGAGCTACTTGCCAGTTTGCGTGGAAAGCAATTATCAAACCAGCAATACCCGTTGCAGCGTTTTGAATGAGTAATGCAAATTTGTCTCCAACTAAACCTCGTATTGCAGCAGCATCTACTGACAGCCTTGCACCAATTGCACCACTAGAATGCTCTGGTTCATCAAACCAAGCTATCTCCATGGTTACCACCTTCTCAAAGCACATTGTTCTTATTCGGTTTATTAATCTACAACCCGCTACAGAAAAAAAGTATGTGCTTAGTGGTGTAGCCAGTAAAGACATCAGACCAAGCAGAACAAACATAAACGCCCAAAATCTAGAATCTCTCTGGAGTTGATCATCTTTTTCATAATATGTTTTTATTATATTGGAAAGCAGCAGACCAAAAATTGGTAAAATGACTCCATTGGCCACTGCAGCTATAGCACCAAGCAATAACACAGGAATCTCTGGGCTGTTAAGGTAGGCCAAGCGACGAACAGGGTCTTCTGGAGGCAGTTTTGATGTCTCTGAAGTGGTAGTGCCAAGTGGTTTTGCAGCTATCTTGTCGGAAACACTACCGCCGGGGGATGCACCCACTGAAACCCATATTGAATGAATTCTATTTTCCTGGTTATTTATGATATTCCGCTCGGTTTCTATGCCAAATTCTTGCAACTGTATAAACTGTGCATATAATCCTTCAGGATCCTTGAGCAGCTCAGAATGTGAACCTGGCCAGTCGAAATATACTATGATGTGTGTGATTTTTGCTAATCATTGTGCTCAAGTTAGAAGCAACGCAATAATGTAAATTTATCTGGTAATAGAGAATGACAGTAAGACAACAAGAGGGCTCCTTTTTCTAAAATAAGGAGAGGGAGGTGTTGATTGATATTTAAACATGTGAGCAAATATTAGCTAGAGTTCAACTATCAGAAATCTTTCACCTTTTTGAACAACCTTTCCTTTCTGAATAATGGCAATCGTATCTGCATTTCTCACAGTAGTCAAGCGATGGGCAACCATGATTGTAGTTCGGTTGACCATAACCTTGTCCAATGCCTCTTGCACAATCCTCTCAGATTCTACATCAAGAGAACTAGTGGCTTCATCAAGAAGTAGAATTCTTGGTTCCTTTAGAATTGCTCTGGCTATGGCAATTCTTTGCTTTTGGCCCCCAGATAGTAGAATTCCATGCTCGCCGACCATTGTGTCTAGTCCCTGAGAACATAATGATCAAAATTGGGAAGTGGATCATTAACTGAAGATGGATAATTTATTATGTATCTCGACAAGGCTTTATGATCATTTCAGTAAAAAAGCACTGCATATTCTTTAAAGGGAATTGAAGGTTGAATAATATAAAACCTTGGGCAACTTATTTATGAAGTTAGCAGCATTTGCAAGCTCCGCAGCAGCTCTTATTTCTTCAATAGTAGCAGCTTCCTTCCCATATAAAATATTTTCTCTAATGCTTGAATTAAACAATATAGGTTCCTGACTGACCAGACCTATATTCTCTCTGATCCATTTTAATTGGAACTTCTTAAGATTGACACCATCTATAAGAACTTCACCAGCTTGTGGGTCATAAAATCTTTCTATCAAACTGATCACTGTTGATTTTCCACTTCCACTCTCTCCAACCAAAGCTGTGGTTGTACCACTGGGTACTAAAAGAGACAAACCGCTCAATATTTGCTCACGAGATCTTGTTGGGTAACTGAAATAAACATCCTTAAATTCTATATCTCCATGAATGTCTTCCAATTGCAGTCCTATGGTGTCATAAGCATCAATCTCTGGCTTCCTATTTATTACCTCAAACATCTTACCTGCAGCAGCCTTTCCAGAAGCAAAAGCACTCATGCATGGAGATGCCTGCCCCAGAGACCTGATTAAGTCCAAAGAAAATGTTATATTCAATATTCATGCAAAGAATACAAAAATTTACCATAAAAATAATCATTTCAATGGGTTCTTGATTGTAGAGAATTTATTTAGCATAGTAAATGATTGTCTGGGTGCATAAAGTGGAACTGCATGTAACTTACAAGGAACCAGTCAATAAAGCAAAAATAACATTGATGACATCCCCTCCTGTGTAACCTTTGTCAAGTACCATTTTCCCACCAAACCATACAGCAAATCCGTAACTGCAGAACAAAATAAACATCAAACTACCAAAACCTAAGCCAGCAGCCAAGCCTTCCTTCACACCAGACTCATAAGCTTTAGTCAAGGATTTTTTGTATTTAACAATAGCTTGCCTCTCTCCGGTAAAAGATGCAACCTGTGAGAAAATGGCCATTATATTCACAATTCCAAAGCAAAACACAAGTAGACTCTTTATCAATGCCGAAGTACCATACTGTTCTGATCGAGCCAATTGTTTGTTCAACAAGATTTGCTGCAACTGAATAGGAAGTTTGCCCACGAGATGCCAGCTTGCCTACAAGCTTATTCATGATTGCACCAGAGATGACAATGGGTGGAATTAAAGATAGCATGACGAGCGTGAGAAGCCACCCCTTCACAAAAGCTATAACAAAACCTCCCAAGAATGAAGCTAGCAGCTGAATAAAGTTCCCAGCCTGCAATAAGTAAATCAAACATATGACAGGATGTCTCCCATCCATCAGAGGTAATTATCATCAGAATAAATGGCTAAATGGCAGTAATTTGTACTTCCTCCACGTAACCATACCTTCTCCCCCATAGCATCTTGAATGAGAATGGTGTCGCCTGACATCCTCCCAATTACTTCCCCAGTATTTGATTCTTTGTCAAAGAAAGAAATATCCTGTCTCAATATCATTTTCAAGTATAAATTTCTTATTCGAGCGGCCTGCCTCTCCCCTGTGATCACCCAGCAAGACACCTCTGGAATATAGCAACCATGAATACCTGTTTCATTATTTTCTTCGACTGAAGGCATCTCAGTTTTCAACTTTTTTTCCCCCTGAGAGCCTAATTTTGATAATCTAACAAAACTTGGGTAAACTAAATAGTAAGAATAAATTTCACTTTTGTAAGGATCCTAAGGTACTTACGAAAGAATGATGCAAAACCAGACCCCAAAGCCAAATAGACAAACTTCAGAGACACCTGAAAGTTCAATTGAACAAGCAATTTCCACATAACCTCAGTTATTAAAAATCAACATAATGGAGTTCTAGTAACTACAAACGTAAAATTTTGACGAAATGACTATTAAGCTTGTTTAGAACAGCAAGGAACCTATCGTGGAAGTAATATATAATTGTTAATTGATAACCAAGAGAGAAAAGTTCACAAGGATGATGGACCTTTGTTTCTCTTAATGATTCAAGGTGTAGTAAAAGTGATGAACAAGTTTTAGTATGTTAGCCTGTTAGGTATAGTCGCAGGATACCTCAGAAACATTATGTGCCACAGTGGTCATGCTCACAGATTTGGCAATAGAGTCAACTAGTTCTCCTAACAATACAGTCATTAGCGGCATGCAGATCCCATTTCCAGAAGCAGCAATACTACCCATGAACATTAATATAATGTCCAAGGAATCAGCAAAGGAAAACAGCTTGTAATATGGTACTGTATCTATGCCTTTCTCTTTCTCATTGTTTCTGCGTGCAACTTCTTCTTTATTCATATCCTCACTCAAATTGCTTCCATCAGCCATATATGATAATTCAGCCGCTAATTAAGACTTGGGCTGGATCATAGCTGCAGCAAAGAAAATAAAATATTTTCTATTATCAATTTACTGGTGTTTAAAAAAAAAAAAAAAAACCACTCTTTAGGCCTAATTTTTATGAGAAATGTAGAGAAGAGGAAGGTACCATGTAATTGTTGTCTACATGATACAGAATTTGAGATTTTATAAGAAGCTGATGCTTCCGTTGAAACCTAAGCAGATGTCATCATTATATTCTCAAGTTTGTAGTCTTTATAATTATAACAATGATAGTTCCAATGGGATCCTTGTTGCCACCCTATCGTTGTCTGCTCGACGCATAGAGCAGCAATGTAAAGAACTAAGGAAGTGTCTGGTTGCTCTTGCTCGCAACTAAAGGCAAACTACGTCATAAGTCAATGCTGATTGTAAGCTGAAAATGGTAGACACAGAGAAAGACTTGTTAGTTTAAAAAATAAAAAGAAAAGTTTTCTCGTCGAATAAAGTTTCCTATCTTCTAAGAAGCGACAGAAATAATTTGTTTTCTTGAATCAGCTCATTGTTTAGAGAAATTTTACCAGAAATTTGAAAGGGTAGTTAAGATATGGTAAGGGAATATAAAACGAGTTTTTGAGTTTTTTAGAGAGAGAGGATATTTTAAAGGAAGACCCATTCTCCAACCCACCAGCTCTCTCTCCATCGTTTAGAGGCAGTGAAGTATGTGTGCTGTTTGGTACTTTGTATTTGGATGTTTGGTCGACGAGAAAAGGACGGAAAAATTTTATGCAAATTTGTAGCGGTACTTGACAAAAAAAACTAAAGGTTTGCAGAGTGGTAACGAATATAAATAGAAGCCTATTGGGTTGAAGAATGGAAATGCTGCTGTAGCAATCGCAAATGGCATTCCCAATCCCATCTCACTCCGGCCCGCCAGCAAAAGCTCCCACATCACGTTGGATTGAAATTCAAAGAGGAAAGGAGTAAAGCTTTCAATTCTCAGAAACTCAATAATGGGCCGGGTGCTGAAAGCCCATTTTATTGATACTTACGGACAAGAAGAAACAGGGGCCTCTATCGAAGAAAAAGTGAGAAAGGGGTCCTTATCTTTAATCGATCCTCAAATTCCACTTTTCAATCGCTAAGAAAGTTACCTGTGCTTTATTTCAGAATCTGAGACACATCGTTAGATATTTTTTCCTTCCTACCAGAAGAAGCAACGGGCACGTGATAATTCCACACCACAGAAACGCAGCGAAGCTATTATGTCAGTGGCAACGGAGGTTTTTGGCAAAGTACCCTGCTACTTGATTCATAAAAAGACCCTTGGTGGCTTTCCAATGGCTGCGGCGATCAATTATCCACTTCCAGTAAGACCCATCTCTCGTTTCAGCAACAGACCTCCGAGTATGATGATGATATGCCGTTGCAACAGCCTTGACTTCAAGTCGTCCACCACTGTTGGATCAGAGCAAGTGTTTTCTGTTACTTCTTCTACTAAATCCGAGTTTGATTATTTGGGGCAGAGTACTAAAGGGGATCTGAATCTCAACTTTGATCACCTTGATTCTATTGGTAACTAATTTCTCTTCCAATGTTCCTCTGATTGTTTTTTCTCCCTTAAATATACTCTCCAAAGTTTCTAGCTTTTTTCTTTATCCTTTATTACCCGTCGTAAGTGATGATTAAGGGATGCTAAGCTGGTTTTTGGGTTCTAACATACCGTTGGTTCGTGCTCTTTCCCTGCAGGGATTGATCCGCAGGTAACTTTAGAAGGTCCAATTGAGGAGGTGGCTAGGCTGGAAGCTCAACAAGCTGAGGATTTGCTTAAAGACTTGGGTATACCGGTGCTGTATAGGCCTTAAATATTTCGTCTAAATAAGCACTTTCTTGTTGCATATTGCAATAAAATAATTAAATTTACTAGTTACGCTTGATTGTCTTTCTTTTTTTTTTTTTTTTTAATTCACATTTCTGCTTTAAACAATTCAATTTTGGTTAGTTCACGCTATGCCGTTATTCCTATCATTTATATGTTGTGGCATGTATTTATATTTGCATTGAAATGAATAGGTTGATATCTGCAATATTAGGTCTTTAAAGTTGTACCCCTTCGATTGCTGTTTGTTACGTCACTTGGATATGGTCTAAATCATTTTATCTAGTGCTCTTCTTCATCTTCTGACTGATTTTGGATCATCATGTAAAAATGCTACTTTCTCAGTTCTGACAACATCTAAGGTTAATGTGCAGAGTCCTTCATCAACAAGGAATTCACCTCGTGGTATATTTTGTAGCCGTACTTTAAATCTCCGGTCCATCAGTGCCATTGGATATGACATGGATTATACTTTGATGCATTACAATGTGATGGTAGATATTGGTTCTTATTCAGTTATGCTAAATATATTTGTGAATTTTTTTTATATATAGCATGTATAATATATTCATGGTGAACCATCAAGGAGAGTAATGAATCATATTGTTGTAGGCTTGGGAAGGAAGGGCTTATGATTATTGCATGGACAATCTACGGAACATGGGTTTCCCTGTTGATGGACTTGCATTTGACCCAGACCTGGTAATTAGAGGTCTTGTCATAGACAAAGAGAAAGGCAATCTGGTTAAAGCTGATCGATTTGGTTATGTAAAGAGGGCTATGCATGGCACAAAAATGTTGTCTACTCAAGCTGTCAGGTGTGGGTTGAACTATGAATCTTTTTTATTTTGATTACTTATACTTATCTGGAGGGTAGAGAGTTGCCTGTCTATTGCAATGGTGGGTTCAATTTTTGATTGGTGGCCAAGCCAAGGGCGTGAACCAAACACATCCACATCCCTGCAAACATGCATTTGCACAGACACATGATACGAATTTAATGCATGACTTCATATTCCTAGTTTTCTTTTAGCTCATTATTTTGCCTAGTAAATAGCCTGATGTTCCATTATATGGCTGGACACACGTATCTTTTTTAGTTTTATCAGCATTTATATTTTATCCGGTGTTTGTGGCAAAACTCGTGTAATACTTTCTATAGTGGTGCTTAACTTTATATGCATGGAAGTGAGATGTACGGGAGAGAACTAGTAGATCTGCGGAAGGAGAACCGATGGGTGTTCCTGAATACGCTGTTCTCTGTTTCAGAAGCTGTTGCCTACATGCAGGTATCTATGTGGATTGTCAGCTACAAGTTGTTCAGTTGCGTTTTGTTACTACTGAAAGTGTTATTTAGCTTTACTTATTGTGCTATGTGTTAACCTTACTAATGTTGATTAGAGCGGATATTTGAAATAAATGATTTATATAGCCGATCCCAACTAGTTTGGGACCAACCCTTAGTTGTCCTTCTGGTCGTTTTAACCTTGCTAATACTGGCATTTGTTTGCTTATGAATCCTGTTTCAAAGAAATGGGAATGGAACCTTCTGTTGGCAGCATTTGGTGATTTTGCACTTGTTAATTGTGATAGAACACCATTCCCTTCCTAACTTCCATTGAACACCCTCCTACAGAACTGGAAATACAATTGCATAAAATGGAGGAACACCTTCCTACAGAACCAGAACACAACTGAATACAAAAGAATCTGGAAAAGATTAATGGATTAATTATTGACTTCAGTATGTGGCAGCTTTCTCTTTGCTCCATGAGTGTAGCGGTTGTCAACCTGATGTGGCTTGCTAACAAGCATACTCTCTTGCATACTATTTCCTGTTTCCCCCAGCTAAATTTCACATATATAGACCATGATGCTTATTGGGGAATGCTTTATCTTTTCTAATATTACACACATTATGTTGTAACTGTAATCTTCTTATCTTGTACGAAACCCTCTAACTCATAACAATGTGAAATTTATCATAATTCTGTGTTCTCCCACATACTTAAAAGCATATTAATCTTTTTCATTCCTGATTCAACTTTTAGATGGTTGACCAGTTGGATGAAGGAGCTATAGCAGCAGAACTGGGTCCACTTGATTATAAAGGACTTTATAAGGCATGCTCTGCAGATTGTTTGATCGAAAAAATCAGAATTATGTTTGGGTATATATTCGTTTCTTTATTGACACTTGACTTGTTTTTTCAGGCTGTTGGGAAGGCTTTATTCCGGGCACATGTTGAAGGCCAGCTTAAGGTACCTTTATCATGAGGGTTTTTTTTGAGCATGTTAGGGTTTGATTCCTTTGATTGTACTGAGCAGTGTCACTATAACAGAGTGAGATAATGTCAAAGCCAGAATTGTTTGTGGAACCGGATCCGGAATTGCCTTTAGCACTTTTAGATCAAAAGGAGGTGTGGCTCTGAATTTTTAATGAAGTATAAATGTGAAACCATTATAATCATCTATTTGATTTTGAGCTTCACTGGTGACAGGCTGGTAAAAGGCTTCTGCTTATTACAAACTCTGATTACCATTACACAGACAAAATGATGAAACATTCTTTTAACAGATTCCTTCCAAATGATATGGACTGGCGTGATCTGTTTGACATGGTGAGTGGAGCTAATTTATCTATGTTGCAGCATGCCAAACTGCTAGTATATTTGTTCACTGATAATTCGAGTCTAAAAGATTATTAAGTTATGGAATTCCCAGCGCTATTCTTTCCTCTTAAATACCAAAAACTCAGGGCCTCGTTATGTTTATTTTTTGCTCCATCAAGCAGCTACTTGTTTTGATTTCATGTACAATATTAGAATTACCTTCACATAGATGAAGTATGATCACTACTAATAGAGTATTGTAAATGCTACTCTGGGTGATGACATATTGTTGTACTTGAATCATTTAGGTGATAGTCTCAGCAAGGAAGCCAGAGTTCTTTCAAATGTCACACCCTCTTTATGAGGTAGTGACCGGTGAGGGCTTGATGCGCCCTTGTTTCAAAGCTCATACAGGTGAGTTATGTTTTGTATCTCTGCTTGTTTCCACGCCTCTTGTTTTCTTGGAGTTCTTTTTATTTATGTTTTTGTACACTGACCTACAAATATACTGTTGGCATGAGTCAAATCTTGTTGAAAAAATTGCTATTACCTAAATATGCCGTCAAAGAACTCGGATCCCAGAAAAAAAAGAGTTGGTAACAATCCTATCTTTGCACATTTTTGCATTAAGTGTTAGTAGGCCAGCATTAAATTTGCAATTTCGTGGTCACAGGGCCAAGATATTACCATTGTAGTAGCAAGACGAAGGCATAAGGCATTTACCATTGTACTATTTAATGTTCCTTATCAAGAAATATCATATATGATTCTTTTTTTTCTTTCTTCAGGAGGTTTGTACTCTGGGGGGAGTGCTCAGATGATTGAGAACTCCTTGAATCTCCATGGCGACGAAATATTATATGTAGGTGATCATATTTACACTGATGTAAGTCAATCAAAAGTCCATTTACGATGGCGAACAGCATTGATTTGTCGAGAATTGGAAGAAGAGGTTAGTATATTGATACAAAATGTGAATTTACATGCACTGGAGTATGGGTCTTTGAAAAATGTTAAAAAGCAGTGTTTTCTGGTGCGACAGCCTCAGATTTTGATGCAAATAATGTTCTCCCTTTATTTAAAGAAAGCGGAGAAATTTGACTTACAATTGAGAAATTTTTTGGCATGCAGACTAATTGAATACTTACTATGGTATCTATATTTGTGGTACTGGTATTAAATTCTGGAACTGCAGTATACTGCTTTGATTCGTAGTCGGGGTCATCGAGCTGCTCTAGTTGAGCTCATTAGTCAAAAGGAGGTTGTAGGGGATCTTTTTAATCAACTTCGGCTTGCATTGCAAAGGCGAATGCAAGAGCGTCCTGCTCAGGTGAGTTAGATTTTACTTCTTTTTTTTTTTTTTTTTTTTTGGCATAATGTTTTTGTTTTTTGTTCTTCTAATCGTACAATGATGGTATTTTTTATATAGTTTCTTGTGCTTGCCATTGTGAATTTTTTAAGAACACTGCTATCCTATTTTTTTTTTTTTTTTTGGCATAATGTTTTTTGTTTTTTGTTCTTCTAATCGTACAATGATGGTATTTTTTATATAGTTTTCTTGTGCTTGCATTGTGATTTTTTACACACTGCTATCCTATGTATGCTTGGTAGAATACGATAACTAATCACCAATGAACAAACTATATGCTGTGCCTGAGTTGTTTGAGTTGTTGACCCAGATTGTCTTGAACTGGCCCGAGTTCAAAGAAACTACTGATTATATAGCTCCATCTGTGTACTTTCAGACCCTTGCTGCTACTAACATGGATGATCAAGAACTCGCAGAAAGCATGCAGAAATTATTAATTGTCATGCAAAGACTGGATGAGAAAATTGCTCCCATGCTAGAAGCAGATGGAGAACTTTTCAACAGAAGGTAAAACCTGGAGATAGCATAGAACTTGCATTAAGGCACTAGCTAGCCATAATAAATGTCTCAAATTATGTCATGCTCTCTTTTGGGGTTTATTTTGTTTTTCGTTGGCTGTCTAGGTGTATTTCGGATTAAGCGTTTTGCTCAGTAACACCAGCATCCCATCTTAGATGAGCCAGTATTATGTGGAATTCTCTAGATAAGCTCCTGTCTGCATTTTCTTTCAGACATTTGACATCAAATTAATCTGGTGCTGTCATTTCACAACAGGTGGGGATTTCTTTCACGTGCAGGTCTGTGGGATAAAAGCCACTTGATGAGACAAATTGAGAAGTAGGTGCTTTTGCCTTCCAAGTCCTTCATTGAATATAGACAATTCTCTGTTGCATATGACTGCATTAAATATTTTATATCAATGTCGTTTTACTACTCTTGAAACCGCAGATATGCAGATATATATACCTCTAGGGTCTCAAATTTCCTACAATATACACCATTCATGTACTTCCATTCACAGGAACAGGTATCTCTGCCTTTTTTTAATATTATTATTTCATGAGATTTGCGGGATTTTTCATAAACGAACTGAATCGTGCATTTTGTTTGGCTTTGCAGACACTGGCTCATGATTCATATTCATACTACCAGGCAGAGGTTGATGGGGCTGCTGTTGACGGCCAGGGCAGATCTACATTGTAATCGTGTTATTCAGCAAGCACTGTGCTCATGTTTAACCCATCATGTTTCCTTGGAGATTTTGAACCATAGCTAATGACTACATGGGTGTAAAAGGCTTATAAATTTTCTTAAACGAGCAAGAATTGGTGAGTTGTGTTCTTCATTTCTTGCGTGTAATGTAAGCCCCAAGTAATTGTAAAACCGTTTAGAATTAGATAATCAAATTCGTCAATTATGAAGTAAGGTGAACTATTATTTAGTCCCTCTATGATAAGTTATAACAAGACACATTAATAAATTAATTTTGGAGTTTTTCTCTTCTGATTTCGTCTTGCTCTTTGCTCTTAGAACTTTTTGTTAAAATTTAAATAATTTATCTATATAAATTTGTAATGGTTTTTTATATTTTTAGAATTAAATTATTGGATAATTATTTTTTAAAATTAGACACCGTATTAAGTAAATTTTTTAAGAAATTTATATTTTATTTCATTATGATTTTTTGTATTTATGAATTTTAAGATTTAAATTCGTAACCTTTCAAAACTAATCTTTGTATTTTACCTATTTCTTCCACTCAATTCAAATATAACTAACCGGTTTATATCGTCAAATCGGCTGCTGGTTAGGTTTCAAAAACACTGCAACAGAGTAATAACAGGATTCGCAGCAATAATGAGCGCCAAGAATGTGATGGAAAATGAAAAAAAAAAAAAACAAAAAAAAACAAAAAAAGGAAAAAGAAAATAAAAATAGGATATTGACGATATTAAAATTGAGATCGATTTGCCCCTAGCGGTCGAACCCAACGCGGAAAGTAGGAGGCAAGTCCCTTCACCATTCAACCGAAGCAACGGAGGTAGAAAGCTGTGTACCGAAAAGCCCAACTTTCCAGTTAAGTTCTCCGTCTTCGCGCGAATCATTACTGTTGCTCATGCTCTGATACGGTCACCACTTAGTAATAATCACAAAACCGACAGAAAAATAATGACGACGTTGCAGGTCGCCGGGAACCTAACGCCTCACTATCGGCAGATTCTGATGTCGGTTAATGCAGTGGCATCTAGTCTTTCATTTGTAGGGTCTAGCTTCATAGTGCTGTGTTATATCCTCTTCAAAGAGCTCCGCAAATTCTCCTTCAAACTTGTCTTCTATCTCGCCCTCTCTGTATGTTGCGCTCTCTCTCTCCCTCTCCTCCAGACTTTGGATCTAACCGCTTCATATTCAGCATAGTTGATTTTAACTTTTGATCAATTTTTTTTTTTATTGTAGAGAATTGATTTTAGTCTGCCAGCAAACGGTTTTCAACTGTTTTAGCAAGTGAATTTTACTTGTAATTTGCTTTCATTGGTTATACTCCCTACTGCCTTTTTATCTTGTATATTTGGATCTAAGTTCCGTCTCTCTATAGGCTACTCTTTTGTCCTTCCTGTTTGCAACTGAAAAAGTCACCTCCAAATTTATACATTTTTAAACTTAAAAGTTTATTAAAAGATGGATTTTTCTTGGTTCTTTTTGGTGTAATTCAATCAAATAGGAAGCAAAATTAAATTAAGTTGTTGTTTGTTAGTTTCCAAGTTGTAATGCTATATTCAATCAAGTTAGATTTTTCGTTTTAGCAACTCTGTAATTGCATCTAGTTTTCTCCATTTGATTATGTTTCCTCTTATATGTTAGGATTACTTGTTAATTATAGCAGTAGGATTGTATTTATTGTCTACCTTGTGCTTTTGCTTAAACTACATTCAATTACAATCATTTATAGCATTTTCTTGAGCGCAGGATATGCTTTGCAGTTTCTTCAGCATAGTTGGGTATGCTTCTTGGAGCTCTATGGATCTCTCATTTCTTGTGCTTTTATTCCTTTGTACTGGAATCTAATTTGGTTGTTGTGCATAACAAACTTGTGATTCTAACTAGGGACCCATCCAAAGGATTCTTTTGCATTGCTCAGGGATACAGCACGCATTTCTTCTGTGTAGCATCATTTTTGTGGACCACAACTATTGCTTTTACTCTTCATCGTACTGTTGTTAAACACAAAACAGATGTTGAAGACCTGGAGGCCATGTTTCACTTGTATGTTTGGGGTATGAATTTACACAATAGTTTATTATATGCTATATCGTATGAACCTTTAGCCTATATAAGAAACCAGTTGTGTTTATTACACTGGTTGCATTCGTGAAACATATCCTTCTGTTGCTGACTTAGCTTCCAAATATCTACTATCTAGGTCAAATGTGTCGTGGACTTACTTGACATTTGTTCATATTATTAGGGTTTTTCTTTCTCATCTTACCAAATAATGGAAAACATGGAAACTGATTTTAGAGTTTGACCACTTTCGGCAGGAACTTCTTTGGTTATGACTGTGATACGCTCCATTGGTAATAACCATGGACATTTAGGTGCATGGTGTTGGACAGAAACAGGGAGAACAAGAAAGGCAAGTACATGGTAGTTTTCAGTGGTAAATTTAGTGTCTTTTTTATCTTTAAAGAGGGCCGGAGTAACCTAGAATTTGCTAGCAGCTGGTTGGTTCTGATTAAATGTGATGATTCCTCAATTTTAGCCTGCCTTTTGTTTTATTTTTACTATCATGTTTACATGTTATTGTACAGTATGCAGATGAAACTCTTAGAATCAACTAGGAAGTTAAACAAGTCATACTTATTTTAAAGCTCTCATATTTCAGAAAATAGTTAACATACTAGACATTTCTTGGACCATTTTTGTATTTAGACCCAACGTCTCCTAGAGGACTTCAAAAGAAATTTTATAGATTCAGGAGTTGTTTATTTGGGCTGAATTCTAAATGATGAATCTAAATTAACAGCTTATTGAGCTAAATGATTAAGAATTGATATATAGAGTTGATTGTTGAATAAAATGACATCATTATAATTGTAGTGGGCAACTTTATCTTTTCATCTAATAAGTTACATAGCTTATTGAATCAACTCTAAAGAAGTTTTTACATTCCGACAAAATTTGGCTTGCAAATTCAGATAACTAACTGATTAGTTCAGCTCATAAAAACAAACTTATTTCATTAAGACAAAACAAATGACCTCTTAGTGATAGATTCAAGAGAGATAACTTCTAGAGTTTGATACATATTTGATGGTTAAGGGTTCTTCTTATAAATGTTCATTTACTCTTCAAAGTGAAATTTGTGGTTGAATTTGATTTCAGAAGCTGTATGCTTGCTACCTGTCAATGATTGTAATGTTAAAAGGGGCCTTGATCAGAGAAGAAATGCCTTCAAATTTTAATTTTTTTTTTTTTTTTTATATTTAATTTGCTCTAATAGTTGTGCTTATGTATTATCTCTCTATTTACGCAGGCAATTCACTTTATAACATTTTATGCACCACTTTGGGCTGCAATTCTTTACAATGGGCTTATGTATTTTCAGGTCATACGCATGCTAAATAATGCAACCCGTGTATGTACTGAACCCTGATCCTTTTAATTGTTCTTTTTTTCTATTTGTTTCTGTATGTTAAGGCGGAACTTACACCACCTATTGGAAACTTCAGATGGCAGTAGGCATGTCAGACCGAGCATATCAATTTGATGCAAGGCCAGACTTGAAGGTATATTCCTTGCTTGGATTAGAAGTTTCTCACATTTATGAATGTAAAAAATATGAACAAGAGATTTGTAGATTTTCAAGGTTCTTTCATAGAGAGAATGCACCATTCATGTATGTGGTTGACATCCTGTGTACTAGGGGTGTCAAAACGGTTTGGCGGGTTGGATTCGACACGAATTTGCCTAACATGCGACACGATTAGAGTTAACACAAACACGACCCATTTAATAATCGTGTCAAATCTGTCAACACGAACACGACACGAAAATTAGACAGGTGACACAAACACAACATTGTTACCCTCCTAATATTATAAACAGATTAAGTGGGTCGTGTTAACTCGTATATGACCTGTGTAATCTGTCTATGATACTTGTCTAATATCATAGACAGGTTAAGTGGGTCGTGTTGACCTGTGTACGACCCACCTAACCTGCTTATAATATTTTTAAGTTTTAACCTATTTAACTTACATTATATTTAAAATAATTTTTTATACATAAAATACATAGATTTTTCAAAATTCACAATTAAAAATAAAAAATTAATACAACAATAGAGTTTAAATAGGAATTTAGTTGGAATATTTATTTTTTTACACTAAAATTATCTCTTTACTCTTAAATAAACAGGTCACTCGCCTAACCAGCGACACAACATGTTTATATTCGTGTCATAAATAGGTGATCCATTTATGACACGAACCCATTTAACTTCAACCCTAACGCGTTTATTTCGCATGTTAGGCGAATCGTATTCGTGTGTTGTTAGGCGAATCGTATTCGTGTGTCGTTACCCATTTTGATACCCCAACTATGTACTAGACTCAGTAGTTTGAGGAATATCAACAGGGCATCTGATGTACCAGAGAAGTCTTAACCTCGCTGAACACCCCCCAACCCCCCCCCCCCCCCCCCCCCCCAGACCCTCAGTAGTTTTGAAGGAATATCAAACAGGGCATCTTGATGTACCCAGACGAAGTCTTAACCTCGCTGACACACCCCCCAACCCCCCCCCCCCGCCCCCCCCCCCCCCCCCCCCCCCCGCGGCGCGGGGCCAAAACCAATTTTTTACATAATTGTGCAAATGGAACTTTCTATTTCAGAATTTCCTTTTTAGTTATTCTTCTGGCTAACTTTCTGATAAAGCCACATCTAGAAATCAGTAAGTTATACCGTCTTTTGCTTATCACAGGTAAAGAAGGAACAAGTATTCCTCTTAGCATCATTGCACTAATTTCTATAATTTCATAGGCTTTGAACCGGTGGGGATACTATCCACTTATCCTGATAGGCTCATGGGCTTTTGGTACAATAAATCGCATTCATGACTTCATCGCACCGGGCCACAAAATGCTTTGGCTCTCAGTTCTTGATGTTGGAACAGCTGCACTTATGGTAATCCAGTGACCATTAAGTAATTCTCTTTTTATTAAGTTCTTATGTTGGTCGATTACATGTCTATGGTTTGCTTCATTTTAAGGATATTTTTAATGGTACAAAAACTATTTATCCAGATTGTGAGGAAACCGTGAAAGTAGATGCTTCAGGTTTACTTGTTTGTGCACTTGGAAAATGACATGAAATTGAAGACATTCCTTCCATGGAAATTATTCATCATTTTGGATCGTAGTACGATCTTAACTTCTGATCAGATCATTGATAAGGAGAGTAGATAATTAGCTAGAAAAGTTTTAGGAAACATGAGGAATTCTCCAGACTTCAATTCTGCATTACAGGTGTTCAATAGGACTGATATAACTAAATACAAGATATTAACATGGCAAATGGAAAGAATTTGTACTCAGTGTGACCGAGTGTGCTTCCCCTATGACTAACTGGATTATGATTTTAACATCAAGAAAATGCAAGTTAACTAGCTTTTATCTTATTTTGCAGGGTCTTTTTAACTCAATAGCATATGGACTGAACTCTTCGGTGCGTAGGGCATTATATGAAAGATTGGATCTGTAAGTTAGAGAACCTGATATACTTGTTGCATCTCAATAACATTACATGAAAGATTGGATCTGTAAGTCATTATCTGGAGCTTTTTTGCATGTATAGAAATTTTCTACACAATATAACTTAATTCTCTTAATTCATTGAACTTTAACTTGTGCTCTTATGCACCGTTGCCATAGCTATGTATAATGATGGTACACTGCTATTAATTTTGATGTGGATTTATTCTAATGCTTTGGCATTTGGATTTCTTTTCTAGGTTCTGGCCAGATAGGCTTAGAAGATGGTTTGCTAATGGTTTGAGATTCAGAAATCAAGTGCATGAGAGTGAACTAGTCTCATTGAGAATTCAAGATCAGCATTAGTAGCTTGGACACTGTTCAAACTTGTGTTCTCTGCAACATTGTTTCATTAAACGTGGCAATTAAATGAAAAACAAAGAGGATTATAACTTCTAGCATGTGTAAAGTCCATTGGATTCCTGTTAGTTTTTACAGAGCGAAGTCTGTCAAATTGTTTGCATCACCGGATATTAGAATGCTTCCCCTCACTTGAGTTGCCCGTTTTCAAGAAGGTGGAGAACCTCAGGATCGATGGCAGTAACTGTGAAATTATGTTTTTATACTGTTAAAAAAAGTCTAAATTGCTCTTATGGTTTCGAGAGCTGTTAAGAAGGAATATCATTTTTTTTTATTTGTCTCTCTTCAATTGTTGTCAATTGCATTTGGATCTGGATTTGGGTTCATGTCCCAATTTTGTTATTACTTCGGTGTATGATATTGTGTTCTGTTTCTACGGAAAAGACAGGTCTCCTGTCCTGTAGGAAGATTGTTTGATTTCACCTTTGCTATCCACAAAACCTCGCTATCAAAATTCCCAGCCAGAGTCATGAAGAACAATGTGACGTTTCAGTTTCCCTCCTCCTGGGTGAAATAGTTATAAATTACTTTACAGGATCTTTTAGACAAATCTAACAGCAAATTCTGGGAAGGTGTTGAATGTTTGTATAAAACGCGACAACTAGTCAGATAATTTTGGCAAATTTAAGGGGTAAAATAATTATTTTGTGTTAATTTGAAAATAAAATATCTAAAAAAAATATTGAATACTTGTTCACTAATAAATTTTAAAATTATTACTATATTATTTTATTTATGATAAATATTGGACCTTTTAATTATTTGGTATAAAATTGAAATGATAATTGTATAAAAAGGGCAAACTTTATATTGTCTTCGAATTAGCAAATTGAGCATTATCTAAAAACAAAAAAAAACAAATAGAACGAGAAGAAGACGGCTGTTGGAGTCTGGACTCTGGACTCTGGAAGGAAGAAGAGAAGAAAATTGAATGACTTGAGGGAAAACAAGAAAAAAAAAAAAAAAAAAAAAAAAAATTGAATGACTTGAGGGAAAACAAGAAAAAAAAAAAAAAAAAAAAAACAAAACAGAGAAAGGGGAGAATGAAGAGACTAAGATGGGCAATGGAGGAGGATTTGGAGCTGGCACGTTTCCCACACCTTAACCACCTGGAAGGGAGGCTCGAGCGGTGGCTGGAGAACCCCTCTTCCAGCAAAAAAAAAAAAAAAAAAAAAACAAACAGAGAAGGGGGAGAATGAAGAAGCTAAGATGGGCAATGGATGGAGGATTTTGGGAGCTGGACGTTTCCACACCCTTAACCCTGGAAGGAGAGGCTCGAGCGGTGCCTGGAGACCCTCTTCCACTTGGTTTATGCAGAGGCACAAAGCTCTCGAGGACCAAGCAGATCCATTTCTTCCAGCGCTTTATGGCTTCTCCCTTTGTACCGTCTTATTCTCCTTCCACTCGTGGACATGGCTTCTCTTTCCAAAGCGTTCTCCCTATCCCCACCTTCAGTCAAAATTGGTAATTTCTTTTACTTCATTTTGTTTCTGTTAATTCTCTCTGAATTTGTTCGCTTTGGTTTGATAGTTTCATTTAATTGAATTCCGGCAAAGCAAAAAAAGTGTCTTTCTCGGTTTTGCTTTAGTTAGATAACTGTGACCAGTAGTTGATGCAGGTTTGGCACATTGCTGGGTCAATTCAATTTGCAAAAGTTTTTGTCCTCTCTTAATGAGAGCTCCAATTTGCAATCATCACTCTCTTCTCGTCTCCAAACCATTTGTCGACGTCTTCGTGACAAATCATTATACGCAGTCGGTTTCTGCTCAGAGCTCTACGTCACTCCCGATGACACGCTTCTCTTTAGCTTTGACACTTACGGTGATAATAGGTCAACCCGTAAGAAAGCAGTCCTTCATCACAAGGCATGGCATGAGCTTTTTGTTTCTTATTTTCATTCATGCTATCTATTCTTCTTCGTCATTAGCATAACAAACATATTATGTTGTCAGTTCCCCAATCACAACCTAACCTTGGAGGCTGTTTCCCCTGGACTTTTTGCCGACAACTCTGGCAACTACTGGGATGTTCCTTTCTCAATGGCCATTGACCTCGCCTCCGTCACTTCTTCTGACTCGGGTCCCAGTTTCCGCTTGTGTGTGCATCATAACTCAGGGTCGCCAAAGCCGTTTCAAAGTGATCAGACGTCGGCAGTTCCTGCTGCTCTGCTCCCTGGTTCCTCTGTCAAAAGTGCCTTTTCTTTTAAGAAAAGTATTGATATCTGGAGAAGCAATGCTCAAAAGTTGAAGATGGTGCAACCATATGATCTGTTTCTTTCAAATCCCCATATTTCAGCATCTGGGATAATTGGTAATAATGCAAGCTCTTATTTTCTCTTAAAAATTTCTCCATACAAGTAACGATCCAGTCCAAATGAGGAAATGGGGCTTAAGGTTGTCATTACTAATTTTAGGTATTTGCTCATTCATTTTACTCGAAACTTATCAGATTGTCTTCAAACCTGTCTTGCAAGCGATCCTTTGGTGCTGTGCATAAATTTGAAAGTCTGTTCATTTCTGCATATGGGAATGGATGAAACTACCAGTTTTGTGCATTTCTATTACTAATATAATCAAATATGGTTTCAAGCCTTGGACTAACTGCAAAAGATATAGCTGTTATTCCCTGATGATCTTAACTGTCTCGATATTGTTGACCTTCCAATTCACCTGAAACAGTTATCTTGAAACCTTGCTGATGGCTGAGCACATGCAGGTGCAACTGTGACAACCTATATCGGAGATAATTCAGTTAGGTCACAAGAAGTAGATGATTCTCTAGATTTTAAAGGTTTATGTATTCGTGCACCTGAAGTAAAATCTGCCTTGTTGGGTGATATATTTTCATCTGTTGCATTTACGGCTCAGTATGGGAACTTCCAACGACCGTTTCTAGATCTTACTCGATTTCATGTTTGCTTGGATTTTCCTTCTGGGTCCAAATTTCTTTCGGGCGCTGCAAAAGTAGCACAAGATTTTTTCAATTCCCAACAGCCATCCATGGGAACAGTTAAAGCGATTTGCCCAAATGCCCTGGTTTCCTTCCAACAGCAGGTACATGCATCTTTTACAATCACCTATATTTATCTTTAAATGCTTTCCTGTCTACATTGTATCATATAAAAAGACAGAAATAAACACCAATATAGATAAACTGTTACAGCAAAATTTATTGTTTGTTTTTTGAATTTTCTGCATTGTTACAACTTACTGGTAATATTAGAAACTTATTTCAGTTGTTTGTTTCCTTTGTAATTTATAGTGTCTGGACTTCCAATTTTCAATCATCCATTTTACACTCCTGTAACAAAATGTTTCTTAGAATATTGCCGTTTTTGTATTCTGACACACTTTGATTGTGGAGAAACAAGATAGTTAAGCAAAATGTTAAGAAGAATTGTGCAGAAACAAGTACTAAACCCATTTATGCACAATACCTATGGCAAATTTTCTTCCAACCTTGAGAAATGAATAAATGCTTTTTGATATTTGAAAATTAGCCAGTTTACTATTCTGGAAGTGGTCGTAAGATTCTAGGTACTTTGATTGCAGATTGCTGGACCTTTCAGCTTAAGAGTTGATTCTGGAGTTGTAATTGATTGGAAGAAAACAGATTGGCATATGCGTGTTCATGATCCAGTGTTTGCCGTGGAGTATGCGTTGCAGGTCCTTGGTTCAGCAAAGGCTATTGCTTGGTTTTCCCCAAAACAAAAAGAATTTATGGTAGAACTTCGCTTCTTTGAGACATAAAAATTCTGCATGTTTAGACATTTTTTTTTTAATTTCAGTAAGGAGGTACCTTTTGTTCCTGAATAGTTGTAATAGAAGTTTATGCAATTGCAAAAATGGGTATGGACATTCAGCCTTCCATGACAGGGAAGAAAAATACAAATTTACTGCTTGAAATAGATTTTATGGATGTATGTTCTCTCTTCTACCAAAAGAAAGCATACCTGGCACAAAATATGATTATGCAGAAGAGATGTGGACAAATATGCTAAATTGTGAAAACAAGCATCAAACTGCAGTTGCCAATTATCAGCGACAGCCAGCACATTCATTATTTATCTAAATAAGTAAAAGAGCATATTAACAGAATGGCATGTGTTGTGTGTTTAGCCAGTATCAATTTTATCAGAATGCCATTGCAATCCCACATGAATGCGTTCTAAACTCTATTAGTAATTTGGCAACCATGCGTATATTGCGAATTTAGAATGGATTCCAGTGTTTTAAGAGGCAGTTGGCTTCTCTCCCGAAGTGCAAGTTGGTGGTTAAATGTTTTAATTGTGTTACATAATACTGTCAAATAAAAATAAAATATTAAAATAATTACTTGTTGATAAAAAAAATATATATCATCTCAGTGTAAATTAAATAGAAATATTTTACTTTTTATGAATAGATATTATCATAAAACTAAATAAGCAAACTAAAAAACCAAATCTTTGATTTGGTTCCATTCTCCATGAATCACGAAAACTTCTCTCCAGGTAAGACTTTCAATTCCATTCTCTTCCAAAGACTAAATAGAATATTTCTAATACAAAGGTAGCTTGCATTTGCCTATGCTACGATGCCTACCAAAGCTAATTGCAGGGCAATCTGCGGGAAGCCGCAGCTGCTCTTCAGTGTAATTGACAGCTACAAGGCAGAGCCCATGAGGAGGGGCAGACAAGGTGTACTTGGCCAGCTCCTTGCGATCTCGAGTTGCCAAAATCTTTGGAACAATTTCAGGAGGAATTGCTTCCTTTCCAATTTGAAGAAGCAAAGCAACCTGCACTTTCAAAGTGGTTAGCATCAAATCATCAAATAACATTTTAAGTTGGGCGAAAGTCATTCACCATGTTCCGCACTTGTCTATACAAGAAGCCTGTGCCTTCCACTTCTAGCTGCAGTAGAGCTCCCTAACCAATACAATTGCATACCAGTAATCAGTTATAGTTTGTCTAATTCTTCATTTAGAACTAAAATCAGTTAATCAGTTACCATTTCAATGACATCAAACCGATAAATAGTCTTCACGGGATCTGGAACTCGATCATTACGGGATGCATTTGCAAAAGCAGAGAAATCGTGCTTTCCAATAAAATACTGAGCAGCTTGTCTCATGGCAGCCGCATTAAGTCTATAGGCAGTGTGGCATGCATATTGGCGCTGAAAAGGATCCATGATGGAGTCATTATATATCTTGTAGTGATAAATTTTGCTTCTTGCCGAGAATCGAGCATGGAATTGAGCAAGTGCAGGACTAATTTCTCTAACTCGGATATCAGGAGGAAGTAGACCATTGAGAGCTGCATGAATGCTATCCAAGCTGTCATAATTGAAAGGAGTAACAAAGTGTGCGACCTGAAAGCTAATCTGATGGGTAAGTTTGTTTAATGGATGTTGAGTCGCTCAAAAAGAGTAAGCAATTCAGACCTGACCCCAGGCATGAACTCCTGTGTCTGTCCTACTTGCTCCAACCAAATGAAGATCCTTCCTTTCTAGCTTTGTTGCGCGAACCAAAGCTTTCTCCACAATGCACTGTATAGTTGGAGGAGACTGCTGAAATTGCCAGCCTTCAAATAATGGAATATTGAAATTACTATCAAATCTTCCATCAATTCTATTATAAACCCTAGAATTGAAGAAACAAATAGAAACAACAGAAATAATATGGCAATGAAGCAAAGAATCGAAAGAGGAAGCTTACCTGCATAACGAGTGCCATCATAAGCAATTACCAAACGCCACTTAAACGCATCCGCACCAGTTGACTGTTTCGTCGTATAGTTAGCGTCATCCGCAACATCCTGTCACATTTGAGAAAGAAAAAGCAGCAACCAAAATTATCATCTCCGTCGCCGGCGCAAGGAAGAGTTCAAGAGAGTGTGCTCTTACCAATCTATTATTATTATTATTATTATTGAATGAAGAAACACTGAGACGTGGATGATGCAGAGAAGGGGATACCCTCAGAGTACCACAATTCCTCATATTCACTTTTAATTGAATCATCAACACCAAGATAATGCGCTTTTTCTGTTGGTGTGGGCTGCGGCTATGGCAATGGCTATGGGATAAGCAAAAGGAATTGAAATTTGAAAGCATACGCAAAGATGGCTCTATAAACGACCAGCCGTTTGATAAAACATGGGCACAAATCAAATCGAAATTCATTATGTCCTGAGCCCGCTGGCAGTGGAAAATAAGCACCATTTAATATTTTTTTAGCATAACAGTTTATTTTTCTTGATTACTCTTATGCAATAGCAAATTAGCAAGAGAAAAACAAAACACGAGATTACTCTATTATTTAAAATAAACACAATTGATATTTATTATTTATTTTCATAAAAATTATTATTGTCACTAATATTTTAGAAAATCAAAGTAAAAGAATTTTCAATTTCAAGATACAATTTAAGAATTCAATTGAATTATATATTTTAAAATATAATATGTAAATATAAAAAAACTTATTTACTGATGAATTTTATATTTTAACTTCAATTGTATAAAGTATAAGTGTTATTATTAAGTTTTGTACAATCAATCTATTGAATATGATTTGCATTACAACACCAAATTAACTAAGTTATCATATTTTTGTCATTTTAAACCAATAGGACAACCCACAAATGGAAAAAATTTAGTATTGCATGCCATGTGTATGCAGCAAAAAAGAACATTTACATTTACACTATGTCAACTTTGTACAGCAGATATAGTAAATTATATTTCCAGTATTATCTTTTATTGAATCTAAAACACATTTTACTAAGGGTGGATGTCTTGTAAATTTGCCTTCATCCAACAAATTTTGATGTTCAGGCACTCCGAGTAATCTCTTTATCTTGTCAGCCAAAACATCAGAATGGAAGCCATTGAAAAAGTTCACCTGAAATCATTCCACAATCAACTCAGAAAGGCACTTTAATCAGGACACTATTATTAATCACATCACCAATTGAGTTTCCAAAAATATAAATTATCTATTGTGAATACCTGCTCTTCCTCCAACAAGAATGCATGAATTCGAGCTGTTGAATCTTCCAGAGTCAACCTCATCTCATGTTTTCCTATCTCATCTAACGAACAAAAATCCTTACATTGAAAGTGATGAATTGCGACCACACGAACAACACAGAAAAATATGGCATTATCCTGTAAAGTTGAGTTTTCAATGTCATTTAAGAGAAAATTTGAACAACACAAAAAAATAAGTGCATACACAGAGAAAAATTTTCCAATATATTGTCCTCTTGTTTCAATCATGAGAAACCAACTTTTTTTAAGTAAAAAATTGGATAAATTTTGACAAACAAAAATTCAACAATAAAAATTGCTTCAAGAACCTCTTTGTGACAAATGACATCCATCAGCGTCAGAAACTGAATTTTCTCCGGTTGATGATAGTCTATCACTAAGCAAAAACAAAAAGAAAAAGCATCATAAGAATAAACAACAATTGAAGTTTGTGTATTCTCTCTTAGATCATATTATAGATTGTAGAATGATTACTCATTAATTAAGAACAAGGAAAACAAACCAAAGTGAAAAAAGAAATAATAATTTTAGTAAATTACCAGTTAAGTCATGAGCAGGGCCCCATAACGGTAACCGATCGAATTCTAATATTCTTTCTTTGTATTTCCTAATATAATAAATGAATAATCAAGAAGTATTAATATCTAACCAAGCATACAAATCAAATTCTTTCGCAAGCGAGAATATAAGTAAAATTACCTTCTACAATCCAAAACACTAACGTCATCATCAGTGAGAAATCTAACCCTAGAAAGAGGATTCAGAACACCATACCACATTCCTGCAAATATTTTTGCAGCCATGTTGCGGATTCTCACCCATTTGCCAACACCATGAAATTGAAGACCAATGTTTTCATGGGATGGATCGGCCAACACTCTTAAAACAGTCCCAATACGAAAAAATTTTCTTACAATATCAATATCTAAAGGAGAGGATTCAACTTGCAAGGGAAGTGGATTCTTCTCTTCATTAACTAAACTGCAATCAAGAAAATTAAATCAACAACACATATAAAGAGAGAGAGAGAGAGAGTTGTATTATTATTTTTATTATATGCTGATAACACATACATATAAAAACTAAAAATATGTACAAGTTACATTTAACTTTCACAAAATATTAGGTAACAAAGAAATGATAAATAATGTATTTCAAATTTCAAAGAAAATACAATAATACATATCTTTCTCATAATAGCTACTCAAGATTGCAATTTTGTCTCAAAAAAAGATAGTGTCTCCTACCACAAAGAAAACAAGAACAATAAAAGGAACAATTGAAATTGAGTCACTTTTTGAATAAAAGAACGATCATATTTAGAAATGCTACTCTATACAGAGACAAGTAATCAAACCTTCCCCAATAGAATTAAGAAAGCAATAAGGAGTGGTTTTTCACTTTAACAAAAAGAAGAAATGCAAGTTGTTGGTTCCCTTTCCTAACATGCAATCCTGACATGACAAATAAACAAAGTTGTAGTCATTAAATAGATCCAATTAATTACATAAATATTTGCCCTCAACTTCATTCTACATGAGCCATATTTTTAATGCCATGTGCAAAATAATAAATCTTTCATGCACCAAAAGGCCAAAAAGTGTTTTTATTATGCATCAAAAGATGCTCATGTCATAGTATTTCTCAAGTTTTTTCTCCTGATTATGGCCTCTTAATCTAAGCTACCTTAATTCCTTCCACAACTAAAAAATAAAGAATATACAGAATAAATACTCACTTTCCATCGAAGCTTAAGAAAGGAGCATCCATTCCATCCCATACAAAGAACATCCACTGGCCTTTTGAAATATCATAGGAGATATGCAAAACCTTTCAACCATTCAAACAAAAGAGAAAACAGTTAGGTAAAATAAAACTGTTTCATTCAACTGAATATACAATAAGCTAAGTCAAGTGTTAAATGTCACAATTACACAAATCACCTTGCACACCAGATCAAAGTAAGTATCAGCTACAATGTCTTTCATGGATATCAGGTACTCACTTCTGCCTACAATATGTAGATCATTATTAAATTAGAATTAGAGAATTCATGATTAGATTAATTGAAAAGAATGTCATCCCAAATGCCTTGGAAAGCACAAGAGGAGGCACACAAATGAGGTCCTTGAAAGTAACGTAATGTTTGAAAGTGAGATTTTCACTTAATTGATGCTGAAAAGGTTTTAAGCCTTCATATGACATATCATACACATCAATGGATTTGCAAGTAACACAGCGGGGCAACCATGTCAGAAGATGGTTGAGTAAACAAGAAAGAAAGACTGAAAATGAATACATTTGTTGGGTTTGCAAATAAGAAGGAAGAGTACATAGCAGGGAAAGAAAGACTAAAAAAATGAATGCTTTTGCAGGTTCTGAATTGAAAAAAGATATCCTCATGATTAAAAACCTGTACCAATAAAATAGAATGCTAGGTTCAAGTTCAAGAAAAAATTGAGAGGAAAAATAATAGAAAATATCCATCTGAAAGAAAGGAAAACCGTAGAGCCCACAATTTAGACAAGCTAAAGCTGGCGTAATACCTGAGAATGAACAAAAGCAACCCATACAACTTTTACAAGCAACTAGAGTAAGGGTTAAAAAACATGATTGTTAAATAAAAATTTTGACACATTGATAGGTTGATGAGTGTGAAATACAAGAATATCATTCTTATTCTTTCAATACATGAAAATGTATGAAGAGGCCAAATTTAATAACAAACCATGACATGCAACAACGATCACAGAGTAATCAAGTTTCAGCAAATTCTTGAGACTTACCAGAATTGAGTTGAGCATTAGGCCACCAATTCCTTAAATTTGTTATGCAATCCCTTTCACTCCATGACAGAGAAAAACTTCCCAGAGCTTGATAACAAGAGAAGTCATCGGTGCTTCTTCCATCATATAAGGCAAATGAACTTCTTTTCTTAAAAACAATATTTACCTCCCCATCATGCTCTTTAGCCTGCTTTATTCACATTGTCATATTAAACCAAATTTCACATAGCTATCATACTGCCATGATAGCAATCATATTTTGAAAAGAAACCACTGCCGAAGCCATAGTGGTTTCACTGTGCTCCTATAACTAAAATCGTGTGATATTCGAAGAAGGCGTAAAGTTTTAAACAATAGGATAAGAAATATGAAAAAGACAAAAAAATCAATGAAGTTTTATAGCTAATGCAATTACAAGGAGAATAGGATTATGAAGAAGTATGACGAAAAAAAAAAAACCATAAAAAAAAGTACTTACTGTGACACTGTGGAGGACAATTAAATCTCCATAAGACTTTACAACAGGCAGATTCTCCATTCTCAGAGTAAAAATATTTACTGATAATTCTGGAGATTGTTGTGACTTATCAACAAGTTTCAAAATCAAAACGCAATCTGCAACCACAAAAATCAATATTCAATATGAAAGAGATGAAATAAAATAAAATAAAAATAGCATTAATGTACCTGTTCCCTTACTCCTCCTAGGGAAAGAGAATTCCACTACCATGCCTACTAAGTTTATCTTCTGGTCTACATGCTGAACCACCTCACTTATGGGAACTATATTTCTGCTGCTTCTGCTTCTATTAATACGACTGCCGTCCATTTCTTTTTCGTTTTGATTTACTCTTCTGTTAACAAATTTGAGGGCAAGTCACCTCTGGAGACTCATGAAAAAGAAAAGTTTTTTAAAACTCTGAGGAACCTTCTTTCCCCACCCCAAACTGGACGAAAACAATTACCTGATCTCTCAATAAAAATCACAACTTTCAAAGCACAAAATTCAAATTTCAAATTAGCGGAAGTCCTCAACTTTAAGAATGGGTACAAGGAAGGGGAAGGGGAAGGGGAAGGGGAAGGCTGAGTAATTAAATTATAATAATACTAATACTGTTGCCGAGGGACTGAACGACAATGCCGTTTGTTTGCTTTTGCCAGTCGTTGCCCCTAAATTTGGGCTAAATCTGATTTGAAGGCTACGATTTTGCCACTGGCTGTGATGTGGAACCAAGGGATTTTTATTATCCTAACTGGACAAATGCAAAGTCACGTACACGGTACACGTGTATGCAAATGTCAGACCTAGGTACACGTGATCAATACGATGCGTTTTGAACTCATCCGAGTTCCTGGGCGTCTCTGGCAGTCTGCCTCCCTCTCCCTTTTTGTGCGCTGTTTGTGGAGACAAGAACACCTCGTAAACTTTGGCTCTGCGAGAATACTCACTGCAAGAAAGCTCAATTCTTTTCGGTCTGGCTTAGCAGGTAAAACAAATTCCAAACTTTCAAAATAGCTGTAGCTAGGGTTCTATTTCTTCATCATACCGATTCGAATCACGCTTTCAATTCTCGATTAGGTTTTCCCTTTTATGCACGTTGAGATATTGCTTCAGCTTCGAGATTCTATTTCTCTATTCATATAATTTTCCTATGAATGTTTTTCTTTTATTATTATTTGGGATTCTGGCAATGACTTAAAAGGGTTCTCATTGACAATTGACCTCTTCAATGACCACCTACTAATCTATCTCTGCATTCCAAATTTGGGATTTCTGTTTTTTTCGATATTACTTCCACCTATTGCAACTTTTAAGAAAGGTTTAGACTCTTTGATATTTAAATAGATATTTCCTAACTCGTCATAGTGGATTAATTAGAGTTCAACTGGAGTTAAATCTCTCTGCTTTACCTGTACATAGTGCATAGCTTCTTTCTGTTTGTTTGGACTCATCAATTTGTTTTTTTTTTTTTCTTCTATTTGCTTATTTCATTTGAATTTTCCCTTCCACTTTCACTCTTGGGTTAGGCCATGGCTGCAAAGAAAATAATAGCTATATGCCAGTCAGGCGGTGAGTTTGTGACAAATAAGGACGGAACATTGTCATACAATGGAGGTGATGCTCATGCAATCGACATTGATCAGCAAACACAGTTGAGTGATTTCAAGTCTGAAGTAGCTGAAATGTTCAATTGTACTGTTGATACAATGTCTATCAAATACTTCCTCCCAGGAAACAAAAAGACGCTTATCACTATATCTAAAGACAAGGATTTACAGCGCATGGTCAATTTTCTTGCGGATTCAACCACAGTTGATGTCTTTGTCATGTCAGAGGAAGCTGCTGCGAGGAATATATCCAATATGCCTGCTAGTAGGTCGAGCAGGACAACTGTGTCAGAAGCTGTAGTTCCTATGGTTGATGTTGTCCCCATTGATGTTCATGTTGACATTGATCGAGTGGATATGGATGTCCCTGATGAAAATCCTATATCCTGTATACCCATGGGAATCACTGATGACAAGCATCGTAAAGCTGCCTTGCAGTGGGAAAACACCATAACTGGTGTTGATCAAAGGTTTGGTAGTTTTACTGAATTCAGAGAAGCTTTGCATAAGTTCTCAATTGCCCATGGATTTGCTTATAGATATAAGAAGAATGACAGTCATCGTGTTACTGTCAAATGCAAATCCCAAGGTTGTCCTTGGCGGATATATGCATCTAGGCTTTCAACCACACAATTAATTTGTATCAAGAAAATGAATGCAGAACATACATGTGAAGGAGCTTCTGTGAAAGCTGGGTATCGGGCAACAAGGGGTTGGGTGGGAAGTATCATAAAGGAGAAACTGAAAGTTGCCCCAAACTATAGGCCAAAAGATATTGCAGATGACATCAAGCGGGAGTATGGAATTCAACTGAACTATTCTCAGGCATGGCGTGCAAAAGAGATTGCAAGAGAGCAACTTCAAGGGTCTTATAAAGAGGCATACAATCAGTTGCCATTCTTTTGTGAGAAAATAAAGGAGACTAATCCAGGCAGTATTGCTACATTCTCCACCAAGGATGACTCAAGTTTCCACCGTCTCTTTGTCTCATTTCATGCATCAATCACTGGTTTCGAACAAGGTTGCCGTCCTCTCATTTTCCTTGATAGTGTTCCCTTGAACTCAAAATACCAGGGGATGCTGTTGGCTGCTATTTCTATTGATGCGGATGATGGTATTTTTCCTATTGCTTTCGGGGTCATAGATGCTGAGACAGATGACAACTGGCATTGGTTTTTATCAGAACTAAAGTCTGCTATTGCTACCTCTCGTCAGATTACATTTGTTGCAGATTTTCAGAATGGTATAAAGAAATCATTCGCTGAGGTTTTTGATAAATGTTATCACAGCTACTGTTTGCGTCATCTTGCTGAGAAACTAAACAGAGACTTAAAGGGGCAGTTTTCTCATGAAGCAAGACGCTTCATGATAAATGATTTTTATGCTGCGGCCTATGCACCGAGACTTGAGGGATTCCAGCGTTCTGTAGAGAACATAAAAGGTATCTCCCCTGATGCTTACAACTGGGTCGTACGAAGTGAGCCAGAGCACTGGGCAAACGCCTTCTTTGGAGGAGCAAGGTATAATCACATGACTTCAAACTTTGGGCAACAGTTGTACAGTTGGGTGTCAGAGGCACACGAACTGCCAATAACTCAAATGATTGATGCACTAAGGGGCAAAATGATGGAAACAATTTATACTCGCCGGGTGGAATCCAATGAATGGATGACAAAGTTAACACCATCAAAAGAGGGAAAATTGCAAAAGGAGACATCAATAGCTAGGTCCCTTCAAGTTCTGCTTTCCCATGGTAGCACATTTGAGGTTCGTGGAGAATCTGTCGATATTGTCGATATTGATCATTGGGATTGCAGCTGCAAGGGATGGCAACTAGTGGGTTTGCCTTGCTGCCATGCCATTGCAGTATTTGAATGCATTGGTAGAAGTCCATATGATTATTGCTCCAGATACTTCACAGTTGAGAGTTACCGCTCAACGTACGCCGAGTCAATTCACCCTGTTCCAAATGTTGACAGGCCAATTCAGGGTGAATCTAGTGATGTAGGAGTTATTGTGACCCCTCCACCGACTAAACGGCCACCTGGCAGGCCGAAGACGAAGCAGGCTGAATCTATTGACATGATTAAGCGTCAGCTTCAGTGTAGCAAGTGCAAGGGCCTTGGCCATAATAAGAAGACATGCAAAGGTTCCTAGTGTAGATTGATAGGGCATTGTAAAGTAGGTATCTCTTGCTTTGTAACTTCTTTAACAAAATTTTGATTGGCAGTGTAGGGTTATATTTGTGTATGGGTGGACCTTGATCGAGCATCATACTCTATTTAAATGCACGCGACTACATTTTTTGTGTATTTGGTTAGTGATGGTCGAAATCGTCTTCTGTCCATTTGTTAGTGATCTACTTGTCAGCTCCATTATATGTAGTCATTTTGTGGGTTCTCAAAGCTTGTAAACAGAAGCAGGCACCTCAGTACCTGAGATTGGAGACTCCACTCTTCACTTTTTTCAGATTTTAGTGCTGGCAGCAAATTTTCTAATTCAACTGAAACTTCCACAGTTTAAAAAAAAAAAAAAAAAAAAAAAAAAAAAAAAAAAAAAAAAAAAAAACCCACTCTTCACTTTTTTCAGATTTTAGTGGGCTTGGCAGGGCAAATTTTTCTAATTCAACTGAAAGCTTCCACAGTTTAAAAAAAAAAAAAAAAAAAAAAAAAATAAAAAAAAAAAAAAAAAAAGGCGAAAACAAAGAAAAAAAAAAAAAAAAAAAAAAAAAAAAAAAAAAAAAAAAAAAAAAAAAGGCGACAGAATCACCAGGGGTGACTGAGAGTGCAGGTGCATGAGATTTTGCTCGCAATAGCATATATGTCTGGATAAGGTTGGCAAGGGGTGGTTTTCAGTCGGTGCGAGGTTTATTAGAAAGAGCTGCGTTTCACTGCAAGTTGACACTTGTTAAGCCCCAAAACGACACTTGTCCATTCCACCACTGATGCCTTTGTTGGGCCAACACGTCGCGTAGCAGCTGTCAATTTCATTTCCCAATTAGGCTCCTCAATTCCTTTGTATAAAATCCCCACGATACCATCCGGCCTTTGGCCTCTTATGTTTCTGTTGATACATACTCGTACTGGTACGTAGTTTATGATCGTTGCATGATAATGGCTTCTGAAAAAGCATACCGGGTGTTGCTCTGCTTGGGGTTCGCGATGCTGTTGATAGTTGTTGTTGTCGGTAGCCTAGAACATATGCCTTCCACGAGCGAAAAAAGCGAGGACTCGGAAGCAATTAAGGACAGGGCAAAAGATGCCAAACGAACATCGGAGTCGTGGACAGAATGGGCGAAGGACAAAATCTCCGAGACTGTCGGACGAAAACAAGATGAAGCCAAGGAGGCTGCTAAGAAAGCGTCTGACTCTACCGCTGAAACTGCTCAGAGGACCAAACACAAAGCTTCTGGTCGCTAACCGATGACCATTGAAGATTTAATCTGTTCATCATGTAATGTAATCTAATTAGTTTTATACTTACTCAACGCTAGTGCTATTTGCAGAAAAAGCTGAAGAGCTGAAGGATGCTGCAACGCAGAAGGCCAACGAAATGAAAGATAAGGCCTCTGAAATGACGAATGCGGCTAAGGAGAAGCTCAGTGCGGCTGAAGGCCAGACCAGCGATGCTACAGAAGCAGCAAAGGAGAAAGGTGAGGAGGCAAAGAACACGGCCTTTGAGAAGGCTGAGGAAGCAAAGGACAAGGCCTTTGAGAAGGCTGAGGAAGCAAAGGACAAGGCCAGAGAGACAGTTGGAGCTGCGAAAGAGAGAGCATACCACAAGTCCGAAGAGGCAAAAGATAAGGCAAAGAAGACATCACAGCATCTCAAGGATAACGTGGCTGGTGCCGGTGGTGAATTGCCGGACGAAGAGCTCTGATTTGTTTCTTTGGCTGTTCTGTTGTCGTTTTGGCGTCTATTTTACATATCTGGTGTCCTGTCTTGTATTTTGTTGGGCTTGAATGAAGTAGAAATGAAGTATAGTTGGGATGAGTGACGACAGAGCCCATGTGAGGCCTGTATGAGCCCATATGTATATTTTCTACATGGATGGATTAGTCAACGAAGAAAATGTTCCTGTAATTTGAATCATAATCTGATTGACAAAACAAGGGAAAAAAAATACACATGATTTGAACGGTGTGATATGTCGACTCGCACGGCCTCAGGTTCATCCGCGGCAACACTGAGATTGATGGGGCGAGTTAGATGATAAGATTAATTAGGCTCAATCAATGTTTGTTATGCTGTTATGTCATTTAAAGCGTCAACTGGTCCACACAAATCTATGTGGACCCTTGCCTGGCCGCGGCTACATGTGCGGCTCCTCCACATCTTTTTAATGACCCGACACGGGGGACATGTTTCACATGGAAAAAAAAATGTACGCGTACATTGCAAAAAAAGAAGACGGAAAATCATTGAAAAATAAAATAATTACGGAAGTAATTTAAGTAAATCATTGGAGCCAAGTACTTTTAGGATATTTCATTTTTCTAGCTCCGCGCTTTGACATGTGTTATTTTGCTCCACGAACAAATTTGGAATGCGATAATTTCATAAAATTTTCATATTCATATGATTTTTAGCTTTATATTGAATGGAGGAGAGATGGTACGGACAACAGTGGAACGTATTATTTTTTTGACGAGTTGAAATCGTGTTAAACACGTGCCACGTGTCCAATATACTTTGAACTTAGTGATAAAAAAAACACGTTAAACTTAAATTTAACACATGGCAAATTTACTACTTTAATTTTAATTTATTTGACAAAAAGCTATTATCCCCTTGTACGCTGCATCTTTGAGAAAATTCTATATATATATATTTTTTATAAACCATACCGACATTCTTCATCTTTGAGAAAATTATATATATATGTATATATTTTATAAACCATACCGACATTTTTAATTTAGTTTTCTTCGTTTATAACATCAGACATCGAACTGTGAACATTATTTAAGAGATTCAAGGTTCATCTCACTGGTGGTTGATAGAAAATTTAATATTTTTAAATATTTGTTATTGTAAATTTAACAAAATAAATTATTTTTTATTTTTATTCTGTAATAACAAATGCTCTATTCAATAAATATTTTCTCTCTTTTAATATCATAAATTAAGAGTGATATAGTCAACGCTTAATAATTTATTATTTTAGACAATTTGTCTGATCTTTTTAAAGGACGTGAAATATCTAAATATGATAAATATTTAAAAAAGGAAGTGCATCGTTGTTGCTACAAATTCTATAAAAAATTGCACATTTACGTGTAAAGTATTGACGCAATATACACTTGCATAATTTCTAGAGTAATACTTTTCACTTTAACTATTTATCATTTTAACTTTAAAAGCGTTTAATAGTTGTAATTTTATAATTTAAATTTTAATCAAGGTGCTATCAAATTTTTTCTTATTTTATAAAATTTATGTTTCATTTAGCTTTTTCAATAAAAAAAGAATAACATAGTTTTTCACTTAGAACTTTCTATTAAAAATAATTTAAAAACTATGTGAGGATCAAGTTCTGATGACAAATCAAATATCATTTCTTTATTTCTTGAAAAATTCTGATAATACTGTGGTAAGGGATGCCGTGATTTTTCAATGTCTTAATCCCTTGTGAGTGGTGACTCTCGGCTGTGTATTGAGTGAATTATTTGTTCTATGCTAAAAAATTATACTATTTATTTAGCGATGGGCAGCTCACCCTCTTACGTGGCCACAAATGTGGACAGCAACTATTATTATTAATTTCTTAGGTGGCATTATTAAAGGTAGGTCATCTTTTAGACCTGACGATTTTTTTTATTCCCATGAAAAATCCAAACTTTTCGTTAAATATTTTTATTTAAAATATCTAAATGGACATCAACTATTTTTCTTTAGAAGAATTAAAATTCGTTCGTTAACATCTTTTTATGAAATAGAAAAATTACACCGTATAGATGGAATTTTATGAATGATTCCATTTTTTATTATTAATAATGTAAGTTAAACACTTAATTTTATTCTAAAATTATTTTTCAAAACTGATGGATTTTATAAAATTTGAATTATCATATGTGACTAAAAGGATTGGCCATAAATAAACCTAAGAAAATTTTGGAAATAGGAAACTTCAACAGGAAGCCACATGTTCAATCAGTGTAATTATTTATAATTTTTTTTCAAAAGTAATTTCTACTAATTGGTAACGTAATGTTAATTGTCACCAAATATTGTACGACATGGTAACCCCAAGAGCCGTAATATTCAAGCCACGAAATCCGGCTTATTCTGTTAAAATTACTATAGTAATTAAATACAGTAAATAAAATAAATTTTTACTTTTAAATTAATTAGTTAATCTACCAAATATAAAAGTATATAGGTTTAAATCCATTTATAGATTTGAATTTAATTATATATATATATATATATATTTCATCTTTATTTGATTTTTAAAATTCAAACATGATATCTATATATATATTTTTTGATAAAAACATAAAATTATGAGGGTAGGGTCATCTGCTCACCTTCCGTGTAGCCGCAGGCAAGCCAAACCCCAACCGAACCGAACCGGATCTTCGTATGTTACGTTGTTATTACAAAATCATTTGCTTTTTTGTATGAGATATTTCATTTATCGTTAAATAAAAAATAATTATCAAAATAAAAATAAAAAAACATTTTCCATAATGATAATAATAATAATACAATAATACGAGAACACGGATAGAGAACCAGAGAGGGGGAGGGGCTTATAAGAAGGACAGAGAGGATTGGAGCGAAAATCAGAATCAGCAAGTGTATCGTGATCGTCTATTAAACGTTTTTACGGTTGCACAACTTACACAACGTAGCATCACGGCTGCCTTCTCTCTCTCTCTCTCTCTCTCTCTCTCTCTCTCGATTCTCTAGTTTGAATACTAAGCCTCATCTCTATATCCTATAGAAATTCAAATCTGCGTCTTCCCCCCCCCCCGGAGAGGAATTAGGTGTGCGGTCTGTTTGTTCTGAATGGTGACGCACCACCACAAGGGAATGCGACTTGGAAAATACGAACTCGGCCGCACCCTCGGCGAAGGAAATTTTGGAAAGGTTAAATTAGCTAAGAATATTGATTCCGGTCAACCTTTTGCCGTTAAGATCCTCGAGAAGAACAGGATCATTGACCTCAAGATCACCGATCAGGTTTTAATTTCTCTCATTTCTTTCAATTGGAAATTTAATTTAAAATTAAAAACAAATTACACAACACAACAAGGATATGCTTTGCTTCTTTCTTTATTTACAGATTCTTGCTCTTTTTTCTTTATTGACACGAATCCGGAAATAAATTGCAGATAAAGAGAGAGATCGCCACCCTGAAGCTTCTCAAACATCCAAATGTTGTGAGATTACACGAGGTATCCCAATTTCGTAATTAATTTCTTTGAATATCTGTTGCAGTAAATCTGTATACGAATCCGTATTAATTGCGTATTAAGTTCGTTAAAGTATAAATAATAAATACAAATAAAAGTACGAAAAATCTTGCGTAACTTCGAGCACAAACAAACATAACAATGGCTCCAGTAGTTTGAAGTTACGTTAATATAATACTTTTTCTTTTTTCTGAAGCGTTTTCATTTTCTCTTATTTTATTTTTCCGGAGAAGAAAAATCTTAAAATCGAGTGGTACTTGAGCGGCGTGATTGTAGACAAAAAAAAAAATTCTAAAGTCCTAGTCCAGTTGGCAATCTTTTACCCAGAAAAATAAATAAATTCCTGGCCATCAGATCAAGTATGTGTATGTTTCTCGTGTGGATAAGTTTGCCGCGTGGACTGGAATGGTTTTGTGGCATGTGCACGGGGGCGGGGGGAGGTCGTTGTCAGGGCAAACGGGGTCCTCTTGATGATGTGGTTGGTGTTGTTCGCTCAGAAAAGCTCCCCCAATAATTGATCGGATGAGGCCAAAGAAAATTAGAGATAGTAAAACATAATTGAACCTCACAGTGGGCCCACTCTCGCCATCGGTTCATATTACATTTGCGGTATCATTATCACTTTTGTTATGCCGCGGGCCTCCTGCGCCCACTTGCCCTTTACCTATGCAGGGTCTGTGTGTGCACATTTGCCTAGTTGGAACTAAACAATTGAGGTCGTTCCCAAGCCCTCTTGGTCTTGGTGTTATTTGGACAGTACTGTTCTATGCAACATTTCAGTCCTTCATACATCACATTTCTTTGCCCTGGAATAAGGCGACCAAAATATTTAAATCAATTGGATAAGGTTTTATTTTTTTTCTCTTCTTTGAATGTAGTTAATAGTAAAAAGAATTGATGGACTTTGATCATCTCTAACTAATTAATCATTCTTGCATGAAAATCTTAGATTAAATATCATGGTGAAGTTCCTACTCTTCTTACGGTAACTGATGGAACTACACTTCTGTCATTTTTTTCCTCCCTTTGACATTGCTGCTTAGCATTTTCTCTTTTGGTGCTTCTTGTGCTCACAAATATTCAATTATGCTAACATTTTGTGGTGAAACAACATAATTCTTTGTTAATTGTTCTTGGAAAATATGCAGGTCTTGGCAAGCAAATCAAAGATTTACATGGTCCTAGAATATGTAAATGGAGGGGAATTGTTTGACAGAATAGTGAGAATCTTTACTCCCAACTAATTTCTCACGAATTCAATCCAATTAAATAGGAAAAAAAAAATCTTCAAGCTGATTACTTTCAAGCTATTGATAGTCTGCCTTTATCCTACAGGCATCCAAGGGGAAGCTTCCAGAAGCTCAGGGCAGGAAGCTCTTTCAGCAGTTGATTGATGGTGTCAGTTACTGTCACAACAAAGGTGTTTTCCATAGGGATCTCAAGGTTGATATTTGCACATTTAATTATATATATTAAGCAAAATTGTAGTTTTCTTTAATCAATGCTTTTTTGTTGTTCTAATCAAAGTATTTCGTTTTCAACATGCAGCTAGAGAACGTTCTTGTTGATTCAAAAGGAAATATAAAGATATCTGATTTTGGACTCAGTGCTTTACCCAAGCATTTTAGGGTATGCTTCCTTGCTAAACTAGACTGTGAAAATATTTCCTTTCTGGGAGCTGATTCCTTTTACAAAATTCTTTTAAACATCAGGATGATGGGTTACTGCATACAACCTGTGGAAGTCCGAACTATGTTGCACCTGAGATTCTCTCAAATAGAGGTTATAATGGTGCCACATCAGACATATGGTCATGTGGTGTTATTTTGTATGTAATTCTCACAGGATATCTCCCTTTTGATGATAGGAACCTTGCAGTTCTATATCAAAAGGTATTGAGAGTTATTCGTTTGTCCTTTTTCCTTTGAATTTTGATGCGGGTTTGTGATTTCCATTTTGAGAAGTTTTCATGCTTGATTTTTCAGATTTTTAAAGGGGATGCTCAGATACCTAAATGGCTATCACCAGGTGCCCAAAACATGATAAGGAGGATACTTGATCCAAATCCAGTTACCAGAATTACAGTGGCAGATATCAAAGCTAATGAATGGTTTAAGCAGGACTATAGTCCTGCAGATCCTGCAGAAGAAGAAGAAGACACGCATATTGACAATGAAGCCTTCTCAATTGATGAAGTGGTAAGAAATTTGAAATCTTCATTTTGATCTACCCCTTCTTTGGGAATTTAGTGCTTTGTTGCTCTAACTAGAAGGACCGTTCATTGGGTGTAGCCATTGGAAAGGGAGAGGACTCCAGGATCACCTACACTCATTAATGCCTTTCAGTTGATTGGGATGTCCTCATGTCTAGATCTATCGGGTTTCTTTGAGCAAGAGGTACCCAAATATAGAGCAGTGGCTATTACCTCCCATAATTTTCCCTCTATTGCTGTTTTACATGTTGGTCAGAATACCTAAATGTGTACTCGTTTGGATCAATTTAGGATGTTTCTGAGAGGAAGATCAGATTTACATCCAATCATTCTTTGAAGGATTTGCATGAAAAGATTGAGGATATTGTGACAGAGATGGGGTTTCGGATCCAAAAGAAAAATGGAAGGGTTAGTAGTTTCGTTGATTATGACAATGGCAACTTTCATTCTTTGTCATAGATATAAATGTTAACAATGAGTCATGCAAGTCATGTACTGGCCAGATGTTGACAGAAATTTTAATGATCATTTTTCAGTTGAAAGTGGTGCAAGAGAACAAAGAGCACAGAAGCTTGGGTAGTCTTTCTGTTGCTGCAGAGGTGAAACTCCAAACTACTTTACAAAAATGTTAATAGCATTTTCGTAGATGCATAGCAAGATGTTGATATGATATGATTTCAATTTTATCAGGTATTCGAAATAAGCCCATCATTGTATGTAGTTGAATTACGAAAATCATATGGAGATTCTTCAGTTTACAGACAGGTATCCTCTTTCTCTATCCCTGTACTACCTACCCATTTTATAATGTTTGATCTCTGTCCCTGTCTTTCTAACATTCTGCTGATATTTGAAAACAGTTATGTAAAAAGCTATCAAGTGATTTAGGCGTCCCATCAAATGATATTGGACTGTTGACGACAGAAGTGTGAATAGTGAATCCTGGAGATTTGCTAGATAAGTGAGGCAGCAACTGAGGATCTGTATCTCAACCTTGTTTATTTATTGCAAATTCCTAATTCCTAAAGTAATTTATCTATTTACGTGGCAGTATTATATTCAACGAGCTTATAGTAATTCAATATGTGAACTAGTCCAAATGCCCAATAAGAAGATTATATGTGCTCAAAGCTTCCTTGTTCTTGATATCTTGGTAGATATAGCTTCTTCTTTCTTTTTATATTTTTTTTACCCCCCTGTAAAATTCTTCCATTAATGAAGGCAGAATAATAGTAGTAAGATTTTATGGCTTCTAAGAATCATTTTTTCACAAATTTGACATAAAAAGGACGAGGGTTAAAGGAGTACTATATTATTGATACATTTTAACTCAAAATCCTGAAAACTTAGAATTGAAAATTACATCCAAAAGTACGCTTCATCAACCTTAATAAATGTATCAATCAGAAAGGTAATTACGTTGGCAAAATTTGAAGCTCTAAATATTAAATGACGCTGCATCTTCAGGCAATCCCAAATTCCCAACAAAAAGCAAAAAAACAATCGATCCGTCCCTGGTCGGTAATAGCAGCAGACTCGAGAGATGGAGCAAAGGCCGCCAAAAGAATGATGTGAAGAAAATAACCCAAAAACATCACTAAAAGTCTAAAAGTAGCCTATGTAAAGCGCCACCACGGTCTTATCAATACGGCCGCCGAGCTTTGTGTCCTTTGTGGTGCTGAGGTAGCCGTGCACAGCTTATCCCCCTCCATCAAAACCTTAATTTGCCTTTGGCCACTCCTTAAGAGGACATGGATTTCACGATTAATGTGGCTTCTGCGACGAACCTTACGATTAATGTTCTTGCAGGGTTCAGAGATGATAAGGTTAACAATTCACCATCTAGATTCTTGGCTTTCAATGCTCTTTTGGAGGATGATCATCCTCCTGCTAGTAGTGGAGTAATTTAACAAGTACATAAACTTGGTAAGTCTCAAATTTCTCTTTGAATCCAAAAGAAAAAATGACAAACTGAATAAATTTCTTATGCAAATTTGCTCATCATCTAATTTGCTGGTGACTTCCTATTTATATTTAGCGCCAAAACCAAGTCAAATACTTGCATACTAATTCATGACCTATTGTCTGTAGAAATATGATGCTTTGTCCCAGTACAAGGCTAATCTGCTAGGGTTTCTTCAGGATACAACTAACATAATAGTGGGATATGACTTTGCACTACGTACAATCATCAAACAACATGATCAGGATGTACATATTAAATTCTGACGGAAAAAATAACACTTGACTACCCAGTTCAGAAACATTAGAAGTGTAATGATGCATGAAAATTGCAGTGTTATATACAACTGAAGATTTGAAATTTTTTTGTGCAGAAAAGGGTATCTGTACATGAACGTTTTGTGCCGTCAATAGCTCCTAACTTGCAAGTCTGTTGCCAAGCCCTTTGCCATAAACCTGAATCAAGCCACTTTCGTCAGCCATTTTAAGTTTCTCATTCAACAAGGTCTTGTAATTATCATCTCTGTCCTCTAAAGCTCGCATGAATTCAACCTGTAGAAGCAATATAAACATATAAAAGTTGAAAAAGGGCAAAATAAGATAGAATAGACCAACTGCATTTCCGCATTCTAACCGTAAAAGTGGTTTTTATATTTAATAATCATGTGAGCAAGCAAGTTCACAACCCACTTCGATGGTTGTGAACTTGTGATAGTATAAATCACACAATAGACACAATAAAGACTGTGAAATTACTATCTCATAATGAATTTGAAATCAGAGATATTTCAACTTCATATTTGAATATCAAGAAACATATATCAACCCTTTACCTGCTTCTGAAATGTATTGAATTCATCAGAGCTCAGAGAACCATCGCTGTTTGAATCAAGAAGCTGCATCATCTCCCTTGCATCTTCCCCAGGGGCACCTAGCTCTTCCATCACCTCCATGAGTTCCTCAATGCTAATTTGGCCGTCACCATTCTTGTCCAAAAGACGAAATACTCGATCTCTCTGGTCAATCTCAATACCTTTAGCAGATGGAAGATCTCTAAGACGCAATGCTGCAAGTTCAGCAGCTGCCATCATTATAGCCTTGAGCCGCTTTGCCTGAATCATAAGTCAATCAGATTCTAGAAAATATGCCTAATGTTAAAATGTTTTAAATCGTCTAATATCCGGGAATAAGGTTAATGCACTTGAAAATTTTATCATGGTGTACAATTCAGCATTCACTTTTCTACTGAACCAAAACTAAGCCTGCCTCTCTTCCAGTGCCTCCTCTTTTCCATTCCAACATCGTAATGAACATTGAAATGGAATGGTTCATGAATAAACCGTCCTATTTCATGATTCTAAAAAAAGAAAACAGATAAATGAAAAAAAAAAAAAAAAAAAACGGTAATGAACATTGAAATGGAATTGGTTCATGAATAAAATCCCGTCCTATTTCATGATTCTAAAAAAAAGGGAAAACAGATAAATGAAAAAAAAAAAAAAAAACTCTTAGTGTGTTGTGAGGCTCATATGATTTTAGAATCTCAAGTTAATATTACACTTTCGATACCTTTTTTTTGTGGTCTATTTTAAACTTCAACAATAAAAAAAAAAAAAAAAAAAAACTCTTAGTGTGTTTGAGGCTTGTTCATATGATTTTAGGAGACTCTCAGAGTTTAATATTACACTTTCGAATAGTCCTTTTTTTTTTTGTGGTCTATTAAAACTTGTCACAATAATGATCTTTCAACCATGCAATTAAAAGTACTAACCCCTTCTGGATCAGTAAGACCACCCTTGTACAGTGAATGGGATGCTGTTCCATCAACTGCAAGCATGTCCATCTCTGTAGTCCTTATTTGGATTTCCATTAGTGGTCTAGTCTTGCCATTGTCACTTATATCAACTGCCATATGTAAACTCCTATATCCATTAGCTTTGGGACTGGCAATGTAGTCTTTCCTTCTGTGTGGCATTTCTTTCCACAAAGTTTGGATAATTTCACAAGTCCGATAGCATGCTTTTTCACCTACTTCTGACGTATCTTCACCAAACTTGGGCTTTAATATGACTCGCAAACCTAGGACATCATTTACTTCCTCTGGTTTCCGACCATCTTTCAAGATCTTCTTCATTGTGCTAAAGCGGCTTTTATAGCGGCCTTTAACTGAGATATCCTCCACCATGTCGGCTAAGATAGGATCAGCTCTAAGGGATTGATGCAGCTTTTCCGTGTATATATCTATTAGAGGCTTACTTCCAGTCTCATGGCTGCGTAACCATGTATCCAAATACAGGTAGGAATATGGGAAGAGGTAACGGAAAGAGAGATCCTCTAGTTCCATTGACAGGTAGTTAGTTCCCACAGCATGAGCCAAAGGGGCATGTATCTTCATAATCTGAAGAGACAAAATCTGTTGTTGATACCTAGGCAAGTAATCTAAATGTCTCATCATATCAAGCTTGAGAGCCAAGTCCAAAATCAAGGCCCGGATATCATAGTAGGTAAGGCAGAATTTTCTTATAGCAGCAGCACCATCATCATCCAAAACTTCAATTCTTGAAGGAATGTTCTTCACACGCAAACTTTCATGCAGTAGATGAGCAGTACCAATCCCTATGTGATCTCTGACTTCGTGCATGCATATTGCACCAGCCTCAAAGACCTGCATTAGTATACTAGCGGAAATAACTTCTGCGTCCATCTGCAAATTTATATTTTGTTGGCAATAAAAGTTTTAGTTAGCTATTGCCTATAATGATAATAGAAACTGGCAGGTAAAAGCTGGCAAGGTTACATCAAGCTAAAAGGACAATTGAAATGAAATGACAACCAAAAGATAATTTGCAGAGGATGGATTGAAGGTAAGATAGATTTGAGTTTAACTAGCATAGGTCCTTTGATCGACCATAGGGCGTATTCTAAGAATTTGAAGCGTAACGTAAAAAGCTCCGCATGCATCAAACAAGTCCAATTCGACAGTTGGATTCAATTCCTCACATCTGCATAGTGCTTACCATTTCTTTCATTTAAGCGAATAGAAAAGAACAAAATTCTCAATTTAAATGCTGAAACTTTTTGTAACCTCAATTAATTAATGTGAAAAAGGAAGATGATCAAAGTTCCGAAATTAACATAATTCTAAATTCCTAATTGTTTGCGGACACTTGATATAGTAGAAAATAAGTTAAAAGGATAAGTCGTCGTTAGAGCGCTTCCAGTAAGAATTACAATTAGGAGACAGAGGACACAGAGACAAGTACCTGAAGATCCGCCAGTACCAGAGCCACAGACAAGGCCTTGGAGAAAGGAGAGCGGCCATCAGGAGCCATAGGTAAGTTCTGAAGTATGGGGATGGACAGCTTCAAGGCCTTGAAAAGTATTCGCGAAGAACTTGTCGACAGCACATTCATCCTCTCCGTCAGCTCGTTGAACGCGCCCACCAGCTCCATCACCATCTTCCCCCCCGCCTGCTCTAGCGCCCCTGTCGCCCTTGCTGAAACGTTTATCCATCTCTGTCTCCGCTTCCAGCTTCGTGTATTTAGATTCAGCGCCCACAAGCTTATAATGTGATGTTGTAGGCTTCGAACCCTCTTAATCGGAAAGGGCAAGTGTGGAGGAGGAGAGAGCTCCATTAACGAGCCGGAGATATAGAGTTACTGCTTTACTGAAGTCTGAGCAGGCAACCCAACAAGAATACTTCGGCGATAACGGCCCTTTCACGTGTCTTGTTTTGGCTGGTCTAAATATTTTCCTTTTTTCTTTTTGTGTCTTCATGATCGCAGGAAGTTTTCTATTACAAGAAACGGTGTCGTTTTCTTCAGCAACTTTTCCCCGCTCCTCGTTTCTTTTAACGGCAAAAGCCTCTAAATATGGACGGAAGGACTGTATAGTCTAATAGATACATATTGTGGGAATGATTTAGATATTTAATCAAAATATTTGATTATTTAATTAATTTGGTGAAACTTCAGGGACGACATAATAATTTTCCCTTTTTTTTTAGACAGCCTAAAACCCTACACCAAATCCCTCTGCTGTTCCTTCAGCCTTCGGGTTCCAAAGATGCTGTCTGCAATTTCTCGTCCCTCTTTCCTTTATTAACACAAAAGTTCGATTTCATATTCCGTCGCAGTGCAATCTCCTCAATATACATCTTTAGCTAAGCCATGTCGGCCCAATCGAGAGGCCTTGTTTCTCGTTTCCACCATCTTCTTTCGCTCAGTACTAAAACAACATCGCCATCAGCAGCATCATCCCTGTACTACTTCGTTAGGAGGTTTAGCACCGATTCTCTACTCGATGGTTACGAGATCCAAAACCGAGAGTCTCGGATCATTGAGCCAAAGCCCGGCATCATGACCCCTAATTCTAAGCGAACTGGTTTGATTGCTCTCAAGTGTGGAATGTCTGCTCTTTGGGATAAATGGGGCGAAAGGATTCCCATCACTGTCCTTTGGGTTGACGATAACATCGTTACTCAGGTCAAGACTGTTGAGAAGGAAGGCCATTTTGCCTTACAGGTACAGCTACCTACTATATATCTTTATTCCATATCAAACACATTGCTCTAAATTTCGCATTTGTAAAAGTTTTTTATCTTCTTCTGGTTCACCAAAATGGAGGGTTAAGTTCATGGATATGCGTTTGATATTACTTGTTCAGATTGGTTATGGGCAGAAGAAGGCTAAACATTTGACGAAGCCTGAAGTGGGTCATTTTAGAGCTCAAGATGTTCCATTGAAACGGAAGCTGAAAGAATTTCCTGTCACAGAAGATGCGCTTCTCCCTGTTGGTACTTCCATTGGCGTTCGTCATTTCGTTCCCGGTCAATTCGTTGATGTCACGGGAATCACCAGAGGAAAAGGATTTCAGGTTACATATTTTCTTCTTTATTGTTCATGTCACTGTCTAACTATTTCCTTCAACTTCCCTTTGTTCCGCTTGTTCAACTTAAGATACTTAATTTAGCTCGTGGTTTATTGGGTTCTTCGAACGCATCACTGGTGTGATGGAGTCACATTTTATTAATGTATATTAAATCTTTAATTTTGATGCTTAGGTAGTTCCATTTGCAATACCCATTATGAAGAAAAAAGAAAGGGATAGTCTTTGTGAAATTTGTGATGTCAAAACAGGATAGTTAGCCATTTTCTGGATGGAGGGTTATAGAGGGGAAAGGTATGGTAAGGTAAAATAAAGTTGGGTTTTTGAGTTGTTTGGGAGGAGGGTTATTTTAAAGGAAGGGTTTTTTGAGGTTATTTGGAGGGTTCGAAAACCCCAAAACACTCCCATTCAGGGTCTTCCTGAAATTTGAAAGATTGGTGAGTTCCTGAAACACTGTTGTTCAAAATCCCCAACAATCCTCTAAGATAAGAGAATGTCAAGATTTATCATATTGCTTTTTACATGTCTTGTTGTTTTATTCTCTGTTCAGGGTGTTATGAAAAGACATGGATTTAAAGGAATGCCTGCAAGTCATGGTGCATCACTATCACATCGAAGTCTTGGCTCTACTGGTCAGAGGGATGCACCTGGTAAGGTGTGTATCTCTTAGATTGTTGAAACACAGATTTCGATCTGGTTCTTAAATCATATACTTCCTGAATTACAAATCTTGCATGCTGATTCTTTCTGAAATGATGATTAACATTTCAGAATGTAATCTTTTTATGTCTTAGTGAGATTAATGCGATATATTGATTAATTTTGCAACTTATAGATCATATACATGAGGAATAAATAGTATGGAAAATATGCTCTATGCATTCTCTTAAGTCTCAACTTTCAGTTTTTGCTCTCATGAAGCTTCTGCAGTAGTCTTGGTTTAATTATGAACTTTTGCATGTTATGCCTATACCAATAACCATTCCTCTTACACATGTACATCATTGTATCAATGTTCTTATGCATGTCTTACAAATACTGAATATTCTTATGGACTATCATCTGAAGATTGTGAGGAACTGAGTCAACTCTTGAATGGAATGGAATAAGTAGTAGTTGAGTGGAAATGGTCACTTGGCAGACTCAAAAAGCGCAGAATAGTTTCCTTCTCAAAGATGCTAGAATTAAAGCTTCATTCTGATACTTCAATGGATGACTTCTTTTCTTCTCCTTTTGATGAATCACACTGCAAAGTGTAATTCAGGGATTTGGTTGAAACTTTATAGCACTTATTTTTTCCACTATTTAACCATTGAAAGACCATTGTATTTACATTTTCCCCTAGAGGGCTATTAGGTAATGATGGAGGATGGCTCTATCCACATGACCTTACTGTACTAAGCTAATCATAAATCTTGATCTAGTTGTCTGCTACTTGAACTCTCCCTCCTTTCAATCTTATCCAAAGCCATTTTCTTGGGTTGTAATAATCAATGCATACCACTAATTTATTTTTCCTAGACTATTCTTTTTTAATTTGTTGAAGGCATATTCTCTGATTTTGGATTTCATTGATTGCATTGCTATAGATTTATCTTTGTTTAACTGCCCTTGGTTTGCAATGGTGAGAATTGTGTTTGCTTTCTGGCAGGTATTTAAAGGCAAAAAGATGCCTGGTCGCATGGGTGCGGAGCAGAGAACAGTTAAAAATGTATGGGTCTACAAAATAGATCCAGCAAGGAATTTGATGTGGGTGAGAGGCCAGGTGTGGTTTTCTTACCAAATTTAACTTCATGTATAGATGCTTAAGAAAATTAATGGAATGGGGGTGGCAATCCATGTAAAATGTTTTACAAATTTACCAAATCTATATAAGAAAATTAATTGAGCATGTCTTACAAATTTACCAAATTTATCTTTTTTTTTCTTTGATGGGTTGGGAAATATTACGAAATTCATTCCGAGTGGCTGGAAACTTTTGTTCTTGATTACTCTGATAACATGTTTTGTTTGTTTTGTTCTGCACATTTTATCTCAAGCTCAACAATATTGTGCAATGCATTTACATTAAAGGAGAAACAGAGAATGATGAGTGTTTTTCCCCACCCACTGTGACACTTCCCTGTTGTTATATTTTTCTTGAATTATAATTTTGATGGAGGTTTCAATTGTTTATAGGTTCCTGGTGCCGAAGGAAACTTTGTATTTATAAAAGATGCTGTTTACAAGAAACCTGATGTTTCTATGCTTCCATTCCCTACTTACTTTGCGGCAGAAGATGAAACTTCAGAACCTCTGGTTGCTGAGCTTGGAGAAATAGATCCATTTATGGCTGCAGATTAATTGGCAATAGAGGTCGGTTTGGGCTTAATCGCCTTGCAGTCAGTACTTTTTACATCAAATACACAGGTAGCATTAGAGGATTGTATTCTGGGCAATTTGCTGAGGCTGTTAATCCAGTTATTTTTTTGTTGGAGGACTGCAGCTGCAGGGCACATAATTTTGTTATTTCCATTGGAAATCTGGAAATCGAAAATGGCCGGGCCAACCATGATTGGATATCAGCACAGTGTTTCAAATAAATAGGAATTTCTAGAATGTTGGCTAGTGGCGATTGTAAAATTGTTGCGCTTGAAATTGAATTTCCTGGTATTCTCATGCTCAATTAGGCTGTTTTAAGCTACTAGTTTTGGAATCACAAGTTAAATATTGTGCAATGCATTGTTTGTCAGACTGCTATTGAAATTGAACTTCACTACAAGTGGCGCGTTGCCCAGAAATATTTCCATGACAAAAATAATGCATTTTAGAAGAAAAAGTTTTTGCCTTTTTTTTTTTTTTTTTTTTTTGCTCAATTAGGGCTGTTTTAAGCTACTAGTTTTGGAATCACAAGTTAAAATATTGTGGCAATGCAATTGTTTTGTCAGACTTGCTATTGAAATTGAACTTCCACTACAAGTTGGGCGCGTTGCCCAAGAAATATTTCCCATGACAAAAATAATGCATTTTTAGAAGAAAAAGTTTTGCCTCCCCCTTTTTTTTTTTTTTTTTTTTTTTAATTTTTTTCTATTCTATGCTAGTGTTTTGTTAGTTTTTTTTTTTTTTTTTTTTTTAATTTTTTCTATTCTATGCTAGTGTTTTGTTAGTGTTGTTATCTTCTGCTTCAGATGTTCATCCTATCACTGGAAGAACTTAATTTATAAACAGAAGGAAAATAGAAAAAAAAGAAAATAATAATGGCAAACCGTTGGTTAAATTAAAAAGCGTAAATAATATTATTAATATATATGATAATAAGATAAGTGAAATTTCTGGTGGGAGCCCTTTTACGTGTCGACCATTCCAATTAAGAATCTCTAACGGCAAAAGGAAATTTCGCAGTTCGTCGTCTCGTCGTGTTTGTTCGCTCAACCCCATACCATCCCATCTGTTCTTCTTCTTTTTTATTTTGATTATATTTATTTTTTTTGTGCCAAACCTCAAAGTAAGAAAAATCGAGTAAATTCTTCGACTCGCCAGTTACTTTCGGCCCTAACCTCTGCGTCTCTGTTTCTAGCTATAGCTAGGGTTACCGTTGGGAGATCAATAACCCCATGCAACTCCAACCTTATCATCGTTAATTTACATAATGGACCAGTCGGAATGCGGTGGATGCGGTGGAGTGAGGCGGTGGGTCCTCCACAACGTCCGCCACAGAGCCGCTTACCGTCGACTCTGCACCAATTGCATCCTTAAGAGTCACCAGGGTCTCTTCTGCCCCTTCTGCTTCGAAGTGTACGACGAGTCTCTTCCTCCTCATGAGCGCCTCATGTGCCTCAAATGCCCTTCCATCTCTCACCTCTCATGCGTTCCCTGGTCCCATCCCCATTCCCCTCCTTCCTTCCTCTGCCCAGCTTGCTCCACCCCTAATTTCTCCTTCTTTAACCTCGACTCTAATAATGCCACTAATAGTGGCACGCCTATTGATAAGGACTCTGCCAGAGCACTCTTGGCTGGCGCCAGAATTGCCGCAGTCTCCATGGCCAAAGCTGCAACGGTGGCTAGGGTTGAAGCCGAGAGGAGGGTGAAAGAAGCTGCATTGGCGAAGAAGAGAGCAAGAGAAGCTTTAGAAAGACTTGCCTACTTGGCTGCCAAAGAGAAAGAGATGAAGGAGAAGGACAGAGATTCCAAAGTAGCTACCGGAACAGGCATCAAAGTCAGTAACAATAACAACAAGCGAATCTTAGCAGATGGAATTGTAAGAGGAGACAAGGGCAGTAATGGACTGCACTCGGTTTCTCTTGTTGTTAATGTTAGTGGCAATGCAGGACAGTTGAAACGCCAGTAACAGTAGTAATCGACTCAGGCATCCTCTCTGTTATTGAAGCTGATTTCTGGCTATCTTTCTTGTAAAGATGATGATTTTCAGCATAGAACAGGGGATGTCGTGCTTGTAGGTGATGTTTCTGTATTTTTTGTCAAGCTTATTTCTTTCTTGTGATCTGAATTATCTGCTGGACTCTTTGCTTTCATTTTTGTAAAAAAAAAAAAAAAAAAGGCGACTCTTGCTTTCATTTTTTGTAAAAAAAAAAAAAAAAAAAGGGTTAGTTACCAATTTCTCATTGCAAATGTGGTTGGTGAGTGAATTTTTGGATGGTAAATCCCAAAAACATTGTAGTAAGTTTATGTTTATAATTATAATTATTCCACACTAATTTCCATTACTAATAATAGGCTCCCCATCTTGTAAAAAAAAAAAAAAAAAAAGGGTTAGTTACCAATTTCTCATTGCAAATGTGTGTTGTGGTGAATTTTTGGATGGTAAAATCCAAAAACATGTAGTAAGTTTATGTTTATAATTATAATTATTCCACACTAATTTCCATTACTAATAATAGCTTCCCATCTAAATCACATCTAACATTAAGATTATTGTCTTTGACACCTCAACTAAAATTTTAAATTACTAGCTCTCCTTTAATGCATAGTAGTAGTCTTTAAAAAAAATTATCCAAACTTTTCTATTTATTGCAATTTTAAATAATATACTGTTTGATCTTAATTTTTTATTTCTTTTTTTCCATCCATCTTTTTAATTTTGCAATAATGCAAACAATTTGGTCTTGACATTGTTAGGCTTTAACAATACAAACCTTTCTGGACAAATTTCTGCATTATTTCCTCAAAAAATTAGTTGAATTGTGATTATCGTCACGGGGCGTAATGATTGTAATGATTTCATAAAGTGAACGCAATACATTTTTCATAAAGAAGGTGCATATGGATTTTGGACATGTTGGGTTATAATTTTGCTTAACATGACAAGGTTGCAATATTGGATTGGACTAATGTAATGGACGGGAAAATTATGCTTTTTGTCTACCTCAACTTGTTTCAGACAGTGGGGAACAAACATGGAAGCAAAGCTTACAACCAGATTTCAATCGTTTTTTAAACCAAGCAAGCAAGGGAAACCAGTAGTACGAAGCCACTGGTTTGCTTGGATAAATCGAGCAGCTCTGAACCGACGAGCCTGTTTTATCTCTGTTAAAACATGGTAACCTTCCCATTCTACTCTGGCACTAGTGTTGGCACCTTCGCCTCTGTTGCTGTACTCAGCAAAATACAAAGTATTCAGGTATAATTTACAAATCCATTCTAGCCACCCTGCTGGTTCGATAAATCCCCCAATTTGGGATTCCATTATTACAGTTCTAGAGTACGGCTTCCGAGGTCTCCCCAAATATGATGGGAACTGTGATGACACTGGAAACAACTTCTGGTCCGGAACGATTCGACAGTTCTGGATAACCAGACCTGTGGATTCATGTTTGTCAGCTCGTTCATGAGCCGTGATTGTGTTTTTCTGACCGGGGTCGGGTTTCCTAACAACGATCAAAGAGTTTTGGACGACGGCAGCTGCGTCACCAAAGATGATATCAATAGTTCCTGAAATCATACAGTTGCGGTAGAACTGGCGATGGGTTTGTTGATACAATGTGTTTCGATACCCATCCATTCTGCAGTTATACAAGGCTGCTCTATCCGACTGGACACGAAGAGCCACCGCCTGGTGCCCTATTGCACCGGCTGTGTTTTGAAATCCCATTGACTTGGCCATAAACCCGTCTCCTATGGCCGCTGTAACATCAAACTCATTATTATTATGCTTACAAATTGAAATTGCCAAAATTCCAAAAGCAAATCAAAACTCACAGAAGGAGGCAGTTCTTATGGTGGGTATTCCATTTTTGTAGCTCTTATTCCCTGTAACTATCGTCCTCCGCGGCCCATCTCCGTACATAAAGACGTTTACTTTATCCTTGGCAATTGTTACATTTTCATTATAAACCCCAGCTTTTACGTAAATGACATATCTTTCTGTAAGGTTCTTTGGGTAGGCGGCAAGGGCAGCTCTGATAGTTTTATACCGGCCGCTGCCATCCTGTGCAACAATGGCATTCGGCTCGACGTTGGCGTTGTTTCGACTAGCCAACAGTTTCCTGTCTCCAATTGACATCCATGTTGGAGAGGCATAGCCGCTATTCATGAGTCGTCGAGAAGTTTGATTTGCATTAACGTTCTGCGGGACGCCGAAAGCGCTTAGGATATCTGAAATACCAGAAACAATGGCTAAGGCATTGCTGGTTAGGTGAGTGGAATTGATAAGGGTCTGTACCATTGGCTTGAAAAGGGGAGTGTTGGCAAAGCCTTCAAGGCACGTGTGGTGGTATGACATGACAGCACTTAACCAGTTTTTAAGCTCAGCCTGGCCGTCTTGAATAGTGTCTACGCTGCTGTTATCTACGGCCGACAAGGAGGCTTGAAGCTCGTCAATGGCATATTGCAACAAATCGTCGCAGTCGTCCAAAGCCATCTTTTGGGTGGAATTTTTGACGTCTTTTCCTATTATATTTGCTGTATTATTCTTGGCCAATGTGACATGGTGGATGGTGTTGTTTATGGCGGCTTTGACGAAATCTAAAGGGGTGGCGCTTTTGTTGCGAGCGGTGGAGCAAATGCTGACAACACAACGATGCTTGTAATCTGTTTGCTTACAGATTGCAGCGACTGTCTTGGAAGTTGTAGAAAGTGCTTTCTCGTCGTCTTCATCAGCTTCTTCATCAAAACCGCCATTGTTTACGCCTGCTAAAAGTCCAATGCATACGCCTACAACCAGGAGAATGGAGATTACTCCCACAACAGCCCTCAACGGATTCATGTTTTTTGTTGGATAAGGTGCTAAAAATTAAAATGAATAAATAAAAAAAGCCTATTCTAAATAAAGACATGACGATATATAATTGAGTTGAGGTGGTGATGGCTGTGAATCTGATCCAACAGTTTCCCCGAAATGAGTTCCCTCTCGTCAATTTGCTCATCAAATTCAAAACTATTGCCTGGCCTGGTTAGTGGTTTCGCAGTAAGAATAAATAGTTGAGGACTTGGTTTGGAAGTCATTCCAAACAAGTCTCAATTTTTATCTTATATTTCGAATTGCATATAAATAGCAAGAGATTAGCATATCATGTGTGGCAGGGAAGCAACCAAACCAAAGTGTACAGTGCTAACAGCTAAACATGACCGCACTGACCCTCCTCCAATTCTGGGCACCGACGACGACACCGGCTTCTAACTCTGCGTCTAATGCTCCCAAAGCCCAATCTTCACCGATTCAAGCCCCCAGCCTCAACAAATGCTCCAACATGGCTGAGCTCAGGCAATTTCATTCTCAGCTCATTCGACTTGGCCTGTCCTCTAATAAACATGTAATCACTCCAGTCATCAAGTTCTGTTCCGTCTCCGACGACGGTGATTTACTTTATGCTACCAAGCTGTTTGACACAATTCCTGAACCAGATGCATTCGTTTATAATATCATTATTAAAGGCTACCTGCAGCACCAGTTACCCAGGAACTCCATTCTTCTCTATTTTCGCATGTTACAGGACTCTGTTATGCCCAATGGCTTCACTTTCCCCTCAGTAATTAGAGCCGCTTGTCTAGATAATAATATTAAACAAGGGAACCAAATTCATGCCCAAGTTTTGAAATTCGGTTTTGGAGCTCATGTCTTTTCTCTAAATAATTTGATTTATATGTATATGAAGTTTCAAGCAGTGGAGGAAGCCAGGAGAATCTTTGATAGAATGCCTGACCAAAACTTCGTCTCCTGGACCAGTTTGATTTCTGGGTATTCTCAGTGGGGATTTGTTGATGAAGCTTTTGAAGTTTTCCAGTCCATGCCTGAAAGGAATTCTGCTTCTTGGAATGCCATGATGGCCGCCTTTGTTCAGAACAACAGGTTCCATGAAGCGTTTGCTTTGTTTAATGGGATAAGAGAAGAGGTGGTGGTCTTGGACAAGTTTGTGGCAGCTAGCATGTTATCGGCTTGTGCAGGACTAGGTGCTTTAGAGCAGGGGAAGTGGATACATACCTACATTGAGAATAATGGAGTTGAGATGGACTCCAAACTTGCAACAGCATTGATTGACATGTATTGCAAATGTGGTAGCCTGGAGAAGGCTTTTGATGTTTTCAACAGCTTGCCTCACAAAGAGATTTCTTCTTGGAATTGCATGATCGGAGGGCTAGCAATGCACGGTCAAGGAGAAGCTGCCATTATGCTATTTGAGGAGATGGAGAGGGCAATGGTAGCTCCTGATAACATTACTTTTGTGAATGTCCTTAGTGCATGTGCTCATTCTGGTTCAGTTGAGGAAGGGCGTTACTACTTTCGTCACATGACTGGAGTTCATGGAATTGAGCCAAGGACAGAGCATTTTGGATGCATGGTTGACTTGCTTGGGAGGGCTGGGATGCTGGAGGAGGCAAGAAAGCTTATTGATGAGATGCCTATGAACCCTGATGCAACTGTACTAGGTGCTCTTCTGGGAGCCTGCAAGAACCACAGAAGCATTGTGGTGGGAGAGGAAATAGGGAAAAGAGTAATTGAACTTGAACCTCACAATAGTGGTCGCTATGTGCTACTGGCTAATTTATATGCCAATGCTGCTAAATGGGAAGATGTTGCAAACGTGAGGAAATTGATGAGTGATAGGGGAGTAAAGAAAATTCCAGGTATTTCCGTGATCCAATTAGAAGGCACTGTAAATGAATTTGTTGCTGGTGGAAGGACTCATCCTCAATCTAAGGAAATATATGCTGAAGTTGATGAGATGCTGGAACGTATAAAATCTTCTGGCTATGTGCCTGACATTAGTGAAGTGCCGCATGACCTTGATGAGGAGGACAAGGAGAACTCCTTGCATTATCACAGCGAGAAACTTGCCATTGCATTTGGATTGTTGAGGACTAAACCAGGGGAAACTCTTCATATCTCAAAAAATTTGCGTACATGTAAGGACTGCCATCAAGCAAGCAAACTCATATCGAAGTTGTTTGATAGAGAAATAATCATCAGAGATAGACATCGGTTTCACCATTTTAAAGGGGGCAAGTGCTCTTGTAAGGATTACTGGTAAGGGTAGGTTGGAATGAGTGATCGATTGTGTTGATTGGAAATGGATAAATGGCCGGCGGTGTAGGTTTTGTGTATCACACAAGGTCTTGGCTGCTGGGTTGAACTTTTGCCATCTAATGCAGTTCCAACTTCTGCAGGAGAAGATAATGTAACTGATCAATGCCAGAGCTTTATGCAGGTCACAGTGAATTATGAATCATAACATAGCCATCGGTCTTAGCATTCGAAGATGTGTACGGAAAGCCTTGACCCTTAAGGAGATTCAGCTCTTATATGAGGAAAGCCTTGACATGGAGATTGAAGCTCTTAGTATTAGTTGTTAATTAGTCCAATGGCCAAGCTGCACTTTTTTCAGAATATGTTCCGAGGATCAACTTTTACTTGAGGAATATAATCTTTCATTCCAAGCATAATAGAGAACACTTCAATTCTTGCTTGGTGAAGGGAAATATTTTTCTTTCTTTTTTTTTAAAAAAAAAAAAAAAAAAAAATATAGAGAACACTTCAATTCTTGCTTCCGGGAAGGGAAATATTTTTCTTTCTTTTTTTTAAAAAAAAAAAAAAAAAAAAAAGCGCTGTAATTTCAGGATCGCTTATGTAATCGTAATTCTACTCGAAATTATGTTTTTTATTAGCTATAGATAGCCTTTTTTTTTTTAAAAAAAAAAAAAAAAAAAAAGCTGTAATGTTCAGGATCTGCTTGTAACTGTAATTTCTATTCTAGAACTTAAAACTGTTCAATTTTTATTAGCTATAGATAGCCTTTTAAAGCAGCAATGCTGTAGCTAATTCATTCAGAGCAATTAGAAAGTATATGAATGAGTTACTGAGTTAATTATATCAGATTGAGAAGGGATGGGATGGGAGACTCGATGGGCAAACTCGGAATGTGTTGGCGAGTCTAGCTCAATTTATTTATTTTTTTTTTTTTTTTTGGGAAGCAAAAATTTCTTTAATAAATAAAAAGTCTTCCATTACAAGGAAATTAAATTGGAAAAAAAAAAGAAACCAGCGTTGTCGTCTGATTATTAAAGGAAAATGCTACTGGAGCTGGAGGGCATTTTAAAAATTTTCATGATACATTTTGCAGTTTAATAAATAATAATAATAATAATCTTATTATTAAAAAAGGGTTTTAAAAAAGAAAAAGAATAGTTAGATTTGCACTGAGCAGAAAAATTGGGCATCGTCGAGTTGAAGCATATCACTCGCGAGTCGCGATTCCAACACAGCCGATCCCTGATCTCGTTGTTTCACACTCACCGATTTCCTTTCTTTCTCCATTTCCCTCCAGTCTTGCCCTAACAAAGCATCTCCAGTTCCTTTGCAAGAATTCAGAAATCCCAAACGACTGAACCTAGGAAATCAAATGCCAATAATTTCTATAATAGGCGTTGGATTCGATTCTCTGATTCTGAGCTCCAGCCCACGCCTCATCAGGTAACCGCACACACCTCTTTTCTGTTGCTTTCACTGATGATATTTGATATCAAGAGGCACAAATTAAATTCGCTCTTTATTTTTCTGCATTATTGTGATTGATTGTTAGCTATCTTCGTCCTCACAACAAAAGTTTCCAACTTGTTTGTTCAAATTTTACAAGTGAACTGGTAAAGATGTGGATTTATAATCTAGTGCTTTCAATTTAGTCCCTAACCCTAGACTTTTAATTTTTGCACCAAATTCTTACATGGCATTGTTAGGTATAATTGTCAACTACTAGTTTTCTTCTTGTGCCAAACACATGTTTGTGACAAGATAAGAAATTTTTACTAGCATTTTCTCGTGATTATTCTGCTAAAAATGCAGCAAACTTTCCTGAATGGTTGAATCCATGGCTCCGCTCCGCTCCGCTGGAATTGTTGATCCGGGATGGGAGCATGGTGTTGCTCAAGATGATAGGAAGAAGAAGGTCAAATGCAACTATTGTGGAAAGGTAGTTAGCGGTGGGATATATAGGTTAAAGCAACATTTAGCTCGAGTATCTGGAGAAGTCACTTATTGTGATAAGGCTCCAGAGGATGTATATCTTAGAATGAAAGAAAATTTGGAGGGAAGTCGTTCCAATAAGAAAGCTAAACAATCTCAAGATGATGCGCAAGCTTATTTGAATTTCCAATATGAGGATGAAGATGAGCATGTTGCCTTTAAAAGCAAAGGGAAACAAATGATAGGTGATGAGAATTTGGTGGTAAATTTAACGCCAGTTCGGTCACTAGGTTATGTTGACCCTGGGTGGGAACATGGTGTTGCTCAGGACGAGAGGAAGAAAAAGGTCAAGTGTAATTATTGTGAGAAAGTAGTCAGTGGTGGTATTAACCGATTTAAACAACATTTAGCCAGAATTCCAGGTGAGGTAGCTCCTTGTAAAAACGCTCCTGAAGAAGTATATCTTAAAATAAAAGAAAATATGAAATGGCACCGAACTGGCAGGAGACAGAGACAGCCTGATACCAAGGCAATGTCTGCTTTATATAAGCAATCTGATAATGAAGATGAAGATGATGAGCAAGAACAAGATGATCTCCTTCACAAGAGGAAGGAAAGGCTGGTAATTGGTGATAAAAGATTCAGCAACGATTTGAGACTGACTTACAAGGGGATGACTTCTAGTAATGGCTCAGAACAGACATTTAAAAAATCAAGGCTGGACTCTGTTTTTCTCAATACACCAAATAATCTAACACCACCTTCTTGCAAACAGTTAAAGATGAGAACTAGGTCCTGCAGAAAATCTCGTAAGGAAGTTATTTCTGCAATTTGCAAATTTTTTTACCATGCAGGAGTTCCATTACAAGCAGCAAATTCCCTGTACTTCCATAAGATGTTGGAGCTGGTTGGTCAATATGGACAAGGTTTGGTTGGCCCTCAGAGCCATGTCATGTCTGGTCGCTTCCTACAGGAGGAAATCGCAACAATTAAAAACTACCTATTTGAGTATAAGGCATCCTGGGCAATCACTGGGTGTTCTATAATGGCAGATAGTTGGATGGATCTCGAGGGTAGGACGCTGATCAATCTTTTAGTTTCTTGCCCCCACGGTGTGTACTTTGTAGCTTCAGTTGATGCCAGTGATATGCTAGAAGATGCTTTAAGTCTGTTCAAGTTATTGGACAAGGTGGTGGAAGAGATGGGTGAAGAAAATGTTGTGCAGGTAGCAGCCAACTTTGCTCATTCAGATTCTCAAGTAGCTTGTCATTCTTAAATACCAAATCGTCATGGCTAACTTGTATTTCCCTGCTTTCTTCTATCCTGTTGTTAGGTAATCACTGAGAATACTCCCAGTTATAAAGCTGCTGGCAAGATGCTTCAAGAGAAGAGAAGCAGTTTATTCTGGACCCCATGTGCCACCTATTGTATTGATCAAATGCTTGAAGATTTTCTAAAGATAAAATGTGTAGGAGAATGCATGGAGAAAGGCCAAAAGATTACAAAACTCATATACAACTGCATGTGGTTGCTAAATCTTATGAAAGAATTTACCCAGGGGCAGGAACTTCTGAGGCCAGCAGCTACTCAATGTGCTTCTAGCTTTGCAACTTTACAGAGCGTGCTGGAACATAGGACTAGTCTAAGAAGAATGTTTCAGTCCAGTAAATGGGCTTCCTCTCGGCTCTCCAAATCAGATGAGGGAAAAGAGGTAGAAAAGATTGTAGCAAATGCTCCATTTTGGAAGAAGGTACAGTATGTTTGTAAATCAGTAGATCCAGTAATGCAAGTGCTGCAAAAGATTGATAGAGGCGAAAACCCTTCAATGCCATACATATATAATGACATGTTTAGAGCAAAGCTTGCAATCAAAATCATTCATGGAGATGATGCACGTAAATATGGGCCATTCTGGAGTGTGCTGGACAATCACTGGAACTCGTGGTTGCACCATCCTTTATACATGGCTGCTTACTTCTTGAACCCATCATACAGATACCGTTCTGATTTTTTGGCGGTAGGAGTTGTGTTGATGATTCTTTGATTTCAAATTTATTTTTGCATTTTTTTTTTTTTTTTGGGATGATTCTTTGATTCAATTTATTTTTTGCATTTTTTTTTTTTTTTTGGGATGACATTCAAATTTTTTTTTTCATTTTTTTTTTTTTTTTGGATGACTAACTGGTCATACTGTAATTGTAGCATTCAGAGGTGATGCGTGGATTAAATGATTGCATTCGTAGGCTGGAGCCAGATAATGTGAGACAGATTTCTGCATCCAAGCAGGTAAGAACTTTGAGATTGGATTTGATGCCCTTAACTACATTGCCAGATGTTTTCCTTTTCAACCATATTGTATTATAATCTCTCAGATATCTGATTATAATTCTGCAAAAGGCGATTTGGGAACAGAATTGGCAATTAGCACAAGAACGGAGCTTGACCCAGGTGATGCATTAAATTGGCATGTGGGAATTTCTCTCGTCAAGAAACTTAGTCTAAGATCATCGATATGTAATGCTCACATAACATTAAATTTTTGACTGGTTATAAATATCAGCTGCATGGTGGCAACAACATGGGATAAGCTGCTTAGAGCTGCAGCGAATAGCTGTCCGTGTGCTAAGTCAGACTTGCTCCTCTTTTGGGTGTGAACATTCCTGGAGCATATATGATCAGATCCATAGCCAGAGGCAGAATCGCTTTGCTCAGAAAAGGTTGGATGACCTTATGTTTGTTCATTATAACTTGCGACTTAGGGAATGCCAATTAAAGAAAAGGTCCAGCAGCTCAATGTCCCTTGATGGTCTGTTGCTGGAGCGCTTACTAAATGACTGGATTGTAGAAGCAGAGAAGCATTCCTTTCAAGAAGATGAGGTATGTTGTAATCACTCTCTATCTGTACCCATCACAGATTACTATTACTATTCCCAAGAGAAAGAGTTATGGGTCCTACGATGTGTGTGAATAATGAGAATTTGAACTCCTCATTATTTCACTTGAAGCGTGAATGAATATCAGCTGAATTGTCTAAATAGGCGTGATTGTTTAACTTAGTGTATATATAATATATAAATTTATTTGTTGGCAGAGAACCTGAATCTATATGAAGGTTTATCGGTTTAGACTTAAGTTGAAAAATGTTTTTCCAATTTCAAAGTATGCATGTTACATACTAAACAGAGTGGTTGACTTGGACAAATTGTGACATGAATTGCTCTCTTTATAGGAAGTCGTTTACAGTGAAAATGGAGCAACATTTGAAGACAGATGTGAAGATGATTTGATTGATTATAATGAGGGAATTATGGAGGCGCAGAAGGGGACGGGGCCACTTGAGCTAGTGGGTATGGCTGATATTGAACCCTTGGATGTTAATCCTGCTAATGCTGGTGGCACCACTGATGATGACAACGACAATGATGATCATAATTTTTTTGATGATAATTTGAGTGATTAAATTATAAAATTTAGACGGTTAAAATTACTGGAATTGCTGTACAACTCTACTCTTCTCCCTTGATTGTCAATTTATTTTGGGGAAATCAGCTGGAAATTGATTTGAGCCTCTACTATCACTATTTTTTTTTTTTTTTTTTTGTGGAACAATTAAATATTTTGGAGGAAATACAGCTGGAAAATTGATTTGAGCCCTCTACTATCAACTATTTTTTTTTTTTTTTTTTTTAAAGGTTAATTGAATTTTTTTTTTCCTTCTTTTTGACTTAAAAAATAATAAGAGAAAAAAAGATTTCAATTTTTAGATGAAGAATTCTGATTAAATATGTTTATTTGCACAAAATTATTTAATTTTAAGTATTATTTGTAAATTTGCTAATTACATCTAAAAATAAATAATATGAAAATTCCACACTGAAAATATTAATTATTGTCCCTTTTTTTTTTTTTTTTTTTTTTTTGATAACTTTACTGCTCAATTAAATATTCACACATGAGCAAGTATATAAATATATATATGTATTATTAGTGATTTAATTTTGTATTAAAAAACTCAAAAAAAGCACCTGTACTGCTGGCGGGCGGGCCTATATAATTGGATCGGGCTTGCCTAAAATCAACCGCGTATAGGTATATAATTATAACCCTAGCAATCAAACTTTCGACCCTTCGTCTCCCACTGGTATCTGGCGCGATTTGATACGCCTAATAATCTCTACCATTCGGACTCGGGGGACTTCTCCGACGTTGCCTTTTCATAGCTACTAATATCTGACGCGTGGTTTTAAATATTTTTGATCAAAACAGCTTTGCATTTTTTTTTTTTTTTTTTTTTTGATAACTTTACTGCATCAATTAAAATATTCACACATAGCAGTATATAATATATATATGTATATAGTGATTTAATTTTGTATTAAAAAATCAAAAAAAGCACCTGACTTTTGCTGGCGGGCGGGCCTAATTCTAATTGGATCGGGCTTCTAAAATCAATCACTCGATAGGTATTATTAATAAACCCTAGCATCAACTTTCGACCCTTCGTCTCCACTGGTATCTGGCGCGATTGATACGCCTAATAATCTCTACCATCGACTCGGGACTCTCCGACGGTTGCCTTCATAGCTACTAATATCTGACGCGTGGTTTAAATTTGATCAAAACAGCTTGATTTAATATGAGAATGGAAGAAAAGCCGATGATTGGCCTTTCATGGGAGCCAAAGTTGCCGGCTTTCTCATCTTCAACCAAAGTTAAAACTAAAAGTAATGATCAACCGGAGGGCAGTGCACTTTGGAAATCCAATACAGAGCTTATTGATGGTCTATTTGTGCCACCGAATGATCCTATAAAGGTTAACAAGTTACTCAGAAGCCAAGCCAAAGATTCAGCTGGAAAAGATTGGTAAGTTCTGCTATCTGATTTTCCTTAATGTGTTCGTTCGATATCAAAATAATTGATCCTATCAACTATATATATAGGTTTGATATGCCTGCCCCAACAATGACACCAGAGTTGAAAAAAGATCTCCAGCTACTTAAGGTGCCTCACCCCTTCTTTTTCTTTTTATTCTGTTTATGTTTGCGGCTTTCTTATTTAATTGCTAACTCCTCCCAAGGAAAGGGTGGTTTTTAAATCATTTGCTGCTTTATCCGATGATTAGCATGTTCTAAGCTCAGTTCTTTTTGAGCTTCCAGCCATATAATGACTTCGTTACTTCGTTTGCCGTTGTGAAGTTTAGGCCTTTACTCTTAAATTTTCAGAGACAGAGCAAGCATTGGTTTTTTTTGTCACTTAATCTTTAACCATTGGCTGAATCACATCCACAATTTTATATTTTATGCGTCAAAGGTTGTGGTTTAGTCAGTTTATAATTTTTGTTCTGCCAACGGTCTTTGTCCAATTAAAATTTATTGAACTATGAAACTCCATTAACAGGGAAATTGATCGATAAATTTACCTGAAACATAATGTTAGAACTCGAATATTCTATTTATCTTTCCAAGTTATTGATGAACTTTTTGTTAAACTTGTTATGTATGTGCATGCTAATGTAGTTAAAAATTTTTTGGGGAAAAATATGGTTAAACTACTCACTAATCGCCAAAACAAGAGACGTGTGTCACTTGCTGCATTAGAACCTGTAATTTTTGAAAGTTAAGTTTTGTATCTTTTAAGGAGTGCTGGCAGTATATTGACTTTAGTTATCATTTGCTATATAATATAGTTGAGGAATGCTCTTGATCCGAAGAGGCACTATAAGAAGGGTGATTCAAAAACAAAAGCACTGCCCAAGTATTTCCAGGTAAATCTATGTTGTCCATCTAAAATTAATAATTTGATAACCAAAGAGTTTCTGATAAGCACGCGATATTTTATTTTATATCTTATTGTCGTCTATTCTCAGTTTTGTTGGGTTAAATTGGCAAAGCATTTGGTTCTGTTGACAATAACCAGGTTGGCACAGTTATAGAGTCGGCAACAGATTTCTTCTCAGGTAGGCTAACGAAAAAGGAGAGGAAGGCAACCCTTGCAGAAGAGCTGCTTTCAGACCGTAACCTTGCAGCTTACAGGTGAGATAGGCAGTCATCTTGTCTCATATACAGTAGAAGATGAATTGGTTTATACTTTGTTAACAATTTAATAACATGAAAAAGTTCAAGACATAATCATTCTCCGTTTTACAATTATTTAATATGAAAACCAACATATAAACATATTAGTAAATTGGGGTCAACTGGTGTTATTTTTGGAAGGTCATGCCTTGAAGAACAGGTAGTTGTACATTGTCCATTTGAGTTATTAAATCGAGTGTCGAAAATTTGAAGAAAGGGGTTCTTTGTGGGGGATTATGTAGTTCGGAAGCATAAAATATTGTAATCCTAAAAGTTTGATTTTTGTCCAATATTCAACACCATTTTCTTAATGAGGTTTATGATATCACCTTGCAGGAAGCGTAAGGTTAGAGAGATAGAAGAGCAAAGTCGGCCAGCTGGAAATGAAAAGTGGAAGATAAAGGGTCGACAATCTAGGAAGAGAGCCAAAGAAAGAAGGCATTAATAAAACCATTTTTAGAGAACTCGAAAAGTAAGGCACTGGTATTTCTTGCTGACATTTTGTGTCAAAGGTTATACAAGAGCGATATTTGTACCATCCGAGGAAATTTTTCTTTAATTGCTTTAATTTTATATTTTTGTTTGTTTTTTATTTTGAGCATATCAAATTTATTTAGTTGTTATTATCCATTAATTAGGAAGACCTTGAATTATGATCAATCATTTGAGGGTGTCTAAAGACAAGCAGCCTCATAAATAGTTCCTTGTACACGCAGTTAGGAGGCTGTAGCAGCAGACCATAGCTTCCAACGTATTTTGAATGTGCATAAAAACAGAAAAGTAAACAACCAGCGATGTGAATAAATTATCATCCATAATATAGAACGTTATGGGCATTTACATATCCGCCAATTTGTTGGACTGGACAATTAAAAGTAGTTGCATCCTTTCAGAGCATTCAATCCTGCCAAGAGTCAGCTACTAATAGTTCAGTTTAAGGTCAACTTAGTTGAACATTCATGGCAGAGGCTCCTGCGAATCTCCCAATCGTGATAAATGAAGATATGCATCAGTGCCTGCATCCATTAACTCAAATTTGAGAGGAAACTTCTGATGGACTATGCAAAAAGGAAAGACCAAGAATGCAAAGCATAAAGATGCACAAGGCAATAGATCAAAAGGAAAAGGGGTAAGCAAGCTAAAACAAACTTATTGCATCTATGAAAAATTTAAGTCCCGAACATGCAACAAAGATGTGAAAAATTGTCAACTCAGAAACTAAATGTGATTCCATAGAAAAACCAACTCACCATATCCTTCCATGGATATAATTTGCAGATCTCCTCCAAAATACTTGGCATACAATCGGCTAATAGGAAGCCCATACCCATATCCAGCCATTGTGACTGAATCAGCAGTTCCGAGATCAGCATGTTCATCTAGTGGGTTTTTTGCAGTGCTGTAAAGATATGTGAAAATTTTGGGAAGACCACTTCTAGGTATTCCACCCCCCTCATCAGAAACCTATGAAAGTAGCAAAACCAACTTATTGTCAGATACAGATTAACTGCAGCCGAGATCATTTCAGATTGTAAAACAAAAAGTGTAAAAATGGAGGCACATGGAACAATTCACTAACAGCATACAGCCACAAGATAGCAATACCTTTATAAGTAACATATCGCTTTAAAAACAGAGTAATCCAAGTAACCACCATACTGGGATGAATTACTAAAAGAGCAAAAAAACAAGATTAAAAAAGAAAATTACCCTCAGAGACATGACATCGTACCTTTATAGTTACATCCTCGATTCCTTCAGCGACTATTAGCCGGACAGGAGGTGCAATTTTGTCTGAGTCCATAAAACGCTCTTGAACAGCACGCAAGGAATTCTTGACTAACTCAAATACCATAAGATGCAAGTGTGCTGGAACATATCTGTTCAAAAAGAGAAGATTATCTATAAAACAAAAGATTTCATAATCTCTATAAATCACTAACTATGACTAGAGGATCAAGTAAATAGTTTGATGAGAAGAGAGGATCAAGTAAATAGTTTGAGGAGAAGAATACCCAAAGTATGGAAACAATATGCTCCTTCCCTCTCAAATACATCTTGACCCCACCATGTGGGACCCCAAGACCATTTAAGAGAAGGGGGCATGGAGATGATCCTATCCAATAACTTTTTGGAAGAAGCATCAGTTGTAAGACGGAAACTTCCTTTTTCAGTTTGGAAAGATGACAAATGAAATGTAAATAGAAAAAATTCAAACCAAACATGAAGTATTAGCTTACGGGAATGTAAAATTGGGATCCCCATAAATATTAACATCAGGAGCACTGCCATATTCTCGTAAACAAATAGCACGAGCATCCTCACTGGCATTTCGTGCAACTTCAACCGGAGACATTTTTGTATGAATATAGCCTATGCAATGAGGAGGGGGTTTGGGATTGTGCAACTCCACATGCTGACCTGAGCATCATCCAAGATGGAAACATATAGAAGTTTAGAAGCAGCAGCCAACTCTAATAAGAAAGTCAATAGAGTAGTTGTTGGCCAATTAAGAAAGCAGTCAAATGTGTTCTGAAGAGAGTGGAAAGTCAGTAGCAAATACTAACCGATAAGCATTCTGATTCCAATTCTGGACATGTAAAACCGATCCAGAAACTGATGAATCTCATCGAGATCTTCATATACAATCTTTGGATCCATGCCTTTCTTCAATTGTTGGACACCTAAAGCCATCATAGGAACCACATTGTTATGTCTGACCTTAATTGCCTTAATCATTTGAGTAAAATCCCTCTCATCATTGGAATCCTTGATGTCAGGAAAAGATCTGAGATCGCGGAAAGAGTCCAGGTACCAATCTCGCACCTTAGAATGAAAAGTTAAGGTTTGATGAGCATTTTTTATAGCAGTTGTAAATTTCGTAAATTTCATAAAATCTGGACTTAATCAGAGTAACACCTCGAATCATGACAAAGAAAGGCATTACTAAGTGTTAACTTTATTAAAGGATTATTAAGCACTACCCAGAATTGGAAATAGCAGGAACAAGTGACAGAAGCTAACAGTAGATAAATAAAAGCGGATGTACTTAATTTTCCCTGTTCGGGAAAGTAAAAAGGGCAGAATTTTAGATCTTTTTCTCATGGAGAGTAAAGAAGGTTCACAAAGCCCAAATGCTGTCCATTGTAAAGGTTATATTGACATCTCTATCTGAGGAATATTTGCTATAGTAGATTTGTCTTTAAAATGGCAGATTTACAAAAGAAAAACTAATTAATTAATGAAGATAAAAAAATCCAGGACGCAGAATCTTTATTATTTTGTTCATTTTTGAGAGACCTGAGAATCACATGATAAAACTATTATAATATTAGTTAAACTAGATAAGAAGAAAAGCTTGGTCAACTCCTCCAAACACTTTTGCGCCTTTTTGGCAAGGTATAGCAAAATTACTGTTAAATTATTGATTTTGATCTTCCGTGGAACTCCGCAGTTGCCATCAAACCTCATTCCCATGAACACGCATTCAAGGAAAAAAAAAAATCCAACATGCATAAATATATAAATAAAGAATTGAGGACGATGGTGGATAATATCGAAGAAAACATAAAAATACAGATAGATCGAAGGAAAAATCAAGAGAGTACCTTCAAAACGGCGGGTTTTTCCGATAAGCCATAAGGAAGAGTCTCGAGTTCGATAGCTCTCCTAGCAATCCTAATAGGCAATTCCTTGTGAAGGAATTGAGCAGAAATCAACAAATTCCTTTGTGTAGGTCTGGAGCCAAACTCCATCATATACCTCAAGCTGACTCCCGTCTGCTTCATGGCACCCCATCTCTGGACGTCCTCTATGAGGGACTTGGAAAAAGACTCGCAAGCCTTCTTAGCCGCCATGGCTCTTTGATCGGATGTGGAATCGGAATTGTGGCTCCTGAAATGGAACCAGCACTAACAACATGCAATCCAACGGAGAAACTGAAGAAGGGGAAATGCGAAACTGACATATATTTGATTGAAATTTGTAAGAAAGAAAGAAAGAAAGGGGATAAAAAGAAAAAAGAATCGCACAGGCGCAGCCCCCACCCCAGTGAGGAAGAGAACTGACGTGTAGTCTCCTCTAAAGTCTAAACCCAGGGTTAGATTTTAACCGCAGGTCTAGAGAGGAGAGGAGAGGAGTAGAAGAAGAAGCGGCACTTTCCTCTTTGCCTCTGCCTGCGGCTGTGCCAGTGAAAATAAAAATTATACGATTTTCCATTGGCAGATAGAGATCATAAAATAAATAATTTTAATTGCTCAATCTGTTACTGTGGTGTTACTGACACGTGTCGATCAGCTTTGGCCTGAGGAGGTAGAACTCGTGTTATGGTTACCGTGGGGCCCGCTGTTATGTGGACCCTCTCCTCTCTAATTAGTTTTTTATATGGCTCTCGGTACATGTGATTCGAATTGGCATTTGGCAAATCTGTGGATCTCAAAGACTCGCTTTTGCTTGCACCCGTAACATAAGATAAGATTCATTTTACGTGGCAGTCAGTAATTTCCAGACCTGTTCATGGGTCATCGTACCCGCCCGTCTAGCTCGATAAAAATCCTGACTTGGACTCATAATTAGCCCAATATTAATTCAGTTGGGCTTATAATTAGCCCGATTAAGTTTGGACTGGGCTTAAACTCCCCAGTGTCAACTCAACATTGCAGTTGGTATGTATGCGCATCATTGGACATTTCATTTACAGCGCATTTCCACCTAATAATAGAAGGACTAATTTCAAAATTTTTAATTGCTGCTTTGCTAATCTGAGCCGAAACATCCTCTTCATTGTTGATCTCCTCAATTTCTCGTATCTTGATATATATCCTAACTAAACATGGTTTTTAAACTCGACCGTTTCAACCGATTTAACCTTCAGCTAAATCAAAACCAAACTATACATTTAATTCATTTTTTAAATAATGATAAAGGAGAGGAAGTTGAATACAGTAGCTTATAAGGTGGAAGTAGAACATCTCGCGATATACAGAGCAACACCGTTTTCTTTCCCTTGTGTATTATAACGGCTCATTTTAGATATTCGCAGAGCAGAGATTTTCATTTGTTTGTTTTCCTTAATATATAATTGGAATTGGAATTACCAGACGCTGATTGCGATTCTTTCTCTTTCACTTTCTCTTCTTCTTCTTCTTCATTCCACGCTCCCTTTCCTCATCAACCATAAAAATCTGAAAAATCTCACTCTAACATATCCCCAATTTCTCTCCGTTTCTCCCCCAACTGTAAATTTGTTTCTTCGACACTCTGTATTACTCTATCAAAGCAGTTCGGTTAGGGTTTCTTGTTCAATTTCCTCAGAAAGATGACAGTTTGAAGTGTAATCGCAAATAGAGATCTAATTCCGTGGTTCAGTTTGGGAATATTGTAGCCGGGGATTTTGAAGACTTCCAGCCACTGACGTCAAACATATGGCTACTCAGTTGCAGATGAGCCCTCAGTTGGAGCAGATCCATGGTGAAATTAAAGACAATTTTCGAGCTCTCTCGTAAGCACTCCCTCTCCAGCTTCTTCTTCCTTTTCATATAGACTGTAATTCAATAATTTATGGAGAGATCGGGGGGCAAATTTTGTTGCTGTCTATCATGTTTTCAGTTACCTTTGTTACGTATTATTAACCATTTTAGTAAATGTCTGGTCTTTTCGTTTTTTCATATGGACAGACTTTGTAATTGGAGCATATTTCATGTAAGCAAAGATGAGTCTTCACTGGTATCAGTTAGCTGCCAACTGCCAAGCGTTCATTCTTTTAGTTGCCTACAGTTTTTTAATCGTTGCTCACTTGCTTTATGATCCTTATATTTTGTTTAGCTAATTTTTTTTTTTTTTTTCCAATAGCATGGTGAAAGAGTTCTCTTTGTTCTGCCATGTTAGTATGAGACTTTTTTTTTTTTTTTTTAAGGTTCAATAGCAATGGTGAAAGAGTTTCTTTGTTCTGCCAGTTAGTATGAGACTTTTTTTTTTTTTTTTGTTTAAAGGTCCACACTACTTTTTTTTTTTTTTTTTTAAGGTCCAACTACTGATATTCTATGTGTATACTATGTATGCTAAATAGCATGATGACACTTTTAGATTCCAGTATCACTCAATGGAATAGAATTAATTAATTGCTAGGGAAGTCATAGCAGTTCTGTGTATGCCTTTGGAGAAGTTGCATTTTGCTTGAAGTGGATCTCTTACAGTGAAATGCCAAATCCCCTTAATACTCTAGTTGAAGGACACATTAGTAATGCCCCATATTCATCTCATTGTTATTGTTGAGATGTGGTGTTATAAGTTATTTGCATGTGGCTATGTGCTGCGATCTCTCTTTTTTGAATAAATATTCTTGGGTTTTACTTCAGTCTATTAACTTCTGAACTTTCTTTACGTGCTGACACAATTGAAACAGCTTTATAAGGTCCAAACTTAGAGTTTTATCAATAAATATAGTCCATCTTTTTCATCTGTACATGTCAGGATATTACTAGAGGTATGTAGTTTTTCCTCTGCCATATGAACAAGTTACTTGGATTTTCTGATAAGTGATATAGAGTTCATCTTAGTCCTCACTTCTTTGGTGCCTTAATATGTGATTGAGCATCCAAATTCATATTACGATTTAGTTGTTTCCTCTGACTGTGTGCAAATATTACTTCATTACTTGAAGTGTTATGTTACCCAATGTCAGATTGCGCACGTGCATAGATAGGATGTGCATGTGCCATCTTGCAATTGCTACCCAATATACTATTAAAGGAGAAATGTTATTTGTTATGACATTTACATGTATACATACAGAAATGGGTTCCAGAGGCTGGATAAAATCAAAGATTCCAACAGACAAAGTAAACAGCTAGAGGATCTTACTGGGAAGATGAGGGAGTGTAAAAGGTAAAGGGTTTCTGTTTTTCAAAATTCACATATTATTGCAACCATATTTTCAAGAACTCATGTACTGTTTTTTGTTGAATTTTATATTTCTTTTGGAAGCCGAGTGAATTCCACTCTAGTATGAGAAGAGAGAATATGCATGTGATTTATGATGCTTCACATCATTCTATGTTCGAATTCCCTGATAAGTTTGCCTTCAGAAAATTTAAACCATCTGGTTGGTTTCTTGGAAGTTGGTTGTGGAAATGGACTTGAGCTTGGTTTAAGTGCTTGAAATCTCAAATATTTTATTAGTGCAATCATGCTCAGGAGTCCTTAACGTGGTTCAGTGTATGACTATATATGGATCTTCATCTTCCTTATAATATATTATTTAAGCACCAATTGTATAAGATATTAGGAAAAGCTTTTCTGCTGTTAAAGAAAAACAGAGAGTAGAATCAGAATAAAATAATTTGTTTTATATGCATTAAGCTTCTCTCTCTCTCTCTCTCTCTGATTTATTCAATTAAACTGTTTCAGATTGATTAAAGAGTTCGATCGTGAAATTAAAGACGAGGAGAGCAAAAATCCGCCTGAAGTAAATAAACAACTCAATGATGAGAAGCAATCCATGGTCAGTTCTTTTATACCTTGGCTCTCTCCCATATGGCATGAACATGTTCGTCATTATATAATTAGCACATTCAACTGCTGTTTTTTACATGTGTAGATAAAAGAGCTGAATTCTTATGTGGCGCTGAGAAAAACGTAAGTTCCACCTACCTAGTTTACTTATTCTTTGGTTAGATATACGGGTTGGAGTTTGAACCGTGTGGAATTCAGTTGCATTTTATAATGATGCCTGAGGTTCATTTGAAGAGGAGGAAGCAACTGTTGTCTTCAATCAGAATTTAGCCCTTACATGCAGATAATGAGCAAATTTAGTTATGAAAGTGCACTATGCTTCTCATCTATAGAATCCGATCCATAAATTGAGGGGGTTTGCTTTTCATCAGTTCATCTTTTGGGTAGTACTTTTGAACTTCACACTCCTGACTTGTATGGTGGAACTGCAGTTATATGAATACCCTCGGTAACAAGAGAGTTGAACTCTTTGATATGGGAGCAGGGGGCAGTGAACCTACAGCTGAAGAAAATGTTCAAATGGCTTCAGGTGAGGTTCCATATCATGTCATGTGTACAATCAACATTTTTTAAAAAGTTGAATTGTTGCACAAGTTTGCAACCGATTTCAGACATGATGACAACTTGAATGTCATGTTCCTTGTACAAACTTTTGTTTGTTGATGACTGCAAATAAGAAAATGAAAAAAAAGTGTTAGTTCTGCCTTGCTTTTTGAACAAATCTTTTATTCATTAGTTGGTACACAAAAAATTGTTGATGCATATCGTAAATTTCACAATAAATGAGAATAAAACATCAAGAAGGATATATCACTTCCTATATTCGTGTGTATATGAGCTTATTTTTGCACAATATTGCAAAAGGAAAAAAAAAGAATTGGATCAGCTTCACTGTGTATTTTGTATTCCTGCTTTATAGCAATGTCAAATCAAGAACTTGTTGATGCTGGTATGAAGACAATGGATGAAACTGATCAAGTCATTGAACGCTCTAAAAAGGTAAATAGCTTCATGAAAATGTTTCCATAAAAAGTTACCTTTATTTGTATTAATAATGTAGATGTTTGGTCTGTAGGTTGTTGAACAAACAATTGAAGTGGGAACTCAAACTGCTGTTACCTTGAAAGGCCAAGTATGATCTATCAATTTTTTTGAGTTGCTCATTTGCCTCTTCCTTTTTCCATTTTCCCTTACTAATGGTGTAGCATTCTGTTAACATATCCAAATTGGACAGACTGAACAAATGGGGCGTATCGTCAATGAGCTCGATACAATTCAGTTCTCAATTAAGAAGGCCTCCCAACTGGTGAAGGAGATAGGCAGACAGGTTAGTTGTGTTTTGTGAGTCTTCTTAGGGTACTTCTATGTTTTATGTTGTTTTTCATAAGCTAATCTTCTCTGCTTTTTTTTTCCAGGTGGCTACAGATAAATGTATAATGCTATTTCTCTTTCTCATTGTTTGCGGTGTGATAGCCATTATTGTTGTGAAGGTATCCTCCTCAGTTCATCTTTTAATGGTTTTAAGGCTATATATTTTCTTAGACTTGGCACTTCTTGGACCAAATTGTAATGGTTCGTACTGGGTTATGCTTTAGGCATTCTTAATTTTGAAAAATATTTGGAAATTATTGAAATCTGTGTGCACACTGGTGGGGGGGGGGGGGGGGGGGGGGGGGGTGCACACTGGTGGGGGGGGGGGGGGGGGGGGTGGGGGGAGAAGTTGGGTGTTGGGTGTGGGGTGAACAACTGCTATGCATTAAAAATTTTTGAATTATGCAGAAATAAGTAGTTGCATATGGTATGCTGTCCTTTTTAAAATTTTTATGGAAGTTTTTGAAAAATTGCGAAGCTCTCACGCTGTTGTGCTGAAAAGCCTGGAGGGTGCGGATCACTTATACAAGCACCTTAAAGTTCAAACAAATTAGAGTTTGTAAAAGTTTGAGTTGAATGGGTTCATGCTGAAAAGCCTGTGGTGGTGCTTAATAGTTGAGTGTCAGTAACTTCTATTCTATTAGATATATGTCTAACTGTGCACTATTTTGCTATCCTATTAAACCATATTCATATTTGCTTTGGTGTCACACAAAAAAGCTTCTTGCACATGATTTTTTTTTTTTTTTTTTTTTTGAAAATGAAGCAGAAAGGTGCAACTTCATATTCTGTGAATGAGATTTTTTTTTTTTTTTTTTTTGGTTGAAAATGAAGCAGAGAGGTGCAACTTCATATTTTTCTGTGAATGAGATGTCTGCACAAAATTCCATGGTCTCATTGCAATTTGTAAATTTTCAGATTGTCAACCCCAACAACAAAGATATCAGGGACATTCCTGGATTGGCACCTCCAGCCCCCTCAAGGAGACTGTTGTATCTAAGGGATCCAGAACATTTTGCGTAGATTCACAATTTCAGAGAAGTAGTTTTTCCTCACTTAATTTTTATGATTTGTATTGAAAGAGTGGGAAGATGTTATCGGCGGGCATTTACATTTTTTTTTCCCAATTCATTTCTTACCTGAGTTGTGCATATCCTGTTTGTGATTATATGTGTAAATCATATTTGAGGGCCTTTTGCATTGTTTTTAATGGATTGTCATGTTGGTTCTTTGTGTAAAACTTTGTTGCTCTTGCTGACTTGCTGTGCAGAAGTAATAATATACTCTGATGTCAAATGTGAAGCCAAATACTTAATGTGGCCTGTGTTGTACCACTACCATATATTATACCTCCCATTTTGGTGATGATTGGCTGTAGATCAATGTGGGGCACTAATAAGTTTAAAAGTAGTACATTACTTATGAAATTGAATTCTGAAGTTTTGATCCTAATATTTTTACTTACTGAACCTATGAAAGCATATATCAAAAAATTGAATTGAGATGGAGCAACTTGGTATCCATATTAATTTCTATTGGGCAGCTGAACCACCACGACAGCTTTTGAATCATCACTCAGAAAGGCAAAGTGTTCAAATGCTTATATTAATGGGAGCTTGTTCACCCACTACTGGGCCTAAGCTACCATCTGCGTACACTACGACTAGAAAATGATGAGTTGTGAATTCTACAATGTAGTTACAGTTACTTGCCCCTTCACGTTTACTCATCGCAGGGGTGAAACAAATAAGCTAAAAAATGAAAATATGCTCTTGAAATCAAAGGGTTCACACCGTGCTTGAACTGGTTTCCTTTTTGCAATTTTGCTTCTTCAGTCTCCTGCAGGATATTAAAGGGAAAAAAAAAAAGGTCCAACACCTATGGTTGAGCATTCAAAAAATTCATGCCGCATGATTACTAAATTGCGTGCGTCCAATGTGCGACAACCTTGATGGAATTAGAGGTGCTTCTTCATCAACATTCAAATCAGAAGAATTGCTACCTCCACCACCTCCATGGTTATCACTGTTGCTATTAGGTGTAAATATATCAGATGACTTCTTCTCCAACTTCCAATCCTGTCAAAACCAATAAGGAAACCAAATCATAAATGTTTTTTTAAAAAAAAAAAAAAAAAAGGAAGAAACAGTGCATTGTTCAATAATTTAATGACCATTGCCGGTAGTAGTCCATTTTTATGATTGCCATGTATTGAAGAACAAACTTGAATTCCTAAGATGCATTTCCTTAAAATACAGTTTTCGCATTAAGTTATCAAGGATAAATGTGGAAGGCAATGGAACTAGTTCAGCTCAGATTCAGTGTTTTCTGAACAGCAAACCAATGAACAATAATTTCTTGTGAAACTACAGCATCTCAATGTTTTCTGGAAATAGTTCGCTTGTCATCTCAAGTAAACTGCAATTTGAACTGTTCACTGCCGACTAAGATTTGGTTTAAAGTTGACTGGTCCATCAAAATTTCAAACTTCTACTTTCGGAACATTTATGTATATGCACACAGTTAAAACTTCAAAAATTGGGTTCCAATTCCTGAATAAATGAGAAAGCAGGAGTGATAAAAAAAATATATCAATTCTGTCAACCTCCATATGCATATAAAGAAATTTCTTGTACACTGTGCCATCAATTTCCTTGAATCTTTTCAGAAACAAATTCCCACTTGCTACACCTTAAACAATTTGTTTAAAATATATTAATTCGTTAACATTTTATTTTCCAATGATATTAACAGTCATCATCTAATTACGAAGAAAAATGAGAAGTTTTAGCAGTGCAAGTTTTGAACAAAAATAGAAAAAGTATAATGCTTTAAGAGATTAAGAATTAATACGAAGATTAACCTTTGTGATTCTTTCCGGAATAGCTTCAGGAAGCTGAGATGCTCGGACATCCTTAACCTTTATGTAGTTGTACATGACAACACCACAAAGTGCTGCACAAAAGTGAAAGAGAAAAAAAATTAAACTTCCAGGAATGGTCCACAATTCAAATGATTAGTTGATATACCTATTGCATAACCAATTATATTCAGCCCTGTTATCGTAGACTCGGGAAATATGATAGTTGAAAGGGCTATTAGTATCCAGTCTTTCAGAACACCAGCAACCCTTATAGTGACTGCTCCAGTTCTACCAATTACTAGGAATATGGAGAAGTTCAAGGCCAATGCAGAAAGAGCATTAGAGAAGAAGATCCAAAAATTAAACTGAATCTGTGAAACTTCCATCTTAGGCTTCTCCAGTAAAAACCAAGGCACAAACAGAAAGACAAAACTGCACCCGAAAAACCAAAAAAAATGTGAGAACTGCATCATTAACATGCCTTCAAATACAATTCCTTCAGTCTCAAAGAACATCAGGTATGGAATGAAAACATGCACAAGTGCGAACTTTAAGATGGTGAACTCAGTGTTAAGGATATAATGTAGCAAAGGCCAGAAAACATTATATGGCTGGGCTGAAATATAAAATTAAATAAACACATCTTAATACCAAATGCAATCTTCATGTAAATTAAGAAACTAGTTCCATAGCAAATTAATGATCAATATGAAAGACAACAGAAAGAAATTGTTAACTTTGGCCCCGAATTTTTTACTTGAATACAACAAAAATTGAACCATCAAATGCAGTACCTGCATGGAGCTATGTAATATAAGCTGGTGACAGGATTTAGAGTCAAGCCCTTCTTCTGAAGGAGGACTTGAGTTAAAACCAGCCTAAGTGCTTCTGCAAAGATGCCTGTAACCTGGTAAACTGTGCCAACTACATTAAAATGAATTTCCCCGTATGAGGAGATGACAACCCCAACACTGACCAGCAACATGTTTAAGAACACATCACACCTTGCTTTGTCAGTGCCACACAAAACAGCCACAACAAACGTCGCTACTGGCACTGCAAGATCCAAATTAATTGTTTAGTTTAAATTTTTAGGAGCCATCATAGCACCAACCATCAAATTGAAAAAATTAATTGCCTTCTGTATTGACATACTTAGAGCTTTAAGCATCTGGATGAAGGCCACCGAAATGTACAAATAAGCAGTGTTACCGAACCTGTGAAGACAAGTAATTTTTAAATTGTAAAAAGGCCTAATCAAGAGGAAAACACAGATAATTTGATCATGCAGTTTTGACACATGAAAAACATTGCATATGAAGCAAAGAGCTGCTACAGGACCAAAATAAGAACCAAGTGACTCGGATGCCTAAGCCATATTTGAATATGCAAACACAGTAACTGCTGCATATTCAAAAATTCTACTCTTGCAACATGTATGCCATGAAAAACATTGCATATGAAGCAAAGAGCTGCTACAGGACCAAAATAAGAACCAAGTGACTCGGATGCCTAAGCCATATTTGAATATGCAAACACAGTAACTGCTGCATATTCAAAAATTCTACTCTTGCAACATGTATGCCAGATTTAGCACCATTTAATGCCGCCTGTATGACAAGAACAAAATATCATACAATACAAAAATTCTACTCTTGCAACATGTATGCCAGATTTAGACACCATTTAATGCTGCCTTTATGAGAATAAGAAAAATATGATGCACTATCGAAATTCTACTCTTGTAACATGTATGCCAGATTCAGACACCATTCAAAGCCACCTCTATGACAAGAACAAAATATCATACACTTACCAAAGGCTGGCTGCAAAGAAGGCACTTATTGGTACTACACACGTTGCATATCTGTGACATCAAGGAAAATATTTCTAGAAAACAAGTTTGAAAAATTGAATTATAACAGAATAAAAATAATATATGATTTTTGAGAAAGCAAATTGCATCACTTACATTTCAAAAATATATGATTTTTGAGAAAGCAAATTGCATCACTTACATTTCAAAAGTCATTTTGACTGGTGATACAACCTGCTCATTGTGAAAAGTTGGGGGGAGATGAGTTACAAGGATTTCCTTTATAAAACAAAGAGTAAGGAAGAAACAAAACAATATACAGGAACTGCAGAGATTTCAATATCACACTTTGGTCAGGCCTTAGGAAACTAGAGTGCGTCATATACAGATTTTGATATAAATATGGGAGGAAGGGGATGATAAGTACAATGGGGAATATAAACCGCATGTTACAGTACAAGCAAATACAATATGTGAACCTCCAATCACTTGCTGGACTTATAATGTTGTATGATAAATGGGGACAAGTTTAAAGCAATTAATCACATTGAAAAAGAAAATAGAGTATAATGATAAATGATTTATGATATTTCAGTTTGTGCTTTCAATTAAAGAATAAAGGAGTTGGTAAATGATTTAACAAATTTAGAAATTGGAAGTGAGAAGTTTTTGATCTCTTCATTGAACCAGATGAAAAATGTCATATTGCTTATAAGAATAAGTGTTGTCTATTAAATTGTCGGTTTAAAAAAAAAAAAATTGCTAGTTAAAATAAGAAGGAATGTGTTAATATTCTACGCTTTGCAAAGAGATGTTCAACTTATTTCATTAAGATTCTAAAACATTGAAACGCAACAAAAAATAGCATGAAGAGTTTTAAAGTGCAAATATTATTTTTGTTCCAGAGTCCCATAAAATAAGGTTCTACAAATTACTACAATACTTGATAGATTTACTCGACCATAAATGAAATCTAATTGACAAATATCTTAGCCAAAATCTAATCCTGGGAGAAAAGGAATCATATGCATAAATGAAAGGAATCAACATTGCGTCAAACCTTGAATACACGAACAAGGAAAAAGGCTACTGTTCCCGAAAATGCCATGTGGATCATTGTTAGAGTAATGGGAAATGGAAAGTTGAAATATTTCGGTGAGAGAACCCACTGCGACAAAATTCATGAAGTCAGATGCCCACAAAATGTTCAATCCAAAAAAAAAAAAAAAAAAAAAAAAAAAAAAAAAAAAAAAAAAAAAAAAAAAAACAGAGATTACAGCTCTAAAAGAAAAAAAAGGGGTAAATAAAAAAAAAAAAAAAAAAAAAAAAAAAACAGAGATTACAGCTCTAAAAGAAAAAAAGGGGTAAATATATAGCAAATCAACATTCGTTAGCATCATGCTTGAGCAAGAGAAAATGGCTACCTACATGGGTCCAAGCTAGCTAGGGCCAAGCATGTTAACCCAACATAAACTAGGGTTCTAATGCCTCTACATGTCCATGACAATTAATACCGAGCATGAAATAGGGTCTCAAACTAACACGCCAGCAATATAACTCAACCACTCTAAAAAGCTCATAGTAGAACCTAAATGCAAGGGCACAATAACACGAGCATCTCCAATTAATGTATGGAACCAGCAGCTGGATAATTAATAGCTCAAGTAGAAGAAAATATGTATATTCAATGGAACTACAAATGCAAGCTAGTGAACCTCAAAAAATTTTCCCCGTTAAGCAACAATGCAGCAATAGCAAAAATAAAAATAAAAAAAGGAAAAGAGAAGAGTTTATACTGAACAATCACCTTATTATACAAGATTACACCCGATGAAAGCAAAATGTAGATCAAAAGGTAGAGATAAGTCAAGACCAGCGGCTTGTTGACGATCATTTTGCCTACTCTTTGCTTCCACCAGAAGCGAAAATGATTTTAAAAAGAAAAAAGCCGCCCTCGCTACCAATTCTGTATGAGTGTCCGGTCTCTACAGCATCCCGATACATACAACATCAACGAGTCACACAAATTCGACGCAGTTATCCAAACTCAGCAGCTACATTCATAGGCTTCTCGCTCAGTCCTCCGAACCTTAAAAAAAAAAAAAAGAAAAAGAAAAAGAAATGAAATCAGTATATGACAAAGAGCTGAGTGATTGCAATTAGTTTTAAATAAATCAGTAGCTAACCTATCACTGCTAATTCAATGCAAACAAATATTGAAAGCGATAGTGCAACTGAAATACGCGAAAATCACAAATGTAACAATACGCCACCGACAATGCGGGGCAGCGAATCCAATTATAAAACAAAACGCTCGAAGCTAAGTTACCAAATAAACCAAACAGAAACTTTTCAAGGGAGGAGAACAGAAAATTGCTAGAGTCCAAGTCTGAGTCTGAGTCTGATCCGATCTACGAAACGTGAAGAAGGAAACGAAAAACTAATCCACGTCTCCGATTACGATTTAAGTCGGGAAAAATTTGTACCTGGAGCTGGAGATCAATAGTAGGAAACAGCAAATCTGGATGTTAACGCTTCAAATTGAAGAGATCCTTTTTCACTGCGCCAAAACTGGAACGGAAGAGTTTCTGTCTATCAAGTCTCAAATAAAACGCTTGCCAATCCAAGTGATTGGACAGGACAGAACGCCCTGCAAATGGTAATAAATAAGTAGAGTAAATCAGCCACTGCGACGGTGAATGCGACCTTCGGACGAAAACCAGAACAGGTAATTAATTAATACACTCAACCACAACTCTGAAAACCAGTCACCCATTTAAGACTTTAACTCGATAACTCAAGAACGACATGCCGTGTAGTTCGGACCATCTGACCTGAATATTTGTGAGGCCTTGGACTAGATGGGCCCAATCTGAGAAAAGCAAATAGTACAATGAAACGACAACTCAATCACAGGCCCAGTGGAGTGTTGAAAGCTTTATGGTGGGCTGATTGTGATGGCAAGTCAGCCCAGTCTATGGTATATTCTTCTTTTACAAAATTCGTATGTGTACCAAATGATTTTAAAATCTTTTATTATTTATTGAAAGGTCTAACTAGTCGAAATAAAATATGATAAAATTAAATTTTTTATTTGATAAATAAAAATAAAATAGTATATTGTATATAATGAAGATGACAAAGTAAGTTTGATGTAACCACCTAACCTCTACATATTTGACATAATCAAGCTTCTAACTATTTAAGTATTAAGCAATGACATTTGTTGCGAGTACAAATAATCAAATATACAAAGACATTGATATGATAAATGCGTAATAATATAATTAAAATTAAAATGTTGCATTTCTAGTACTAAAAAACATTCTTGGATGGCTAACTACCACAGAACAGTCTTTTTCTTTAAATAAAATAAAAATAATAAAATAAGTAAGTGAATATTGTTGTTGTGAATAAATAATAATAATAATAATATAATTATTTGGTAGTAGTTTGTAATATCCAGTCCAAAATTAAATTAATTATGTAGGCAGCAACTAATAGTGCATTCTGACTATGTCTGTGTCATCTAAACCCTTGTTTAATTTAGAGAATTGGGTCCCATTTTCCAAAATTTGCCCTAACAGCAGGAGAGTGAGGGCAAATGGGGGAAGTAAACAACATTTTGATTCCTCAATACATGTATTTAAAGGAATATGAATGTACTTAATTAAGAGTAAGTAGAACTATTTCCAAATTAGCCAGTACTCCAATCAACAATTGCAAAAACACAGCCTTTGGACGCGTTTGCGAATGGATATATTTGTTCATTCAATTTTTTAATAATGTTCAAAAATGAGATTATTCTATTTAGGCACCAACGTGTGAATTTTTTTTTTTTTTTTTTTTTTTTAAAATGAGGATTATTCTTATTTTAGGCACCAAGTGTGAATTTTTTTTTTTTTTTTTTTTTTTTTTTTTTTTTTTTTTTTTTTTTAGTTTTATATCTGATTATTGTTTTTATTTTTGTTGTTGCTTCTCATAGCCGTAACTGAGGCATGCCTATTTGTGCATATAAATATGATATAAAACCCCAATATATATCGATGATCAACGGTTGTTGAAAGGCAATGCTTTCATCATTGATCCAGTGAATCATTTACAAGGAAGTAATGAAATTAATTTTTTTTTTCCAGTTTTAATTAATTAACGTGGGCTTCTTCTTCTTGTTAACCACTTTTATTCTAATAATTTATTTTTATCAGTCCATATAAAAAAATAAAATTTGCAAAAGCAATTACTCTTAATTAGCCTCCACTTACGGACTCTTAATCTCACAATCTCACTGGATTCTATTCCTATAAACCATGAACCATGCTTAGTGATCATTGTTTCTTCTTAGTAACCCTAGCTATTTTTAAAAACTTTACATTATATTTTAGAATAAGTCAATGCAGACTAATCTGAAATGAAGTCATTTGCCTCCATGCATATATCAATATATATGTCTCATACCAAATATAAACATGCATACATAAGAAGCTATAAAATATATATCATATAGACACTAAATAATCGTATTGTTGTTATTATTATTATTATTATTATTATTTATTATTTTAATAATTACGGCATTCGTTGATTTTCTTCACTTATGTAAATAAAGGGAGGTCTTGAATTCAAATTTTCTCATGCGATCACAGAAGTTTTGTTTTCATTATTCAGTGAACCGAGGAAGAGTTATCTGTATTATTTAGCCCGTCCAAATAATCAAAAAAAAAAAAAGAATAAATAGCTTTGTCTTTCTTACCAAGCCATATCGTTATCATACAGTATATGTCTTATGTCTATGATTACAACTTTTGCTCTTTACACATAGAATTCATTATAACAACAATTGTATTGAGAATTGGACACGATTCAACTTTTGGAAGCTTCACATTTACTCAATTCATTATAAAGGGGAAGCCGGCAGCTGGTAGCCGGTAGCCGGGGGTAACTATGGTGTCCAGTCCATTTCTTCACTGCCCAAATCAAATGATAATGTAAAATATAAAGATAAAAATATATATATATATACCAATGATCAAAAGAAGAATGTAATAATACTCTTTGACGTATTAGTTTAGTTTGTGAGTACAGTTTGACCTTTATTACCTTTTCACTAATTTACGCTTACCAAAATCAAAATCTTCAATCACGCTCGTTACTTGTCTCTCTGATGTCTCTTTGTAATCATAATCCCAATCCTTTCTTTTTCCTTTTCTTTTGTATTTTTATTTTTATTTTTATATTCATGTTGTTTGACTGAAAATACAAACTCAGTTGCTCATGTTTTTTTAAGAAAAAGAAATAAATAAATAAAAATATACTAATCAGGATATGATACCCTCTGTTTTATTGTCCACCTTCCTATTTAAAAATTCAACAAGCAAAACGTTTTTTTTTTTTAATTAAAAGAAAAAAGAAGAGGAAACTGAAGAAGCAACAAGGAAAGCTTCTAACATTTGATGATGCTTCTCTTTCACCGGATATATAATATATAAAGTAATAATAAGGAAATATGTATATGTAATGTAAAGCATGTCCTTCCTCCTCCTCCTCCTCATTACCTACTACTGACAACTCCACATCTTCTTCCCCCTTTCATACCAATTTTGGAAACCCTACAAACAGTCTCTTCTTTTTACTGATCTTTCACAATGTGCCTGTTCTGGGTTTCTACCAACGCCCTTATTTCCATCTCCGTTTTTTGTGTGAACTAATTTCTGGTTATTCAGTTTCTTCTTGTCTGCAACTCAGAGGCTCTCAATCAGGTTTTTTGATTTGATGAATTTTTACTTTAGAGCAGCAAGTCTTTTTTATAGCTTTTTTTTTTTTTTTTTTTTTTTTTTTTTTTTTTTTTTTTTTTTTTTTTTGAGTTTCTATTTGAAAAATCCTTTGGTTTGTAAAGTATTTTGGGTACAAATGATGCAGGTGAATGATTAGTTTTAGGTTTTTTTTTTTTTTTTTTTTTTTTTTTTTTTTTTTTGAGTTTCTATTGAAAAATCCTTTGTTTTGTAATTATTGGTACAAATGATGCAGGTGAATTGTATTAGTTTTAGGTGTTCTAACGAAAAGTTCTATCTTTTTCCTTTTTTCCTTGCAATTTTGATATTTATGCAGTTCCTTCAGTGATAAAGTCCCTTTCTTTATCACTGCCGACATGCCATTTGCTGTGTTGCTTTTTATTTTCTCATGTTTTTCTGGTTTTCGGTTTTATTGATTTTGCCTTGGAATATATTTAATGTGAAAGGAAAGGCCTTGATCGTTAAACTCTTGATGTCAAAATTGGACCGTAACTTGTGCAAAGTGATTAGCTAATACTTAATATTGAAATGGAGAAAAAGTTTGAAACTTTTGAATTGGCCAATTCACGGGATTGTTTTTTTCAATTTTATTTTTGCTGTCTACTCAGGTTTATTAGCATCTAGGGAAATGGCATCTCTCAAGCATACCCTAAACAAGAAACACATTGGCATGCAGTTGTGGGTAATAATAGCGATCTGTCTGGGAGTGGTTTGTGTACTCATCCTGATGGTTTCACTGTGGTGTACTTTTAGAAAGAAAACAAAGACAAACAGCAAGCTTCCTGTAAGTCAAAGACCAAATGTTTCAGAGGAAATTAAAGAGATCCGTGTTGATCAAAATTCAGCACATAATGGTGGTTTCCTCAGCCTTGATGATAAGTTCAGCGACAAAGAATCTGAGAAAGTGTTAATCCAATTAGAAAATGGTGATGATAGCAGCCAATCTGGGAACTTTAGCCATGTCGACAAAGATGGTGTTGGGTCTCAATTAGGAGAAGAGGGAGCCACGGGAACAGCCTACAGGCCTTCTTCACATCCCTTGACTGCCCCTTCACCTCTTTCTGGCCTGCCTGAATTTTCTCATTTGGGCTGGGGTCATTGGTTTACCCTCAGAGATCTACAAGTTGCTACAAACCGGTTTTCCAAGGAAAATATAATTGGTGATGGTGGATATGGGATTGTTTATCAGGGCCATCTAGTTAATGGGACTCCAGTGGCTGTCAAGAAGCTCCTGAACAATCCGTAAGTTGCGTAGGAGTTTACATAAGAATTGTTAATATTATAACCTCATCGAATTTTACTTATATTCTTACAGATTAAAATTTTTTTGATAGTCATCTGATGCTTTTCCTACAGAGGACAAGCTGATAAGGATTTTAGAGTTGAAGTAGAGGCTATTGGTCATGTGCGGCATAAAAACCTAGTTCGACTTTTGGGGTATTGCATTGAAGGAACCCACAGGTGTCATATCCTTTCAGGTTCTTTATTTGATTTGGGACCAAAATTAGAAAGTTTTTGAAACAGACATCTTTGTGCAAGATTTCAAGTGACGAACTTGAACGTGTCAGATTTGTAAATTTTCTTTTACTCGAAGAGTGTGTGCGCGCGCGCACACACACACAGGACTCACTAAACTAATATCCTATATTTACAATTTAAAGGAAGAAAATATTGAACATATTCTTGAAAGGTTTGCTAAGGAATGCTTTGCTGATAATGCATTGAATGCTTGCAGCATCTAATCATTAAAGCTCCAAGATATGTCTGCTTCTTGTCATTTGTAGTTTATAAAGAACCGACTTATATGGCAAGTGTTTGTTCTGCATTAATTCATTTGTCATTGTTCTGCGGTGAATTTCAGGTTGTTAGTGTATGAGTATGTTAATAATGGCAATTTAGAACAATGGCTCCATGGGGCCATGCGCCACCAAGGTTACCTTACATGGGAAGCACGCATGAAAATTCTAGTTGGCACTGCAAAGGCGTAAGTTCATTCACTTTATTCTGAGTTGTGTACAGTTATTGTGGCTTTGAGTCTGTTCTCAATCATGATTGTCTTTTTCAGCCTGGCTTATTTGCATGAGGCTATTGAGCCAAAGGTGGTGCACCGAGACATAAAATCGAGCAACATATTGATTGATGACAATTTTGAAGCTAAGATATCGGATTTTGGCCTGGCCAAATTATTGGGTTCTGGAAAAAGTCATATTACAACTAGAGTCATGGGTACATTTGGGTAAGTACTCTTTTCCTATCAGTTGCATGCAATTTAATGGCGCACCGTATCTTTTTCATCTTGTGTTGATTGTTATATCTCAGTATGGTTGCTTGATTGAATTTGAAGCAACTGTTTTAACAATCTATCTTTTCCCATTTCGCATGAATTTTAATTTGCGCTTTTATATTCTAACATTTCCTTCATTGAATGTTGGTTCAGTTATGTTGCTCCAGAATATGCCAATTCTGGTCTTCTGAATGAAAAGAGTGATGTTTATAGCTTTGGAGTTGTGCTTTTGGAAGCAATCACTGGAAGAGATCCAGTGGATTATGGTCGCCCTGAGAATGAGGTATGCATTAAACATTTCTTTTCACCATAAATTGATGTGCTTCTGTTTTGCACACGTGATGCATCTTTCTCCTGAGCAGCGATTCACATGTTTTCATGAAATGGGTTTTAGACGTTACATCAGCGTTGCTTAACTGAATGTTCTGATTATAATTTGCTTTCGATGCATCCGGGAAACAAATAATCCTAGTGCAAATTCCATATATTCTATCAAGCAATGGTATGAGCTGGTGCTTATTTAATGTAGACGAAACACGGATAACAATGTGAGCATGGATCACGACTGTCTTGACACAATCCTATTGGGTGAATCTTTCAGGTAAATCTGGTGGAGTGGTTGAAGATGATGGTTGCAACAAGACGGTCAGAAGAGGTTGTAGACCCCATGATTGAGACAAGACCATCCACAAGTGCCCTTAAACGAGCTCTTCTAACTGCTTTAAGATGTGTGGATCCAGATTCTGAGAAAAGACCAAAGATGAGCCAAGTAGTTCGTATGCTTGAGTCAGAGGAATATCCTATACCTAGAGAGGTTTGATTCTGAAGTTCTCTTTGAAGTTCAAACTAAGCTGACTTGGTTTAGCCTTGTTATTTTTTCTTGAAGTCTCATCAAATGTGGATTTTCTTGCATCTGTAAATTGGGAGTTAGAATTTGTTCCATGTGTTAATAAGATGATTCTTAAATGTTTGTGGATGGAAATTGCAGGATCGAAGACGGCGCAAGAGCCAGGCAGGGGTCAAAGACAATGAGACTCAAAGGGAAAATTCTGATACAGATCCAGATCCAAAGGCAGACAGCAGAAGGAACCGTCAGGCATAGGAATGAGAACTGTTTGTACATCTGAATATATACACCTCAAAAGAGTAAATCACACATTCTTTTGACATTGGAACTCATGGTATTGGAGCACTGGAGGGTCTGGATGATTTATTTTTCCTCTTTAACATTTTTAGTATTTACTTCCAGATGGTATAGAGAAGATTAGTGTGTATGGAATTTGCCATGTTAGAAAGGACACCCTTGCCAGGAGTGGTGTGTACAGATCTTGGTGATTTTGGTTTCAAAGAGTGTTTTTTTTTTTTTTTTTTTTTGTGTGTACAGATCTTCAGCGTGATTTTGGGGATTTCCAAAAGTGTTAGTGTTTTTTTTTTTTTTTTTCTTTTGGGTCATTGTAGTCCAAAAAGGATTCTTACTGAAATTGCATTGAAGGAAAAATGGATAAGCAAAATTATTTCTCTCTTTTAAATATCATTAGATAGATTAGATTTAGATAAAATGAATGCTTTGAAGCCTTTTTTTTTTTTTTTTATGTTGAAAAGGACACTTTGCCAAATGTTTTGCAGGAGAAGGAAGGTTTTGGGTTTGACTTTGACGTGTGGTGTAGAAAGAAAACACGAGGGAAACGTTTCCCTTTCATTTTCTCTTGCTGTTGCTGGTCTGGCCTTTGGATCCGAGCTATAACCCAAGTATAGAGCAGTAGACTTGGGCCGGACTCGGATTTTCTTACGGACCGATCAGAATAGAGTTTTGGTTTTTGGATATTTGATTACAAAACAAAGTTAGTAGGGTCGATTCTATTAAATTAAAATAATTGCAGACAAAACCTTCACCTGTGTGTGGAATGAATCTATCTAATGCAAAACGAAAGTCAAAGTGACCAAACTATATACTGGTAAGTAGGAAAATGCAATTTTAGTCTTAAATTATTATATACTATTATTTTGATTAGCTTAAGATTAGGGAGGATAGGTGAAATTAAGGCATAAATAACTTACATGACTTTTTCAAGAATGTGGTAGGTTTTGCACTAATCACAACAATATAATACTTGTGGTTGATGCAGAAGATGTTTCTTCTCTACATTGTAGGTGAAAACAAACAAAAAATCAAATTTTGAGTTTGACGGAGTAACCTTTATTTCTCTAATTAATATTATGTATTTTTCATTTAAAGTATAAATGAATTTTTTTTTACCGTCAACTATGACGTGATTTAATTAATCTTTTCACTTATAGAGTAAAAAGAGAGATTTGAAATTTGAGTATCTTCCATCCTTCCAGTCAATTAAAACAAACTATTTCTCTCCCCCTCGATTTTATTTTATTTTTATAGACATATCACGCTCAGAGCTGACTTGAACTCAAATTTAACTGAACTTTCAATCAGTGCGAAAAGTATATTAACTCAAGAATCTTAACCCAAAAACAATACAGAATAGTCAGAAATGTACACTAATTGGAGGGTCTCAATCAATTTGTCGAGATTCCTATCTGATGCCATGCAATGCAGGAAGATGTATGCACCTTCTTGCACCTTTGCCACTGTAAAATTTTTAGCCAAAGGCTCAAACTGTTAATTTCTCTTTCGGCTACAAGTCACGTAAAGAGACAGAAGATGGTGAAAGCTTGTAGACGAATAGATTCTTGACACCTAGTAAACATACGACCAAAAATGGTGGGTTATTCTTATAACAGTGAGAGCGAGAGACACGGGTTGTGGGGCTATAGATTCCGGAGGTTGGCTTCTTAAATTTAATCAAAAAGTGTACTCTCACACTTAAATCGCCATTCATATCACACAAAACTCTCTCTTTCCTAACCTTTTCCTAATTTCCTCTTCCTTTGTCTTTCACGGACGCAATCTCGAGCTGGAAACTCAACAATTCACCCATTCTGCCCAACGTCCCATCTGCTCTGCTCTTTTCTATTGTTTCTTTACGAGTTTGCTCATTAAAGTTGTTGTCTTTCGTCATAATTTGTAATTCAGTAATCGGTTTTAATAGGGTTTTGCCTTGTGGGCAGCTCCTATTTGGATCCATGGATTTTTTCTTGTACTATATTGAGATTTCTGGGGACATGGACAGGGTGGCTACGCGTGAATTATTCTTGGGTTTTAATTTTTGTGGCCATTTAAGTTGAAGTTCATGATCTCTATGCGCAAAGTGAGATCGAAATTTTCTATCTTTATTTTGTTGAATTTGGCTTGAGTTTTCACTTGTTATTATCTTTAAATTCCTTAGTTTTGATAATTTGGACAAATGGAGGCTAGGATAAGTGGGAAGTCTCATCATTTGTATGGCCCAGCAGTGTCGGATGTGAAGGCAGTTCAGAAAAAGAATTTGGAATGGGATTTGAATGACTGGAAATGGGACGGCGATCTTTTTACCGCCAGTCCATTGAATTCCCTACCATCAGATTGTGGGAGTAGACAGTTGTTCCCTATTGGACCTGAAATTACCACGAATGTGGGGTTAGCTTCTTGTTCTGATAATAATGGCTTGGGGAATGACAAAGGAAAGAGAGAATTGGAGAAGAGGAGGAGGGTTGTGGCTGTTGAAGATGAAGACTTCACCAATGAGGGTGGCTCCCTTAATTTGAAACTCGGTGCTCAAGCCTATCCAATCATGGATGAAGATGCAAAGAGTGGGAAGAAGACTAAAATTTCAGGGAATGCTTCAAATCGTGCGGTTTGTCAGGTGGAGGATTGTAAGGCTGATCTAAGCAATGCCAAGGATTATCACCGGCGGCATAAGGTTTGTGACATGCATTCCAAAGCCAGTAAGGCACTGGTGGGAAATGCTATGCAACGGTTTTGCCAGCAATGCAGCAGGTCCGTGCTCTTTGTTCCAAAAGATTAGAAACTTGTTTTCATTTATTATTGTCTTCTTTTCATTGGAGGTGTCTGTGTTCAGCATAAATAATAAAGATGTACTTTCCTTCCCAGTTAGTGCAACTTGGTTATACTTATGGGCAGGTTTCATGCTCTTCAAGAGTTTGATGAAGGGAAAAGAAGTTGTCGGAGGCGCTTGGCTGGCCATAACAAGCGGAGGAGGAAGACGCATCCTGAAAATGTAGCTAATGAAGGTTCCTTGAATGATGAAAAAAGTAGTAGCTATCTATTGATAAGTCTGCTAAGGATTCTTTCCAATCTGCACTGTGAGTACACCTCTTATCAAGTTTATTTACTTGGCTACCTTACCTAGATATTGAAATGTTCAATAGTTGGTTCCCTACAAGAATTTATGCAACCAATTGGTGTTCTTTTAAGTAAATCTGCTTTTTATCTCAGTGATTAAATTTGACGTTTTAAAAAAGTTATTATGAAATTTTGTTGCACTTTACCAAAAAGTGGATTTGACAATTTCCTTCTGACAAAACATGCTTATTTTGTGGAGAGTGGCCATGAGATGTATTTTTACAGCTAAGGATTTAGTCAAACAAGGGAACATAGCGAACCTTTGGTGTCATTTTGAGTGGACTGGGATAGAATTCATCACTTCAAGGCTCTTTCGCTGTGTATTTGTTTGGGATTTATATTCTTTTGTTTTTTGAAGAAAGGGGAATTACGTTCTCTCCTCAACCTGTTCTAATTTTTGGCTAGTTGCCATGAAGCTGGAGATGGAGAAAAATTCTGTAAAGCAGAATGCAAATTTTGGTTTTCTGGAAACTGAACTCTCTAGTGTTGTCTCGCATTCAGTATCTTCCTATTAAATTTTATTTATCAAATTTCAAAGAGTATAGGTCCATTTACGTTACAGAAAGGAGTTAACTTGTCTCAAGAAAGTTATACAAGCAAGTCAGCTATATTTAATTCTTGGATGCAGAATGTCATTTGTCTAATTCTTGGAGTCAGAAGGTGGTTTTCTAGGTTATATAACTTAAGGTATCCTTTTTAAGTTTTGTTGCTGATTAGAGAAGTTTGTTATGATGATGTTTTCTGGTTAGTATGCAACAAAATAAGGAAGCAAGATATGCCATGCATCTTGGAGGCAGGATAGCAATATTCAAAATCATGGAGTTTAGGTTGCTTGACAATTTTGTATAATTTTTTTCCCTTTATTGTTTAGTTGGATGTACCTCCTTTCATTCTTCATATGCTAATTTGAGATCCCTTTTGGATTTTATTGATGCTTAGAATATTGTGGGACAGAGGGAGAATCTTGCAATTAATTAGGACTTAGTTTGTTATGGTTTCTATGAACAAGCTGGTGCAGAGTCTAACATACTAGATCTCATAGACACGAGTTTATACAAGAATTTCCATTTCTTTTTTTTTTTTCCCTTCAGGCAGGCTTGTGATCTTGAAGCCAAAAAGTGATGTCTAGCAGAACTTAATAATATTTTACTATAAGCAGAATTTTCCTTCTCTTCCTTTGGTATTGTAACTGTAAAATATTTGACTCCACAGATTCTGACTTCTATGAATTGCAGCAAATGGCTCTGATCAAACAAAGGATCAGGATCTGCTTTCTCATCTATTAGGAAACCTGGCCAATCTTGCTGGTACAACTAGTGGAAGGAGCATATCGGGATTACTCCAAGGTTCCCAAGGTTTAGTCAATGCAGGGACAAGTGTTGGGACTCCTGAAAAGGTGACACACAAGATTACAAATGGTTCTGAATCTGCTGGGCCTTCTACATCAGCTTATAAGAAAGATGATTACATTAATTCTGAGGACCTGTTGAGGTGTCTGGGCCAATGTGGGACTATACCTGCTTCTGATTTGGCACAGAAAAGATTATTCATTAATGATTCCCAGAATCAAGCTCCAGAAGCTATATCAGGTTCACAGTCCACAGCATTGTTCCCATCAATCCGTCCAGCCAAAGTAAATGATCCAGAAGCTGTACTAGGAAGGACCAAGTTTAATAACATTGACTTGAATAATGTTTATGATGGTTCACAGGACTGTATAGGGAACCTAGAGAGGTCTCTTGCCCCTGTTAATCCAGGGGCAGGGTCTATTAACTGCCCTTCTTGGATAGAGTCAAACTTTCAAAAGAAAAGTCCACAACAGATGAGTGGAAACTCAGATTCAATTTCTTCACAGTCACCTTCTAGTTCCAGTGGAGATGCTCAGGTATGTATTCTTCTTTTCCTGTCATTACTCATATTTGCAATTTAAGTTTCTGCATCCTTTGATTGTCTGGATTATATCATGCACTGATTGCAGGTTCCATGTTCACACGCATATGCCTTGTTTGGCTGTGTCTAATTACATTGAACATGCTCAACTTTCTACTGTATTTTCTATGCTTTCTCTCGTTTTTGCCTGAAGTGTTTCTTTAAGAGAACTGTGAGGAGCATACTGAAATCAACAGGGTATAATTAAAGCACAATAATCCATTGTTTTTGGTTCTAAGCCTAGTGCATTTTTTCCTGCCAACTTTACTGAAATGTATTTGGCAACTTGAAGGCCTTCGATGACTCAGGATACTAAACTATCTTAAGGAGTATCTATTTCATGTTGCTATCATGTACATAGAGTATTCAAAAGGAAAAATAACTCTCCCCTTTTTTGGTTCCTGCTTAGCAGTCATAGAGGATGCTCTTGAATTATAAAGGAAACTATTGGTGTTGCATACAGAAAATGGAATGAGCTTTGAACATTGCTTCTTCTGATTTAAATATTACATAGGCCTTGAAGAATTAAATCTCTTGATTTCTCTTTCTTACATATTGCCAGAGTCGTACGGATCGAATTGTTTTTAAACTCTTTGGAAAAGACCCAAATGATTTTCCCATTGCTCTGCGTACACAGGTATTTTCTAAAAAATACTTCAGGTGCATATTTCTATTTGATGTTCTTCTCCTTGTATGGTTATAATCTGTCACCTTGTGGTGCACATCCAGATCCTTGATTGGCTATCTCACAGTCCCACTGACATTGAGAGCTATATAAGGCCCGGCTGTATCATATTAACTATATATCTTCGCCTGCGGGAACCTCAATGGCAAGAGGTATGCTCCCATTTTACCACCAGAAATGTCAATTTCTGATCTTTATATCAGACGTTATGTTCTCATGCCTGATTGCTAGTTCTAAACATAGAAGGAATTACTAATTTTCTTGTTAGCCATTATTATATACAGATATCCCTTCATTTGGGTGCCAATTTGACTAGGCTTCTTGAGTCATTCACTGACTCTTTTTGGAGAACAGGATGGATTTATGCTAGAGTGCAGCATTCTTTATCCTTTATTTATAATGGTTTGTTCCTTATCTATCTGTCTGTGTACACATCTCCCTCTACATTTTTATGCATACATCTTATGTTATTGTGAGAAGGAAAGAGTAGCTAGGGGCTGCTCGGGAGAGGTAAGCTGAAAAGAAAAGCGTTAAAACCCACCCCTTGATGTTTTTTAGAATATGCGCTTTGGTAATTGCTGTTCAAAAGTTAGCAATTTGGCTTTGATGTGTGTTAATGACTCTATACTTTAGTCTTAGTTGTAAAATTATAAATTTTCAGTCGTACTTTATTCATTATTCACTGACAGTTTAAATTAGGTCACACCTTATTCCTTAAAATTTTAAAATGCAGTTGCATTTTAGTCCCTGAATTATTATTTCCCTCAAAATCTTGAACTTTCCACTAATGGTAGTTTCAGTGGCAGATGCAAAAGATTTTTTTAACGGGGTCCAAAAATTTGATATGTATTGTATAGTTAACCAAAAATCTCTGTAAATTTAAGATTTTTCATATTAGCTTTCATTAGTTAAATACTTAAAATTTACAATCAAAAAAAAGTACTTGTCTTTTCAAAAGTAAAATAACAATTAAGGAAATTATTTCCTGCAGTATTTACATATGCTATAAATTAATTTGCGGGTCATATCACTCTCTAATAAATATTTTTTTAGTAGTTTTCTTTTTTCTATAAACCTAATCAAATAATTGTATAATGATACAATTTTAGTGGTTTCTTTATAATTCTAATTGAGTGGGGGCATGATAAAAATTAATTAAAACTTTGCCTTAAATCATTATATATATATAAAAGAAATTAATTTGAGTGGGGGCACAACGTTAAATGGATCCACCCTTGGGTAATGTTAGACTAAAATGGAGTTGCTTTTTGATTGCCTGTATCTGCAGGTCAAGTTGTTTTAGACACACCCTTATCTCTAAAGAGAGGTAGAAAGTGCAGGATCCTAAGCATCAAACCAGTTGCAGTGACATTATCTGAGAGAACTCGTTTTGTAGTCAAGGGCTTCAACATTTTTCAGCCTACCACTAGGTGATTTTTGCAATTGAATCTGTCGTTTTACTGACAGTTGAGGTTTTTATAAAAGCATTTTTGCTCTCTCTATGCAATTAAGCCAATCTGCCTCTGATTCTAGGTTACTATGTGCTCTAGAAGGAAAATATTTGGTTCAGGAAACTTCTTACGACTTGATGGATGGTGTGGATGCAATCAATGAGCACGAGAAGCTTCAGTGCTTGAGCTTGCCTTGTTCTATTCCCAATGTAACAGGAAGAGGCTTCATTGAGGTGCTAGCATTGTTCTCTTCTTTATCATGATGATCTGTTGTTGGGTATTCCTTCTGTGAGGAACATGGATGGTTATTTGTTAAAGTTTTTCTTTCTTGTGATTTACCATTTTGCCATTGTTTGTGAGTGCTACAAAGCCTAGTTCCTTCAAAAGGCTAAAATCTCAATCACCGTGTAAATTATGAGTTAGTTGTTGAAAAGCTATCTATGTTTGATGGACAAATTAGTTTGTGGATGTCCTGGGAGGACAATACTTTGGGTAATTCATATTTATGCATTTGGACCTATGTTTTAATTGCCTTGAATTCCTCCATCTTGAAGAAAGTGGATTAGGGATAAATCACTTCCTATCTTTTATGTGCACATCTGTGTCTTAATGTATCTGTTTTGAGAATCTTGGTTATCAATTACTGTCAGGTTGAGGACCATTGTCTTAGCAGCAGCTTCTTTCCATTTATAGTTGCGGAGCGAGACGTGTGTTCAGAGATCTGTGTGCTGGAAGAAGCAATTGAGGTCACTGAAACTGTTGACGACAGGCATAAAAATCCTGAGAGAATAGAAGCCAAGAATCAAGCCCTGGACTTCATACATGAAATGGGTTGGCTTCTACACAGAAGTCGCTCAAAGTTTAGGCTGGGTCACTTGGATCCCAACTCAAACTTCTTCCCCTTCAAACGGTATAAGTGGCTCATAGAATTCTCCATGGATCGTGATTGGTGTGCGGTAGTGAAGAAACTCCTGGCGGCCCTGTTTGATGGAACAGTAGATACTGGAGAGTATTCATCGATTGAGCTTGCATTGTTGGATATGAGTCTGCTCCATCGAGCCGTGCAGAGAAATTGTAGACCTATGGTGGAAATGCTGTTAAAGTATGTCCCAGATAAACAATCCAGTAAATCAGGAGAACAAAAGCAAGAATACAACTTCCTATTTAAGCCTGATGTTGTTGGGCCAGCTGGGTTGACTCCCCTTCACATTGCAGCTAGTAAAGATGGCTCTGAAAATGTGTTGGATGCCTTAACGGATGATCCTGGGATGGTAATTTGTTTTTCTTAGTGCATCCTGTTGCTTCTGCAATTTTTTTCCATTTGCTAATATTGGTGCGCCTCATCCAGGTGGGAATCCAAGCATGGAGGATAGCTCGCGACAGTACAGGTTTGACACCAAATGATTATGCATGCCTGCGAGGATTCTACTCTTACATTAATCTTGTACAGAAGAAAAGGAATAAGAAAGCAGAAAAAGGGCACGTGGTGCTTGACATCCCTGGAACCCTCCTAGATTGCAGCAGCAAACAGAAAGAAGGGCTTAGAACATCAACAGTTGGTGGCTTCGAAATTGGGACAATGGAAATGATGAACAAAACGCGGCAAGTTTGCAAGTTTTGTGAACAGAAGGTGGGTTTTGGCCACAGAAGAACGTCACTGGTGTACAGGCCAGCGATGCTGTCGATGGTGGCCATCGCTGCGGTATGTGTGTGTGTGGCTCTGCTCTTCAAGAGCTCTCCTCAGGTTGTATATGTGTTCCAGCCTTTCAGGTGGGAGTTGTTGAAGTATGGGTCAAGCTGAGTTGGTCAGATATGCGTGACTGAATCTGAACATATATATTCTTCCTATACAAAATAAAGTAGAGGTCCTCCTGCTAATTATGTGTATTTATGATTTAGTTGGAAATCTAATGTATTGTATTTGTATATGTATTAAAAATAGTTCATTTAAGTTTAGTGTTATACTTAGTACTAGTGTTAGTAGGAAAATTTATACATATGAGCCTTTGTATTGTACTTTTTTCAAATAAAACACTACTAATCAAGCATTCAAAAATCTGTCCTCTTCTGTGCGATATATAATCTAATGATAGTATATGTATAATTTCACGATGGATACAAATCTGAGTCTTCTTCAATACTCAAAAAAAATATCTTCTCTTCTTTCTCAACTAAACCTTGTTTGACTAATTATTAAATTGACGCAGATGATGAATATTAAATAATCTCCGCATTCAAATTCCCCCAAAGCATATATTTGAAATTTGTTAAGGGTAGGGGCAAAACTGTCAGCTCATCTCCTGTCCAAGGATGAATATTGAAAATGTCGTTTTGAAGATGATAGAATGCGACGTTATTTGGCAATAATCCGAGCAGTGAAGTGGAAATGGTATCATCGATGTCTCTCTCCTTCTCCTCTTTGCTGCTGCCCTCTCCTCTTCCTCACACCACCACCACCACCACCTCCAGCAACAGTAACATTGTACGCAATAAACAGATAGCTATCCTAGTTGTATGTTCATATTCTGCTACTTCACCTTCCTCTTATGAGAAAAAGCACTGGAAGAAGGGCGAATTATGCGACGTTATTTGGCAATAAATCCCGAGCAGTGAAGTGGAAATGGTTATCAATCGAATGTCTCTCTCCTTCTCCCTCTTTGCTGCTTTGCCCTCTCCTCTTCCTCACACCCCACCCACCACCCCCTCCAGCAAACAGTAACATTGTACGCAAATAAACAGATAGCTAATCCTAGTTGTATGTTCACTAATTCTGCTACTTCACCTTCCTCTTATGAGAAAAGCACTGGAAGAAGGGCGAATTTCCTGGAATCACGAACATTGCTCCCAGGAAACAGCCAATCAAGAATACTTCACTTCCTCTTCTGAGAAAAAGCACTGGGAAGAAGGGCGAATTCCCTTGGAATCACGCGAAACATTTCGCTCCCAGGAAACAGCCAAATAGATATCAAAAAGAAATTGGACAAAAAGAAGCAAAGCCCAAGGCCCTGGGTCAACACTGTCCGGGAGGCGCTTGTTCCGAATCGCATCGCTAAAGAAGCAGTGGCTTCAAGCCCCTCGAGGTTCCCCATCTCTCTTCGCAGCCACTTGGTGTCAGTTTTGCTTATACGAACATGCTTTGTAATTAAGAATACTTCACCTTCCTCTTCTGAGAAAAAGCACTGGAAGAAGGGCGAATTCCCTGGAATCACCGAAACATTCGCTCCCAGGAAACAGCCAATCAAGAATATCAAAAAGAAATTGGACAAAAAGAGCAAAGCCAAGGCCTGGGTCAACACTGTCACGGAGGCCTTGTCCGATCGCATCGCTAAGAAGCAGTGGCTTCAAGCCCTCGAGGTTCCCCATCTCTCTTCGCAGCCACTGTGTCAGTTTTGCTTATACGAACCTGCTTTGTAATTTAGATGAAAATTGACAACTGTTTTGGTGTCTAGGTGTTTGAGATGCTAAAAGTACAGCCCTTCTATCAACCAAAGGAAGGGACTTACATGAAACTGCTGGTTCTTTTGGGGAGATGTGGCCAAGCACACCGTGCCCATCAACTATTCGATGAAATGATCCAAGAAAGATTGGAACCTACACCTGAACTTTACACAGCATTGCTGGCAGCCTATTGCCGCAACAACCTCATTGATGAGGGATTTTCCGTTCTCCGCCAAATGCAGAGTCTCCCTCGTTGCCTGCCCGATGTTTACACCTATAGCACCTTACTCAAGGCCTGCGTTGATGCTTCAAGATTTGAGCTGGTTGAGACTTTATATCACGAGATGGATGAAAGATTGATTACTCCGAACACGGTCACACAAAACATAGTCTTGAGCGGATACGGGAAGGCTGGAATGTATGACCAGATGGAGAAAGTCCTATCTGCCATGTTAGACAGCAAGGAATGCAAACCTGATGTTTGGACAATGAACATCGTCCTCAGTGTGTTTGGTAACAAGGGTCAGATTGATTCCATGGAGAGATGGTATGAGAAGTTCCGCAACTTTGGAATTGAACCAGAAACCCGCACTTTCAATATATTGATTGGTGCTTATGGAAAGAAACGCATGTACGATAAGATGTCATCGGTAATGGAGTACATGCGCAAGCTTCAGTTTCCATGGACCACTTCAACTTTCAACAACGTGATCGAGGTTTTTGCAGATGTGGGAGATGCCAAACACATGGAGTATACTCTTGATCAGATGAGAGCAGAGGGCATGAAAGCAGACACCAAGACATTCTGTTGCCTAATTAATGGATATGCCAATGCAGGTCTATTCCATAAGGTGATTAGCACTGTTCAGTTGGCTGCAAAGTTTGAAATACCTGAGAATATCACCTTCTATAATGCAGTTATTTCTGCATGCGCGAAGGCAGATGATTTGAAGGAGATGGAGAGAGTTTTTGCGCGGATGAAAGATAATCAATGCCAACCAGATAGCAGAACCTACTCTATCATGGTGGAGGCATACAGGAAGGAAGGTATGAATGACAAGATTTATTATTTAGAGCAAGAGAAAAATGTTATGCTTTCTAATGGCTCTTTAAGTGAGTAGATACATTTCTGAGAGACCAAAATACTGCGGAATTTACCATTGTAAATTGCTTCAATCTTTGTTGAATATGTAATATTAATGTTTAACATTGGTTGGTTTTTGTTTATTCATGTCTTATAATGAAATGTCCCTTTCAAAATTTTAGCATTTTCATTGATATAGTCTACCTCAAAATGTAAGCATTCACGCAGATATATGCATATCCCAACCAATTCATAAAACACAATCTAACTGGAAAATTGGAACAAATAACTAAACCAGATTACTCTCATTGAGAACAAAATGACTAAATAATAAACTTGCAATCATAATTAGATAGGTTTTACATAACCAATAATCACACAAGGTGATTAACAAAAAATAACCAAAGCTAGCGTGATCATATAAACACCTCCAAAAAATGTATACCGACAAGATCACCAATTTCTTCGGTCTCTCGCCATATCTATTACAGCCTTTCAGAGAGGATCATAATTCCTGGCTACACTAGTCTAAGTAGTCAAAAAGCAACCACACGCTTCTATTCACCATGTACAGCGTGCATTTCATTCACAGGTAATTAGGCATGCACAGCTATATTTACATACAAAAAATCGGTCAAAAGATGTAGTATTTGCATTTGCAGTCTCTGGAAATCAATTAGCTCCATTTTGTCATATTTCTCCATTTATCTTTCAAATCAACCTGCAGAAATTATAATAAAAATGAAATAATGTTCAACCATTACACATAAAATTATATTCGAAAAAGAAATGAACAATGAATAAACCTAGTACCTCTGTCCTTTTCACAAATATATCATGTTTGAAATGCAAGATCTCCTTCCATTTCCCGATGCCAAACCTATATTTAAAGAAGAAAATTACACAATAAATAACAAAAAAAGAAGAAAAATCTGATATTGATGACATCATGGGTAAAAGAAGAAGAAAAAGAAACAAAAGTGAAGTTTAAGAAATCATGAAACCAAAAGTTGCATTAAAATTATGTACTGTATCACATACTTCTCTACGCCTTCTCGCAAGGCATCTTCCTCCTCCACAGCCCATCTCCTCATTTTTCTTCTTATGGCAAATTTTTGGGCTTCAGATTTTCCTAATGCAGACACATTTTTACCTTTTGGGCTATCCAAGCAAATCGGATGGTTGGTTCTTACTTCCACCGAGTCAACTGAATCCTTCTGCTACAAAGAAATTAGCAGATAGTAAGGTACAATTAAACGGAAAAAAAAAAAAAAAAAGTAAAGTTAAAAAGTAAAAATATAGAGCAAAAATATATAAATATTGTATTAGTTATTAACTTATATATTAAAAAGGTTGTGAATGAAATCAGGAAAAATCGTTTAGGAAGGGCAAACATAAAGAACGAATGATTTAATAGGATCAATTTTCTTTGTAGTTCAAGAGACACACCAACTTTAGTAAATTTACAAGTGACAAAAAAATTTAAATGTGTGCATGCCTTCATCGTTTTGCCATTAAACAGACATATTATCAATCACATGGATAAACATGGCCTATTTTTTTCTTAATTTGAATTAAATAACCACCTTCAAAACTGCATATATAGCAAAGTATACACATGCATCTAATAACATTAAAAATGACCTAATTTTAAATATAATCTGAAGACAAAAATAGCATGTCAAACAAAAGAACAATTCACACCTCACATGCAGGAGCAGAACCATTGCGCTCCGTTAAGCTGTGTTCTGTGATATCCTTTTCAGGCCCGAGTGTAGATGGATTAGCAACATCAGCATCCTCATTTTGTTTTTCTATCAATGTCTCCTGGTTCATGTCCTTTCTTGACAGTTCAACAATTACACTATTAGCCTTTGTTTGATTCAATTCAGGAGTAGGTAGAATTATGTCACTGATAGAACCTATGTCCACGTCCAGTTCATTCGAGTTGCTAATCCGAGCTGGAACCTTTGAGCGCCTGCGGGCAGCAACATATTTATGTTTATGGACTGCAATCTTCCTCTGAATTTCTGGACAAAATATGATAAATTACATATTGCTTTATACCTCAAAATATAGTATGATAATGGAGAAACAAAAACAGGCTTGAGCATAACAACCATGCTTTTGTCTGCACAAATAAGTCTGCTTATCAAAGTTGATAATATTCTACCATGAATATCAGGGGATACTTTAAAAATCAATAAAACCATTAAATATCTATCTAAGCTTTGATTAACGGTCAAGAAATTTGAATTTAGAAAAAGAAACAACTTCAAGTTTTTGATATGCAGGATTTAGGGCCAGCTCTCTTCTTTCGACATAACCAAAGTTAAAAAGAGTGGCTTTTTCTGGTTTAAAAGTAATAAGCATGATCTGGCTTGTGGCCTCAACTAGTACGGGTGTTAGAAAGGTTGCATATATTAATATGTCATAAAATACTGTATATGGCTCGGGAAGATCATGACTATGCATGCAGAAAGAGTTGAGGAAGAATGGATGAAATCTTGGAAACATAAGACTTGTCAAATGGAAAAACACAATACAATATATGGAGGAAAATAAAAAAAAGGCTAATTTGTCTCTAGAAATACCCAATTCTGAAATTCTTTGTCCATCAACATCGCCTGAGTCAGGATTAGAATGGTGATTAGCTCCCTTTATGCTGCAATCATATCTAAGATCTTCCTTTTCAGCTATTGACTTCTCACCTGCCTTGTCTTTGGCCGCCTTCTCCGACCCGACTTCCTTTCCTTTCTTCTCCCTTATATTCTCCTTCTCTATCCTTGCAACTGATTCAAGGAATGAAGGCCCCATGATGGCCGTTGCCTCATTTATATAAATCCCGGTCAGAATCAGAGCATCTTTTTGTGTATTCCGTTCCTGCAACCTCTCTACCACATTAGAGTCGGAGAGTGCCGCTTCAATTTCTCCTTGGCACCTCTTCAACTCATCAGTAACCAATTCACTCATCTTAAGCATCTCCAGTTTGTGTATCCTACCCCTCCAAATCCTATTGACAGCCGCCACATACTTTGCTTGGCAATGAGCATGGAGATTTCCCCACATGTATTTGACGGTGCAGTCTAGGGCAACCGCACAATAGGCGTGTTTCATTGAATCCAAGATTTTGACTTTCTTGTTCCGGTCCAGTTCTTCGATAATTTCCAGCGATTGAAGAATTGTTTCAGAGATAGAGCCATTTCTGATTTCGGAATCAATCGACCTTAAAAGAACGGTCTTTTTCAAGCATTCATTGTCGTTGTCCCAAGGCGCATGACTACTTGCGAGCATTTTGTTAATCAAAGCGTCTGGCACTTGTCGTTGTCTTAATAGCAGCTCTAAAATCCAGGATACGATATATTTGTCTATCTCCTTAGTTGGAGGCATTAGAAATCCCTAGCTCATGATAAAAGGACCGAAGGAGGAGGGAATTGCAACTTGGGTTGATAGAAATGTAAGGCATGTAACCCTAAACCTAACCCTGTCTAAATATTGTTTCGAAAGCGAAGGGAAAAAGAGAAGGCGAGAGAAAGGTCGAGAAGAAAGGGAGAGAAAAAGCCGTAATATTCATTTTAGGACTTATAATAATAATAAATAAATAATTTTTTTAGGGGATGTTTATTGATGTCTTGATCCCCTAAGAAGATGTTCTTGTTGCACTTGCAAATATTAATGTTATTATCTAAATAAAATAGAAAAAGAAAAAAACCGATAAATAATTACTGTGCTAATATATGAAAAAAAACCTAAGATTTTAAGGAAAATTGAATAATTCTTCATCTTGTCATCTATTTTGTGATGTGATTCTGGGGATAAGAGAAGTCCATAATAGTATAATTCATTCATTAGTCTGTTGTAATGGAGATAATGTATTTAATAGAACAAAGTCAACGAACTTAAATTGCTAACCGATAGGATCTTGCCTTGCCTGCTGTCTTATGTTAATAATAATAATAATAATACTAATAATTATTACAATTAAAACAATAAAAAATTGTTTTAATATCCAACATTAACCGTGCTAGAAGAGCAGCCATCGTGTATATTTATGCTTTATAGAATTAATTAGAAGGGTTCTTTCTTTCAATAAATAATTATGCCTATGCCATGGAGAACCAGCATGGCTTACGGCCCCTTGCTTGCCCCAACACACAAACAACAATGATGTAAGGAATGACGCAGTTCATTGCCTCATCAAGTTGAACCTGGTGCTTCAAGTCTGTATATTTATAGCACTAAAAGATGAAGATAAATCTATGATCAAGCAATGGCTGATGAGATAGAGTCTTTGAGAATTGAGCTTACAGATTTAAGAAGCAAAAGGTCATCATTTGCTAGTCATTTGTCCAGCAGCAGTTTTCGCAGCATTTCGTCTGATCACCTTGGTGAAAGAGATGAAGAAATTCAGTTGCAATGGGCTGCTGTTGAGAGGTTACCTACCTTTAGACGGATTACTACTGCTTTATTTGAAAGTACTTATGAAAATGAAAATAAAGGCAGAAGAATTATTGATGTTGCACAACTCGGAGCAGAAGAGCGTCACATGTTCATAGAAAAGCTCATCAAACACATTGAACATGATAATTTGAGATTGCTGCGGAAACTTAGAAAGAGAATTGACAAGTAACCTCTCTTTTTTTATCTTTAAATATTTATATTTTGTTACATAGTAGTCTTGCCTTATTAGACTGTGAATTAAAGCGTTTGTATATTTTACAGAGTTGGTGTACAGTTACCCAGTGTGGAAGTGAGATATAGAAATCTTGGTGTTGAAGCAGAGTGTAAGGTTGTTCATGGCAAGCCTCTCCCCACCCTTTGGAACACTTCTAAGGCTATACTTTCTGTAAGTAACACCATCCTTTCTTCTTTTACAATGTTCGCCATGCATTTTTGAACCGCAAATTCTGCTCGCGGCAGGAGTTTGTGAATCTGGCATGGTCAAAGCAAGAGGCCAAGATAAGCATCCTCAAAGATGTCAGTGGCGTTATCAAGCCAAGAAGGTACCCTTTGAAATATACAATTTTTAAAGCAATTTCAATTGCTCGCTAATTTACAAGTACATAATCCCTAGCCTCTAACATGCTAAAACAGAGGCTGTTATTTTATTGCAGGATGACTTTATTGCTTGGCCCTCCAGGCTGCGGCAAAACCACATTGTTGCTGGCGCTTTCTGGGAAATTGAGCCATTCTCTTAAGGTTTCTCAATTTTATGTATACATACACGTAGAGTTATTATTGGAACCAAATAATAAAAAGACTTGACCGGTCTTCATTTGAACAGGTTACGGGAGAAATATCGTACAATGGCTACCAATTGGAAGAGTTTGTTCCCCAGAAAACCTCAGCTTACATAAGCCAATATGATCTTCACATTCCAGAGATGACTGTTAGGGAAATTATTGATTTTTCTGCTCAATTTCAGGGCACAGGAAGCCGAGCTGGTAAGCTTAACTTTGATGTTTAGTTTCATTTATAAATTGCAATTATGACCATAGTAATTTGTTCTCCTTCTTCTTGCATAAAAGAGATGATGACAGAAGTTATTAGGAGGGAGAAGGAGTCAGGGATTGTTCCAGATCCTGATGTGGATGCTTATATGAAGGTATCTCAGATTCTATGTTCCGTCATGGTGTAAAACTGTGACTAACGTTTTCTTATTGCATTGCAGGCAGTATCAGTTGAAGGACTGAAAAGTAACCTTCAGACAGACTACATTTTGAAGGTAGTGTTTTATATATAATTATAGGCTTCTGGTTGAAATATAGCTAGTTTGTTCCAAAAGACATGTTCTCCCTTTACTTGTCAGATTCTGGGACTTGATATTTGTGCTGACACAATGGTTGGAGATGCCATGAGAAGAGGCATCTCTGGTGGTCAGAAGAAAAGGTTGACTACAGGGGAGATGATTGTGGGACCTACGAAAGCACTCTTCATGGATGAAATATCAAATGGCTTGGACAGTTGCACCACTTTCCAGATCGTGTCTTGCCTGCAGCATTTGGTGCATATTACTGATGCTACTGCACTGATTTCACTTCTTCAGCCGGATCCAGAGACCTTCGAACTCTTTGACGATGTCATTCTGATGGCAGAAGGGAAGATTGTTTACCATGGCCCGCGTTCTAGCATTTGCAACTTCTTTGAGGAATGTGGGTTCAAGTGCCCTCAAAGAAAAGCTGTTGCTGACTTCCTTCAAGAGGTAGGCTCCTATTTTTCGCTTTTGTATTTAACCACAAAAGGTTCTTACCCTTTTTATTTTGAATTGCTGCTCCAGGTTATCTCCAGAAAAGATCAACAACAATATTGGTGCTGCACAGAACAACCGTATAGTTATGTTTCTGTTGACCAATTTGTTAAGAAATTTCAAGAAAGTCAGCTTGGACAGAAGCTAAATGAGGAGCTCTCAAAGCCATTTGATAAGTCTAAAAGCCACAAGAGTGCTTTGTCCTTTCGCAAATACTCGTTACCGAAATGGCAACTGTTTAAGGCTTGCATAAGGAGGGAATTTCTTCTAATGAAGAGGAATTCTTTTATTTATGTGTTCAAAACCACACAGGTGGCTTCCTTTTTAATTCTATTTTAACTCATTTTTTAAAACTAAAAGCATCTCTAAATTGTATCTCTCTCCTTGCAGCTAGTGATCATTGCTGCAATAACAATGACAGTTTTGCTACGCACTAGATTGGCTGTTGATGTGCTTCATGCAAATGATTACTTGGGAGCTATATTCTACGCACTCCTCCTATTACTCGTTGATGGAGTTCCGGAGTTGCAGATGACTGTTTCAAGACTTGCAGTTTTCTATAAACAGAAAGAGCTCTTCTTTTACCCTGCTTGGGCTTATGTCATTCCTACAACTATCCTTAAAATTCCACTTTCATTCTTGGAAGCTTTTGTTTGGACGTCTCTCACTTACTATGTGATTGGTTTCAGTCCTGAGGCTGGAAGGTGAGTCCTAGGTGTGGTTTTTTTCATGTAAAATAAAAATAAAAATGATTTGGATTTTGGTGTATTTCTCAGGTTTTTCCGGCAGTTTCTTCTACTTTTTGTGATACACCTAACATCAATATCCATGTTTCGCCTCATTGCCTCAATCTTCCAAACTGTGGTTGCTGCAACAACCGTTGGCAGTCTCTTTATAGTGTTTAATTTACTGTTTGGTGGTTTCATAATTCCAAAGCGTAAGTTTCTTATATACAGCTCTGCCTCTTTCAATTTGAGCATAAGCTTTTCAGGACAGCATTGCTTAAACTGTTATTTCGGTTACAGCTTCTATGCCTGCCTGGTTGGCATGGGGATTTTGGATATCCCCATTCACATATGGGGAGATAGGGTTGTGTGTGAATGAGTTTCTTGCTCCTCGCTGGGGAAAGGTAACTTTTAAATTCTCTCTCCCTTGCAGAAGTGGCTGTAAAAATCATTTCCTTTTTTTAATTTTTCACACAGATTGTGTCTGCCAACACAACTATAGGGCAACAAACTCTAGAAAGCCGCGGATTAAACTATGATGGTTACTTTTATTGGATATGTCTTGGTGCATTGATAGGGTTCACAGTGCTTTTCAACATTGGTTTTACTTTGGCATTAACCTTGTTGAAATGTAAGTTCATCTTCCTCTGCTTCCTTGATAAAATATTTATAATGCTAACTCAAGATATTTATTTTTGTTCTTTCAGCTCCTGGAAGATCTCGTGCTATTATTTCTTATGACAAGTACTGTCAATTGCAAGGAAAAGTAGATGATAAGGAGCGTGTTAACATTCATCCTGTACCTAATAGAGGACCTAAAAATGGTATTCTTTTAGTTTGATAAAATTACAACAGATAATGCTTTTCCAATCTATATAATTATAACATATATATACAATTCTGTAGGAAGGATGATTTTACCTTTTGAGCCTCTTACTCTAACATTTCAGGATCTGCAGTACTATGTTGACACTCCTTTGGTAATCATGATAAACTTATCCTTTTCCTTTTGAACACTGCCTAGCCACCAAGCATTTTAAAGTGCCATACTTTGTGTCATAGGAAATGAGAAAACGAGGCTTTGCACCTAAGAAGCTTCAGCTGCTTTCTGACATTACTGGTGCATTCAGACCTGGTGTTCTTACAGCATTGATGGGTGTTAGCGGAGCTGGAAAGACAACTCTTATGGACGTTCTTTGTGGAAGAAAAACTGGCGGTACTATTGAAGGAGAGATTAGAATTGGTGGATATCTGAAGGATCAAGATTCATTTGCTAGAATATCAGGTTACTGTGAACAAACTGACGTACATTCCCCACAAATTACTGTACAAGAATCAGTGGCATTTTCTGCCTGGTTGCGACTCCCATCTCAGATTGATCCAAAAACTAAATCTGTATGATATCTTTTACAAAGCTTGAGTAGTAAGCCTATGTTTTCTAAAACCAAATTGAACTAAATTTCTTTTCCTTCCAGGAGTTTGTTAATCAAGTGCTTGAAACTATTGAGCTTGATGGAATTAGAGACTTGCTGGTAGGCTTGCCAGGAATTAGTGGCTTGTCAACTGAGCAGCGTAAACGGCTGACTATAGCTGTCGAGCTGGTTGCTAATCCATCTATCATATTTATGGATGAGCCCACTACAGGTCTTGATGCAAGAGCCGCGGCAATTGTTATGAGAGCAGTGAAGAATGTTGTTGAAACCGGAAGAACAGTCGTTTGCACCATCCACCAGCCAAGTATTGATATTTTTGAGGCATTTGACGAGGTAAACTAACAAATATAACTGAATTCCTTGTGGCCATTTTCTCTCCCAGTCAAATAATCCTTAATATATATGCTATTCCTCTGCATATCATAAATAAATTGCAGTTGATTCTACTGAAAACTGGAGGACGCATGATCTATTCCGGGCCATTGGGCCAGCACTCAAGCAAGGTCATCCAATATTTTGAGGTCAGTTGTCCTATGAATTCTTTGCTGATCCTTTTCTATACCATTGAAATTAATGTAACATCGATTCCTTTGACGTCCTTCATAGAATGTTTCTGGGGTAACCAAGATTAGGGATAACTATAATCCAGCAACATGGATGTTAGATGTTACATCTAAATCTGCAGAAACTCAACTCGGACTAGATTTTGGACAAATTTATCAAGAGTCAGCTCTGAATAAGTAAGTCCATTATACCAGGGCTGTCTGAATGAGTTCCTTAAAAGTTAAACAGCTCATAACTCTCTTGGTCTTTGAGTACATTTGCAGGGAAAACACAGAATTGGTTAAGCAACTGAGTATACCAAATCCTGGTTCAAAAGAATTGCGATTTTCTAGCCGTTTTCCACAAAATGGTTGGGAGCAGTTCAAAGCTTGTTTATGGAAACATCACTTGTCGTATTGGAGAAGTCCTTCGTATAATCTCACCCGCATTGTTTTTATGATTACTGCATCCCTCCTATTCGGCGCACTCTTCTGGCAGCGCGGGGACAAAATGTTAGCTTTAATACAATTTATCCAGTACTCCCTTCTCCTTTTCCTGTTTCCATTATTGATCCAAAACCTCATTTCTATATTCATTTTTGCAGAGCCAACCAACAAGACCTTTTCATTATGCTTGGTTCAATGTACACTGCAGTAATCTTCTTCGGCATAAACAATTGCTCGTCGGTTTTGCCATATGTTGCTACAGAACGGGTGGTTTTATATCGGGAGAGGTTTGCAGGGATGTATTCTCCGTGGGCGTATTCATTTGCGCAGGTTCACATCTCTTTCTCTTCATCTTGTTTCAATGATCCTTGCACTGCAACTCTTTTGGTCACTCAAGTTTTTTCATTTTGTAGGTGCTAGTGGAGGTACCGTACTTGTTGGTGGTAGCTCTTATTTATGTTGCCATCACATATCCTATGGTTGGTTATTCAATGTCTGCCTACAAAATATTCTGGGCATTCTACGCCATGTTCTGTACATTGCTATGTTTCAACTACCTGGGTATGCTTCTGGTATCATTAACACCAAATATTCAAGTGGCTTCCATTTTAGCATCATCTGCGTACATAATGCAAATTTTATTCTCAGGCTTCATCGTGCCAAAACCAGTGAGTATTTACAAGGGAAATTCCTCATTATAGCTATATGATTTTGGGTATTGAATACAGATAATAAGTTGATGTTTTAATCGTTGCAGCGTATCCCAAAGTGGTGGATTTGGCTGTATTATATTTGTCCCACGTCTTGGGTTCTAAATGGTATGCTCAACTCCCAATTTGGAGATGTTGACAAAGAAATAACAGTGTTTGGTGAGACTAAAACTGTTGCTCATTTTTTACAAGATTACTATGGCTTTCATCACGACTTTCTGGGTGTTGTTGCTGCTCTACTTTTCATCTTTCCTTTTGTCTTTGCTTCTCTTTTTGCATATTTTATAGGAAAGTTGAACTTCCAGAGAAGGTAAATTCTATATTCGTGTATCGACACTATTTTATTTTTATAAAAGGATGTAATTAAAACCTTATTTTATTTGATTATCCTATTAGAGATTTAATGAAATCATTACCGAGAATTGAACACCACAAAGCAAGAAATGAACTTTACCAACACCGTATCTCAATTGTAGATAATGGAACCGACTAAATATTAAGAAAACAATTTATTTCTTCAATATCAAAAAATATAACAGAATTTAACGTGTATCTTGGCAGCTCTCCTGCCAAGTGCCAATCCATTGTTTTGTACATGCCCTTATCACCTCTGGCCAAGCAAGAGGCTTTCAAAATGCACTTTTTTTTTTTTTTTTTTTTTTTTTCAAGAAATGAAACTTTACCAACACCGTATCTAATTGTAGATAATGGAACCCGACTAAATATTAAGAAAACAATTTATTTCTTCAATATCAAAAAATAAATAAACAGAATTTAAACGTGTATCTTGGAGTCTTTCTCCTGCCAAGTGCCAATTCCATATGTTTTGTACATGCCCTTATACACCTCTTGGCCAAAGCAAGAGGCTTTTCAAAATGCACTTTTTTTTTTTTTTTTTTTTTTTTTTTTTTTCCGTTAATCTAATGACAAGCAACAAAAAAGGCAAAGAAAAAAAAAAAAAAACTCTAAAAAAAAATTGGATGACAGGGGGCAGCGGCGGTAATCAGTCAATGTATCATATTATCAGGAACTTGGTGGAAGAGACCTCCAATTAAAGCTTGAGGCTTTTCCCTTTGAGGGGCCTTGAACCACTTCCCCAAGGATGGTTTTTTTTTTTTTTTTTTTTTTCCGTTAATCTAATGACAAGCAACAAAAAAAGCAAAGAAAAAAAAAAAACTCTAAAAAATTGATGACAGGGGGCAGCGGGCGGTAATCAGTCAATGTATCATATATCAGGAACTTGTGAAGAGACCTCAATTAAGCTTGAGGCTTTTCCCATTTGAGGGGCTTGACCACTTCCCAGGTGAAATCAGCATCATCTCTGCCAAAGTGACCATATGCAGCTGTCTTCAAGAACCTGCCATTGCCACCTCTCTTAAGGTCAAGGTTGATGGAAATCATACCAGGCCTGAAATCAAAGTTCTCCTTCACAATCTTGAGGATTTCTTTGTCAGGAATCTTTCCAGTGCCGTATGTATCCACAAACACCGACAAAGGTTCAGGAACACCAATGGCATAAGAAACCTGAACAATACACCTTCTAGCCAGCCCACTGGCTACAATGCTCTTTGCAGCCTGCCTCACAATGTAGGCTCCGCTCCTATCCACCTTGGTTGGGTCCTTCCCAGAGAAAGCGCCGCCACCGTGAGCACCCCATCCACCATAAGTGTCAATAATGATTTTACGGCCTGTGAGACCAGCATCTCCATGAGGACCACCAATAACAAAACGCCCAGATGGATTCAGATGAAAGATGGTCTTCTCATCCAAATACTTGGCAGGAATAATAGGCTTGATGACATGCTCCTTGAGATCAGCAGCAATTTCATCGTTTGTCACAGTCTCATCGTGCTGGGTAGAGATGAGAACAGTGTGGACACGGACAGGAACCATGGCACCATTATCACTGTAGTACTCGACAGTAACTTGAGTTTTACCATCAGGCCTGAGCCAGGGGCAAGTACCATTCTTGCGAACCTCAGTGAGACGAGCACCGAGTTTGGTAGCCAAAACATGACTCAAGGGCATTAATTCAGGGGTCTCATCAGTAGCATAGCCAAACATGTGACCTTGGTCACCAGCACCAATTTCCTCAGGGCGCTTAGTGAGATGGCCATGGACACCTTGAGCAATATCAGGACTCTGTTGCTCAATATTGACAAGCACCTTACAATGGTCAGCATCGAGACCCACATCATCGGAAGTGAATCCAATAGAACGGCAAGTGTCGCGCACAATCTTCTCGTAGTCTATATTGGCTTTAGTGGTGATCTCTCCAAAAACCATGACCAGGTTGGTCTTGGTGCAAGTTTCGCAAGCCACCTTGCTGTCGGGGTCCTGAGCCAAACAAGCATCGAGCACTGCATCGGAGATCTGGTCGCAGAGCTTGTCGGGGTGTCCCTCGTTCACCGATTCCGAAGTGAATAGGAAGGTCTCCATTTCTGAATGAATATGAAACCAGATCTACAAACAACCCTACGTCGCTATGTATAGAGAGAGAGAGAGAAAGAAGAATGGCTCTTGCTCGACGGCGAGAATGGAGGGGAGTGAAGGTGCTAATTTATAGGGGAATGTCAAATGACCCTTAAAGCGTAAACAAGGCTAGATTCATTCATTTATGACAGGAGGTCTAAGATCCAGAGGTTGGATTTCAATCCAAGGACCCTGGTTGCTGCCAAAAGTCAGTCTTCAGCTTACAGCTTTCGAGGAAGGGAGTCGGTGGGGAGAGAGAGAGCGCGTAGTGTTAATAGCAAGCCAAACAACTGGGTCCCACTTACCGAGCTGGAAAACCACTTCTTCACTGGGTTTTGGTCTAACCTACTGGGTTGGGGTTGGTGTGGTAATCGGTAAGCTAAACTACCTATAAACAATTTGAGGCTAAATTCAAAAAAATTCTATTCGAGTTGGTTCGTTCAAGGAGTTAAGTTCGAACCTAATTATCGAGTCTGAGTTTGAGCTGGTAGATGATTCACAATTTCTTTTCAGAAAAATAAATAAATTGTAAGTAAAAAATAAAAATAAAAGGATTAAATTTTCAAGTTGGGATGAGTAAGACTAAGAGTAATAAAAACATTTATTTTTATTCAATTGGTGGGTTGGTGGGTGAGCAAGACTAAGAGCATTACATCCTATCCTTTTACCAACCACAAAATGCATACATGGACCATTGGTAAAACGTGGCTGCCACTTAATTCAATAACAGGAATGCCTTGACTTTTGAGTTTTCTATTAAAATTCCGTAATTAAATTTTATTCCTTTATATTATATTAGGCTTTGACCAGCCCAACACTTATCACATAAAAGCCCAAACAATACAAAGCCCAACTCAAACATAATACTACCAAATATTCAAGCATACACCTGTTCCTGAATTTCTTTTCTGCTTTGCTTATGGGAGCACTTGGACCTCTGCTTCTACAACGTTTATGTCTACCTTAACAAAACAAATGTCCTTATCATGAAGTCGTTTCTTCAATTTATCTAAGTCATCAAGTGAAATGAATGTTGACCATCTACGTTTGGGGCTTGAAGCACTGAACCACAAACTATCTGCAAAAGGGAAAGGACAATCTGAAAATTGGCTTTTAGATTAGTAGAAGACCGAGAAATATGATTTATACTTGACCTTTTCCAGTAAAAAGTTCGTGCTTGGCTTTATCATCCATGATGCGCACTGTAATGTCTGCATATACTCTAGAGTTAGGAGCACAGGTGGTTACAGGATCTGCCAAAGCCAAATATACAGAAAGATGGGTTTCTTTTCCAACATCTGTTCCCTTTGGATGCAGCTCTATCTTCCTGAAACAGCCAGTAAATGTAATCGAAAGAAACATAAGATTTTACATATATGTAAATAAAAATACCATCTTCGAGTTCCAGCTGTGAATATGTCGGAGTCGATACGTTCTTGTTTTAACTTGGAAGAGAGTTGATCGATCTTCCATTTGTGAGTAACTGTGGGGCTTCCTTCTATAATTGACAGGCACTCTCCTTTGCCTGTTTTCTGCTCCCGAACAGATATCACCTCTACGCCAAAAGTACAAGAGCCTTCCGCCAGGTAATCATCCAAAGCTTTAAAAAGAATGAACTTGTCTACACCACATTCGTGCTTCGATGGGTGGAAACATCCCTCAATTTCGAAACCTGCTAACGGATCACCAAGTCATTTTCGAAATTCTTTCATTTCTTTTTGAAGTACGGATACTCTAGCCACGCTTACAGTGATTTCTGGGGAGATATTGATCTAATAAAAGCAAGCGAAAGTTTGCATGGACTTCGGAACCAAGCGGTACAGTCTTTTCCAATGCCAAGTAGAAAGATATGTGATCTGTCACGTTCTTGCTCTTGTTTCCATTTGGGTGGATAACCAATGTCCTGCCACCAGAGGAAAGATATACATTATATGTATTAAGATCGCTAGATACAGACAGTCCAGAGATATGCAAGCAAGAAAATTTACCATTCATAGCCTCCAAATTTGAAAACTGCTGATTTGTATTTCTCCATTGAAACTTTAACGTCTGAAAAGGTGTCTATTCTCATTTGATAACGGAATGATAACAGTTTATCTGATATTCATCATAAATACTAGATTATGATCATTATAATAATAAAGAAAAACAAAGCAAAATAGTTTGGTGTCAGAGAAAATATTTAGAAAGAAATAAAATGAAAAGGTGGGAGAGAGGGAGGGGAGCGCAGACCATCACCCATAGTTGCAGACTTCTGCAGAAAAATCAAACCTTTCTCCTATTTGTAGTGATAAAAAGAGTTATTATTATTTATATGTGTTGTCCTTATTCCAAACTTGAACGTTATAAAGGGTGAATAGTGAATATGCTATTCTTTGCTTTTGCTTCAGGATGCATTCCATTGATCTCTCCTTGCTTCCTTTAAAAGATTCAGAAAGGGTGATGCTTTAGCTTCTGTTTGTTCCATTAAAAAGATCCAACTATTTGTTCCCCATCTCACAAAAGATAAAGACTATACTTACCACAAGGAAAAATGTGAATCCAATCATCATCACTGGATAGATCACAGATCACCATCACCAACAAAGTGAAGCACAACTTAAGCGACAAAACCAGAAGGTATAGAATATTCAATACCTCCAAAGAAAGATGAAATCTTTTACGAGTTGCCGTTTCGAAGTATACAAAATGGATCTGTTCTGTGTGAATGCCTTGGTTTCAAGAAGTTAAAAATTGGATTTGTTGTATTTGATTTCAAGAGTCTATTTACAGCATTTACAGTCATGGTGGAATGAAACTCTCGTTAGGCTTTTATGCAGGAAACTAAGCTAATACAAAGTTGTTAACTAGCTGCAATACGTACGTGAAGACATTTATATGTTCTTTGCTTTTGCTTAAGAATCCATTCCATCCTTAATTGTCCGGCGCTAAAACTCATAAATGATAATTATTGATTGATAATTTGCTGTGTTTTTAGCATATAATCTCTTATTATCAACAGCTCATACATATCAATATGATATTAAAGAAATCTCGGTTTGTTTCAGTGTACATTAGTAACTGCAAGCACCTTGACCTCTGCGTCCACAAACAGAACATCCTCAAATTGAAGGGACTTCTTAAACCTATGTAGATAATCAAGTGGCAAAAATCTTGACCATCCATGTCTTGATCTTGTGGAATCGAACCAGAAATTTTCTGCAACAAAATACTTTTACAAATTAATTGGGTATGGAGTGCTAGATGGACAAAGCAATTGTTTAGTTGATTACCCTCAGCAATAATGTGCTTGTCCTTGAGTTGATCCAGGACACGCAGTGTCACATGAGTGTATATTTTAGAGGAAGGATCAATGGCATTGTCATCTCCCAAGCACACATACAAAGAAAGATATTCCATCTTTCCAAGGTCTGTTCCCTCAGGATGCAGCTCTATTTTCCTGAAATGACCGAAAATATCTAGACTTTCCAGTAGTAAAACATTTTCAATGGAGTAAAAAGAAAAAAGAAAGAAAAACGATACCATTCTTGAATTCCGTCAGTAAATATTTCTGAGGTTCTTGTTTCACTCAACTTAGAAAATTTTTCAATCTTCCAAAGATGTTTAGCAACATGTCCTTGTTTGTTTATTGACAAAGACTCTTCTTTGCCAGTAATTGTAGCCTTGTCGGCAGAGATCACCTCTACTCCAACAACACAAGCATCGCCAACAAGGTACCCATTGCTCGGATCACGAAATGCAGCAACATTAATGAATTTATCAAATCCCCATTCCAGCTTTCTTTTGTGAAAGCATATTTTCTTACCTTCACTATCTAATAAGTTTAAAATTTAGACTTCTTGATACAATAAGAAAGAATAATAATAATAAAAAAGAATATAATATATACCTGGGAGTTGGCGTATTAAGTGGTTGTGATTTTTGCGATCGAGCAAGTACAAGCGGAAAACTGCATAGACCAGAATATGAGGCTCGAGAGTGTCTGCCAATGCCAAGTAGAGAGAGATGTGATCCTTGCTTTTGCTTCCCTTCAGGTGCACAACCAATTTCCTGACACCAAAAGGCAACCAAATCTGATGATTTTTTTGTTCAACTGTGAATTTGCACTTCAAGCAAAAGGAATTAATGTACCATTTGTATTCTTGTGCTTCAAAAACCTCAGATTCGTATTTGGTCACTTGATAATCTTTCGGTGCTGAAAATTTTTGTATTTCGACTGCATAATATGGTGGTATTTTTTCTGATATTTGCATCGTCATATTACTTGCCACTCGAAGGAAATAACAATTGATACGACGAAAGGCGTGTTAGCTCTGGAAGGGAAGTGAAGAGAATGTGTAGTTAATTGTTATTATTCCAAACTTGAAAGTTTGGTTTGTTGGGAAGATGCTTCTTGAATATCTTTCTCATATATTCTTTGTATTGCTTAATCTAAAAGAAAGGGATGTTCGCCTTTCAACAATCATTGAACCTTTTACTTTTTGTTTTATTGTTCTCTCGTCGTCTCTTGCTTCGTTCTTCTTTCTTCTCGCCATTCCATTAATGGTAGGAGGGAGAAGCCCAAAAAAATCATTATTGTTTTTAAACAAACTGCTTGGCTTCTTCCATACCAGAGGAAAATAAATTCATGTTCATTTACAAAATTTCAAATTGCGCTGTTCGTTTTAAGCATATGAAAGTTGATGTACAATAAAACTCAAGCTGCACAACTTACAAAAACTATATATAACTTTGGTTTGCCATCAACGGGAGGCACTTCTAACAACATATTCTCAAATAACCATCTTCTGTTCCAACTACAAACAATCTCGAGAAGGGTAAAATACTTATACTTGATAATACAGACAAATTTTTCATTCCATGATCAACTGCATATAGTTTCTGCGGTGCAATCTGATGCTGCCCATCCTGCCAAATTGAATTCATGCAGTTGTAGATGATATCGGAGGGAAAAAAATATCTTTATATATATATGAAGAATGGAAAACAGGGAGAGCATTATTAACATACTTCTTCAACAGATCTGGATAAAGTTGAAAGCCCAATCTTATTTTTGGAAATCGAAATAACATCTTGACCCCAAACAGAGAAACTGGATATCCCATCTGTATGACCTTTAAAAACAGTGGGCTGCGGGGGCAAATTTCTGCACAGTAATAATTCACAGAACAAAGAAATATAAATGATGACAACAAACTTCATATTACGGGAAAATGGAGAGGTCTATGCCTAGCCTAAAAATCCATTGTGAAGTTCTGACTTTGGCTTGAAGGACAAAGCTCTTGTAAAACTAATCGGTGAGCAGGAAACAAATACCCACGTACCGAATTCCTAGGTGGTATTGTAAAAGCTCATTAAGTTAAGCAGGCTTAGATAGTTCCGAGAATTGATTTTTAAATTAGCAATCAAGCTCCAGAGATCAGATGATAATTATAGATATAATATGTCAGAAAGAGACTTTTGAGCTCTCATGAATTGAAATGAAACAAGTTGTGAAAGTACCTTCTAAGGTCCCAAATTCGCAGAGTCCTGTCTAGAGAACTGGAAACAAGCAAATAGTCCTCTGGTGCAGCCAACTGCACACGTAAAATATGAGAACAATTTCCCTTCAAATTAAAAGCATTTTTTCACTGGAAACTTAATAATACCTTTGTTACATATCCATCATGAGCCCTCCAAGAGGCAATAACATTTCCACTTCGCAAATCAAATAACCTGCAATGACCAGAACTTAGTCCAGCCGCAATCCAAGATGGTGAAGGAAAAGTTCCATCATCCTGAGTTTTGTCAGATCCACATGAGCATATGGAAGAGACAAGAGATGGAAAAGCAGACTCAATAGCTTCACCCCTCCAAAGATGAAGCTTTCGACCCCGGGCAACATCAATAAACCTGTGTTGTTGAACAAAAGTTCAGAAATACTTAAACCATATTAGAATTAGATTCTTTTGCCTGCACCAGCTTAATAATCAATTTTGATGAAACAGTAGGAATCTACCTGAGAGAACCATTTCCAGTGCCAACTGCAAGCATTTCCAGAGATTCTAAATAGTGCATGCAAGTGTATAAGCTCCCATCAAAAGCACTACTGAACAATCCACTTGATAGCGTATTGGAGTTCAACATATTAGGATGATCAACATTAACCATTGATGCAGAGGACGAAGGGCTGACAAGATGTGCAGAATCAACTGATGGTTCAGCAAAAAGTGATAGTACTTTCCCCGTTCTGCTATTCCAAACATGAACAGTTCCATCACAAGATGCTATTCTTCCACTGGATGACAACACACAAATGTCGTTCACAACCTAAGAATTGCATAACATATTAGAGGAGCATCCAAAGCCACAACCATATCCCACAAAAAGAGCTTTAGGTGTGATCGACATCCCACTAAGTTTTAGGTACTTTTGACATTAATTAACACTAAAGGAACCTTTGGAAATACAGCCTTAGAAATTCAAAAAGGGTGGAGCTATCCTCTGAAATCAGAGGATAATGAGCTGGTTCTTAAATTGCAAAACTAATCCCATTCATGGACATAACACAAGAAAGTAGGGCATCCACACTTCACAAGGACCACAACAATTTAAGTTGAATTAATTCAAAGACAGGGAGGGTGTGAGAGAGAAAAAGAATGTGTGCATTTATCACTCTTCCAACTGTGTATCAGAGCATGTATGAATATGTGCATGCATGCATTTCTTTTGTGCTTGGAATGGCTTAGTTTACAGTACAAAGGCAATGATTTAAGCACAAAACAGTTGCAGATGCAAACCTCCTCATGGCCACAATAGCCAGATATACAATTTATTCTTGAAAGTTCCCATTTTTGAACTGTTCCTTTGAACCCCGGTCCAATGCCTGCAGTAAAAACCATACACTCATCTTGGCTAACAGCCAAAGATCTTAATGCTCCATGATGTGCACGAATTGAATATAAAATAGATGCTCTAATCTTCCACGGAAGTTCATCTTTCAGACTTGCAATACGCCCATGGAACTCAGGCCCATCCCAGTTGTCAGCTGGACTGGGAAACCAAAACCATGGTTCACGCTTTGACAGATTTGATGCTATATGACTTTCAACTGAATTTTGATGAATGCCATCCAACCGTTTCTGAGCTATCAAGTTTTTGGCACCTCTAATCCCTTGTGATTGTGGAACTGACCACCCAACCCCATTAAGTAACAGCTTAGCAGGATTGTATTCAGAAGTTGAAATCTTGTTAAAAACAGGCCTTTTAGCAGTTATGTTTTCCAGTCCACTTCGAGACAATTCTCCTGAATATTCCCACTGAATTACAACAGGTTCAGAATTACATATTGCAAAACGTGTTTATGAAAGTGCATGTGAAACATAGACCTGCATACTAATAATTTCACTGATGCTAGAAGCATGGTAGCAGCATACCTTCCAATTATGACACCGTAGAAGAAGCTGCTCAAGAAGCAACCATGTAGCACAACACTGACGAAGTTTCTCTATTCCAAGAAGAGATGCAAAAGAAGGATACAGAAGTAACCTGAAAATTAGCAAACACAAAAACAAGATAAATACAAAAGCAAGAATATATGACGGTGAGAAATTGCATGCCGGATTGGGCATTAGAAGGACTATAATTAATAAGATTAACACCCACACAAGGTCCATGCGGCTCCCGATTCGAGCCTCCCCATCTACTTTGGATTTGGAAATCCTTGAGTTTCTGCCAAAGGAACTGGAACCATTTGCAGCTTCCTGTGAGAACGCAAGCTCATCAAATAGTTCTTTGAGTTGTGGTAGGACATGTAAAGCTGTTAATTCTGGTCCAATTCGCTGACAAACTGCCATGAGAGTAGTAGCAGCAACCTGGGCAAAAGAGGTTCCATTGCTTAATGAAAGAATAGAAACTAAATGGTTGGCACGTTGCATCCTGAATAGGTTCACTGCTTGATGCTTTTATTGGTATTTGGAAAGGGAGAACATAAGTTATGGAAAACGTAAATTAAGAAATAGAGCTTCATAAAGAGGGAAAAAGAAGTTCTTAATGACAAGTCAATCACACTTAGATTGTAAATAAAAGTTAAACAATCAAGGCAAGTGACTGATGCAAGAAATTAAAGGTCCAGTGTAAAGCAAAACTTCCCAGCAAATGAAATACACTCATCCAAAAACATGGGAAAACAATTCGTGTTGCACATTCAATTATTTTCGATCTTTTTACTTTGAGATCAAATACACTGTAATAGCCTTCGCAAAGAAAGCAAGAAACAGTGGGTAATTAAGAGAACAATGTAAAAGTTTGGACCACCTGAAGCACTGGAATTTCCAAGTTCGTCTGCATCAGAACCGCAACATGTAAACAGCTTTTTCCCTGCATGATCAAAAGCATACTGTTAAAGTAAAGACATCGATCAAGCCTTTGAGAGGAGTAGAAATACAACAAGTGAAAGAAGACTAAGAGCAATGTCCAAGCTGATTTTTGATAGGAGTAGAAATACAAGTGAAAGAAGACTAAGAGCAATATCCATACTTCAATCAGCTCCTTTACAACCATCTCCCTTGGCAAGAATGAAACTAGACCATCTAATGTGCTCAGACAATCAATGAGGGCTAAAGCACTCCAACTTTGCACAGGCTCTGGCTTATTCATATATGAAATATTGATACAAGATCGGACCACTTGTTTAAGCAATGGCAACATCTGTCTTATGATAAAGGTCTCACCCAAAAGACCACCTGAAAGATGAAAACTTATAAGTCTCTTAATAAAACCGGCATGACAATACCAAAAAGAATGTTGGTTCCACCAACCAAAATGAAAATACCAATTCTAACCAGCACATCAATTCCATCAGGACAGAGTCCTTTCCCAAAGCAGTGAATCAAAGGCAAGATTGTCTGGAACAAACAACAAAAAATCAGTGTATTATAGCTGCAAATACAAATTGAATACCAGGATGGGTTTCTCCTTGTGCGTGGGTGCATATGTGCATATGTCTAAGCATATGCATGCAATTATTTTATGCCTTGTATGCCATACTCCATATCCCAAAAGTTCAAAATAATAAACCTGATGAACAGTAATAGGTACACCAAGCTCTTCACTTGTGCCGATCAGAAGCACAGAAGCAACAGCAGCTGAACTCTTATGAGGAGCAACATGCAAATTTGATATAACTAAAGGATGTATGTTTTCCAAATAAACTTGTTTACCAATGAGGTTCCACATCTCTTGCACAAATGAACCTTGGAGAAGTGATACCTTCAAATGTGAATACCCTGTAGTCTGAATTCAATGTCTCAATTAGTAAGAAGGTTAAAATGACAGTTCCATACATATCATAATGAAGTTCATAACTAGCCTGCAGAATCTTCTGAATAGCTGGCAAGACTGCCATCTTTACTGCTTTAGGTGTCAAACATTTTATGAATTCTTTCAGCAGTGTATAAGCCCATTCAGCCTCAGTATCAGACTGAGGATTCACTACAAGGGGTATACAATAGGGTAAACACATTTCAGCTGCAAAGCTTCCCATTGCTTTCAGGGCTCCTTGTTTTGCAAAATTTGCAGCATATTGAAGACGGGATCCATTGCTTGCTATAAGCTGAAGTGGTGCAATAAACATGTAGGATGACTTGACTGTTGTGGGAAAATAAGGTGACTCCAGTAGACTTTTGGCTGATGGCCTCCTAATTATTGGGAAGAAGAAAAAGGAAACAAATAGTTCAGGCATGTATGCACAAACAAATATAGAAAAAGTTCATCAACTAAGAAAAATGAAACAAAATCCATCAAAATTTGAAAGCTCTTAACCTTCAACTGTGTAGTTCACCAATTTTTAAGTACAAAAATTTTGAAAAAGAAATACATACCGTCTCCAATCCTTTTGGATGCAGGCTTCAACGAGAACTTTAGCATGAGGAGGAAGTTCCTGGAAGAATTCAGGTAATATATCTCGTTCAATATAGGTAGCTAATGAGGTTGAATTGAAGAGTGGCCTCTTCAAATAAAGTTCCGCTAAAACAGATCCAATAGCAAAAATGTCCTTCGAAAAATCTTCTTTAGAGTTCTTTGAATAAGACGGTTGTCGCCTCCAATGCTGTAATTCTTGGTATCCCATGGTATTTTCAACCTCCACCTCCATATGCTCAAGAAGATAACTTAAATTAATATTACATTGCAACCCATAGTTTTTACCAATTTCAAGTGGCTTAGATACACTTTTCTCAATACTTTCATTGACTGATTCATCACCTGAAAACATGTCCTTCACAAGGTTTTCTGCATCATAATAATACTGTGGACTCAAGTGACCAGCATGTTCAGAAAATCCAGATGTTTCTTCTAATGCTTGTAAATAAGCAGTTTCAGAAAGAAGAGGTGTCTCACTCTCTACTGTACTTGACAAGCATCTATTCGCAGCAGATGTATTGGTAGCACTGTGTTTTTTCCTCAGGGAACCTAGACGTACAGGATGTGGCCGAGTAAAGAGCTGACGACGTCCTACAGGCCGAGGCATTGTGGGCTCTGATGAAGGCAACATAACATTCTTGGCAGCCACAGCTGCCTGTCCAGACATTTTGTAGCCAAAGGTAATGTCAATCCAGTGATGAATTTGACAAGAGACCCGCTCACTTTCTAAAGCATCACGATGCAGTTTAATGAACTCCTCTGGACTACTTGCCCATGAAGGTACTGCCAGATTGGCCATGCCAGAGTGCAGAGAATAAAAAATATGCGGATCACAGTAGAACTCTGGAATGCACTCATCAGGTGTCCATTGGTACAGCCTTAACATATTTGAGGGATATTCATTAGGTTCATAGACCGAACGAACAGCCAGACGCAGAACACTCAAGGGTAACCTTCTAGCTTTATAACTGCAGACTGCTAACTCAGAAAGGCATTCATCAGACACATGATGTGGTATTTCAGATGTTGAATAGGTGAAGTCCAACTGTTCATCACCTTTTGCCAACCGCCATTTGCTCTTGCTCAAGTCCCGCCATCCTAAATCAGAATTATCATCGGGCTTTGTGCTAAAGTCAATTACCCATGGCATTACAGTGTGAAATGTATGATCTCCCCACCTTCTCCCAGCCAATCTGTTTAAGACAAGTAGATATTCAAAATTACTCAACTTTCCATTCCACCACAGCTCAAATTGTGTATGCCAATCAAAATATGGGGAAAGCTTCAAATCTGCATATAATCCTTGAGAAGAACAGCCATCATTGCAGCAACTTATTTTGGAAGATGTAGCGAGGTGTTTGCTTTCACCTTTTCTCAAAGTTGAATTAAATCTTGATTTTGGCTTATCACAAATGTATAGCCAAGACCAGCATAAATCAGTAAGCATTACATTAGATGGATGTATCTTACCATGGGAAACACCTAAACCATGTAAGTAAGCAAGGGAAGAGAGCAGCTGATACACCAAAAACCTTATCTGCCACTCAGATTTCAAGACATTGGGACAGTAATGCAAAATACTTTCCAAAGTATAAGGAGTTTTTGGAAGCACTGAATATACATGCCCGAATGTTTTGAGGTATCCAAGAGTAGGAGCTATATTTGGATGCCTTAGGGACCCAGGGATGCTACTCTCATCAAATGATGGAAACCCAACCAAACGTAGAAAATTTATACTGTCCCGCCCAGAAGCTTTTCCTTCAATCAAGAGACTAAGTGAGCACAGTACATGATCTTCTAGACAACTGGTTGAAAAGTTAGAAGCAATCCTTTTAAGGACACTGTATGAACAAGTATCAAAATGAGCAATTGGGGCCAATGCACTGATCGTACGAGGACATGAGAACCTACTAGAATGAGTACAGGTGGAACTTTTAGTATCCTTTGGATTTATGGATGCTGTGGTGTCACCATTCAGCAAATGAGAAGATCGGTTTAATGAAGATTGTGACATACTTGTCCAAGCCATTGGATCCCTAAGTTTAGCTGGTTCTTGACTTACTTCAGCTAATGAAATATCATCAATACTATGAATGTGACTGTCTTCAACACTTGGTATAATATATTCATCACTGACAAAAAGAAAGGCGCAATATTCAGTTGAGAGTAAATATAACTAAAAGTTATAGATAAGTGATCCAAGTTAACATGAAATTGCCCAACCCATTGCCATAAATGGCTAAATGCTAACTTTCCATTTCTTTTGGTGCCCACAAACCTTGATATTGCCGAATCATCAAGTATGCTTTGTGAATGAACAATTGAAAATTCATCCTTTCAAATTCTTAGTTAAACTTAACTAGTCAGGTTTTTCATTCAAACATTACTCTACACTCCGCATTAAATAGAAAAAATCAAGAAAAATAGGTTGAAAGAAAATTGTTAGATAAGAAGAAGTTTATATTTATACGGCCGTTAGCAGCTCCTAGGATCTTTATAGGCTTTATTAGTTATTCGCAAATTAGAATAATCTATTGAAATTGGGAGGTCAACTAATCTGAATAATTAAGAAGAAGAAGCAAATAATCTTACATGTATTTAGTCAAGCAATCGTGTTCATGGCTGTTCAACCGCCTCAATATGAACTGAGAAGCTGAAGTCGATAGCTCTCCATTCGAATTCGGCATCTGCCTCATTTCAGACAGGCAAAAAAAAAAAAAACACTATACAATTACATAAAATTCTTAACCGGGCTACAAATATTGAGAGAGAGAGACGGAGAGAAACCTGTACGACAGCGGAGGAGCCAAAAGGGAGAGCAGAATTTGATAGGCCATAAGAGAAGAGAAGTCGGTCCGAGAAATCGGAATTGATTCTACGTTGAAGGCAGTCGAAGCAAATTTGATGCTCCATTGTTTTGGTGTATATCCTTCTGTTTCACGTCTCCATTTTCCACTGAAGCTCGCAGTTGTGGACATTCGGTGGCTGAATCAGACTCTATACCAACGTCAAAAGATCGTTTCTTTAGTAGCTTCCTTGCTGGCAGTCTAAACGCATATGTCGTGTGCAAAACGACCTGCCTTGAGCCGCGGTTGGCTCCGTGAACGACATGCCGTTAGAAAAGCACTATATTACTGACAAGTTATCTACCCAATTACAAACGCGCGTTACACACCCCTTGTAAAAGAAGTCGCATCATTTTCCAGCTGAGCACCAGCCGAGATCGTCCCGTTTCTCAGCCGAAGACTAACCTCTGTCGTCCCGTCCGGTAAGTCTGTCTTTTCTGTATCTTGAAATTCGAGGTTATAAGTATTTGCCATTATAGCTAGGGTTTAGAGTTCAGTCATCAAATATTCAAGATTGATCCCCTTTCTCGATCGTAAACATTCTAGATTAGTATTTCTTTGTTCACAATCTCTTGTTCCCTTGTAAATTTCTGTGATCAGATCTATCTTTTCTTTTTCGAATTTTTATTAGGTTTATGTAATTGTTATTATTATGAGATTTGCATTGGAGAGATAAGTGATTTAATTATTGTAGGAATTTAACAGTAATGATGGATGGAAATCTCCCCAATATAAAGAAATGGATAGTTTTGTATCCCATTTACATAAACTCGAAGAAGACCATAGCTGAAGGCAGGCGAATCAGTACTACCAAGGCTTGCGAAAATCCAACTTGTGTTGAGATTGGTGATTGCTGCAGCCATCTTAAACTCCCTTTTGCCATTGAGGTTTAATCTGCATTGCCTTTGCTTGAACTCAGAAAGCAGTGATGTTGATCTTTTATGTGATTTGCCTTTCTTCTTCTTCTGTTTTTTTTTTTTTTTTTTTTTTTTTTTTTTTTTTTTTTTTTTTTTTTGGCTGATTTGCATGCAGCCATCTTAAACTCCCTTTCTTGCCATTGGAGGTTTAATCTGCATTGCGCTTTGCTTGAAACTCAGTAAAGCAGTGATTGTTTGATCTTTTATGTGATTTGCCCTTTCTTCTCTTCTGTTTTTTTTTTTTTTTTTTTTTTTTTTTTTTTTTTATTTATTTTTTTTTATTTTTTTTTATTTGCAGATGACCAAAGGGCGCATTATCCGCGGAGGATATTTATTGCCAAAATAAGGAAGGAGTGAGGTATTGGCTGAAGAGGGAAGACTGGACTTATGCTACAAATCCACCATTCCTACTAGTGGTGTAGTTTCCGAAAAATGAAACTATGGCCTTGAAAATGCAGTATTGGTTTGTTGTCAATTGCAGTGTCATGGTGTCCGATCTTGTTAACAAAATTGGTAAGTTAATGGTAGTAAGTGCCTAAGCTCTTGCATGAATCTGTTTTTTTTTTTTTTTTTTTTTTTTTTTTTTTTTTTTTTTTTTTTTTGCAGATTGACAAGGCATATCCGCGGGATTTTATGCAAATAGGAAGGGTGAGGGTATTGCTGAAGAGGGAAGATGGGACTTTGTACAATCCAGCCATTCCTACTAGTGAGTGTAGTTTCGAAAATGAACTATGGCCTTGAAATGCAGTTGGTTTGTTGTCAATTGAGTGTCATGGTGTCGATCTTGTTAACAAATTTGGTAGTTATTGGTAGTAAGTGCCTAAGACTCTTGCATTGAATCTGCCTTGGAAGGGATTGGTAACATTTGTATAACAGGGGTTCTGTTTGATAAATGCGTGGTAGTTGAGGATATTGTCATCTGGGTTTATTATTAATATTATCCATGTTATCTTTACGTTGGATAAAACTAATTTCTTATTTTGAGAAATCTCTTTGTTGGTTTTTTTCATATCCTTTTCATCTTGTGTTTGTTGCGTGATAATTGTTGATTGGCATTCAGCCATCGCATATTTAATTTATACTATTCAGGCTTTTATATCTTCTATTTGAATCCACATGTTTCATTGAACATTCTGATTGCACTTTGAAGAGACTTTTGGAAGGGAAATGAATGAAATGTCAAGCTTTCTGTTGCATCCATATTTAATTGATAACATTGGAAAATAAAGGAAAGAAGAACACAACATTAATGAAAAGTTGATAGGGCTGCTGTCACTTATTACATGAGAGCTGTCTCTTTCCCTCTCTGCATTTAGCTGATGCTCTAATTGTATTGCAGGAAAACAGCTAATGCTCCATATTGCAGAGTTGGTGCCTAGGCATCCAGGGAGGACAAAGAAGCAGGAGCCTGCCTCCACATCTGGCGCTGGACCATCCAAGTCTGGGAAGGGTGGGAGAAAGAAGAGATAGGAGTGCATCAGATCATCATTTTTTTGTCAGCATAGCATAGGCTTTCTTGTAGCAGGCTTAAACTCTCAGTGAGCTCAAATTTCACAGATACCTTTGTATTTTTCAATCCTTTTCGGAAATATAGTTTGTGTTGACTTGAAACTTGGAAAAGAAAGAACTGTTTTTGTTGTTGTAACTTGCATTGTGTTTTGAGGGTGCCTGCAGCCTGTCAACTGGCAAGAATTAAACTGCTAATTGAGAGAATTGATCTCCAGTAGCACTTAGAAGCTATGTTGATGGCTGATTCATTGAATGCGTAGTGCAGTCCAGGTTCTGTTATGTAACTAAATTCTAGTTTCCAACAGAATCCAATTTATCCTTTCGACAGAATCCAGAGAAAGCCCGTGGTAGGGAAACTGCTAGTCATAGAGAACGTAAAATACTCGTACGTGTCAGTATTCTGATTTTATTTTTTGGCCAAAGGGGAGGAAGTGGGGAAACACATGTTTATACACCTTGTTGCCTACACGACTTGTTAGGTCGCTCCCCTGTCGTTTCAAGGTTCCAACTTTATACACAACTTACTTTGTTCATTCTAACTTAGGAGCCCGATTACAAGGTGGCAGTAGAGATTACAAACAGTGTTGAGAATAAAAAAAGATAAAATTCGGTTAACATTAATTGATCAACTAATTTTTACCATACAAAATTATAAATCAACAAAGGATCGTTTAACATGATTCTATAGTGCAAATAGACTGCTTTTCATGGTGGAAAAAAAATATTATTTCAGCTTCTGCCACCCATAACAGGGTTGACGGATGGTATCTTCCTAACAAAGAGGGGACCAGTGCATGGACAAATTTTTTTATGCTTGAATGGTTTTTGCTATTGGACTTCTTCGTCGCAATCATTCGCTTGGTCACCTAGCTCGTAAAATCAGAGAGATTGCACCATCATTAATCAGGCTTCTTCAAGTTCAAGCAATTATCTGTTGCTTGGCTAAACAGCTCCTGGACCTGCTTCAATTCTTTCTCTAGAACCACGAAAAACACATTAAGATGGATTGTAGTTTATCTATAATGAAGAATGAACAGAATAAAAAGGAAAATGCTAAAAGAAACAAGTAAAAAACATAAGCATGTGACTTTATTTGTTTCCTGAAGGCGTTTCATCATACTTACAATATCATCCATAACATAACACATCAGTCTATTGCAATAATTACAAATTTTTAAATGAGGCACAACATTTGGTTGTATGGTCATGTTCAATCTTGAAAGGCATGTGATTACTAAACGTGTCGCTCACTTTTTTTAAACCCTTTCCTCTTATCTCTCTCTCTTTCCCAGAGACAGGCAACCAAGTAACCTGTTCTTGTAGTTCATTGTCTGTCATGCATAAATGCCACACAGAAAACGACAATGAATGCAAGAGTGCACTTAGGTACTAACCACAGGAGCCAGGTAAGAAATCCCTTTTTTCATTTATTTACTATTTTCTCACTTCACCCTCAGAAACAAATGAGATCGGAATCATGCTCAGAAATCAGCTAACTTAAAAAAGGGTATGAGGTACCCAAACTGAAATAGAAATGCACCAAGAAAGAAGCAATGGAGGATTTACCTGCAGATTCTAGTTGCTGTTGGAGCTCTTGGCCTACAGCATCGTTTTCAGCCTAGACCAGAAAGTACAAAACACCATTAAAAAAAAAGCTACAGATATCTTGGGGTGAGCAAAGCAGTTGACTTCATACCTGCAGTTCTGCAATCCTTTTCAGTTGAGCTTCTTCACCTCCCTCGGCCAATGGTAGTGCAGCCAACAATGCATCAAACTATCAAGGAACATCCATCGGTTAGTCAATTGTATTGATGACAATTGAACTACATAATAATAGGATTCATTGATAGCATATAAGAAGCTATTGAAACTACAAATGGATATCAGAATGTGGCAGGACACAAAAATTTTGTGGTTCCAATATCAAGTTTTATCTCAATAAGCCATATATAACAAGTACTCACCATAAGACATATATATATATATATATATATCTTCTTGTTAAGGAAATCTGTTTAAAAATGTCAACTTCACAGATTTGTTACGCAAATGTAATTGTATTTAAAGGTTTTATTCCAAAGATTTTGACACCAAAAACCTCCATATTGTTATAATATGTTAGGTATGTCTCAGAAACACTTACCCTTGCACATGCGCACACATTGATTTTTCTTGTGGAAATTTCAAAATACAGTTCTACGCAACTCTTAATATTGCCCATTTGTGTCTACTGATTACGGGTTCAAGTTGCAAGAAGGTCTCGAGTTCAAGTTGGTCAAACTCATTTTAAATTTCATAATTTTATGTCTGTCAGAAATGAATGTTCATTTCGCTCCTAAAAACTAAATCATGCAATTCAATGTTTCTAACCCAAATTCTATTCTTGGTAATAAATTCTATGCGTCAAATTCCTTTACAACGAACAAGGGTTAAATTACAGACTACGGATTGCCTATCATACAATGATCAGCATCTTCATCCCGGAAGATCCCAAATGAATAATGTTTCCCCAAATACCAGCAGCATGCATTATTCAATTGAAATGAAAAATAGTGTTATCTTATAAAAAAGCAGACACTTCGCACCTGTTTAGCAGCTTTCACGAGATCAGCACTCATTAACTTGGGCTGCTCAGCAAAATCCTCTGTAGGGTTAGCCGTTGGTTCTGGGTAATTGGGAGAAAGACGCACTGGAGGAGCATCTCTTTGAAGCGTCCCGATCGTATTAAAGGCAAGTGAAGCAATAAGATCCACTTGCTCTTGTAATTGGGAGATTATGTCCATCCTTCATAAACCTGCCCACCAATTGCACATCAATCAGAGAACTCATTCTTTTGCACTTAACCAATCGCATTAAAATCCAAAGAAGAAGATTGTACCTTATATAAGACAGAGGAATATGCACAACAGCTCTACTCTACAAAAATATAAATCTGCAATTGCAATGTTTGATCGCTTCGAATTGTGCAGAGGAGAGGACACGGACCTGTTATTTAAAGAAGGTTCAAATTGACCACTGAACTTGGGTTCAACATTAAAAACCCCATATTTCACCTTTTTTTGATAAATCCATCGCGAACTTGGCCACAAATCTACAAAAGACCTATTTCTTAGCTGACCAGGCACGCGTGTTTCTCAACCGGTCAAATTAAAGAAGAAAATAATTAAATTTATTTTTATTTTTAGAATATATAACGATAAGAAGAGATTGGGGGATGAAATCCCTAAACACCTAAATCTCCAAAATCAAATCCTTGCAATCCCCAAGTCCCTGAAAACGAAAATCAACGAAAGAGAAGAGCAATCACTATTCGATCTCTTCAACAGCTCGAAGCCATGGCAGGTCTCGTGCCCTGTCCGATTAAGAGGATGATTTAGCAGAGTAAAAGAGGTGGAGAGAGAATGTTGCTGGGTTGATTTTTCTTTTCCAGTTCATTCGATAGAAGTTTAAGCCATTAAAGGTTTTGGGTTTTGGGTTTGATTTCGTGGCCTCATTGCCAGCCACGTCATTAACATTTGGCCATTTGAACGTAAATGACTATAATACCCTTGAAGGACTCGCCTTCGAAATGACGAGCAGTTGGAGAGAGATGACAACGGGAACATCGACGATGGCAACGGGAACTTTGACGCAGGCGTACGGTGAGCCATCGTACTGGGATAACAGATATGCCAATGAATCAGCGCCGTTCGATTGGTATCAGAAGTATGCTTCCTTGGCTCCTGTCATCAATCTCTACATCCCTCGTCACCTAAATCCTCGAGTCCTTGTCATTGGATGTGGCAACTCAGGTGCTCCTCATTTCCTTTTCCTTGTTTCTGCAACTGCACGAATCACGATCTCCTTCCTCAGATCCCTACTTTTATTTACAAGGAAAAGCTTGTTTTTGAAATTTTGTTGCTTAACTTAGAACATGATTGATTTTCTAATCCTTAGATTAGATGCATATGATTTTCCTCTCCTGATCACTTGTTAAATTTTCAAAATGTGATTACAGCATTTAGCGAAGGAATGGTGGATGATGGATATGAGGATGTGGTGAACGTTGACATATCCTCTGTGGTTATCAATGCTATGCAGAACAAGTATTCTAATCGTCCTCAACTGAAATGTATCCACTCCACGTTACAAATTGAACAGTATTTTTATACAAACACTTTGGCTTTGATATTGTTGTTTCTTCCTTAACATTGATTCAGATATTCAGATGGATGTCCGAGATATGAGTGCTTTTCAAACAGGTTCCTTTGATGCTGTTATTGATAAAGGTATCCTTATAATGGCATAGCATTTTTTTATTCCATTTTTGGATCAAATCGTTGACATAACCTTTCAATGTGGATTCTCATGTTTGTTTGTAATGGGTTTTTCAGGAACTCTAGACTCAATCATGGTGAGTGTTGCAAGTTCCTTTTTTTTTATTTCCTTAAATTTGACCAACATTGAATTGCTCAAGGATCCATTCTTATTTTTTCTGAGTAGATACTGATTAACCCTTTTTCCTCTATAGTGCGGAGAGCAGAATGCTGTTTCAATGCTTGAAGAAACTTGGAGGTAAAATGATACGTTATGAACAATAACATTAAAATTTTTCTCAATTTTATTTTTTTCTTGATCTGTTCATCACATATTGAAGCAGTTGATGACAACTATAGGGTCCTCAAGGATAAAGGAGTCTATATTCTGGTAAATAAAATTACTTTTGTAGGTGATACTAGTGATTAAAGTGTGGCATTTTGCTTTTTTAATTGTAAGCCTTGACTGGACATGCTAATTGCAGATTACTTATGGAACTCCAGCATCTCGCCTGCGCTTGTTAAAAGAATCATGCTTGTGGAGGACAAAACTCCACGTGATAGGTCCGGTTACCCCTTTCTTATTTGTTAATGATAAGAATTTCACTCAAATGTCAAATCTTTTCTTTGTAAATTTAAAGTCTAGAATTAAGGAGAAAGGAATCTCACATTTTACAATATAGAAAGGAGCAAAGGATTATGCTCTGATACGGTCTTCTATGTGCAGCATAGTTAATATTAAGGCCTTAAGGGTCCAACTCTAACCTTGATATACAACGCAATTCAGAAAACTGCCAAGGAAATTGCAAATGCCAGTGTTTTCCAATCAAGTAAAAATGTCCATGCACCATTTCTTCTCCATTAATCATTATATGATATCCAACTAAATGCCTCCTGCTTAATTGCTCAGCTTCTATTTGCTTTTCTTCTTGAATGCTAAATTGTAGCAACTTAGAATGTGCAATGCCTTTAATTGTGCTGTTTATACTATGCAGAAAAGCTTTTGTCAGGAAGAGTCTCCCAGCACCCAATATGGGAATTGACAAATCCTGTTCCACTTGATGATGATGGAAATTCAGCGGAAGCAGCACTTGGAAAGAACCCTGATGTCCATTACATTTATGTTTGTACTAAGGTTGGTGGAACCAACCTCCGTTTGTTTCTTCTTTTTATCAATAGCCAATAACACTCGGGGGCTTGCTTGCAGAAACTTGAAATTTAGTAAATCTGTCAATATTGGACGATGGGGTAGACTAAGGCTCCATGACTGGTTGCAGTTGACATGCAACCTAATTCAAACTTGAATAAACTCTAAAAGTGATTCTTGTTTTCTTTATGCCCATAGGACGAATCTATGAAGTCAGCCCAAAAGCATGATGAATCTGTGAAGTCAGACCAAAAGAAAGGTGAATCTGTGGAATCAGACCAAAAGAATGGAGTGGAAACTGAGTAAGAAGTATTAGAGGATGTTTCAGCCCTTAGGTGTAGTGGTGCATGAAGCATGTTGCATTGTGGGCTTTGGATCACTTGTATTGCAAGAGGCTTATTTCATGCTTTGAACCTACAATCTCCGGGTCACAATGAAGTGATGTACTGTCGCACCAAGACTCAACCTGAGCCAACCTTTTGCAATGCAGCTTTTAATTTCTTGTTTTTGAAGTCTTATGTTGTAGTAATAATTGTGGGTTCAAAATAGGTTGTTTGTATTGTGATTAGCCATGAGTTCATTTTAGTCTTGAACTGAAAACCTTGATGGGATTGGGATTGTTGTGTAATGGTAAATTCTGAATGTTTTAAGTGTTAAATTTGCTGAAACAACAACATATGTAATCTTTTACTGCTACCCATTTGTTTTTTCTTCTCACTAGATTAGATTGGCTCGTATGTACTGTTGTGAATGGAACAAGTCATTTAGATTATTTTCGTACTATTCCAATCATGAATTCCTTTTGCTGCTTGCATTAAACCCCGTTTCCTATATCAAAAATATTTCAAGAGGTTGAAGACCACCTCATTTTGCAGTGTTGACTTGTTTTGGTTTCTTACAGATTGTTTTGTTAACGTATTATCCAGTGGGAGGAACACGTTAAGTGGGGTAGGGAAAGGGAAAGATTGAACAGAATTCTTTAATTTAGCTGTACACTCTCTTGCCATACTTGGATTGTCATCCGGCTTTTAATTATTGATTTGTGCATTAATTTATACGTCACTAAAAGATTTCTCTTCCTTGTTTTTTGCCCATCGTAGACCATCACATTCTAAAACAATAATTTCAATTTTAACTTTCCAATATCTTATCTTAATGGAGTAATTGGTTATGTTAATTATGGTATAGAGATTTGGTAAATATGTATTTTCAACTCTCCAATATTCGTTCTCAAAAAAGAAAAAAAAAGTTCCAAAAATTAATTTGAGGTATAATTCTTTGTAGAAGAAAATTCACTATGCACCATAGAAATTTTTTTGTCTATACCGAGCGTACGTGTAATCTTATATATTAAGCCAATCAAAAAAATATTTTAAAAATAAAATTTTATTATTTTATTTTTTTCAAATATACGGTAAGAACTTACACCGCTTATAGTTAAATTAGTATATAGATAGAACTATTTATTAATATAATTGATTTAATACATAAGTGAATGTATCACACCGGTGAGTATTTGTGGAAAGTGTATTGGATAACAAAGCTAACACGTATTTGGAGAGGAATTATACTATTGTTATTAGATGAAATAAGGATGAAATGACTCGCATCTCAGTTGTAATCGGGCGGGCGTTCTTCGTGCGAAAGTAACGGAAATGCGACGTAGGATATTGGCCCCACGCCTACACATATACTACTGCTAGTATGATATTCGGGCAGTGTGTACACAGACCAATCAGACATTGACTTTGATTACATAGGAGCTCTCTCTCTTTTTTATTATTTTTAATTCAGTGGATTTCACTCGATCCTCTCTTCTCTCTCGTTGCTCCTTTCAAGGTTTGTTTCTATCTCTGTATCCCCAGCGTCCTCCTACAATTTATAAAATTCTTTTTTTTCCCTTTTGTTAGGGTTTTGTTATCATCAGAATTTTCATTTCCCCCTTTCAAATTTATCTTCGCTGCAGTTAGTCATGCGAGTTCTGCTTTTTTTTTTTTTTTTTTTTTTTTTTTTTTTTTACACAACCCAATCAGACCATTACCTTTAGAATTACATTAGGAGCTCTCTCTCTTTTTTTATTATTTAATCAGTGGATTTCACTCGATCCTCTCTTCTCTCTCGTTGCTCCTTTTCAAGGGTTTTGTTTCTATCTCTATGTATCCCCAGCGTCCTCCTTACAATTTATAAAATTCTTTTTTTTCCCTTTTGTTAGGGTTTTTGTTATCATCCAAGAATTTTTCATTTCCCCCTTTCAAATTTATCCGCTGAGTTAGTCATTGCGAGTTCTGCTTTTTTATTTTTTTTTTTTTTTTTTTTTTTTTTTCTGGTTTTGTTATTCTCCCGTTAGAAATGAAATGAGAGGTTTTGCTTCTGCAGGGTTTCTTGCCAACTGAATCAAGAGATTGGCTCATGAAATCTATGGGTTTTTTTTTTTTTTTTTTTTTTTTTTTTTTTCTGGTTTTGTTATTCTCCCGTAGAAATGAAATGAGAGGTTTTGCTTTCTGCAGGTTTCTGCAACTGTAATCAGAGATTGGCTCATGAAATCTATGGTTTATATTAATGGCTGAGACTAGAAGATATCTTCCTAATCAAGCACTTGGTTAGACCTTTTTTTTCCTTTTTATCTTATTGCACTCCTGTTTTGTGGTTTTTGTTTTGTATCATCTTTTTGCGCGAAATGTGTTGTTTGAAATGCGGAATGTTTAGAACCGGATGTCAGTGAATGCTCTCTCTCTCTCTCTATCCCCCCCTCCCCCCCCAAATCCTTTTTTTATACGTCTCTGTTTCTGACTGCACATGAACTGAGCCATATATACATAAAAAGGAAAAAAATCCTGAACAACAGAGAGACTCTTCTCCGAGTCGTGAGTTTCTGATTGGCCACCCTACTTAATATTTAGGCGTTGGCTTTTGAACATGTTAATCAATGACTGTTCTATATGCTTTATCATTTTGAAATTTTGTATTTCTGCTTAAATGGCGAGTTTAGTTTTTTTTTTTTTTCCTCTAGTGGATGTATGCTATGAATTTTTTAATGTTGAGATCTTTAGTAATCTGTGCGTTTCTTGGAATTTAGCAGATTTACGGCAGATTTTGGAGGAAGCGAAACACCGTTGGCTTCGGCCAAGTGAGATCTTAGAAATAATTCAAAACTATCAGAGGTTTAAGTTGACTCCAGATCCACCTATTAGGCCTTCAGGTTTGATTTGCTCATGCTTTTGTAGTTGTTTAATCATTGGTGGGCCTATTTCTATTTATATCTAATGTTATTTTGTCTTGAGTAAACACACATTATTGACATTTAAATTTGCAAACTAGACCATGATTCATATGCATAAAACCTATGGGAAGAAGCTTAGAGATTCTTCCTCCAAGAAAATGCCTTGGTTTCCAAATATAATAGTCATTTTGAATTGGCATTTTTTGTCTGCGTTTAAATAGGCAGTTTGCTTTTGGAAGCTGTCAGCTAATTTATTGATAAGACCAGCCATCTGAGATCAAGTGTTGCTTACTCTCACTCAAACTCATGCATCTGTTACTTCCTGATCAAATGTCACTAGTTGATTACATTTTCTCTTACAGAGATGGAGATTCAAGTTTCCCTGTTGGTACATGCAAACACCAACTAAATTATATTTGTTTTTCAGCTGGTTCTTTATTCTTGTTTGATCGAAAAGCACTTCGATACTTTCGTAAAGATGGTCACCGTTGGAGGAAGAAAAAAGATGGAAAAACTGTCAGAGAAGCTCATGAAAAGTTGAAGGTGTGCAGTTCAATTTGTTATTTGTAAGTTCACCTATTTTTATTGGTCAGTCCTAACTGGTGTAGTTCAAGAGTCTTCTGGGAGTTTTTCATTCCAAAACTGTAAAATCAGAATTTCAGTCAAATCATTTTTTTGTACATTACGGAACTGAACTAGCCCTACTTATACTGAACTGTTAGATTGTAGAGACGTCTCTTTTGATAATTTAAGCTTAGTTATATTAGAGTTTGAACATCTGTCTCTGGGGTTGTTGTTAGATTGTGAAGTAACCATGACTTTTGGTTCAGCTGCTTGAGTCTAAATTAGTTTAGCAGAAGAATTAACTATCTTTTTCTATCCTTCCTTTTCAAATAACATGCACTTTCTTTTCATGTATTTCTTCACTACGTATATGAGAAATCAATAGCTTTGTGTGAACTTAAAAGCTGTAGAGATTGAGTTGAGTGATTGGGACTAGATATGCGTGGAGTGAGATCGAGGCTAGATGTAAGTAGACTTGAATTGAATTGTGTAAAGTGTTTGTAAAAATTGTTTTAGAAAATAATGCAAAAGGGGTATTCTATATATACTATCTTAATCATCTTCCAGTCATGATACTGTCTTTTCTTGAGGAGTAGCCCGCCCTTGGTGAGGACATAATCATGTTTACCATCTTTGGATTTTTCTCTTTGGAGTGCTAAGAGATGTGTAATTAAAGATGCTCCCTGTACATTGAATTTCAAATGTTTATCACTCTTATTTCTGATGCTTTAGCATTTCCTTCACCATGGATAAAGTTACTTAGGTGAATTTTACAAGTTGCCTTAGGTTGCTTAATTATTCAATTCTCTATCTGGCTTTATAGGCTGGCAGTGTGGATGTTCTTCATTGTTACTATGCCCATGGAGAGGAAAATGACAGCTTTCAACGACGATGTTACTGGATGCTTGATGCGTGAGTGCCCCTATTCGCTTTGCTGATTTGAAAAGTTAGATTTTTCTTTGGAATTGCACATGTTGCTTTACCTCTTGTAATAATCAGCTTGAGAAGTATTTTGATAGCCCGACAAATATGGGACTGTTCTTATGTCTAGAAATACTTTGCTGCAGCACTTTTGTGTCATATTAGCATATATCTTATTTTTCTTTATAAATTTTTTGTGGTTATATTTTTTTGGTTTCAGGAAGTTGGAGCATATTGTCCTTGTGCACTACAGAGAAGTAAAAGAGGTATACACACGACCTATCTTCTTCATACCTCTGTTATTTTTCTCTACATACATGTGTGTCTTGTATTTTTTTTTTTTTTTTTTTTTTTTTTTTTTTTTTTTTTTTTTTTTTCTTGTATTTTTTTTTTTTTTTTTTTTTTTTTTTTTTTTTTTTTTTTTTTTTTTTTTTTTGTGCATGAAGATCCTTTTGAATTTATCATGCTACTTACTATAACATGTCTCTGTGTGATTTGAATGGTTAATCTTTTCTGTGATCAGGGGTACAGGTCTGGTGTATCTCATTTGCTATCACCTCCAGTTGCAAAGGTTGACAGCCCTCAACCCTTTTCTGCTTCACCCTTTCCGCAAACAGCATCTCCAGCTTTTACAGCTCAGACGTCTTATGCATCGAGTCAAAACAGAGCTGTCTGGAATGATCAAACATTATCTTCAGAACTTGAGGAGGTTGATTCTAGAGATGATCCCAGAGCAGAATCCTTTACTGGACCTGGCTACAGTCCCGTGCCACATAATGGTTCTTTATTTGCTACTGAAGTTGAAGGTAAGGTGACTTGCAGAGTGTCTGTAATTCATTTATTTTTCCTTACCAGAAAATTAACATTTTTTAAGTTGGTAGGGCTGAATGCATACCTAAAATTTGTCAATAAATGTGTAAGGTGTAAGGTGTAAGGTGTAAGGTGAATACGTAACTGTAAATAAAATGATTGTAACTTCATCTGTTAAAATAAAATGATTGTTTAGCTTACTATTTTATTTTATTCATAAGCAACTAATGTCATACAGTTTATTAGGGTGATGACTGATGTCATTTTGTCCCTTTGGCTTTTAATCTATTCTTTTTCCTAGTTCTTTTTATTAGGACTTATCTTTTTCACTTTAAATTATAAACAATGTTCATGGTTAATATCGTCTTGCATGTCAAAATTCTTGCTCTGCTTCTTATTTGACATGTGTCAAAAGTTTTTTTTTTTTTTTTTTTTTCAAAAGGTTTTTTTTTTTTTTTTTTTTTAGTCTTAAGCTTTTTTTTTTTTTTTTTTTTTTAGTCTTAAGCTAGCAACTTGGTTATGATGATTCAGGACTCCATGTGTCATCACAGAATCCTGCTGGATCATTTTTTATTGGAGCTAATCACAGCACTGGATCATCCCTGTGGACTGACAATCCCAGCTTCAGCAAAACAGCATATGATGTGCTTGACAAGAAATTCTATATTGGACAACCTGGTGGAACTGACTTCATTTCAAATAAGTCAAATTCTGAATTAGGTGGTGATGCTCCAGATGCTGTGGCTCCTGCAGATCGATTGACTATTGACATAGATGATCAAGCACTAGTAGGAGCAGTTCCTCAGAGATTAATTCAGGTGTTGTCCACATTCTGTGGTTGTTTTAATCTTTAAGAACTTTTATATGTTAATTTGATTGCTTCAATAATGTGTTCTTGTGTGACTAACTATGGATGCATAAGATTGATCTGAGATGGATGAATAGCCCTGAAATCAATATTTCTTTGTAGATCATCATATAAAGTCAAAATGATGCAGGCACAAAATTTACGTGAACTGGATTAGTACTACAGAATTTACAAGAGTTATTGATTTAATTGCAGTTACCATATCACTGGAGTACATAATTATGTGACGTTTAACTTTGTGCATTTTGGTAATTCATATCATCTCATCTCATCTGACCTATTTCAAAACATTTATTGTGTTAGAATAGTCCTGTATCTATTCTGCATCCTGTCTTGAATATTTAATTATCTCGTGTAAAGGGAACAAGATGATCTTATGGTCATTTACATCTTGCCATTGTTGGTGTTCTATTGCCAAAATATTGCACCTTTCCTTATGTGTGTTTTGGTTAATGCTTCCTATGGTAAAGAGTCAGCAAGTGATGCTTGTAACATATTTGGTTGCTGCAGGAGCACGATTTTAATTTGATTCATCCCCAGTTTCTTAATCATTCTAGCTTTCAGACAGCTGCTTCTACTGCCGAAACTGATGACAAGTCCAAAGATGGTGAATCTGCAAATGAATTAGGGGAGCTTAAGAAACTTGACAGTTTTGGAAGATGGATGGATAAGGAAATTGGTGGAGATTATGATGATTCTTTGATGGCCTCTGACTCTGGCAATTATTGGAATTCAGTGGGTGCTGAGAATGAAGACAGGGAAGTCTCCAGTTTATCACATCACATGCACTTGGATATTGAATCATTGGGTCCTTCTCTTTCCCAAGAACAATTATTTAGCATTCGTGATTTCTCTCCAGACTGGGCTTATTCTGGTTCTGAAACAAAGGTTTGTGTCCTTGTCTTTGAATATTTCTTTTTTTTTTTTTTTTGGAAGAGTCTTTTGAATATTCTTTTTTTTTTTTTTTTGGAAGAAGAAGAAGGAAGAATTTTGGAGATGAATTCGCTGACGTAACTTTTTTTTTTTTTTTTTGGAAGAAGAAGAAGAAGAATTTTGAGATGAATTCGCTGACGTATGGTGGTGGTTCTTTTTTGTCAGGTTCTAATAATTGGCATATTTTTAGGAAGCAAGAAGTTTTCCCAGGAAACCAAATGGGGATGTATGTTTGGTGAAATTGAAGTTACTGCTGAAGTTCTGACAGATAATGTTATCAGATGTCATGCTCCTCTACATGCTACTGGGCGGGTCCCATTCTATATCACCCGTCGTAACAGATTAGCATGTAGTGAGGTAAGGGAATTCGAGTTTCGTGAGAATCCATCAAGCATCGCTTTTTTGACCATCAGAAGTGTGCAAGATAAGATGCTCCATTTGCAAGTGCGTCTAGCAAAGTTACTAAATCTAGGCCCAGATAGGAAATGGTTGGATTGCTCAATTGAGGGATGCAACAAATGTAAGCTAAAGGAGACCTTATATTCAATGAGGAAAGGTAGCACTGATGAAGTCACTTGTGTTGAAACCAAAGATAATTTGGTCCAGAGTTTGCTGAAGGACAGGCTTTGTGAGTGGCTGATCTTTAAAGTTCACGAAGGAGGTAAAGGGCCAGATGTGTTGGATGATGAAGGCCAAGGAGTTATTCACTTGACTGCTGGTCTTGGTTATGATTGGGCTGTGAGACTTGTAGTGGCTGCCAGTAACAATCCTAATTTCAGGGATGCACAGGGAAGAACTGCACTTCACTGGGCATCATTTTTTGGGAGGTCAGATTCATATGTTGTGTTCTCTTCTTCTTAGGATTTTGTAATTTCCTAGTTTGCTTTTGTGACGACTGTTGCAATTAAACCATTTCCTCGCTGTAAGAGAACACATTTCTCAATCTGTTATATTGGATCCTTTCTATGCTGCAGTTTCCTCGGTTAAAATTTCGTACATTACTGTGGACTTTGTGCTGTTTATTTTGATTTAAATTCTTGAAAGTTCATATTCTATGTATATTCAAAATTTATACCATCTTATTCGTGTTTCTTTCTTGCTTCCTTCAGAGAAGAAACAGTTATTGCACTTGTTAGATTGGGTGTGGATCCAGCTGCCGTTGATGATCCAACCACAGCGTTTCCTGGCGGACGAATTGCAGCTGATTTAGCATCAAGTCAAGGACATAAAGGAATAGCTGGATACTTGGCTGAAGCATTTTTAACTAGTCACCTTTCTTCATTAAATATCAAAGATGTGACAGATAGTGTTACTGCTACCATTGCGGCTGAGAAGGCTACTGAGGATCTAGACCAAGTCGCTATTCCGTTAAATGGGCTAGTGGATGATCAGTCCTTGAAAGGATCTCTTGCTGCTGTCAGAAAATCAGCTCTTGCAGCAGCTCTTATTCAAGCAGCCTATCGGTCTTATTCTTTCAACTGTAAACAATTTCCTAAGATCAGTGATGATTCTGAAGTTTCACTTGACCTGGCTGCCCTTGGTTCTCTGAACAAGGATCAAAGGAGTCACTTTGAAGATTATTTGCATTCTGCAGCTGTAAAGATCCAACAGAAATATCGTGGCTGGAAGGGGAGAAAAGATTTTTTGAAGATACGCAACCGAATTGTAAAAATTCAGGTATGGTGCTTTTCCATAACTTCTTTGACAATTTAGTCTCTGCATTATGAAGCAGAGTATCGTTTTTATATGAATTATTACTTGTCCTCAAATGTGCTTCGGTGAAGTCAAAATATATTTTTAGAAGCAATCCATGGATTGTTAATCTAGTCCTGAGTGGCTCCTCTGATACCATATCATGTCTATCTGGACCTTCTTACAAGGTTGAATTTCTTTTTCCCCTTGTTCTTTTCTAGTACCATGTCTATCTAGACCTTCCGAGATCAATTGTTAAATTGAAATCCTGAAGTTCTTTATCCTTAAGTTTAGTAACAGATGCAATTAATAGGAACCAGGAATTTCATATTTGTTTTTGTGCTTTTCATTTTGTTGAAAAAAATTGGTCAAAGCAATCTGAGTATTGGAAATATTTATGCAGTCTGCTGTTTTGCTTTCAGGCTCATGTGAGGGGACATCAGATACGTAGGCAATATAAAAAAGTTCTTTGGTCTGTCAGTATTGTTGAGAAGGTAATACTGCGTTGGAGGCGTAAGGGATCTGGTTTGCGAGGATTTCGGGCAGAAAAGATAACAGGAGATGCAGTATCAGAAACTGACAAAACTGATGAATATGAATTTCTGAGCATTAGCCGCAAACAGAAGTCTGCTGGAGTTGAAAATGCTCTTGCAAGGGTCAAGTCAATGGTTCGAGACCCTGCAGCACGTGATCAGTACATGAGGCTAGTTGCAAAATCTGAGAATCTCAAGGTAATGTTGCAGGGCTTACAGCAGAAAAACTTAAATGTGACTGCTAAAGTGTTGTCAGTTCTTCTAAAAGTGATATCTGTTTTTCTACCATCTGGATTTCACATTGATCACTTTCACACGCATGAAGCATATTTCTCTTATCGCCATGTGATTGTTCCATCTTGGTTTAGTGTGTCAAAATTGATTACTGACTTTTGTGTTCTACACTTTGTTCTGTACAGATGAGTGATGAAGGGATTAGGGTATCAGAAGATGAAAGTTAATTGTTAATGATAGTTGACAATTTCATATCGTAATAGCTGATTAATGATCTGGTCAGTTGATGTCAGTATTAGATGGAATCAAGCTGCTGCATGGTTCATCTGGCTTGCTAATCATCATTCAATAACTAACATCAAGGATTGTTTTTGTTACCAAAATCTAATGGGGGAATAGGATTGGGTAAGTTGAATTGTACAAAAGCACTAGTCAATCTTTAGCTGGTATAGTGGAAAAGGAATTTGCTCCTGTCAATTTGAGTAGATGAACATGGCATCAGCGTTTAGAATCTGAAAATGGCGTTTGCCTAATTTCAATTTTTTAACAAAGCAAAAGGCAAGTGTGTCTGTGATTCTCTCATTCTTTGACCCTTTTTTTTCCCCATCTTTGCTCTGTTTTGTTACCAATTTTTCATTTTATTCTGGTGATGTTACTGAAAACCTTTGGTGGAATTGATTCAAGAAAAAATGTAGTTTCTAGCGAGAAGCCGTTTGAAATAGGACCAACATATAATGTAAAATAATTACAACAATTTAACGAATTGACTGAGCTTAGAAAAGCCTTGTATGAGAATATACGAAGATGTACGGTATATCGGATGCCAAAAACTTATTAGAAGTGTAGTCATTGCAAGTGGTGATCAGCCCCTTCAGCTGCACGAGAACAAACGGATCTGTACAATGTTGCGCTAAGCCTTCTGCTTCCTGTCAAATGTAACACAAAGTAACGAGTAAATAGTCTCAATTTTAATTAAAAAACCTCCTGCCTACCCCATTATATTTCCTAAAGATCCACTAGAAGGCTATTCAACCGACAAAACGCCGCATTTAGATTTCAACAACATTGCGATGCACCTGACGTCACTAACGAAGTCACTTCAAAAAGCCCACCTGACCTGACAGACGTACCTGTGTTTTAATTCTAGGCCATTCCCGGAGATTTTGACTCGCGGATGATTGCTGCTTGATCCACGATACTGCGCAAGTTCATCATTCACACGAGAAAGGAGCTTTTCAGAGTGTGCCAACCTCTTAGCGAAATCACCATTACCCATCCTTGACGTGCAATTCTCCTGTTACATGAAGAAAACTAATTTCTTACAAAAAGATAAATGGAAAGAGAACTTTTAACTCGTGTGGCAATGCAGGTACAAACCTTAGTTTTTGATGTCTGTTGAATCTGCTTTTGGGTACTCTCTGACTCTGTTCCGAGAAGAGTTTTTATCATCTCATACAGTTCTGCAACTCTCCTTAGCAGATTGCTTTTGTCCATCTAGAGGGGCAAATGTAGCAGAAATCATGAACAGAACTTCATCAAAAGCTACTTGTTTAGTTAGTAATAGATATTATTTTTACTATCCACACCTTCAGCATTTCATTCTGTGCGGAAAGCCACTGATCCCGCTCCTTAAGTTGCTCGACAATCATCTGAGCACCTAGCGTATCTGCTGCTTTCTCTTTTATTTCAAAGATGCAACTACAGCACAAGATGCATTTCAGAATTAAGATGTACAAGACTATTATAACAAATTAAAGTTATGGAGATACCCCCAACCTCTCGTTTTCTTCAATCAGATCGTTCATCTGTCTCCTCAAGTTCAAGATTTCTTGATCCTAAAATGATGAGAATAACAGTTGATTTAATATAAACAACAACTAAACCTTAATCCTAGATAAGTTGGGGTAATTGAATAACAGTTTATTTCATATTCCGCACTAATCCAATATATAATCAACATATTTTTGTGGTACTTGTACCTTTGCACGGAACTCTTCTGTTTGCTTATGAGCTGCCTCCACTAATTTGTGAACCTGGTGCTGGTCAATCAAGTTCTAGAATATGCAGAGAAGAAAGAGGCATACAGTTCAGCAATTGAGCATCGCATCTATTACGTTCATTACTTGCAAATTGATGATAATTTGAACTCTTACTGCATAGTTAGTCATGTCCAATTTGACGCCAAGTAGATCACGAATGACATCATGGGTCATGCTTTCTGCTGCAGCCAGCCTAGCATTTAGCGTACACACCTGATCCAGTATTAATTGAGTCAAAATTTCTTTCCATTGGCTAATAATTATGTGGATATTCTTCATCGTGACAAAATATTCCGTGCAAGTGCAGAAGAGAGAGGGAGGAAAAAGTTGAGAGAAAGAGAGAGGAAAAAAAAGTTGAGGATCAATCTGGGCTTTGCTGTCAATGAAAGAAATTAAGGATCTGATTTAAGTCAAAAAGGAATGAATGACAATAACATTTGACAACATTTAAGAATTTCATGCATGAAAAGGTTTTAAGTATTTCCTAAGAAATGCCAGCTTAAAAAAATCTCAGTGCAACTGTTTATAAACCTGTGACCTCCAAGCGAAGTAAAATATCTTCATTTCTTGATCAATCTACTAAATTATTGTTATCACAATAATCTATAGATTTCTATGATAACTGGAAGTGGAACCACATATCCTCCACCAGTAAAAGAATTTTGTAACAAAAGAACTGTAAAAATGTCTACTTCACCTCCTTCTGCTGACTAGTCAATGCTGCTTCTAGCTCTTCTATCCGAAGCCTTGCCACTGACAAGTCTTGATCCTTCTCCAGACTCATCTGCTGAACCAAACTTGCAATGCATCTAAATGGTGAACTCGAGCCCCTTGTTCTCACTGAGCTTTTCTCGCTTTTATCCTGTATTGCTACTGTCGATGCTGAATTCGATAAACTTGTTTTAACTTCACGAACCATGGCTTCCAAGGTCTTATACTGTTCCAAGTGTAGAAGTTGTCACATACATAATTGGCATGTACAACATTTGGCATGATGACAGAGACATGTAAAGTTATCTTGAAATATTAGAATCTATCCTTGGTACAAAGAACCTCCTGAACCTCTAGAATATATAATTTCTTATTATATTCTGAAATGATCATATATTTGGTTTCTGTTTTAGTAGAAATCAAGGCAACATGTATTAATTATTGGATCCAAAATTATGTGGTAAAAGATAGGATATTGATTTTACAAACAAGGACTTGAATTATATAATCTCAAGTTCATCAATATCTCATACACTATAAAATGGTTTTCTTGAGACAATGCTGAAAGGCAGAGATCAAACTATAGAACACCCTTGCTTCCATTCATAATTTTTCATATCATACAAGTCAATGGTATAATAAACACCGGACAAGGTTAATGCATGGAGAACTACCTTCTCTTGGTACTGTGATGCCTGGGCTTCAGAATGCAAAACAAGTTCAGAGATGTATTGTTTCAATTGATTGATCTACAAAACATAAAGGAAATTTCTCTGTTAACAAATTGGGGAAATGATAAAGTGTATATTTTTCCAGCCAACAAATTTTTAACTTTAAGGCTGTAAATTGGAAGCAAGTAAAGCCCATACCTCTTTATCCTTTTCTGCAATGTCCCTATCAAGAAATCTTATTTGGTTATGCGCCTCAGAGAGTTTCAATTTACTGTGAAATAGCAAGCGTCAAAAACATTTTCAAAATCCAAGTGAAGGCAATGAAGAAACCAGTGTTTTTTATCAATAAAGAAATCATTATGTTGAACCTAGATATAAGATCTTCATTTTGAATGGAGTTTCTGTTTTCAGAGTCCATAATGTCAGTGAAGTTTTCAACTGTTGACAATCTATGCCTTAAAGCTTGAAGCTCCCTTTCTAATGATTCTCTAATCAACCGATGTCTTTCTACCTCCTCATCCATTTCATGCACCTGATTAAAAACATGCATTTAGCTGCTTTAATTAAGTGTAAAAAGAGGCCAATACAGCCAAAAGCATAATACAATTTCACTGGTGTGAAAATCAACAGTTAGTTTGCATATTATATGTATATTGTGCCCCATTAGCAACATGAGGACTTCAAACAACCATGAAAATTACCTTTCTCTCTAATACATTTATGGTGCTCTCAAGTTCCTCCACAGAATGTTCTAAAATCTTGACCTCCTCTTCCTTCTGTTCAGCATATATTTTACTTGCCTCTGACTCCTAAGTAACCCAAATATAAATTCAATTTTAGTCGACATCCACCTGGTCATCATCTTCTCGGTCTCAACAGAATAAGTTGTTAAGTACATACCTGTCGAGCTTCAACAGCAACAGCTTCATTTTCATCAGCTAATGCATATGCCATCTGAAGCTTATCATTCAAAGCACAAATTTCTTCACGAAATCGCTCTCTCTCATTATTGGCATTTCTCAACTCTTCTTCAAAGCCTTCAACTGACAAGCATAACTTTTTCTCAACAGAAGAAGTTAAGAGAATAATTTCCTTTTCCAAGCGTCTAACAAGCTCCTTTTGTTCTTCCAATTGTTCTTCAGCTTCAGACTTTTTGAGATAGAGATCTTTTAGAAGCATTCTCAAGTCAGCGTTTTGGTCTGATAAAGAATCTATTCTTTCCTTAGCATGCACAATATCAGAATTTGATATGGCCAAAGCATTTTCAGTATCTGCCAGATAGCCTTCAACTTTTCTATACTGCATCATAAGCTTATCAAGCTCACTTGTTTTCAGTTCTAGCTCATGTCGAACTTCATTCAAAGCCAAAATTAACATTTCAACTTCATCTTTGATATCACTTCTGTTAGAGGCTGCTTCTTGAAGCAAACTAAAATCAAAAAGCAAACCCTTCAATAAAAAGTCTTTCCTTTCCAATTCTTTCTTAAGAAACATGTTATCATGTGTCATGCTGTCATATGATACACCCGGGCTTCCTTCTTCCAGGTCTGCAACTAGTTTACCCCCTTCTGTGACCTTATTAGTAATCAGAATATCATCTTTGCCACTGGAGCAAACTTCCTCTGAAGCATCAATTGCCGTATAGCAGTCTTGCTGTCCAAATGGGGGAATTCCAGATTGTACATCAAAGTTTGGAATTTTTTGGATTACCTTTTCTATGATACATTGATACCTGACAAAGAGACCAAATTCCTTCTCCATTATCTCAGAGAAAATAACTTCAAGTGATGATCTCGAGTTGCAAATAAAGTGAAGCAGGTCTTTTCCCATAGATGAGAGATCTGAATGTAAGACCTTATATCTGTCATCCACTTCTCTTTGCATTTGCTGAAAACATCTCTCAAATAAAGACACAGAGTTTGCTATTTCTACTAGGCCACAATAAATTTCATCCAGCAGTAATTTGTTCTCTTCTTCTTTCATACATAATGAAGCCTTAAGTTGCTCATTTTCTTCAAGCAATTGTGACCTTGCCATCATCAGTTCCTCGCTGGATTGCTTCCACATAAAACTCAAGTGATTTGCATTTTCATTTGCTTTTAGCAGCACTTTCAATGTATGATCAGCTTCCTTCATTGTTGCTTGGGCTTCCTCACACTTGCTTAAGAAAGTACTAGCATAATGAACCTTGTCATCAGCAACTAACTACAAATTAAAAAATAATCACTTAGTTAAGGTTAGTAAATTTGCGCTATAAAAATTATTAACAATGAGAGAAAATAAAATACATGCATTTAGTTTCCCATTTTGATGCTTTTAGTTTGGAAAAAGTCTAAAAATGACATGCACGGGTTAATACCTTTCTGGCATTATGATAGGAGGGTTCTGCAATTTCCATTCCCAGGCCTAAAGATTGAACCATTTTGCTCATCTCTGCAATGTCATTACATAGAGAAACCTTGTGGCAATCAGAAAATACAGCATCAGCACATTTTTCTGATTCAACAGTGCAATCAGACAATGCAGCATCAGTGAGCTTTTCTGATTCAACAGTGCGACATTCCTGATATTTGACATTACTTTCTAGCATCTTTATCGTTTTGAACTTCTCATTTAACAGCATGCTTAAGTTGATTGCCTCTTCTATGCTTTGATCGTTGTCTGATAGTGGAAATTCATTCAAAGCCATTGTTGCTTCCTTTAAGAGGTGTAAGTTCAGCTCCATGTCTGCAACTGTCTTCTGTGCATCTTCCAAGCTTTTCTCTAGCCATAAAATTGTTTCTTCCTTGTCAATGCAAGCTTTGGCAGCCTTCTCAACTTGTTCTCTAATCCAAACATTCTCTTGAGGAAATGAACAGACAATACTTTCAATCTGACCTGAGGCTTCTTCAAGGGATTTTGATCCTTCCACTAGGAAGCTTGTTAGTTCAAAGGTTGCCCTTTCCCACTCCCCACAAAGTACCCTTATCTCTTCCTCTTTCTCTTCTAGGGTATTTCGTAGCCTCATGTTTTCTTGGGTCATGGAACATAATTTCTCATTGAGTTCTAATTGAAGAGCAGTAACCTCTTCCTGTAAATGAATAATTGTTTTTGTTGTCTCTATCTCAACTTGTTCATGGATTAAATTAACTTGATGCTGGTGAGATAACTGTGATGCCTGATCTTTTTGATATTGGCAATTAAGTAACCTTGCCTGCTCAAGGTCTTCACTCAGTTTCTCCAACTTGGCTTGCAAGTTGCTTTGGAGATTTTCTGTGCCCTCCGTAACTAGATCTCTGTTCTTCTTTTCTAGATTTTGTAATTCCAGACACTCACTTCCAGCTTCAACCACTGATTCTTGTTCTACTTTGTTCTTCTCTTTTAAGATTTCCATGTACTGGCAATTCAACTCCTGTGTAAGTTGCAGTTCTTCAATTAGATGGGCATGCTCAGATTCCATTGCTTTTATTAACGATCTAGCATCCATCAACTCTTTTTGAGTATCACTAGACTGAATAACTAAGGCTTTTCTCATCTTCTGACTACCATCTGCCTGCCTATAAGATGCCATCTCATCTCCAGACTCACTTTCAGCAGAAACAGTCTCGACCTGTAACAGCGGTGGCCAATGTAAAGCAACCACCAAAATACAGAAAAAATGTTATCCATGATGTATATACTTCGTCTTTCACATAAACTATCCAAATTTATGCAACAGCAAAGACCATGCAAAAATTTGCACAGCAAGCACAAACTAATATTTTACTCACCAATGAGTATTTATCTGAATTCCTAATTTCTTCAAGATCCTTGGAAAAAGAAAGCCTAATTTCTTCAGGATCCTTGGGAAAAGAAAGCCTAATTTCTTCAGGATCCTTGGAAAAAGAATCTGTTACCTGAAGGGCATGCCAAATTATTAAGCACTAGTGATGACAGCTAAGCCATCTCATAAAGACTTCTAATAGCTTACTAGATATCCTTACAGCATCAAAAGCAGCTTGACTACAACTCGAATATCTTTTCAGTTCTCTTCTTAAGTCTTCTACTTCTCTGCAGGCACAAGCCAGAAATAATATTTGAGAAAGGAACAAGGTAAAAATATTGTTTAAACCTCATCTGATTAATATCTGTTTCAGATCGTTATATCCTTTAAACAAAATGACCAGCAAAACTATTGAACTAAAGGATGAAAATGAAGATATATAAATGACAAGAAACTTCAGCAAAGAACATTGAGATGATCATGCTGAATAGTTTGCAATAGAATGCCTCGATACTCTGATGTACCAGCACCCATTAACTGGACAATTGTCAATAAACAAAGATTATCTATGGATGGAAAAATAATTTCATGCACAACCTATTTAGTGAGGTACATGATTTTTTCAAGACTTGAATTACAATGATAAGATTCAATAAATGTTAATCAAAGAGAAAGTTTGAGCAGGCAACAAAAGAGTGTCATCAGAAATCTCGTTGGCAACCAACCCCCCCCCCCTCAAAAAAAAAAAAAAAAAAAAAGTAGTATTACTCTCGGTCTCTTCCACCATAACCCTCAATCCCCAGATTCTATGCCAACACCCCAAACGAACGGCAAAAGACTGCCCACAGCCAAGCACAAACTAATATTTTTTACTGCAGAACCCCCACCCCCAATGCAGCTTACTCTCTTACCTGAATTCCCTATTTTGCTTCAGAGGGAGGTAACTTGAAAAAGAAAAGCACATAGATGAGTCTTCTTCAGGATCGGCTTGAAAAACAGAAAGCTCTAATTTATTTCAGAGATACCTTGGAAAAAAGACGAAATCTGTTAAGCCAGGTGATAGGAGCAGCCAAATATTATTTTAAGACACTAGTGATTGACAGCTAAGCCATCTCATAAAGAACTTATGAATTAGCTTACTGATATCCTTACACATATCAAAAAGCAGTTGACTACGAACTCGAATATTCTTTTCCTCCAGTTCTCTTCTATAAGTTTTCTACTTCTCTGCAGCGCACAACCCGCAAATCAATTTTGAGAAGGAACAACGGAGTAAAATATTGATTAAACAGCTACATTCTTGATTTCACTCGTATCGGTGGTTTCACAGATGCGTAAATAAAACCCTTACTTTAAACAAAATGACACAGCACAAAACTAACCTCCTCGCGAACTGAAGATGAGTCAATGAACGATATACCTACCAACTGAACAAGAAACTTCAGCGAAAGAACATTGAACCGATCATGGCTGAATAGTTGCAATAGAGACTCGCCCCTCCGCATACCTCGCACGTAAACCAGCACCCATCCCTAACTGCGACAATTGTCAATTTTTAATACAAAGAATAATCTATGGATGGAAATAATATCTCATGTTCACAAGCCTATCTTAGCTGCAGGCTAGATGAGATAGTGTTTCAAAGAACTAGAATATAACACAATGATAAAAGGACATTTCAATTAAATGCTTAATCAAAGAGAAATTAGTTTGTAGCACGGTTCAACGAAAAGTAATGTGTCATCAGAACTACGAATTAGCCCAACCAAACACCCCCCCTCAAAAAAAAAAAAAAAAAAAAAATTCTATAATGAAATGAATACAGAGGAAAGTTTGATTAGCTGCAGCAGCAAACTGGATATATAGAAAATAATCCTTGTATAAGCTTTATTGGAATATCTAAAGGTTCCTGGCGAGATCGTCCAACTCATCCTAAAATACCACTATCCTGCTCATCAGAGAAATAGAACAAAATAAAGAAACAATGACTGAGTTTTAAAAGACATAGTTAAAGATAGTACAAAAGTAATTGAAGAATTGAGCAACCACTGACCTAGAAATATCCAATATATACATTAGGACGAACAATTGAGCATATATCTAGTTACAAGCACGTAGCAAGAGCATAGCAATAATATTCAGAAATGAAAAATAAAGAAATTTTCCTTCATCTGATCTCTCATGGATGAACAATAATAGTCAAGGGCACAGCACGAGGAGGAGGGAAGTGAGATGAGTCAGTAAGGACCTGCGTCAGCGGGTAATTTGATGAATATATCCCATTCAGACCAGGAGCAGTGTTTTTCGGTTCTCCTTTTCCATAAAAATTCTGTAACCTGAAAATAATAGGATATGAAAAAAAAAAAAAAAAAAAAAAAAAATTCTATATGAATGATCAGAGGAAGTGTGCTGCAGCACAAAGCAAACTGATTTAAGATAATACCTGATAAGTTTGGAATTCATGTTCCTGCAATCTTCCAACTCTCCTAAAATACCACTATCCTGCTCTCAGAGAATGAACAAATAAGAAACATGCTGAGTTTAAAGCATGTAAAATGTAAAAGTAATTGAAAATTGCAACCCTACCTGATTCTCATATTCATAGGAGAAATTGAGCTTTCTTTCAAGCACGTGCAAGAGCTGCATTTTTCAAAGAATGAAAAATAAGAATTTTCCTCATTGCTTCCATGGAGACATTTCAAGAAGAAAAAGAAGTAGAAGATATCCAGTAACCTGCTCACGTAATTGTGATATTTCAGCCAACAGTGTTTCTCGTTCTCCTTTTTCATAAAAATTCTGTAACCTGAAATAATAGCATATGAAGCAAGTTATATCCAAAAGGCAATAGTAAGAATTCTTCCAGAATATCAGTGTAACTTTCATGTGATTACAATTGAAGCTGCTTAAGAAGTTCTAAATTTTCCAAAGCTGAGCGTGTCAATTCTGGATTTTTGTCAATTCTTGCTTGAAGTAGCAGGATCTCCTCCTTTAAAGATTTGTTTTCCTCCATGAGATAATGATCAACAGGCAATGAACCATCCACTAAAAACTCTAGCTGTTTAATTTTATCATCTCGAAATCTTAGCATCACTTTGGTTTGCTTCAACTCCTCCTCCCTTTGGCAAGCCTGCAAGCAATGCTCAGCTGTAAATTAACCCAGTGCATGTAACCATTTTTGCTCGTGTCTATAAAGCTGAAAAGGTACTTGGCAATATGACTACCAAAACTGAGGAAAAGTTTTCCCAAGAAAAATATAAAATTGGAAGTTATAAGCATACATACAAATTGGTTTATCTGCTCAATTTCAGCCTCTAACTTCCGAAGTGTTGTTTCTGCTATCTTTTCTCTCCTAAGTGCACCCACTAAAGTAGCTTCCATGCATTTCAGCTGACAAAAAGATATTAGCACTAGGAGCCCAAAAGAACACTACATTCCTGGACAGAATAAAGAGTCAAACATAGAGATGAATGAACGTCTTACCTTCTTATTTGCAATGCTTTTTAAATCATGGTTATCAGCTGCTCTTTTATCTTTTAAGGAATTATGCATTTGTGGGTAGCTAACCAATCTAGAGTCTTCAAAATTTGGCATACAACTTGAGAGAGACGTCGAGAGGTTATGATGCTTTATTACAAAGGATAGTTGGTCCTGCACAAGAATTGAAAACGTTATAGTACTAATAGCCAGTGGGCTACCTACAAAAACAGCATACTGCTACTTTTACCTTCAACTGTTGAATTTGCCGTTGGAGAGTACTAACATCACCAGAAGCGTCTTCATTCACTTTAGCCTAGATGTAGAATGGAGGAAATGATCAAACGTGTACTAATTTTTTCGAAAATTGAAACATATAGCAAATTTCAAGGCTAAGTACATTATTTTGGATGAGTTTTGCACGTTGGGCGAATTTCAGAGTGCTTAGTGTTTCATGTGCAGAGCTGCAAGGGAAGACAAAATCTTGAGATTGAAAAGAAAATGAGGAATTCATGGAAAAGAATACCTGAATTTAGGACATACCACATAGATGGGCTGACATTTGCTATAACGGTTGTTTTAGAGTTTCCACCCAGAGAATCCTGCACCCAGATATGTAAAAAATCACAAGGTTTTTGTGATGAAATACCAAATTAGTTAGTAACACATGGAAAACTATAGAGAACAGTCTATTATTTAACCTGTAGTAGAAATGTCAGCCGAGAATCTCTGTACGGAACATGTCTATGTTTCCCATGTGCTAAATCAACCAATGACATTATCACCAATCTAAAGCAGAAGATTTAGGCAAGTAAACTAACAAATTAACAGAACTGCATAAGAAAAAAAATAAGGATGAAAATTAAACAACTGATTAATGCTTTTGAAGCTTATCATCTTATTCAATGCTATGGTTAAGTTGTGAAGATTAATGCATGTTGACTGAATGCACCATTAGCACATATCTCCCCAAGAAGATAAAATTCCCTTATAGTATATTTTTCATGTTAGACCATATGTAATTCCTCACAACATAGTATAAGTTACCATGTAAATCCTTCAACAAAAGGCGGTCCAGATTAGCGAGCCTTAAATGTATGGTTTCCATAAAGAAAATAAAAACTACGTAACAGGAAAAAATTAAGCAAGAAAGTTTACGTACTGTCTTGAAAACAAACATCTGATCTTATTATCTTAGAGCTCTGACAAAATGTTAAAAATCATCCTTGCATCTGGTGTTAATGAATAAAGTTCATAATTTTTATGAGAGAGGGAGAGAAATCTTTACCCTAGAGTTGATAAAGATTTGTTTATATTTGCTGCTTCTTTTAGACGATCTCCTTCTGCACCAGAGCTTTTCTGCCTAATTGATTAGATGCTTGGTCAAACATTGAAGAAATACAGAATGTAAAAAGTTAATGGCAAAAAGGAGAGAGCTTACCTTTCAGAACCAGCCAAATCTACTAAATTTAGCCTTGCAAACCTAAAGTGGGTCATGGAATCTTTCTCCCACCAGCTTTCAATGATACAAGTGAAGACACTGTGGGAACGGCTGCTCTCACTGTTCATGTTGGTTGCTGCCATTTTCCTATTTGCAGCACCCTATATACATGAAAATAAAATTAGCCAGTCACATTCATGCAGAGTACAACAAATTATCACAGTCCTTAAATTTTACATACCTGTGACAGAAGTTTAATGATATCATTAACAGTCTTCACATTGTACTCCGTAAGATTTTCAACATATACTCCTTTTCTTAAATCTTCTCTAAGCTAAGATAGATATACATATTTATTATCAGAGTTTATTGCACATAAACGTACAAAGATTACAGAAGTCTAACCATGAATGCAATTGGAAAACATGAGTTACCTGCAAATTGGTAGATGTAGGTTCTAAAAGATCTGTTATCTGCTCATTGTATATCTCCAGAAAGGAGCATTTGCAACTGAACCTCAGCTTCTCATTTCTCCTACTCTCCTCTTCCTACAAAATTATATCACTTTAAAGCAAAAAATTCTCCCCAGTGTACACCCCAAAAAAATATCAAATAATAGAGAATCAAGATAAGTTGAATTGACAACTGCCTATATGTGAAAAGGAAGCAGAAAAATTAAACTACCATTCTTATCCTTGAAAATAAATACTCAAATATGCGAGGGGTTATCCCACAATCTTCACTGATGTTGCCTTCAAGCTGGTTTATCTCACCCATCATAGTATACGTTTTGCCACTACCTGTCTGCAACACAGTGTTTTAAGATTAATACTTGCCTAAGCCTCATCCAGCATCAAACATATTCAATCCTTACCTGGCCATAAGCAAACATACAGCTATTATATCCAGACATGCAATTTTCCACCATAGGCAGTCCGACAACCCTGAATAGCTTTTCCTATAACAAAACCAGTTAACTAAATAAGAAATTGCTTAATTTCTCTCCAGCTTCAGGGGCAATTAAACATAGGAAAAAGAGATTGAACTATGAATCTTAGATTCTTTCATTTCTCAAGGCTGAGAAACTAAATTAACATTGATGCTAAAATTATTTTATTGAGAATTTCGAATCTTTCCAATAAAGATAACATATATAGGATTCTATTTAGAAAAATTGCACATCTTACTGAAAAAATATATATTCCTGCATTATACACAATATCTTTCATTGTTTTAAAAGATAATGGTCAGGATATAGCACCTGTGATATGGTCTCGCAGGCTATATGATCAAAGGTGAATCTAGTCTCAGGATGACCAAGCCACACTAATGTCTGTTCGCTCTCCTGCCTCAAACACCGCCCATATCCTTGTGAAATTGTCTCAACGTTACTAAGTGGCCGAAATCTTATCAAAACCTGAAGCAGAAAAATCTCCAAGTATATATAGTATTGTAATTAAATCCACTACTGCTTATCTTCAAATTAAACGGTTAGTGCACAAACCTGTACATTGTGATCTGCCCAGAATGAGGCATCTTCATCTAACTCAAAATGCGGAACTTCCACCGAAAAATCAGAATTTTCCAGCGAAATCCCTCTTGAAAGCCTATAAGTAGAGCCTGCTTCTTTTCCTCTAGTGAAATACGTGCTTTTTGTCCCAGCTGTATAAGCTACCGTTGCTCCTCCCAGAGAAGCTCTGGAGCCACTTCTTGCTGGAGTGCTCTGTGCAGAGTTTGACTCTGAATGCACTTTACCTTGACGATTGGAAACTCTAGGCGTCGCATAACTTGCAGCTCTGTCCACGGCCTCGAGTTTCTTGCCTGAAACTCTACCAGCTCGAGCAGTTTCAAACTTATCCTTAGAATCAAAATCGTATTCATGAGTCTCTCTGCGATACTGACACGGATCTGGAATTGTGTTTAACGGTGTTCTTGGAGGTGGAAAGTGAGCTGAATTCAGCGTGTTGTCGAATTCATTCTCGTTTGCTTCGTCTTGTGGATTCCTCGAATGAGCATTTCGAGCCATTATTCGAAAACTGGAGCTCTCTCTCGACATGCTTAAGCTATGATATTTTCCACTTGAAACCTGAGTTTTGACTGACTGATTCAGTCCATTAATGGAACCTGAAAGTGCAGAGTTTGACTCTGAATGCACTTTACCTTGACGATTGGAAACTCTAGGCGTCGCATAACTTGCAGCTCTGTCCACGGCCTCGAGTTTCTTGCCTGAAACTCTACCAGCTCGAGCAGTTTCAAACTTATCCTTAGAATCAAAATCGTATTCATGAGTCTCTCTGCGATACTGACACGGATCTGGAATTGTGTTTAACGGTGTTCTTGGAGGTGGAAAGTGAGCTGAATTCAGCGTGTTGTCGAATTCATTCTCGTTTGCTTCGTCTTGTGGATTCCTCGAATGAGCATTTCGAGCCATTATTCGAAAACTGGAGCTCTCTCTCGACATGCTTAAGCTATGATATTTTCCACTTGAAACCTGAGTTTTGACTGACTGATTCAGTCCATTAATGGAACCTGAAAGCCAAAAATGAAAAAGTAGGGGTTTATGTTGAATGGTGAATTAGTGATTAATGATGATGAAATGATGATTTAAAGCCAAAAACCCAAAGGAGTTGCTTTGAGATTTGTAGATAGGACAGTGTGAGAGTAAAGTTTGAATGTTGAAGCTCAGATCAGTGAGATGTATGTTTTACGTATAGAGGAGAAGAAACATTACCGGACCTGACCGCTCATTTTCAATTTTCAATTTTAACTTTGCTGTTTTTACATAAATGCCCCCTGGCTTCTTAGAAATTTTGAAGTGGCCCAAAATCATCAACTTTATTTCTAATGTAGTACTAGATTCCAATTTGAAATATCCATTGCCAAAAATATTAAAAAAAAAATCCAAAATTTTGAATTTTGAGTGAATATTTTTTATATTGCTTCGAATTTCGTATACACTTTATCAAAATTATCATGGTTTTGATAAAAAATATACATACACTCGTAATTCCATTTGACATTTATAGTGGGTAAAATTTAACAATTTAAAATCTTCATATTGTTATTTTTTAATTTAAAAAATTATAAAAAGGCCAAAAAAAACTATTAATCCTGGAAATTGGCAATTATGAAACCTAATTATCTGTCTTAATAGAGGTTATGTTTTCAGTGAAGAAAATTAGCAAAGCTTTGTATTAATTTCTTGTAATGCGGTTACTATGATGAGAATTTGAACGGTGGAAAAGGAGGTGATCATTACATTGACGTAAGGAAAAGAGTGGGCAATGATGAGTAATCACAATTCACAATGGAGTGGAGATTTTTAAACGTTTGAAACAGGCTAAAGGTGGGCTTTTTAATTCAAACATTACAATGGGCCCATATAGCTGTTTACCCATTTAAAAGATGCTGAGACAGAATTTTTTGTTTTTTCTAAAAGAGACAGCTTTAAAAATAACGGTAAGCTTCGGTATGAGAGAACTATTGTCTTAGTTGCTCGCAAGATCATTTGGTAGCGTTTTATTAGAAGTAGATTGCCTGCGATTGTTTCAAGCGGTCACAACTGGGTTTAAACTTTATTCAGATTTAGCATCAGTGTTAGAAGAAATTAAATAATTGTTTTTTCAAATTCCATCATGTGAATTGATTTGGATTATGAGGCAAGTCAACAAACCTGCATATACTATTGCTCATATGGCATGTTTACATCTTTGTTTCCATTCATGGAATACGACTCCCCAATGTATCGACGATCTTATTGCTCATGATTCATTATAATATTATGATCTCCTTTACTTTCAAAAAAATAAATAAATAACAGTAGCCGAGAGAGATAGGCTGAAATTTGAAAATCCAATACAAAATGTAACCTTCCCCTTCTTGTTACTAGTATTTAACGTCGTAAACTATATGTATTTACTTGTTGTAGTTAACAAATATAAGAGTGAAGAATGAATATTGTCTCTGTTGTTCCCAGTAAACAAGCGTTTAAATACAAAGAGAATAAACTGAATTCCTTAGCAGTAGGAATCAGTAACAAACTAATCCTATCATAACAACTCAATCTCAACATAATCAAAAACAAATAATACAAAGTCAAAAATATGGGAAACAAGCGTTTAAATACAAAGAGAATAAACTGAATTCCTTAGCAGTAGGAATCAGTAACAAACTAATCCTATCATAACAACTCAATCTCAACATAATCAAAAACAAATAATACAAAGTCAAAAATATGGGAAGAGGTACAGATATACTGCTAATATGCCCCCCCTCAAGTTAAACAGAGAGGACCAATGTTTAACTTGTTCAGATGACGACAAAACGCAGCGGATGATAAGGGCTTAGTCAAAGTATCGACTACTTGATCTGCAGAATGGACATGTGAAACAGTAAGCAGTTTTCGATGAACTTGATCACGAACATAATGAAAATCCACTGCTAAATGCTTCATACGACTGTGAAACACAGGGTTCTCACATAAATAAGTGACTCCTATGTTATGACTCCTATGTTATCACAATAAATAACAGGTGCCGTAGAAAGTCTGATAACCATTTCAAACAGGAGATTACGAACCCAAGTTATTTCAGATACAGCACTCGCAACAGCACTATACTCAGCTTCCGTGGAGGACCTCGCAATTGTTGTTTGCTTTTTAGAAGACCAACTGATCGGATTATTGCCAAAGAATTGAATGTAGCCAGTGGTTGAGACACGATCATTAATATCGACGGCCCAATCTGCGTCAGAATACATGTGAAGTGACAGAGATTTGCTTTTCTTCAGACAAAGGCCATAGCGAAGAGTACCATTAAGATATCTTAGAACCCGTTTGACAGCTTTCCAATGAATAGTGGATGGAGCATGCATAAACTGGGAAAGCTTGTTCACGGCAAAGCAAATATCGGGACGAGTAAAACTAAGATATTGAAGTTTACCAACAACTTGTCGATATTTAGTGGCATCAACAGGCAAGGAACCATCAGAAACTGAAAGAACTGCAGAGGAGCTCATAGGAGTAGCAGCTGGTTTGGATTCCTGCATGTCATCAGAAACTGAAAGAACTGCAGAGGAGCTCATAGGAGTAGCAGCTGGTTTGGATTCCTGCATGTGGGTTATGTGAAGTATATTAGCAATATAAGTTGCTTGAGACAAGTAGAGACAATCTTTCTGCCGCAACACTTCCACACAAAGGAAATATTGCAAATTACCCAGATCTTTAATAGAAAAATGACTCGCAATGGAATCAATTGTACTCTGAATGCCAGAAACTGAACTTCCTGTAACAATGAGATCATCGACATATACAAGTACAAAAATAACAACAGAAGCCGTACGGCTTATAAATAGAGAACAATCCAATTCAGATTTGGCAAAACCCAAGGAGATAAGATGATTTTTAAGAGCAGTATACCACGCATAAGGAGCCTGCTTTAGCCCATAAATAGCTTTGCGAAGCAAACAAACGTGAGAGGGAAACTTAGAATTCTCAAAACCCGGAGGTTGTGTCATGTAGACTTCCTCATCAACATTGCCTTGAAGAAAGGCATTATTGACGTCTAATTGACGCAAAGGCCAGTTATATTGAAAGGCCAGTTATATTGAACTGCAAGAGACAACACCAATCTGACAGTGGTTGGCTTGAGCAAAGGACGGAACGTCGAATGATAATCAATGCCTGGGCGTTGCGTGAACCCTTTGGCAACTAACCGTGCTTTAAACCTGTCAACAGAACCATCAGATTTTCGTTTAATCCTATATAACCATTTGCAAGCAACAATATTCTTAGAGGGATCATATGGAACAATTAGAGGGATCATATGGAACAAGTTCCCAAGTTTGATTTTTCATTAATGCATCATACTCTACTTGCATACCTGTCCGCCATTCTGGGTTTTTGTTGGCTTGGGCAAAGGTATTGGGTGGGGGAGTAGGTAAAACTTGTGCCATGTAGTCAAAGATTTTCTTGGGTTTGTAAATTTGATTTTGGGAACGGGTAACAACACGAGAGGGAGGAGGTTGTGGTATTGTTGCAGGTAAATTTGAAGAGATGGGAGTAGGGATAGGTGGAGAGGATGGTTCACGAGTAGGAATGGGTGAAGGTATAGGTGGAGATGGGTCAGGTGTATGTATGAGTGGAGATACCAGTGGAGATGGTGTTGTCACAGCAGCTGTTGTGGCACGATCGGAGTTCCCAGAGTCACAAGTGGGCACAGTTTTAGAGTTTTGGGTGTTGGAATTCACAGGGGAAGGAAGCACGGGTATAGGACAAGGTAAAGGTTGAGTGGAAACGGGATTAACGGAAGAGGATTCCTGATGTGAGGTGGGAGAGTGAGATTGGGTTAAGTCAAACCAATTGAGAGACTGATTAGATTTAGAAGTGGAGCCAAGAGAGAACATGGACTTGTATGGGAAAATATGTTCAATAAACCGGACATCACGAGACAAATAAATTTTAGAATTGAGAGGATCAAAACATTGATGACAGTAATGGCACAGTGAAAAACCTAAGTAAACACATGGTGTAGATCTTGGAGCTAGTTTATTAGGAGAATAAGGTTTTAGCCATGGGTAACATAAACATCCAAAGGTGTTTTAAGGCCATGGGGTTAACATAAACATTCCAAAGGTTTTAGTGACAAGTAAATCGGGTTGTTTTCTGAAATAACATTTCAATAGGGAGAATGATGGCTAAAGTGTGAAGTGGGCAATTCTGTTGATTAGATAAAACGGCATGAAAATGACATGCAAAGGACCAAAGGTTGATGGGAAGAGATGCTATTTGCAGAGAGTAATGTCGGCAATTCAATATTCAATAATATGGCGGTGTCGGCGTTCAGCAGTGGCAACCCGTTGTGGAGTATATGGAGGGGATTTCAAATGTTCTATTCCATGTAGGTTAAGGTATGAATCAAGAGCCTGAAATTCACCACCACCATCAGTATAAAAGGAGAGAATTTTGGAATTGAAATGTCTTTCAACTAAAGGATGAAATTTTTGAAAAATTGATGTCACCTCATTTTTTTGTTTTAACGTGTAATGCCAAATATATTTTGTATATTGATCAACAAAGATGCAATAATATAATTTTTTTTCTCAACAGACAAAGTGGGAGAGGGACCCCATAAATCAATAAAAATAGTTTGAAGAGGCTTTGAACTTGTTAATGTAAGTTGAGAAAATGGTTGCCTATGAGCTTTATTAGAATGACAGGAATTACAAAAAGATAATTTGTCTTGAACTGAAACAGAAATAGAACATTGATTTAAAATAAGATGCAGAACTCTATCATGAAACTCTATCATGAGGATGACCGAGTCTACAATGCCAGGTTTCAAGAGAACTAGTGGAGGTTGCTGTGTGAGCTGTAGGGAAAGAGCAGGACAAGGGAGTCTTTGGCCACTCGTATAATCCATTATTACTCCGACCATGCACCAACGGCTTCCTAGTTGCAAGATCCTTGACAACAAAATCAGAGGGAAAAAATTCGACTGAGATTAAATTGTCTTGACAAAATTTATTAACAGAAATTAAATTTATTTGAATTTGAGGAGCACAAATGGTATTAGACAGCTGGAAAGCTTCGTTAGATGCATATAAATGAATAGAACCAGTGTGTGTAATTGGGATTTTGTTACCATCACCCATTGCTACTTCTTCAAAACCAGTGTATTCAGGCATGTCCTGAGGATCAGCAGTGATATGATGGGTGGCACCGGAGTCGAGCAGTGATATGATGGGTGGCACCGGAGTCGAGGACCCATGGTTTGTCGGACATTTGAGAGGCTGAAACAAAATTAGCTCTGGCTTGAAGATGATTATGTGATATGCTACGACACACAGATGCAGTGTGACCATATTTGTTGCATAATTGACAAGTGACTCCATTGTAGGAAGTGTTAGAGGATGGTGGACGCCAAGTTGGTTGTTGAGTTGGTTGTCGATTTGGTCTGTTTGGACGCCACTGGTTTGGCTGGAAGTTGGAAGGTTGCTGGGTATTATGAGAAAAACGCTTATTGGATCAACCATTGCGAGCAGCGTACGTAGCTTGATTAGCTACAACTGTGGGAATAGCTGAGGAGACTGATTTTACTTCACTTTGAAGACAAAGTTCATGGTCTAGAAGTTTTTCACAAAGTTCTGGGTACTCAATCGGGACACTCCTATTGCGAATTGCAGCTGCTACTTCTCGATAATTTGAGTTTAGACCACTGAGAATTTTAACAGTAAGCTCAGGTTCTGCCATTGGAGAACCTGCAGCAGCAAGTTCATCGGCAATTTCACGAATTTTATAAAGATATTCGGTGATACTTTTATCATCTTTTTGTATGCGACCGAGTTGATCGCGCAAGCTATAAATGCGTGTATGACTTTTGTTGGCATAGGTGTTGTGAAGAATTGTCCATGCTTGAGCAGAGTTGGAAGCATTACCAACAATGGAGGGAGCAGAGTTGGAAGCATTACCAACAATGGAGGCAATGGTTGGATCAACAGAGGCCATCATTGCTTGATGAATGAGGCGATCCTGCCGCAACCATAAACGGTATGCTGAGTTGGGTTGAGAGGTGTTATCTTGAGTGATTGTTTTTGGAGGAGACGGTGTGGTGTCATCAAGATGACCAGCAAGGTCATGGCCATCAAGAAGAAGAGTTAATTGAGTTTTCCAGGTGGAGAAATTGGAACTGCCTTTGAGCTTAATAGGCAATTGAGCACAATTGAGCAGTAGGGTTGAAACTAGAATTATTTGATGGGTGAGGTTGGAAGTAATGTTATCAGAATTTAAGAATGTTTGGCCATGGGAATAATGTGTTGAAAAGTAAAAAAAAAAATGAAATTCAAAAGACTCTTTTGAGTTAATGAGAGCTCTGATTAACCATAATCAATATAAGAGTGAAGAATGAATATTGTCCTCTGTTATCACCCAGTAAAACAAGCGTTTAATACAAAGAGAATAAACTGTAAGAGTGAAGAATGAATATTGTCTCTGTTATTCCCAGTAAACAAGCGTTTAAATACAAAGAGAATAAACTGAATTCCTTAGCAGTAGGAATCAGTAACAAACTAATCCTATCATACCAACTCAATCTCAACATAATCAAAAACAAATAATACAAAGTCAAAGATATGGGAAGAGGTACAGATATACTGCTAATAGTAGTAATTCATATTTTAATAATTATAATTATAATATAATAAAATTTTAATACATAATTACATTAATTTCAAATAATTAAATAAAATAAGGTACATAAAAAATATTAATAAATATAATATACAAATATTTACTTCAAAAAATTTGATTAATTTAATTCAAATTAAACATTAAATACAAATTTAATTTAATTCTTATACCATGTTCTTACCATATTTAATATATATTATAATTTTTATTTTATTTTTAGCCAATTAAATCTATATTTAAAATTAAACATCAATACTAAATTATATTAAAATTTTGAATTATATTTTTACCATATTTAATAAATACCATACTAATATAATTTTTTTATTTTTTTAATGAATTTTTCTTACTCTTTTAGCTAATAGAATTTAGATTTAAAATATGATAATTATTTGATTTAAATAGGAAATGTAGAACCAATTTAGAATGACACTTGAATATAGTTGTACACATGTTTGGTGGTGTTTTTAATTGGCACAATTAGAATTAGAAGGTACCAAAAATAAATTATGAGAATGAAATTTCTATTCAAAAATTATTTATTTAAAAATTAAAGAATTTGCATACCATTAAGCCCTAGAATCCTTACACTTTTGTCAAATAACATGGCAGGTAAAACCTGCACCCTATATATGTGGTTAGACATTTACAGTCTCTGAGCCCATAAAGAAATAAGAAAAGGATTGCTGTCATGTTAGGAAAATTTGGAAATTAACTGCAAACAGAAACATTACAGCTTAATGACACCAACAACATAATGATCATAAACTCATTAACACACTCAAAAACAGTACAAACACTCTGTAACACGTCCATGGAGAATGGCTACTTTCACCACCCGCAAAGTTGCTTCCCGCAGCTGAAAAAGAAAGAAAAAATAATACTTAATCCAGAAGCTCGCTAATAATACTTAGGAAACAGGGGAAATGAAATGGAAATTCTAATTACCGCATTCTCTAGTAGAATTAGTAGAAACAGAGCAAAGACAGAGCTTCCCCCCTGTTTCAGTGTCAAATCCACAGGTACCGCCGGACTTCGAGCACCGGTCACACCCAGTATCAGGAACACTAAAAGACAGTTTGATCCCATACACCCAATCCGAAGGTACAATGCCCTTCAAGTTATCAGTGTTAATCACAGTAGTATAATGGGTGCAGTCCAAAATATTCATGCTCATAAACTTCATTGTATCATAACCAGTAAAACAACAAGGCGGAGTACTGTTAGTAAGAAAAGGGAAGACCCTGAAAGCATTGCAGGATCCATAAAGCTCATCACAAGAGTGACCGGAGAAGTTGAAGCAAAGGTTCTTGTAGTGGTTAAGAACTGGAGAGTCAATAGAACAATTGAGCAGAGCAAAAACAGTGTCTGGAGATGGAGGGATTATGGAAGATTGTATATCTGTCATTACAAAATCATGATGAGGTTGAAGAATGGAGCATGTAGACATGGCAGGATCGTATATTACTATTGTTTTCTTGTCATAGTCGATCCGTTGGACTTTGTAGCTACCTGAAGGGGTTATAAAGAACAAGTAAGTACTGTTACAGCTAAACATGCCGCGAAACTGCGGCGCTCCGCAACCGTCGTCAATGCCGAAAGGGTAGTGGATGTCAATGCTGCCACAGGAGGTTCTGCAGGTAGTGAGAACGGGGGTTTGTAGTGCTTCAAGAGTTGAAGCTCTGAAAATGAGAGTGAAGATGGAGAGTGTTGTTACTAGCAGAGAATGCATTTCTTCTACTAATTAACAGTAATCTAAAATTATTTGATATGTGCAGGAGTAGTTAAGGCGAGACAGAGGAGTTGAGTCTCGGAGAAATTTTTTTTTTTTTTTTTTTAATCAAGAATGTTGTAATGTAGACTGTTGGGTCTGATGATGCTTCAGCGAGATTTACTCCAAGAGTGGAGTTGGGAAGACTTTTTGACCGTTGAGACAGGCTGGTTGTGGGATCCACAGGTTGAAATTGGAAGAGAAGTTGCTTGCTACTTTTCAAACATCGGTGGCCCAGCGGCTAAAGCCTGCCTGTAAAGCTGTAATGGCATATGTGACCGAGATATTCAGCTCAAACCAAAAACAAAAAGAAGGCTGTCTCCAATCCTTTCTTCCTGCCACTTAGCTCGTGGGCTTTCTGCTTTCTAAGAATTAAAAGGGTATGTCTTTTAACTTTAATTAGAAAATGGTGAAACTAGTGAAAAGGGTGACAATAACTAAAAACTTATGATTAATTTAATAAGACTGTAGAACACAAATACTGGTCGAGGGGATGTAGCTCAAACGGTAGAGCGCTCGCTTTGCATGCGAGAGGTACGGGGTTCGATACCCCGCATCTCCAGTATCAGAATTTATTTTTCCCGCTCAATCAGTTTCGCATTCCTTTCCCTCCTTTTCGTTCCCCAACTTGTCAAGATTTAGATTAGGGTTTTGCAACTAAACCCAGCGGAGTGGCTATCAAACCAACCAATGGAGGTCGCCCAAATTGCTCGGCTGCTGAACGACACGATCAGTCCCGATGTCAACGTCGTTCGTGCGGCGACAGAAGCTCTCGATCGCCTCTCTCTCCTCCCTCACTTCCCTTTCTCCATCCTCTCCATTGCCGCTGGTAGTATAATCTCTGAATTTTAACTATTTTCATGGCGCCCCTTCTCTTAAGAATTAAATCTGCTGTTAACTAAGCTTAGTACCTTTGCATAAACTGCAATTTTAGTGAAATTTTATTTTTTTTCGTTTTTCTGTTCACAGTGAACTTTGATCTTCAAGTTCATTATACTGTTCCTTTATTTGAAGAAATACTAAGTGTTCTTTAACCAGATTGTATATATTATTTTCTTTGTGGTATAAAAGTATTACCATAATTGTTTCTGTGGTGCTTGCATGAGAAATGGTAAGAAATGAAAATAACATTTGTGAAGGACATTTGGAAAGTCACTGAATTTTGCTCATTGAGCAGGATTTTATGTTTCTCTCTTGCTGAGTTTTTTAATCAATTTATCTGCTATTGCGAAGGAGGTGAAAATCAAGGTCAAAGAGTTGCTGCTGCTACATACCTTAAGAACTTTACTAGGCGAAATATTAATGGTGACAGTCCAAATTCAAAAGTCAGTAAGGAGTTCAAGGATCATCTGCTGCGAACTTTACTTATAGTGGAACCTGCAGTTCTAAAAGCATTGGTTGAAGTGGTACTCAATAAATTTGGAAGTTTATCTTTTATTTGGAGCTCTTATCTAGCTCATCCAATCAGTTCTTTTGTTGCTGTTAGTTATTTATAGAAGCATACTTTTTGATTGCAGTTTCGGATCATTGTTGTTACTGAGTTTGTTGAGCAGAATTGTTGGCCTGAACTTGTGCCTGATCTGCGGTCTGCTATTTGGAATAGCAATCTTATCAACAATGGTGCAAATTGTGATTGGCATACCATTAATGCCCTTACAGTTCTTCATGCCCTTATCAGACCTTTCCAGGTACATAATATCTTCCTTCCAAAAGGATTGGTATGTGCTAAACAAAGTGGCTTTTGTGTCAGTAACACATATTTGTAATTTAATGATTAATTTTATGCTTAATTTAAATTTATTGCCTGGCAGTACTTTCTAAATCCTAAAGTTGCTAAGGAGCCAGTGCCACATCAGCTAGAGCTAATTGCAAAAGAAAATCTTGTACCTGTTTTATCTGTATTTCATCAATTCCTCGAAAAGGTTATGTTCTTCCTTATTCTTTATTCACATATTTTCAGTCTCCAGTTACCCATTTTCTTATAAGCTTCTGTAGTGAATGAATTTATGGTGCATGTAGCAGGCTTTTTATTCTCATTGTAAGATAAAACTTGAGGAGGAGAAGATGCTTCTCATGATATGCAAATGCATATATTTCACTGTAAGTTAATCTTTTTGCTGACTGTAAATTCAGTGGAGTTGATATTTATACATCTTTTAAACACCATTCTAATTTGTACCTAGATAATTCCACTTCTTGTTTGTCTCAATATCCACAAATGATTTGTTGTTGAAACCAATCAGGTGTGATGCATCTCTTTTTTGTTAAGTTTCTAGGCTAACTAATAGCTGGTTACTAAATATGCATAACTTTTTTTCATTAAAAGTGCTTTCAAATCTTTGCTACTAAACTCCATTACAATGGCCTATGATGTTATCTTGCATATTTAATTGTGTTTTTTCCCACTGCATTTCCATGTAGGTGAGGTCACATATGCCATCTGCATTGATTCCTTCTTTACCTTCAATCTGCCGGGATTTGATTGGGCTTCTTGATTCTTTGAATTTTGATCGTGTTAATGGGGAAGATGGGCACTTGCTGAGATTGAAGACAGGAAAGAGAAGCTTGCTTGTATTTTGTGCCCTAGTTACCCGACACCGGAAATATTCTGACAAGTAATAGAGTACATTCTTTTTAATTTTATTTGGTTGTAAAGCATTCGTGGATGCTGTTTACATTGGTTTCTTTTTCCAGGTCCATGCCAGACATCATAAAATGTGTTCTGAAGATTGTAAAATACAGCTCGAATATCAGCGTAATTTTTTCCTTTACCTTTTTCACATTTTCTAATAATAACTTGGCAGTCAATATCCATATATAGTTCCAAATATTCATGCAATTTCCAAAAATGCTTAGCTTTCAGAATTTATGCATAATCAAACTTCATTTGAGCTTTTTGATATAACTACCTGCAGACTTGCATGAGCATAAATACAGTTGTACATCTAGAAGTTTGCTGGATTGAAATAAATTTTTTTTTTCAACTCTCAGCTTGGGTTTTAGTTGCTTAATTGTTTGCCTTCCTGTTTGATAGTACTTGCTTGATCATATTAGAACTTGAAAGTTATGACCTTCATGTGCAGAAGCTAGATTTCCTGTCAGAGAGTATTATTTCATTAGCTTTTGATGTAATTTCCCATGTTCTGGAGACAGGCCCGGTAATTTCATCTATAATCTTTTCATTTTCACAACCAATGTTAAGAGTTTCTTTGTCTAAGACTCAGTTCAATTGGAACAGGGATGGAGATTGGTTTCACCCCATTTTTCATTTTTGTTGGATTCTGCAATTTTCCCAGCATTAATCCTGAATGAGAAGGTATGATTTCTGAAATAAAACTTCTGGAAAAGTTCTTTTAAGACAATTAGTTGACCTACACCTTGTTCTTTTTCATTGTGGTGGTTACAAGTAGGATATCTCAGAGTGGGAAGAAGATACGGAAGAGTATATACGAAAAAATCTTCCATCTGAACTGGTATGGCAATTAATTATTTTCGTATTGCTCTATTCACCATTTTGATTTTTACAATATCAATATTATCAATATTCATGCATATGCAGGAAGAAATTTCTGGATGGAGGGAGGATCTTTTCACAGCCAGAAAAAGTGCAATAAATTTACTTGGTGTTATATCAATGTCAAAGGTTGGTACTTAAGTGCCCTTGATATAATAATACCGTGGACTGTATTTTTCAGTGGAATTATTGTTTACATTTGTCTTTTGATGCCTACAGGGCCCATATATGGCATCCTCTCGCAATGGTCGTGCTGCATCTACTAAGCGTAAGAAGGGTGAAAAGAACAAGAGAGACAATCAGCAGTCTTCTATAGGGGAGTTGTTGGTTCTTCCGTTTCTGTCTAAATTTCCAATTCCTTCTGATGCATCCAATGCAAGAATTTTAAATGAGTAAGTTGATGAAAATTTCTCAAAGTTGTAATTTCCTGTTGTCATATTTGAAGGTTCCTTGTAGTGGTAAATTCTGTTGGAAATACTACACCCTGGAATAAATGAACAGAAATGGGCCAAAATAAAATGCGGCATTTAGAAACCAAAGATCTTGAAAATAATTGCGATGTGGGTCAATGATCAAATATTAACTATTAACCATCTGAATTCTCAACCTTGAAATGCCAATGTAATACCATTCTCTTATTTTTGTTTAGATTTGTTGAGTCTTTATGCTCACACATTCTCTCGTTTTGATTGTGCATTAAACATAACAGTTATTTTGGGGTTCTAATGGCATATGGAGGCCTGCAAGATGTAAGGAAATTCTGTGCCGTTTACTGTCATTAGTGAAATTGTTGTTTAGTGAGAACCTCCAGTTAAGTTTTTCTAGCACTGCTACTTGATAACAGTTTCTAAAGGAGCAAAAACCTGGACACATATCTGTTCTGGTTCGCACTCGACTGCTACCACTATATACAGTGTCAGTAACTCCTCACTTGGTTGCTGCTGCAAATTGGGTTCTTGGGGAGCTAGCTTCCTGTCTTCCGCAAGTGAGACTGTTTTGAACTCATGCCATTCCTTTGCTAACACAAAAGAGTTACCTGAGCTTTTGTTTGCTATCTCGTTTATGCTAACATTTCTGCTGATACTGCAATAAATGTTGTTTAGTTTCTAGTGCAACACTCTTACAATCTTCGGCACGGTTTTCAGGAGATGAGTGCAGATATATATTCCTCATTGCTCAAGGCACTAGCGATGCCAGATAACGAGGATACCTCTTGTCATCCTGTGCGAGTTACTGCAGCTGGGGCAATTGTAGAGCTTCTTGATGTAGGTGTCTAGATAACCCTTTTGATCGTGCAATGTGGATTGATGTTGTGTTTCTATCCTTATTTCCCTTTGCATCTGTTTTCAGAATGAATATCCACCACCTGAGTGGTTACCGCTTCTTCAAATTGTGATTAGTAGGATAAATATTGAAGAGGAAGAGACTTCGGTTTTGTTTCAGCTTCTAAGTTCTGTGGTAGAGGTCAGCGATGAAAATATGGCAGATCATATCCCATACATGGTTTCATTAATAGTGGGAGCACTGTTGAAATATATGCATCCTAGCCTGGAGTCTTGGCCTCAAGTATGTGTTGCTTGTCATTCAATTTTGGCATATTTTCGTTTCATCCAGATGTAGAGTAAATGGAGCCTTTTATTGTGTTTTTATGTAAGTGGTTCTGTTTATTAACTCAGATTGTACATTGTAGGTGGTTGAGAGGGGCTTTTCATCATTAGCTGTAATGGCTCAATCTTGGCAGAACTTCTTGCCTGAAGAGATTGAGGAAATTGAATCAAGTGAAAAGTGGGCATCTGGCCAAGCTACCATTGGCAAAGCTTTGTCAGCACTGTTGCATCAAACTTGGCTTACACCCATGCATCCAACAGTTAGTCCACTAACTCAACTCATGAATGCGCACATATACACAGAGTGCTGTTTGATTCAATTTTTGCTCAGGTTTTCTAGATATCTCATATTTAGACAGATTATTAGGACATGTAAGATGGGAATTATTGGTTTGTTTATTACTACAGTAATACACTCTGAATCTATTTTTCTAGTGCAAATTTCCCTTTAAAATTTTTCTTGTTTATTTTTACTTCTGAAATTTCCCCTCTGGATCATTTTTGAAGTAGGTTCACATTTCTCTCCATTGAACTTATAAAAAATGTTCAATTTTTTTTCTTAATATATAATTTACTTTTACTTGCAATCTGATAAGGATCAAGGTCAAGTTTCTCCTACTCCGACGTGCATGGATGATTCTTCAACACTGCTGCGATCCATTATACTATCTGTTACTGGAAGTGATGTAATTCCACAGCTTAAGCTATCAGAGTTGTTATTAGTTTGGGCCGATCTGATTGCCGACTGGCATGCATGGGAAGAATCTGAAGATTTGTCTGTCTTTGACTGCATTAAGGAAGCAGTTAACCTAGACAGAAAGTACGGACTGGAGAATTTTATAATCAGAAAGATGCCCTCACCTCCTGCACCGCCTGTGCCACAACGAGCAATCATTGAAGGCATTAGTGCTTTTGTCAGCGAGGCTGTTTTACAATATCCATCTGCGACATGGAGGGCATGCTCATGCGTCCATGTGTTACTGCATGTCCCATGTTACTCAACTGAAACTGAAGGTGTGAAGCAGTCATTGGCAATTGCTTTTAGCCAGGCTGCATTTTCTCATTTCAAAGAAATTCAAAGCAAGCCTTGTTCACTTTGGATGCCTTTGTTGCTTGTTATATCATCATGCTATTTATGTTATCCTGATACCGTGGAAGGGATTTTAGAGAAGGATGTGAATGGAGGCTTCACAATTTGGGCATCTGCACTTGCTTTTACCTGTACTGCCTCTTTTGAACCTGGTGTGGGTGCAAAGTCGGAGATAAAATTAACAGGTGGTTGCATCATCCTTGTTTCCTAAAAAACTTAATGAAAGTTCTTTTCCAATTCTACACTCTTATAGATAATATTGAATCCCAATCTTTTATATTTGATTAATTAAAGATGGATCCCCTCTTGTGAATGGTGAGCATACCTAGTGATTCAGAATTTTCTTCAAAGAGTTTTGGTGGATATGGTTTTGGTCATATTTATCTGATGATAATATTTAATGACCTGTAATTTTCCACCTGACTGGAGTTAAATTTAAGGGTTCGGCATTTAAACCTAGAAATTTGTCTAAAGAATTTTCTTTTGTGCTGTTTTGACGTTCTCACGTACTTTTCCTTGTTTAACACTAATAGAAACTGAGGCTTGCATGCTGCAGCTTATTACCAAATTTTCATCCCAAACTGCTAAATATTTGTTTATTCTCACTTCTCAGTATTAACGCTGGCCAAGATAGTTGAGCGGCTTTTCGGCCAAGATCATTTAGGCAGCAGTCTGTTAAGAGACTGCTTTAATGCATTGATGGAAGCATCGGTACGGCTGAAAGAATTGCAGGAAGATGCAGATGATGAAGATGATAATGTAGAAGCTGAAGATGATGATGGAGAAGATGATGATGACGACTATGATGATGAGGTTTGATTTCCGTAATATCTTTTAAACATCTACTCTTTAAGAAATACCATAAGGTGTTTGCTCAGCGACTCCATCCATTGTAAGGTGAAATTTTACCTTTGTTTCTAGCTAAAGAGGATTCTAGCTTTGATTACAACTTAGTCTATGTCCAAAGCTTAAATTTTAATGATTAACTAATGCTAAGGAATAGGAATTTTCGAGGGATTAGGCTCTGTCATTCAAATACAATTCATATAATTTCTTGCATTCGTTGTCTAACCATGCGCTTTTCATTAGGATTCTGAGGAGGATGAACGTGAAGAAACTGAAGAAGAATTTCTAGAAAGATATGCAGAAGCAGCAAAAGCTTTGGAAAATGGCATGGTTGTTGAAGAGGGGGATGTGGAAGATCAAGAGCATGATATTGAATTGGGTAAGACTGTTTATGGATTGTTCTCTCACTCGTATACAACGTCATGACTTGTTGCCATTCTCGTCAAAAGTCATTTGGAGGCAATTTGGTGGTTAGAGAGCAAATCTACATTAGCTAAGCTCTAAAACCATGTGGATGAATTTGTGTCTGAGAGCCTGATGTTTCTTTCTTTGCAATTTTTTTCTGACACTAATCTATTCACTCTTGTCATGTGCAGGTACTTTGGAAGAAGTGGACGAGAAGAGAGTTATATGTTCGTTGATAGAGAGATTCAATCATTATTTTATACGAGGGCAGGGATTCTCGCCGCAGGTCATCTCAAGTTTCGTCTCTGCCTTTCCTGAGTGTAATCGTTTCTTCCAACAATAGAGACGCTTCTTTATAAGATCTAAACTGGTGAAGGAAGAAGAATTTATGCAACTTCAAGCATTTTAAATTTTGCCAAAATTTTAGTTAGTCTTGGTGTGTTTAAATAATAATAATAATTATTATTATTATTATTATTTGTATATGATTAACAGTATTTTTTTAAAAAAATTAATCATATTTAATTGGCATGTCACAAGTATGCTGTAAATTATAAAACAAAACGATTTCCAACTATTCCAAGTCCAATTGTGGTCACGTACAATTTCATCAAAGTTATTTATTGAAAATTAGGGCCGTTAATAACACCTCTACTATCCCAACTCATGGTCATGGACGTAATTTTATTTTATTTTTAATAAAAAAATCATGGTAGAAAGGGAGTATCGAGATCGTATGTTCTCATCAAAATTACAGAGAAGAAAACAAATAAAAATAACTTCTCTGCACTATTACCTATTCTACCCCTGGCCTCCTGCTGAGTGCTCATATATTGCGCATCCGTTATCCACCTTGAGTTGTTACACTTGCTTTACAGATAATCTCTCTGTTTAAAAGACAACAAAAGATAACAATTAGCCAATATCTATACAAAGTTGGTAATTTATTGCAATTTGAAGGACAGATTTAGGCAAAGATAGCATAGAAAACAATTGACAATCCTTATTTCGAACATACTTATCAGTTCGTAGGTAACAATCATTGTAGTCCCGTACAGAGACATATTTAAGAAGCGAGGTCCAAACCCTCTGTAGAAACCCCACCATCCATCTTCTTTGAGGAGTGTCTTTGCTGTCTTGAGCACTGAAGGCCTTCCAACTCCATAATTATCCATAACCTTTCAGACATTTTCATTATTCTCATTAATTAATGACACACCAAATACAATTTCTTCAACAAGTTAATAAACTACATAAAGCACATAACTTTTCCTTCTCACAGCTCTCAAAATACTAGTAAAAATGCACTCTGCTTACCTGTAATCGAGTCTTTACAGTATCCAAAGGAGTAGTAATAACTGAGGAACATGCACCAGCCACCATTCCTGATGTAGCCTGAACCATCACCATTTCCATATGAGAAGGTTTCTCATCCATGTCATCTCTGTAACCCAAGCTCCTAGAACACAAAGCATAGTGTAACATAATTTAACATTTGGATCATAATTAAGTCCTTAATCCTTATGGTAATGTGGATAAATGGAACGATTAGAAAGACCTCCAAATAATGTGTTGGGCAGCACCATACACACCCCACCAAAGAGCAGATGCAGGGGACTGTGATATAGCTGTTAATCCAAAACCTCTGTACAAACCACGGAACCCTTCAGTCTTCAGCACTTTTCGCACCGCGTCAAATGGTCCATTACAGAATGTAGTCCCAGGAAGCCCTTGCACCATTAGTCTTTGGCATATCTGAGGATTCATTTCAGGCACAAAATTGCTTGTTCATATATATAGCTCAAGCAAGTATAGGAAAGAAGTAATTTTTATGCTAGAAAGTGCATACCACATCCAAGGGTACAAAGTATACACAAGAAACTAGATTTGACAACATTCCTGCCACTCCATTTGCTATGCCAAGACGAGTTGCTTCAGGCATATCTAGCCTTTGTGTATATTTCAACATCATATCTTTTGACATTTCAAGTGATGTCAAAGTAAGCACTCTACCAGGTATTGACCCAATGGCAGAAGTGCCAAAACCTCTAAAAAGACCTGCAATTCCATCATTCTTTACAATATGTCTAAACACAGATATTCCTTTCATGCGATAGAATCCAGAATCAGCCACTTGCATTCTGGTCTTCACAACTGCAGTTGGATGAAGCAACCCTTGCTGAGCGGTAAATAGTATAGCCCCAATTATGTGAAACCTTGTCTTGTCCAACCTGAATCAACCCCATTTAAATTAAAGTTAAAAACCAGACCAATTCAAAAGCTCGTATATGTAAAAGAACCCCATTTGTACATCAAACAAAAACGATGAATTCAAGACATAATACTACAACAGGAACCTGGCCCATTTGATATCGGTATCAGCAAGGGCCAATTCTGGAGTTCCGACCTCAGTTTCCACAGCCATAAATTAATAAATTCTCTCAAGCTACAGTCTTGAAATCAATGTCACTATATCAAAGAGATGCTTAGCTCCAGAATGCTAGAAGAAGGTGGCAACTGGTACTGCCTTTGTTGCCTCGGCCGGGAAAGTGAAAAGTGTTGGTGGGGTCTATGATCTACTATGAGGAAAGAAAAGAACAATTTAGAAACTTCAGCAACTGTTTCAAAGAAGGGATTTGTTTCCCTCGCACGCCGGCTCTCCCAACCGACTGAGACTTTCTTGTTGGGCTTCTGCATAAATTTTAAGACCAGCGTTTTTCTTTGCACCAGAAATGGTATCGGCCCACTCCATTCCCACCCAGTGAGCACCATCCGGTTTTAACTTTTAACCAAAAAAAAAAACTTCCAAAAATTTAATTCGATTAATTCAAAAAGTACTTACCTAGACCGGTTTATACTCCAAGAATGGATCAAATTATAAAAATATAAATTTTTTAAAAATTGTTCATAATTTTTTTTTTTCAATATATAGTAAAAAATACTCTCATTTGAATAAAAATTTTCATTTTTATTAATTTGGTATTTGTTATTGTAAGCTTTTCAAATTTCAGTTTTAAAAACAAAAAGTTGTATTACAAAACTACATAACTATCTAAATGCTCTTTTTTCTTTTATAAAATAACTATCTAAATGCTCTTTTTCTGTCATGCAAACGTTATAATTCACACAAAATGTGGGTTTACGACTAATTAATATCATAATAAATAAAACACATTATTTCAAAAGAGAAATCAATTCTATTCATAGAATAAATAAATAAATAACAAAAGAGAAGCAAATACCCTAACAATGGCTAAACACAATTCTCGTAGCAACGACTCATCTTCCCAAAAGAAAGAACAAAACCCCTTTTTTAAGCTTAACATGTCTTCCCTCTTTCCCTCTCCCTTATATTTCTCACTCTCATTAACCTTAGGCGCCTCTCATCCCCGTATGAATCGCCTGCAAACAAAAAATTTTAATATTATTTATTAGACAATAGTATATAGTAGAAAAAGAAAATCTCTCTCTGGTCTCCCTCCTTCCATGTAAACTTGATTGGTGGGTATGGCACTTAATTAAATATGTTACAGTAGCTAACATCAAACCCAGGTTTGTGACAACAGAAATCTCCAAATCTTGGACGGAAAATCAAGAAATGGAGCATCAACGCTTAAGGCAGCTCATAGTACTCTGGTCCAAAATACAAACTGCCCGTTTGATCCTTGTAGGTGGAAATCACACTGTCGCTAGATTCTGTACACGCTAATTCCTCTTCTTGCATTTTCTTTCTTTCACCCTGCAAAAAAACATATAACTCTTTCTTTTAATACATATTAGAAACAAGGAAGTGATTCTATTTGCATAAACATGGCAATTCAACTTCAAAGGGAGTTCCAATCTTCAATTAAAATGAATGCCTTGCCTTCGCATTGCTCTAATGGCCTTGGTTTACATGGCGATGCATGCTTGAACATCAAGCTTTTGAAGTCTTTCTCTCGATCAATTAATGTTGTTTTGGTTTTGATTCTTGTTTCATCTCCAATGTTTGGAAACAATTTTGGTGCTCATTCTCCGTTTTTCTCTCCAACAAGAGTTATTGAGCCTAATTCACTACGTCTGGATTTCTCTCCTTTACTCTACCGTGATTTATCAAATGAAGGCCTTATTAAAACGGGTGATAAAGCTGTATTTATAAGCAGTGATAACGATGAAGAAGATGAAACCATTTATAGTTTTCAGATTCTAAATGACAATTATGATATAGATTTTATCTCTATTTCTGAATTAGCTCAGAAAACCACAATTTCTGATGAATCTTTGGACTTTGCTATTACCTATAGCTTCAATGCTGTCCAAGAATCTCAAGAACTCATTGATCGAGCCCTCAAAATAGGCGGTATAGCAGTTATTCGACTAAGCGATCGTGATCTCTCATTTGTATATAAACCACATAATTACCGAACAGTTTATTTCAGGAGGTTTAGGTCAACCATCGTTATAGCCATGAGGAAAACAGCAATGCCTAGTCATAATAATGTTATAGATTTCAGCTCACAAAGAAAACTCTTTGCATATACAAGCGAAGCAAGAAAGGCAGCACTTAATAACCTAGAAGACGTACTCTTAGAACCGCCGCGAGCAGCTTCAGGTAAGTCGAGAAGATACTTAAAGAAAACAAGGTTTTTACCAGACTTAATGGGTGATTCGCTAGAGGGATATCCACGGCGTGTATATATCGATGTAGGGTTGCCGGAGAAGGAAGGAGGAAGTGGCACTGGATGGTTTATAAAGAATTATCCGACAAGAAATCTTGATTTTGAGATGTATAAAATTGAGACTTTCACGGAGTCTTGGTCAGGGAAGGAGGTGCCTCAAGTGGTAGATATAGGGATTTCTGGCTGGTTAAGGAAGAATGTGAAGGAAGAAGAATATGTGGTTATGAAGGCAGAGGCGGAAGTGGTAGAAGAAATGATGGAGAGTAAAGCAATAAGGTTAGTTGATGAATTATTTATGGAATGTAAGCTAAGAGGACATGGAGCTAAAGGGAATAATAATGCAGGTAGAAGGGCTTACTGGGAATGTCTGGCTTTGTATGGAAGGTTAAGAGACGAAGGTATTGCAGTGCATCAATGGTGGGGTTGAGACAGCCAAAATCTCTCTTCTTTTTTAAACTTTCATATGCAATAATTTGAATTTATTTATTATTAATTCTTTTCTTTTTGTGTAAAGGATTTTATTGTTTGTAAAATTATAAATATTTTATAGACTAGCTGAAATGGAATTATTCTCCAATTTGTTGCACAAAATCTTTAATTCTATAAATATATCAAAACTTTCTATTTTTACACTACAAAATTTTGTCGATGTTGCTATATCGAGATATATATATATATATATATATCGTACATAACTTAGGTTTGACATTCTCTATGATCTAAGAGAGATTAATATCTCTTGATACCTTTTATTAATTCTAAGAAATTTGTTTATGATATTCTAACAAAAATTCATAGAAGTAAGAAATTCATTATAAATTATTAAATTATAGTTAGAATTAGAGAAATTTAGAGTATAAAACTAATTAAGCAGATTTTCGTTATTTAATAATTTTTATGGTAAATGAAAAATACTAATTGTAATTTTTACATTTCCATAGAAAATCTTTAATATTAAAAATAAAAAAGTTTGAGAGTATAATTTGAAAACAAAATATAATAAATCTAATAAGTTTAAGATTATTTTACCATTTTTTTGAGAGATTTTTACCATATATTTAAAATAATTTTCATGTACTAATGAAATAGATTTTATATTAGTAAAAATAGAACTTTTGAACAAAGAAATGTAATTTTATTCCGAAAAAATAATTTTTTTAAGAAAAAAATTAATTAAATTAGAGGTTAGAGGTTCAACAAATGAAAACATAATAAATAGTAGGCCATGATAGGTGTGTCCAATGAAGGCCTTCTTCAAATATGATTGGACAGTTACAGCAATCCATGGTACCCTTGTGTCAGTTTATATTCTCTATATCTGTTTTATAATCCGAAGTTAACACGACAGCGTTTTAATTTTGTTATCTTTTCACTTTCCCGCGAACCTTCTTTGTGGTAGTTCCGATGTTTATTAAATTCTCATGGGCAATTTCGGCATTTTAAACCATCCATAATATACCCAGAGCCGGAAAAACGTTTCGTATTGGATGCGAATCCTTTTTGCGCTTTCTCTCTACGCCCACCAAAACCGCCTTTCAAGCTTCTTTCTATTTCTCTCTTATGGTTTCTTCCCTTAGGGTTAGGGTTTCTTAGTCGTGTCTGCTTTGAAATTTCTGCTAAACAAATGTTGCTGATAGTTTTTTATTCTCTTTTTAAATTTTTTAATATTTCCTTGGAAGAACTTTCTAGGCCAAGCATGGCTTGATTCTGCTCTTCTCTGGTAATCCTTTTTGCATAACCTTTGCGTGTTTGCTCTTTTATTCATTGCTCCCTTTAGGGTTTCTGTTGTTGCTGTTGATTGGATTGAAGTATGCTTTCTTGTCTTGTTATTTTATCCCTTGCAACGATGTGTTTCAGAGTTGAAGATTATTGACTTCAGAATTTCTGTCTGTACTTCTTGGATATTTGGTGTGATTAAGCTACGATGAATGAATGTATTCCATATCGAATTGGGTAGTGTTTTTTTTGTTTCTTTTTTTATTATTTTTATTTTTATTTTTTTTATGGTGTTGACCGGAGATTCGTATACGATTAGTCTGCTACTAATTTTTAATAATGTTGAATGATGCCCTGTACAGGTTTTGGGCTGTTGTATGAGCATTTTATGCCTTGAAAATTTTCATTTAGCTATTGTATGAGATGGTTTGATGGTAAAGCTTGGTCTGGTTGTGGCTCGCATCCGTTGTGCATATATAAATTTATTAAATATTGATTAAACTCTTCTTAGTTGAGTGAATTAGACCACTGCACCTTTACTTTTGTGGTTGTTTTGTGAACTTTGAATGTTTTTGGTGATTGGCGTTTTCCTTTGCGTAGTTAAGCTTTGAAGTTCGTTTATTTAACATTGTACGCAGATTAATTTGTCCCGTTCCATCTATTTAAAATAGAGTATTGGCTTCCTTCTTTTATCATATGTTGCCATCCATTATCGAGTTTCAATTGAATGATGATCTATACATGTGTGCTTAATTTTTGTACATCTACTTCTCCAGGGGTGGCAGTTCTGGAATGGAAATGTATAATGTTTCTGGACATGGAAATGCAGAAAACTATTTGGTACTTGCAACTAACAGCCTATTTTCACCTGTTTCTGTGTTCCAGTGAGACTCAATACATTTATTTGAATGGTGTCATGAAGATTTACTGGTTTCCTTTCTTCTGCTTAATAATGTTATATTGTGTTTTGCCTCTTAGATTCAAGGTGCTGAGATAAACCCTTTTTTGACAAATCCACTTCTTGAGCAAGTTGAAGTGATGTACAACGAAGGAGCCCCTGAGTTTTTTGTGGATCAGGGTTTGTACTATCCTACTGCCACCAATTACGGATACTACTGTACAGGTAATGTGCAAGTTCTTTTTGAATCTGTTTGGGTGATTATGTATCCTTTTTTTCATTTGTGCTCTATTGATTGAATGTGATCAGGATTTGAATCACCCGGTGAATGGGAGGACCACCATAGGATTTTTGGTGCTGATGGTCCTGAAATCCAGTATGCGGTGGGTGAACTCTCTCTCTCTCTCTCTCTCTCTCTCTCTCTCTCTATCTATCTATCTATTTTTTGTTTAGTTTAATTGTATCTGTTACATATGTATTTTGGCTGATTATCTGCTCTTCTCTTGGTTCTTTTGCTTGCTCAGGGTGCACAAACTGAAAGTTTACCTTATGTATATTATACACCTAGCTATGGATATGCACAGTCTCCTTATAACCCATACAATCCTTACATACCTGGTGCTATGATAGGTGTTGATGGCTCATATGTAGGAGCACAACAGTACTATGCCATCCCCCCTTATCAGGATCCTTTATCGTCACCTGGTTATGTACCTGTCATTGTTCAATCAGATTCCATCCCAAACAATTTGACAGACCTCTTGTTAGATACTGGTGTAACATTTGTCAATAGACCTGATGGAAGAAGTTCGAAACATGGTCTTGCTTCATCATCTGCAGTCTTCCCCAAAAACCATGCAAAACCTACTTCAAATCAGACTAATTCCGTCTCCAAGATATCAGAAGCGCCAAGAGCTAATGTTGGACCTAGTAAACAAGCCTCGACACTTGGAACTGTTTCTTCCGGTGGTTTTCCTACTCCGGCTTCATCACGCATGTTTCAGGTAACATTTCTTTGTTGGTTAAGGATTTTGCCATTTTGACTTTCTCCTTATGTAGAGAACCAAATTTGTTGGGGAGACATGATTTATGAATTCGATTTCCGTAATTCTAATTTACATTTTCTGGAATGGGTTTCCAGCTCAGGTTTTGTTGTATCACCAAGTTTATTTTTTTAACATGGTTTTTTTGGTGGTTTTGATGATGAACTATTTCTGCAGGGTAGAGGTGCTTCTGGATCGCTGCAAGCTGTTGACAACTTTTCTAATGTGAAAGTTCTACCTCCACCTAACCAATTAAAAGTTGCTCTCCCTGTCAATAACGGCTTTTCTGATTTTGGATCAACTACTGCTGGACGGGCTGCGGTGGATAAACTTCGATCTAAGATTCATGTTGGTAGAACTGTCAATGATGTGAATGGATGCCCAGATGCTTTGGGTGAGCAGAATCGTGGACCTAGAACAAACAAATCAAAGAATCAACTGGCTGTTAAAGCTTACACAACGAAAGTGGGAGACAGTAATGCACAAGGAAACATTATTATATACACTGATCGGTACAACAAGGACGATTTCCCAGTTGACTATGTTGATGCTAAATTTTTTGTAATAAAGTCTTATAGTGAGGATGATGTGCACAAGAGCATCAAATATAATGTTTGGTCATCCACACCCCATGGAAACAAGAAGCTGCAGAGTGCCTATGAAGATGCACAAAAAATAGCTGCAGAAAAACATACGCCATGCCCTATATTCCTGTTCTTTTCTGTGAGTTCTATATTTAGATGCTTCCTTTATTTTATATATTTCTTTATTTCCTTAATTAGAAAGCATTCTTATTCCTGACATTTTAATGTACATCCTTTGAACTACCATGATGTGTTCTCTTCTTCATGCAGGTTAATGCAAGTGGTCAATTCTGTGGTGTTGCTGAGATGATTGGCCCAGTTGACTTCCACAACGACATGGAATTTTGGCAGCAAGATAAATGGAGTGGTAGCTTTCCTGTCAAGTGGCAGATCATTAAAGATGTACAAAATTCCAGCTTTAGGCACATTATATTAGAGAATAATGAGAATAAGCCAGTGACAAATAGCAGAGACACTCAAGAGGTATTTTTTAGATTTATTTTCAATATACTGTGTCTTGGTGTTTGTGATTGCCTTTTCAATCTGTTCAAAGTTCTGTCCCTGTGTACCTTATGCAAAAGCAAAGCCTCTTTACCTCTAGTTGGCTGTTAGAAATTCTTTTCCTTGTTCTTCATACAGTGGCTTGTTTTGCTTCGTTGTGTCTAAGAAATGTTTTCCTATGCATAACTAAGATATTCTATGTATTATTATCTGAATGATCTGCACATTCTGTTCCATTGATTATTGCCTAATTTTGTTGTCCTTCAGAATTATGACCTTTATTTAGGCTTCTCTTTAGTTATTTTTTTTCCTAACATCATTTTCATTTCCTGTAGATAATGTACAAACAAGGTCTAGAGATGCTGAAAATATTCAAAAACCATACATCGAAGACTTCATTACTTGATGACTTTATGTACTATGAGAATCGTCAGAGAATCATGCAGGAAGAGAAAGCCAGGGTTATGTTTAAAACCTTTGAGACTCCATTCTTAGTTCCTGCAGTAGATTCTGCCCACAAGTTGGATTGTCTTGTTGAGCAACCTCCTACTAAAGAAGAGAAAACTATTGAGCAAAATGGTTCTAGCAGCATGAAGAAAACAGAGGCTTCTGTCACTGAGCGGGTTTCTTCAAATTCTGGTGTCACTAAGGCAAGTAATGATATTGAAATTCCTGAGCAGACTATTGTCAAATCGGAGGATGATATTGCGTCTGTTCTGAAGATCGGTTCTCTCAGTATTAACCCAAAGCAGGGTGAACCTAAACCCACTTCTGATGTTGTCACGGTGGGTACAATGCCCATCAAAGTGGATGGGTTTGGTGAACCCCCTGGTTTTCTAAGAGTTGGTAGTATCCCACTTGATCCTAGGGTACTAAAGCGCGAAAAAGGTGGCGGATATGCTAAGCATCAGTCTTAATTTTGATAACATGGACGGTTTTCTCATTAATTGGGATCTTGTTTGTTTGGGTATGCTCTATGTTGTAGTTTTTGCAAGGCGGGTCATTGTAAACGTGAGTGTTTGATGATCAATCTAGGTTACAAGAGTCGGTAAATTTGAAATTCTTGTTTTCATAAATTATTGTGATTTCTTCGCAACCCCTGGTCTGCTTTGCTTGATGCAGTTATTTTGATGTACTTGTATTGGGGGTTATGTTTCTTGCTGCCGAAGTCCAAATACAATTGTAATCTTTTTCTTCTTTCAACATTATTATTATTATTATTATTATTATTATTATATAAAAAGATGAAAAGAAATTTGTCAATTCTATATCCAGTTTATCATTTGTCACTTGTGTGTCTCTCAGTTACGCAAGTTTTGTGCAATAAAATAGCCATTAACACATCTGAAAGTGTACTGTAATAATAGTAACCTGTGGTATTGTAATTGAATGTTAATGTTTGACAGCTAATGGTGTATATGCATTTGTCCTTGAATTTTTTAGAAAATATATAATTTAATTTAATCCGTAAAATTATAAAAGTATTTTATCTAATCAAATTTATTATATTTTTAATTTATAAAATTTGATTGACTATTGATTTGTGATGGTCGTGGAGCCGGTGCTGGTGGGACATCACGATATGGTCAAAATTTCGACAAGTAACTGATAAGCGTGAATTACCCTCCACCGTTAACGTCTCTCCCATGTAGCAAAACGCACGCGCCATTTTGACTTATTTTTCTCTTTGTAATTTCAGTTTGTACTTAGCATAGTTCAGCTCTCCTAGGCATCTTGCCTTATGGCCGTTAAGTGAGCTCTACGCGCCGCTCCTCTGAGCTAATAGGTGAAGTCCCCACTCAGGTATTCCAAAACCGCATGCATTTGCTTCTTCTTCCTCGTCTTAGCTGCGTCACTGATATATGGAATTATTTTTGTTCCACTGTTGTTGGTTGCGGTGCTTTGATGCCTCTTCTGTTCAATTTGAATTGTTCAATTTCCTCCTGCACGAGGGGGTTGCTGGATCACCTCCTTTTCAGGGAGAGGAAAAGCTTGTTGGGTATTTTGGTTTGACACTGCTTCCCACCCAAATAACAAGGGACCTACGTATGAGTTAAACTTACTCTATGGTTTTGCATGAGAGTTTTTCTCTCTCATTTTTGTGATCCTGCTTTTTCTTGCATATACTGTCCTTGAAGATCGTTACATTTGCCGCTTTATCAGTCTGAAATGTTATATTTGTTTTTTTCAAGTTTCTGTTTCGTGTTTATTTCTCCGCATTCTCAAATACTTGGTCATATTCTAAGGAGGAAAGGAAAAAATAAAGAAAAAGGTTAATGTTGAATTTCGTTTCCTCTTGACAATTGGTTTCCCCAGGCTTCATGGAGTTTCTTGTTGGTACCCTACAGTTTTGGGCTAGTTCTTTCTTAGTTGGTTGTAGGTTCATGTGCTGCATAAGACTTTTAGGGGAAGAAATTTTTATTTTCAGCAGCACTTTAGGGATCATTTTAACAATTAAATCATGTTCATTTGAACTATTTACCTCACAGGGACAGAGAAACGGCTCAATTTATGCACTTTGGGGTGCACCATCGGCTAACTTGTTTCCATCTTTGAAAGGTGTTCTTTTGAAATGGTATGTACGTTGTATTATTCTTAAGTTCGCCTCAAACTATAGCTACTTCACTTGCACCTACTTTGTTCCCCTTCTCATATCCTATATTATACACAGGATAAAAGAAAGAAATATTTGACTGGTGAGAGTTCATCAAATCCAGATATAAATGAAACAATCGTGCCAAAACCTGAAATCTTGGAGTTTGAGTTACCATCTGATGCTATGTATTCAAGGCAATTAAGGGTACATTTACCTTTCTAGGACCTTTTGAATTCATGAGCAATTATATATTGCCATCATAAAACAATATCTTTCCTTTTTTTTGGTTACTGCTATTCTTGATTTGGTTTAATTTAAAATGCATAAATTCTCTACCCTAATTAACTTACTTTTCTTGCAAAAAGAATTGAACAATTTGCATATTTTCTATTTAATTAATGTCTACTCATTATCAATATACCTGTTATGGAAAATATTTCCTTTGTTTTTTTGTTGTAACTTAGCTTGAAAAATTGGTACAATTTTATGTGTATGCATATAATTATAATTGATGTAAACACCCTTTTACCTTTTCTCCTCGAATTTTTCAGGACAATATTGCAAGTTCATCTGGAAGCAATTTAAGATCATTTTTTTCTGGAATGGGATTCTCACCGTCTCTTGTTGACAAAGTAATTGAAGAAAATGGTATGTAATGCATGAATAATTCTTTTTTTATCTGATCTTAAATTGAGTATGGATGGATATGGTGAACAGTGTCGTACATACTGATTTAACAAAAAAAAAAAAAAAAAAAACAAGCAATTTAAGATCAATTTTTTTCCTGGAATGGGGATTCTTCACGGTCTCTTGTTGACAAAGTAAATTGAAAGAAATGGTATGTAAAAATGCATGAATAATTCTTTTTTTATCTGATCTTAATTTGGAGTATGGATGGATATGGTGAACAGTGTCGTACATACCTGATTTAAAACAAAAAAAAAAAAAAAAAAAAAAAAAAACCACAGTCTGTGGATCCAACATTTGGCACCTTAGCTATTACTTATACAATTACATCCAGGGGTCATGTATAGTTGTTATAACATTTTCGTTAATTCCTTAAAGAATTATATGAGATGATTCAAAGGCTTTTTCTGACAATATTGATTGATAATCTTCTCTTACATCTAGGTGAAGACAATGTTGACCTGTTATTAGAGATTCTCACGGAATGTTCTGTAAGTGATCAATAATTTTTTTGCACCATCCCTATCATTCCGTTTCTTTTATTCCCTTTTCCTTTTTTGAGAAAGATTATATATGTTCCTAAATAAGATGAGACTAAAGTTGCTTTTAACTTCATATGAGAAGGTTTTGGCTTCAGAATGACACTTCTTTTTCTTTTGTTTTTATGTGATGGACTTATTTGGAAGTTTTAACTTCTAATACTTGACCTGCTTTGGAATGAAATAGGGTCTTCAAAAATCAAACTCCCAGTCATCAGATTCTCTAGATAGCTTGTTTGATGACAAGGATGCAAGCAATCCTCCAGAATATTCCACATTTGTTGAACCAAAAGAGGTAACAAGCTGGGATCTTATTATGTTTATGCCAAATCACTTGTTTTCCAGTTCTAACTTGAAGATATATGATGAGTATTTGAGGCTAAATCCTCAGGATCTGTCCAAATGTATGGAGGTTCTTCCAGTCTGCTCAATTATTATTGATCAAGTCTTCTGTCAGTACCTCCTCCTCCCAATTTATCTGCAGCTGTAAAAGCGTTTAACCTTGACAATATGATTATTTCCAGCTGGTGCATCTTTTTATTTGGATTTTTTTCCCAATTGTTTGTTGCATCAAGCATAAATTTTTTTGATTTATGGATATATTTTGCACATCAGGAATCATGGTCTGGATAATTGTAAGCTTTTGAAAATTAGTCATTATCTTATTCTAATATCTCTTTTGCTGGATGAGCTATGCTTTAATGGTTGAAATTCCATGCACTTACATTTATCCATGACTTTTTGTTCACACGAAGTTTGGTTTCTTTGCTGTGAACTTGTGGAAAACATTGATTTGAAATTCAGCTGGATGATTGTGTCTCATGGTGATTTCATACCATAGTTTAGTAGGAGATTTAATACTTCATTGGATTTTGTTAAATCTTTGATCTTTTGCAGGAGCCAGATTTATCTGGGATTTATGATGACAAAAGATCATCTTTATTAAAGATGAATTTCTCTGTAGAGGAGGTTGATTTTGCAATGGAAAAGCTCGGTACATAAACGTATATTTTTGGCAGCTTTTTGTGCGTGAATGCCAGAGAACACTTTGACTTTACTCACCCCAATATTAAATTGAACTACTTTTACTTTTTATCATATGTAGAATAAAGAATTCTTTTGTCTATTGAATTCGAAAAACATCTGGATAATTGTAAGCTTTTGAAAATTAGTCATTATCTTATTCTAATATCTCTTTTGCTGGATGAGCTATGCTTTAATGGTTGAAATTCCATGCACTTACATTTATCCATGACTTTTTGTTCACACGAAGTTTGGTTTCTTTGCTGTGAACTTGTGGAAAACATTGATTTGAAATTCAGCTGGATGATTGTGTCTCATGGTGATTTCATACCATAGTTTAGTAGGAGATTTAATACTTCATTGGATTTTGTTAAATCTTTGATCTTTTGCAGGAGCCAGATTTATCTGGGATTTATGATGACAAAAGATCATCTTTATTAAAGATGAATTTCTCTGTAGAGGAGGTTGATTTTGCAATGGAAAAGCTCGGTACATAAACGTATATTTTTGGCAGCTTTTTGTGCGTGAATGCCAGAGAACACTTTGACTTTACTCACCTTATGATCATACCTAACACGTGCTTTTTAAACAACATTTCCGAAGATTGTCTTTACTTATGGTCCCTAGTAAATCTGGTACCTATATTGTCCTTATTCTGAAAGTTTGTTGATTTCGTGCTTTTACATATCAGGTGTACATGCTCCAGTTGATGAAATAGTAGACTTCATTACTGCTGCCCAGGTAGCTGCAAACTTTGACAAGGAAACAGAGGAGAAGCTGGATAATGAACCAGAAATAATAAAGGTGGTCTATATTCCACTGTATCTTAGGATGTTAAGGGTAAAAATGACGCTTTATTAGGGTTGCTGCTAAAGTTGGCAGTTAGCATATGTGTCTTCCTTGTTTGAGATCGAGATGCTTTGGCTTCTGCTGGTTTGCAGACATAATTTACTACTTTAAAGATAGTAGTTTCTGGTACTGTGAAGTACATATACATAATTTTAGGTATCTTTTAGCAAAGTAGTTACTGTAATATAGCTTTATTATAGCGTCATAAGAACTTAGGTAACTATTGATTACCTTACATGGTGAAGAAAACCTATGATAGTTTTTGTTGTGACTGCTGGTTGATTGACCTAGAAAGGATTTCTATGTGTAAAAAGTTGTCAAGTTTGCAGTTAATTGCGATGGCTTATGCAGTTATATGATTGTCATTTCATTTGTGCGTGTTATATATTGTATGTGGAATATTAAATATTTGATTGACCATTAATTTCCAGGAAATTAGTAATGAAGCTTTGTTTGGGACTATGGAGAAAACGCTTCGCTTGCTTGAAATGGGTTTCTCCGAGAATGAAATTTCATTAGCAATTGAGAGGTTTGGTAAGTAATTATCATCATGATTTGTTGAGATAGCAATTCTGCTCCACCTGCATGGCAAAGCTTATGATTAGTGAGAGTTATTATTCTTTATTTATTAATTCTGCTCCACCTGCATGTGTGAGTTATTATTCTTTGTTTATTTGTCCTGCAGCTCTTTTAACATTCCTATGACACAGCATAAGCACAATATAATGGTAGTTATCGAGTTCTAGTACTCAATCCTACTAGGAATACAAAATTATTATTTTGTTAGTTAAATAAAACTAAACTGGCAAATTTAATAATAAATGTACATTTTTTTTTTTTGAGGAAAATAAATGTACCTTAAAAAAAGTTAAGAGATATATATTATATACAGTAATATATAAAAGTAGTAATAGAATTATGGCTATTTAATATTTTAATAGCATCCATTACTAAAATTTTGCCAAACTCCAACTTTTATTAGCTATCAGCAACTGCTAGCAGCTATCAACTAGCACGAATAGTTAAAACAAACAGGCCTTAAGTAAATAAACAAGTCTTAATTAGAATAGGGCAAGGGAAAAAAAATGTGATGTCACTAATTTCTAGGAAGCTACACAGATGGGCCCATTTTTCATCTCTTTGCTTCCTATATTTCTTCAGTTGAGATATCTCCCATTTTCCCATAAATCCTTCCCTAATCTACACTTTGTCATCCTGTCCTGTCTAGAAAAACTATTCAGCTAAATATCGCGTTCAGGCTCGTATTTTCTCCTCTCTTAAAATAGCAGTGTTATATAATCTAGTTTTCATACATTAAAAGACATGACTTGTGGTGATTAAATGTGTAACATATTGTCTTTCTCACAAGGAATTGCCCTCATTTAATGCTTTCAGGTGCAGAAGTTCCAGTTTTAGAGCTAGCTAACTCAATATGTGCAGAACAAGTTGGTGAGAAGTACATTATAAAAGATAAGGTGCTTTTCCCCCTTGTTCATCAAATTTTTCAGTGCACAAGTATTATAGATTTTTCTTCTCAGTTTGAAAGCTTGTTTGGACTTGATGATAAGAAAATTGTTCTCCAAGGCTTGCATGTGTAAATAAAGTTACTCAAGTGAAAAGAACTGCTACGAGCCAAAGCAAATGAATTAATTCTATGTTATTGTCTGACAAACTTGGTAAATGGCTGATCTATGCTATCAAATGGATATAATCTTCATAGTGATCATCAATTACTTCTCATTGATGTGACATTAGTTTGCTAAGTTATCAATTTTGCTGTCAAAATCATCCTGTGATATTTGATAAAAGGCCTACTAAATCTCATGGGACAGTCTAATTCCTACTCTCAACAAATCCAAAAATATTGGTTTGCACTTTGCATGAGTAGACACAAGGGGAGTTGCACGGAGACATCTTTTTGTGTCTAAATTCAGTGGCCATGGAGAGCCTTAAAAACAATGGAACATGCTTAATGAGGCGTAGATGCTATCTTTTGCATTGTTTGTGCGTCTTTATCAAGTGAACATTCAAGGAAAGGTCAAAATAATTGTTTCACTGCTGTTTGTTTCCTTGAGCCCGATGGTGTTATGGAGAATGTTAATTTTTCAAGTTCTTTTGTCATTTAAGAGTTTTTATGTGCGATATGGGTTTTTTTGGGCACAAAGCAAGAAGATTCATTTAATTGTTTTTACTTGTATTGGAACATTTTTTCTAATCTCATGCAGTATTCTTCGAAATGTTCAAGAATCGGTAGCTCACGTGTTGCAAGTGATTGTGGATCATTTAGTATGGATGTGGGTAATATACTGAAAACAGAGGATTTTGGCCAAGATTCTGTCTCTCACTCGAGCAATCTAAACATGGAGGAAGTTCGAAGAGGAAAAAGACTGAAACAAGAGGACATTGGGGACTATCCTGGTACTCAGTTTGGGAATGTTAGTTTTGAGGAGGGTTATCCAAAACCAGAATATACTGATGACCCAACCTCCTATTTTGAACCTACATGGGTGGAGGAGAAAATTGATGTGGAATCGACTGGACTCAGAATTCCTAGAGCACTAAAATCCAATTCATGCAAGAGTGTCGATCGCATGGTAGCTAAACCTCCATATTTTTTCTATGGGAATGTTGATTCAGTATCTTTCGACACTTGGGGCAAAATATCTCAGTTTTTATATGCTATTGAGCCTGAATTTGTAGATATTCGGTTGTTCTCTGCATTGAGTAGGAAAGAAGGCTATGTGCACAATCTTCCTACTGAAAATAGGTTCTACATACTTCCAAAGCCACCAATGTCCATAGAAGATGCAATGCCACATACGAAGAAGTGGTGGCCATTATGGGATACAAGGAAGCAATTAAGCTGCATCAATTTTGACACAACTGGAGTATCTCAGCTCTGTGATAGGCTTGGAAGGATGCTAAGTGATTCTCGAGGTTTGCTTTCATTTGAGCGAAAGAGAGACATTCTTCGTCATTGCCAGAAATTAAATCTTATGTGGGTTGGTCCACACGAAGTGAGCCCTATAGAACCAGAATTTTTGGAACTCATTCTAGGCTACCCATTGAATCACTCTGAAGCTAGTGAGAGTAGTTTAATAGAAAGGCTTCATTCACTCAGATATAGCTTCCAGATAGATGCTCTTGGGTATCATCTCTCTGTATTGAAGTCCATGTTTCCAGAAGGAATAACAATGTTATCACTTTTCACTGGTATAGGTGGGGCAGAAGTTGCTTTGCACCGCCTCGGGATCCATATGAAGGGTGTTGTCTCAGTGGAAACTTCTGAAACAAAGCAGAGGATCCTAAGAAGGTGGTGGCACAGTAGTGAACAAACTGGGGAACTAGTACAGATAGAAGACATTCAAAAGCTAACGAGTAGTAAGATTGACAGACTGATAGAGAAGTTTGGTGGTTTTGACTTCATCATCTGTCAGAGTCCATGCACATTTTCTGCAAAAAGTCCTAAAATTGGACCAGAGAGTATTTCAACATCTGCTTTCGACTTTTCATTGTTTTTTGAGTTTGTTCGTGTTATGCAGCGTGTAAGGAGTCTACTACAAAGAAAGAGGTAACTTATTTCTCCCTTGGTGAAAGAGGTAACCAAATTTTCCCATGTAATCTTGTTCCTGTATGTCAGAAGTTAATAAGGATCGTGAAGGCAGTTCTTCTCTTGATATTTAATGACTAGTAAGATATGATTGCACAAGATTTTTAGCTTCTTGTTCGTTATTTTCTGTTCAGGTGAACTAATGTATTTGTTATTCTTTTGTCTCACTGTTTTATAAAGGCAATTTTCAATATCTGCTGTTACAATTAAAGGTTAATGATCTGCTTAGCACAACACTGACTTGCATTTTCTATCATTGGTCTTCAAAAGCTTCGCAGAATGATGCTATTTCATTGATGCAATCGGTTATTTGGATGAAGCTATAATTTAAAGTCGAATTCCGTCTTGCTTAAACTAATCTTTGTCCATTTTATTTGGACTTGTGTAAATGATTTATGGGCTTTGATTAAGGAAAGCAGGCGGCATTCGTAGGCCCTGACTTTTATTCTTTATAATCCGTGTCAGGCTGTCGCCACTCCACTCGCCATGAATGATGGAAAAAAAAATATTTTGTTGTATAAAATGCCCAGTAAGTGATAAGAGGGTACGACTTAAAGTTTTGTGGGTTTGGTCATTTCATTTGTGCGACACGAAATCAGATGGGATAATTACTATATATATAATTAAATTTAAAATTAGAAAAAATAATAAAATCAAATATTTTCATACTAATATTTAACTTCTTATTTAAAATATTTAAGTCATTTTCACTTAAACCAAATGAAATACCTAATTTTTATAATATAACTCTCATTTTTTTACCCTTTTTTTAATAAAATGAACGGCAACAATGCTCTTGCTTAGACTTTAATGTTTAATCAATCACTTGGAAGTACCCACAATAATAATAATAATAATAATAATAATAAAAAAAGCAAAATAAATCGCTTTTCTTCAGACCTAGTGCTCCTTTTGATAGCAAGTTGCTTTGTTGGAGGTTCATGAATATATATTGTATAATGAATATATATTGATAATCATTATGGACAAAAGAGCCCAAAGTTCCTCCAACTTCTTTCTTTTCCTAAAATATGGTATTTGATATTTGATTATCACTTCTCTGCTTATATCATGCCAAAATGAGGCTCCTTTTTCTTTTTTTTGGGATAAAAACATGTAGAGAGGTTGTCGCAACGGCGATAAGTTTATCACTAAGTCTTTATTTTGCTGTTTCCAAATTAATCTCCTCTCTTTTTTTTTTTTTTTTTTTGCCACACTTTCAAGTTTTTAACCACTTCTTCTGGAATTATAACGAAGGAAAACACATATTATCTTAAATGGTGTTTAGTGTTTTGGTTCAAACTAAAATATTTATAATCATATATGGAAAAAAAAGAATATTTAAAAAAAAAAAAAAAAGGATTCTTTTAGTTGACAGTGTAGACAATAAATTTTGTAAATCATTTCATTTGTTTTCTGAAGTAATGTGTATTTAATATGCATGCATGGAGAATCAAATCCATTGGAGTATCTATTCAACCAAATGCACCACCATAAATTGCACTACTACTTGTTTTGTTCTCCATTAATGATACGGTAAATATACAAAGGATACATTTGTTTGCGGATAAATTATTCAATTACAAAGAGCACGAAGCAATTTGACGAGGGTACTGTAAAGATCAGTGAAGCTACTCGGTTGCTTCTTTCAAGGCCAGCTTGTCATGGTCTGGCATCTTCTCTCTCATATTCACACATACACATGAAAAACACTCTTTTATTAGCTTTCTCTGTATCTCTCCCCTCTAAAGCCAGATAAAAGAAGGAAAAAGACAATTGCTTTCTTTTGCATTTCCAATTCTTTGAGTTGGGTAAGTATTCTACATTTTTATCTACTCTGAATCTTTTAACTTTCCATGTACTGCATTTTTTTTTTCTCTACCTTGATTCTTCGCTCTTCTGGGATTCCTTTATTAAAAACTCTACTTTTGTTTTTTTCCGCTGCGGTGGAGCATTTGCAGCAATGTTCCTTTCATTTTCTTTTGACCTACTTTTTGAATGAGCATCAAATCTATAGTCCCTCTTTTTCTATTTCAGGTCTATATAATTAGAGCTTTTGCATCCTTTCTGTGCGTCCCCATCTGCATTGTTTCAAGGTAATCGCTCTTCACTAGTAAAATGCTTGTTTAATTAGCAGTTTAACCATTAAATGCTTTTGTACTTTCTACATTATTACTATTTTCTTTCGGGTTCTTGTTTGCATATGAGGCTTAACTTCTATCCTTGTCATCGACGGATACAATGGTCTAATCTAGCGCTTTTAGATTCTGAGTAGTGCTTCAATGACCACGATAGAGATTTTATTTCTCCTTCAATGCAAACCTTATTTGCCCGAAACATTTGACATAAATGCAGAATCTTTGTCGAAAATTATGCGTTTTGGTCTCATAGTTGAAGCATAGAAGAGAGTGCTTTTATTCCTAATTTCCGAAGGAATTATGGAAGAGAGCTTTGTACCATTCCGAGGAATCAAGAATGATCTCAAAGGGAGATTGATGTGTTACAAGCAGGATTGGACGGGTGGTTTTAGGGCAGGCTTCAGGTACATCTTTTACTTGCCATATGATTTTGCAATATTTATATCATACTATAGTATTGTGCCATGAACCCGGTTCAGTATTAAAGTTTAAGCTGTTTTAGTTCTATTGTTGTTGAATATAGTCTTAAATGATTATGCTAACTTTGTATCTTGTTCCTATTTCTCTTAGGATTTTGGCACCCACCACATACATATTTTTTGCATCAGCAATTCCAGTTATTTCATTTGGAGAACAACTAGATAGAGAAACAGGTAATTTACATAAGCATAACTTATTTAAAGTGGTTATTCTTCTTCTTTATCTAGTGCCTTCCTCCCTCACAATTTTAGTGGTTATTCTTCTTTATTTGTGTCTTTAAGTATGTAATTTAACTTCTTGTGATTTCCTTTATTTTGGTAGATGGGGTTCTCACAGCAGTTCAAACATTGGCTTCTACTGCACTATGCGGAATTATACATTCCATTATAGGAGGTCAGCCTTTGCTGATCCTTGGAGTCGCAGAGCCCACTGTAATTATGTACACATTCATGTTCAATTTTGCTAAAAGTAGATCTGATTTGGGATCAAAACTCTTCCTGGCATGGACTGGATGGTATATAATCTTATATTTTCCCTGCAAATGAATCAATTTTCTGTGTCTTGTGTTTTAATCTTTACTTTTCTGCCTTTGTTTTTTTTCACACTTAACAGTCTGCTGCCTTTAAATGGCTGTTTGGAAGTGCAGGGTATGTGTTTGGACGGCGCTCTTGTTGTTTCTACTGGCTATCTTAGGAGCTTGTTCCATTATCAATAGGTTTACTCGTATTGCAGGAGAACTGTTTGGCCTTTTGATTGCCATGCTTTTCATGCAAGAAGCTATCAGAGTAAGAATGCAAGCATTGATCTTTTCTTTTCACTCTCATCTGTAATTGCCTAATCAAAGAGATATTGCTAATATCACTTTTCTCAATTCAATGCATATGATTTTGCAAAAAATAGTTGTATACACCACGTTGATCAGATTTTGATGGCTTTAATTGCTGATTTGCATTTCCTTAGTTTGTCTAGTTCCATATTTTGATTTTTATGTTTGGTTTTGCTAGGGACTTATTAATGAATTTCGCATACCTGAAAGAGAAAATCCAAAGTCAATTCAGTTTGAATCCTCATGGAGATTCGCAAATGGAATGTTTGCTTTAGTTCTTTCATTTGGACTTCTGCTGACTGCACTAAGAAGCAGAAAAGCAAGGTCTTGGCGCTATGGTTCTGGTAGGTGTGTTGAATTTTTTTTTTTTTTTTTAAGCGCGTAATCAAGAGATATTGCCTAATATCACTTTTCTCATCAATGCATATGATTTTGCAAAAAATAGTTTGTATAACACCACGTTGATTCAGATTCTGATGATATGGCTTTAATTGCTGATTTGGCATTTCCTTAGTTTTTGTCTAGTTCCATATTTGATTTTTAATGTTTGGTTTTGGCTAGGGACTTATTTTAATGAATTTCGCATACCTGAAAGGAGAAAATCCAAAAGTCAAATTCAAGTTTGTTGAATCCTCATGGAGATTCGCAAATGGAATGTTTGCTTTTAGTTCTTTCATTTGAGAACTTCTGCTGGGAAACTGCAACTAAGGAAGCAGAAAAGCGAAGGTTCTTGGCGCTATGGTCTGGTAGGTGTGTTTGAATTTTTTTTTTTTTTTTTAAGCGATTGCAGTCAAACAACCATGACTTTGTTAATATCCCTATAATGCATTATTTACAATATTTATTATTACTTTCGGTCGACAGGAATCTCTTCGAGGCTTTTATAGCAGATTATGGTGTAACCTTGATGGTGTGGGTTTGGTACGAGCTGGTTCACTATATTCCCACCATCAAAAAGTATTCCAAAGATCCAAGGCGTCTTTTTTAGTCAAATCCATGGTCAAGCAGGCGCATATGAAAACTGGAACTGTCGATGTGAAGGCAAGGATAGTTAACAGAGAGCTATCTTTTTTAATTTTTTTTTTTTTTTTTTAAGCGATTGCAGTCAAACAACCATGACTTTGTAATATCCTATAATCATTATTTACAATATTTATTATTACTTTCTCACAGGATCTCTTCGAGGCTTTATAGCAGATTATGGTGTACCATTGATGGTGCTGGTTTGGACAGCTGTTTCCTATATTCCATCAAAAAGTATTCCAAAAGGAATTCCAAGGCGTCTTTTTAGTCCAAATCCATGGTCAACAGGCGCATATGAAAACTGGACTGTCATGAAGGCAAGGATAGTTAACAGAGAGCTATCTTTTTTCCTTCTATGTTTTCTAATTATCCTATCTTTTAGAACCAAATATATCGTTAATTGCGTATGCATTAAATTGACAGGATATGCTAAACGTACCAGTTCTCTATATAGTTGGAGCTTTCATTCCGGCAACAATGATTGCAGTGCTCTATTATTTTGACCACAGTGTAGCGTCACAGCTTGCTCAACAGAAAGAATTTAACTTGAGAAAGCCTCCTTCTTTCCACTATGATTTACTTCTTTTAGGATTCATGGTACACTATGGATTTCTCTGCTTGGCCCTTCTATATGATTGGAAAATATGGAATTGTCAAGAATCTGAAATTATGTGATGGTGTGGCAGGTCATCTTATGTGGTCTTATTGGGATCCCTCCATCAAATGGTGTCATTCCACAGTCTCCCATGCATACTAAGAGTTTGGCGACATTAAAGCACCTAGTATGCACACCAACTCTGAGCATATGCATTTTGTGCATTCCCCCATTAAATGTCGGATAAGATGTGGGGCATCTGTATAAGTTGTTTAGTATTAAAAACTATATGTTGTGCAGTTACTTCGTAATCGACTTGTAGCAATTGCACGCAAATGTATGAGTGATAATTCAAGCTGGGGACAAGTGTATGAAAGCATGCAAGAAGCCTATCAACAGATGCAGACCCCATTGATTTATCAGGAGCCTTCTGCTCAGGTACATCAACTTTTTATTTGTGTTTCAGGTGCTTCATAGTTAAAAGAGGTTACTTTTGGTGATCAAATCGTATCCATCATGCAGTTCAAGTTCCGGCATTTGGGACAGGAACAAGATTTTATATATTGGCTTATGCAAGTCTCAGATGACTGCATTTAGATTTACATTCTGCAGCGAATTATTCAACATTTACGTGTTTTTCCTTTTAAATTGATAAAACTGATATGGGACTGAGTATTAACTAACTTTGACTCGTGTGAGCAGGGATTAAAGGAATTGAAAGATTCAACGATTAGGATGGTCTCAAGCATGGGGAATACTGATGCGCCGGTTGATGAGACAGTATTTGACGTTGAAAAGGAGATTGATGATTTATTACCCGTTGAGGTGAAAGAGCAGCGGCTAAGTAACTTGCTTCAAGCTATAATGGTAGGGGGATGTGTTGCAGCCATGCCTTTCATAAAAAAGATCCCGACCTCAGTTCTCTGGGGTTATTTTGCATTCATGGCCATTGAAAGCCTACCCGGTAACCAGTTCTGGGAGCGGATATTATTGCTTTTCACTGCTCCAAGCAGGAGATACAAGTAGCCAACTCACTCCTTTTTCCTCTTTGTCTTACCTTACCTATGTTCATAATTTCTGGGGAGATTGTGATTCTATGATTTTGCCTGCTCATAGTAATTCCATTCTTTGTCAGAGTGCTGGAGGAATACCATGCCACTTTTGTAGAGACTGTGCCTTTCAAGACAATTGCAATATTTACAATTTTTCAGACTACGTACTTGCTTGTCTGTTTTGGCATTACATGGATTCCAATCGCTGGGGTTCTTTTTCCTTTAATGATCATGCTTCTGGTACCTGTGAGACAATACATTTTGCCCAAGTTCTTCAAAGGAGCTCACCTTCAGGATCTGGATGCTGCAGAATACGAAGAGGCTCCAGCTATGTCTTTCAATCTAGCAACTGTAAGTTTTGGCTTTAATATCATTTTTTTAAAACTTTGGCCTCTGCATATTCTTAAAAAAGCTCGCTTGCACACATATTATTGGTTGATACAAGTTCCATGCCATTTGGGAATCATCATTTCTTGGAATTTTGATTGTCTGATACCAGGAGGTAGAGATGAGTAGATCAGCATCATTTGCAGACGATGGAGAAATTTTAGATGGGATGATCACTCGAAGCAGATGCGAGCTAAAAAGCATCCGCAGCCCCAGGCTAACAAGCTCCACTTCTACACCATCCAGAGAATGCAAGATCATTCAGAGCCCACGGTTTTCAGATAAGGTGTATAGCCCTCGAGTGAATGAACTAAGAAGGCAGCTAAGTCCTCGACAAGGCGGAAGAGGACCCTCTAATTTGGGAAAAAGTGGTTAGTTGCCAAATATTGGTGGTCTTCGTCGTTCATTAACCAGGAAGAAAGAATTACAGCCAAGGATAGTGTAATGAATATGTAGGAAACTTGTAATGGGAATTCCCAGTCGTTCGTTTGTTGTTAATATGGGATGGTAATTGTAAAATGTCCACCAAACACCAAGAAATTTGTAATCGGAAAAAGCCAGCCAGCCAGCGAGCTAAGAAATTAAAATATCATGTTATTTCCACTAACTGTCGAGTGTTTGCATGAGTAGACTTGGATATTCTTGAACTTGAAAGATTGCTTCTCAATTATAAATATATCTTTTTCTGTTATTATACTTATCGTATGAAGACATGCACTTGCACAGACACTTAAGGAACAAACAGGTGCTAGTACGAGAAATGTTTTAACAGCAAGAAATTGCGTCATGTGAAAAATAATTGCACTGCCATGAAAACTGATGAGACTGAACTTGTCGGTCCACAGAAACCTGTAGACAGATCAACAGGGCAGTGCCGCGTAGGCTTTGCTTGCAAATGAGATGATATCGGTCAAAGCTTAACGAGTGAATTTGGCCCGTTCTTGTATTCCACATGGAATGTTGGTAGTTGGTATATACGTGCGAGGGCAACCCCACCCCCACCAAGGACAAGATTCTTCTTCTATTAGTATATATATAAATATATTTCCTTTTGACCCCCCTGCCTTCCAAATTCCAATTGATTCCAACTAAAATTTAATAAATTTGAGGGGAAAAAAATTCCACCGACAGCAAAAGAAATTAAAAAACTCGTCTTGCCGCTTCGGTACTCGAATCAGATTATGGCTAACAGCACGAACTCAAGTTACCACCACCACCAGCCACCCCCCGACCCCGTATTGGTGACCTAATCTTTGGTAGGAGCAGGTTTTTACCGTAAGGCTTAGATTCAACCACGTCAGTTCGCTTCACCAAAAGCGAGTAGACGACTCTAGCAGGGTCCTAGTCGTCAACTACAGAGGATGCTGGAACGATATTTGGAAGAACTTACATGTGTCTTCAAGATTCTTCAGGCAGTGAAATGCAACTTGGTAAACAAAATAATATTAACTGAGCGAAGTGAACAAATGAAGAACGGATGAATTGACCTTAAAACTTTATCTTAAAACGTATAAAAGACAAATGAAGGAAAATTATACTCCTACTCAATAGTATGTGGCTATATCTACGAATGCAGTGTGCATGCCTTAATCAGCTAGCATTTTACTTTTGTATCATTCCTGAAACAGAGGTACGTGATGTTGCAGCCGTGGATCGGAAGTGAAGGTGGATACTAGGGTCCTCAGAGACCTAAAGAGGCCGTGTCACTATAAAAGGGGTTTTAAAATTGGCTAAGACTATGGTAGTTCTTAAGATCAAAATACAGCTGCTCCATAACGCTAGCCCGGAGGATGAGATTGCAAACTATAACAAAATGAGCAAACCTGTGACATCAAACCATACAGAAAAGAAAAATGGGAAATTATGGTCCCCCCTTCAGCATTAAATTTCAGTCTCCAGTGCAGGTCGCAATCATTTTAAATGCTTTATCAATAAAAATGTACCATGTAATTTCACCTAGCATATCCCTTCACTCTATTATCATGCACCATTAATGTTTTTATGAAAATGAAGAAAACAAAATTTAGAAAGTCAGCAGGATGATTTTCCAGTATGAAATTTCATTTAGCATAAGATGCCTGAAAACTCACAAGATATTAGGTCATCAGGAAATGATAACAGCACTAAAAGCTCTTTCTTTATTAAAAATTTCATCTAATAAACCACCTGTAATCTTAGATCAAGAAATTCTAGACAAAAATCAAGTGCTCTTGCTCAACTTACGACCGGACAGCGCTTCGGACTCATAAAGCATGTGGTTTATAAGTCCCCTTGCAGCACTGCAAAGCAGGAGAACTCAAGTTAAAATCTCCAATTATGTTGCTATCAGAGAAAAGGAATGGGAATCTGTACGTATCAATGCATGTGCCCCTAGTACACCACTCCAGCCTGTGTACAGGATGATGTAGCCCTTTCAACATGGGTAAACACATGGGAGACGAAAAGGTGTATGTAAACTTACTCATCCTTCAACTTCTGAATTTTCTCTGGATCTGTCTCATGCATGTTCCTTTTAAACTGCTGTCTAACCATACCAACAAGAAGCTCTGTGTTATGTTGCTGCAAAATAAGTAAAGAAAGGTCAAAGCTCACTTCCCAAAGCCAACTTGATATGCATTGACGAATTGATATAGAAGGTTAAACAAATACAAGACAAGTAATTCTTGAAGAAAATATCTAATCTTCAGCTAAGCTAAAGTGTTAAACAACTTGGGTAGAACTACAAAACATCTTATTGGAATTGGGTGAAATATTATAATTCTTAATCTTAAGATTGCAAACTCTATACAATTTTCAGAACCAAGGGCCTTGAGAATTCACTAATTACTTTGTGACTTGAATAACATGCATTTTCCAAATCGAGAGAATGGCCAACTTTTTTTATTCAAAACATTGTGCTTTTAATCTTTTATGAAATTAATTTCAGCTAAAAATTGCAGTTTTAGGAAAAATAAGGACAGACGGTAGTCATTTTGCATCCTCATTGTAAAAGAGGTTTGCATTGCTAAATTTTTCATACATACTTCTAAATTGAAAAGATTTTCGCTTTTGGTTCTCAAACAATTTAGCATCAACTATCAACAGCCACTATGAATCGCCATTGGTTAGAATATAACAAATGATCAATGAGTTGATGAAAGCATTTGAACTGACAACCACCAGCAGTTCACTTCATAAAGTCATCGATTTGCTATGATCCCTTCAACTAACTTCATTGCCAAAATCTTCTATCTCCATCAATTCTATCCCTAGCTAGGAGCAATCAGGAGCCTAATCTTTGAAATGCAGACACAAAAAGGACCAACAATGTAGCTGATATAGAAAATTAAAATAAAAACAATAAAGGAAAACAGGGGCAATATAAAGCACTTGTTAATCCGAGTTCTGTAAGGCCAACTCTTCCCTAAATCTATCATTGCAGTCCTCGTGTTGTCCAAGGATCCAAATCAAGCAAGCAAATGAATGTAAGACAATATGGTGCCATTTTACTTGGTAAAATGACTTTAATCAGAATACTGAGAATTTGAGAATCAATATTCCATTAGAAATAAACCCATAAATAAAGCTAATTACTTGCATAATATAACATAAATTGCATTAAAAACGATGGGAAAAGATTATTTACCCGATGACCAATATATTTAGCTCTTCGAAGGCACTCGCGATAAAGCTGCAATTTTTAGGAAGACCTCTATCAATGAACCCTATTGTGAAACTGAACTCCAAAAAAGAAAAGGCAGGAAACGAAAAGCAATAGAGTGAATAGATGATACTTAACCCGAATAACGTTATTGGCAAGTTCTGGAGGCAAAGCTGTTTGCAGAGACGGCATGGTTTGCAAATCTGTTCGTGTTTAAGTGTGAAGAAGAAGAAAATGGAGCAAATGCGTCGCAAACGATCCCCTCCTACACGCTACAAGTATTCAACTTTACTTGCGGTCGATGAACGAGCGAGGGGCAATTTTCGCTGATTAAAGTTTGCTCGGCAACTAGTAGAAGACCTGCCGCCTGCGTGATTACGTGTCCTGAAATAAATGTCGTTTACCAATTGGGTTGGTCGTTCTAGGGAAACGGATGCTTAGAACGAGTGAATTCTCTAGTGCCGTTGCCGCCTGTCGTTAACTTTTAATCCCATCCGCGTTAGATTTTCTAACTTCTCCGTACAGTATATTTTTCGGAAGCGAATTTATATTTTCGTCTTTATAAAATTTATGTTATTTATTATTATCCTAACTAACACCACCATACCTATGTTTTCTTGTTGAATTGACCTATAAAAATACCGAGCTTGCCAAAATTTATGCATTTTGATTTTACATGCATCATTTGAATTTAAAATAAAACGTAGTGATAGAGATGAAAACATGTAGCATAAAAATTGGAAACCACTAATAAAAATTTGTAATAATCATACAAGTAAATATTGGACCGCCTATTACAATATAATATATAGGGCCAAAAAAATAGACCCCTACAATTTCATCACACAATAGGGGGAGAAAAACCCTAATAGGGATGGATGCTAATTAAGTATTCTATAGTAAGTAAATATAAAACCATTATCAACATATAACATTAATAATTTTAGCAACCATAAGCAGCGACCTCTTGCACACTTTCAGGCTCCCCATCTCTTAAGCACTCTAAAGGAGGTATAGTAACTGTTTCTTCAATCCCATAAGCATTCCAGCAAAATGGATCATCCACTAGTTCCCCTTCTTCTGGTAAAAGCTCAACTTCTGATAAAGTTATGTTAGTGCAGGGTACAGTGTCGCTGCAAGCAAAATGGATTGGTGGGGTTCTAACATCGTACGTGCCCTTAATATTCTTGTATGAAACATCTGTTACAAAGACAGCTGAGGTCTGATTTAGACAACCCTTTGATAAGCAGTAGTATTGGTCTATGATCATGCAGTTTCTAACATTCTCCATTTGAATGTTCTGAAAAGATATGCCTGAGACACACCCCGTCCCGCCTTGCCATGTCTTGATCCTAACTCCATTATCTGAATCTCTTATAATTGCGTTGCTCACTGTTATGTTGGAAACACATGCCTGGGAATTGTGTACTCCTAGGCTCCCGATACTGCAGAATTTTTGGGAAAAAAAAAACAAAAGAAGAAAGAAAAAGCAAGAAGAAGAAAGAAAAGAATTAGAATTGGAAGATGGTGTAATTATTAATCAACAATTTATAGCAGCAGCATTTGACACAGGCAGGCACTTGATGGTTGATAGTTAATAAAGGCAAGACAGTACGTACCTAATCCCGTGACTAGGCCCGCAGGTTACACCTTCTATGTCAACATTGGAGCATCCAGTGCCAATTGATATGCAATCATCACCTGCATTAACCAGGAAATGGCAATTGTGTAAGTATTTTTACAGCAGACAAAATAAAAAGAGAGATGCTTTTGGTTTAGTGTACCATTGCTAATGAAAGAGTTGTATATTCCAACTGTCTTTGTATTTTCTATATGGATTCCATCTGTGTTGGGGCTAAGCTTAGGAGAAGATATAGACAGCTGATTTATTAGAACTCCTTCGCAGCCGTCGAATTTCATGTGGAATTGGGGGCTGTTTTGAATCCTTAAGCCACTGACTTCTAGATTGGAGCTCATGAAGAACCTAATTAGCTGAATCAAAACAAACAGTTACGGACGTTAATTAATATATGAAACTTAAAATAAAAAAAGCGGTGATGTAATTTGGTTGTTTAATTATGACTTACTGCTGGGCTGTCACATGGTCCTTTCGAGGAACCTCCATTAGGACCCTGAAATCAGATTTAGTATGGCATTATTAATTGAATTCTAAGAGGGGTTCATTATTATTCATCAAAAGAATCATATAGTTAATGAAAATATTCCGAAAACAGAGAGCAAGTGTAGATAAAGCAAAATTACCCTGTGAGGTTTGCAGGGGAGATCCCACCACTTGTCTCCATTGCCTTCAATAGTTCCTTTTCCAGTGAGAGTCATACCATCAAGTCTATAAAAAACTAGCCACTGCTTTTGGCTATCTGCTTTTGGCCATGAATCTGGTCCATCTGGTGGCATTAGGCACCCATCAATCTGTTCACAAACAGAAATAGTTACAGCTTTTAAGTGACCAATATTTTCTCCCTTTTATATATACATATATAAAAAAAAAAAAAGAAACAAAATGGAAATCTTTTGTTTATTGAGAAAGGCTCACCTGAAAAACAAGTCCTGGCTTGCAAGGCCCTGTAAAAATAGTTGAAGTGATCATAAAGACATAGCCTGAAGGAGCCAGAATAACCCCTGATTCCACTGCGCAGGCAGCTTTCCAAGCTTCCCTGAAAGCGGCAGTGTCATCAGTGGAACCATCACCGACTGCACCGTAAGATGTTACGTCGAAAATGCAGTCTGAGGTAGAGTTGTTGCCAGGATCATTGGGGTAAGGGTCTGATGGAACCTGAGGAGGATTAACAGGGGAAGAAGGAACAGAGGGATCTTCAGGATCAGGGGCATTATCAGGGGATGGAGAAACAGGGGACCCGGTCCCTGCATGTTTTGAAGACTTGTTCTTTGGCTTGTGATAATGGTATCTTCCTACTACATTACTTGAATTCTCTAGCAGAATAATCATTGATATCCCAATAATTAACAATCCACGAACGAGCTCCATGAAAGCCAATGAATTGAACTTCAACTCTATAAAGAAGAAGAGTCTAAGAAAATTTAAATGTGAGAGCAAGAACCACAAATAATTCCTTGGAAGAATGCCCACAAAAGAATCTCAGGTTCACTGATTTTGGTGAAGCCAAATTCAATGGAGGAGAAAAAACAAGAGAAAGAGAGAGAGAACAAAGAATGTATATTAACAACTAGTGAAGCTTATAAGTTGAAGAAGCATTATGAAGCAGAGGCATTTATTTTATACATGAACAAAGAAACTACTGTAAAGCATAAGTAGACACGTGTCACGTTTGAATTGATTGAAACATCGTTTTCAATAATAAGGAGAAGGGTTAAAAGAGCTTAGAGAGGTCTCTGATCAGTCCTTGTGTGGCAAAGGGAAAGGGAAATCCATGTGTTGGTCATAACCCTTTTTATTTATTTCTCTTGTAATAAATTAATTTCCAATGCATTTGGTTTCAATGTAAAGTGGTCCGTTTTCCTTTTTTTTTTTTTTTTTTTTTTGCCATTTATTTTTATAGCAATGAACAAAGAAACTACTACTGTAAAGCATAAGTAGATGCACGTGTCACGCTTTGAATTGATTGATAACATCGTTTTCAATAATAAGGAGAAGGGTTAAAAGAGGCTTAAGAGAAGGTCTCCTGGATCCAGTCCTTGTGTGGCAAAAGGGAAAGGGAAATCCATTGTGTTTGGTCCATGAACCGCTTTTTTATTTATTTCTCTACTGTAATAAATTAATATTCCAATGCATATTGGTTTCAATGTAGAAGTGGTGTCCGTTTTTCCTTTTTTTTTTTTTTTTTTTTTTTCTTCTTATTTTTTTTTTTTTTTTTTTCTTCTTATTTGATTTTCATAAAAAGGGATTTCATCACCTGCAATAGTATGAGCTTGTGAACTAGTTTGAGGCTCTTGTTTTCTAGAGGACAGTGCCAAAACCAGATGCAGTCTTAATTCTTTATTTGTATTCAAAGTTTCCCAAAATAACATATTTGCATAAAAAACAAAAGAACTTATTGTTTTAGAAAAAAAGAAATCTCTCTCACTATATATGTAAAATATAAATAGTGGGTTACGACATTTAAATGGTAATCAAGGATCATTCAAAGAGATCAGGTACTTCTAGTAATCATCTAAAGGAATTATGGTTGCTTGTAGAATAATGATATTAAACTGGTTTAGCTGTCTGGTAATACTGATTAAGTATCAAATGATTGATTAATCCTTACAAATAGTTTAATTAGGAATTAAAATGAAACAATTCTTACTAACTGGTCAAGAAGAGGTTTAGGAAATAGGAATCATTCAAAAAAAAAAAAAAAAAAAAAAAAAAAAAAAAAAGTGTAACTTTGTCCAATCCTAATTTGTAACTTATGCCAAACCTTTAGACATAAACTATTTTTGGAAAAAAAAAAAAAAAAAAAAAAAAAGTGTAACTTTGTCCATCCTATTTGTAACTTATCCACCTTTAGACATAAACTATTTTTGTACGTATTGTATTGTTGTGAGAACAAATGAAGCGTTAGAGTGGTTAGGAGCAAGCTTTTTTGCATCATTTTCACAGAATGCTAACCCTATGAGCATATAAAAAGCTTTTAACTGTTATTGGTTTTGGGTTTAATGGGTGCTGCAAATTCACATCAGCAATTTATAACGCACATGTTCTGCTTGTTCTTTTATGAGAGAGAGAGAGAGAGAGAGAGAGTTATGGTACTGCATGTACAGGAATAAAAATAATTAAAGAAAAATTGGTAGAAGCTGTGGCAATGTGGTGATTTAAAATAAGAGATAGTCTCGTGACTCTTTATTGTTGTTTTGCCAACTTTGGGGCCATACAAGTAGGAAGCATGTAGTAGGTCCGCGACAATAGAATTAAACCATTTCATGAGTAGTCCAAATCTCATTTATGGCCCATCGCATACAAAATATAAATATAAATAATAAAAAAATGAGAACAAGATTTTTAAAATTAAATTTATCTGATTAATATAAATATGAATCATGCAATATTCGGGTATAGTCGAAATTCAATAAATTTTAGAATACAGGTAGTTATAAATTTTTTTTAAAAAAAAAGTGTTTGTTTTTATGTGTCACGGGCGGGTTGCATTAAGGGACTCAAAAATTAGGGTTACCTGATATTCAGAATTTGGGTATTGCACTTTTTGTCCCGTGAGGAAAACTGGAACAGCAATGCTTGTGGTGGTGAGCCATGACAAGTAGGATTAAGCAAGTTGCACGCGCCACACGCTCCCGCTCCCGCTCCACAATAGTGGTTAGGTGGTTTTATATGAATATGATTGGCTATTTATGTAAATGGAGTTGGAAACATAAATTCACATGCAGCCGATTAATTTCAAAATGTTTTAAGATGGGTGACACGTGTAGGTTCAGAATTGACGAGTTGGTATTTTATGGGTGTCACGGGTGATGATAAGATGAAAAGGATTACAGGGAGGATTAGATTCTTAATTGCAAAAGACATCAGACGTGACATAAAACATTAGCATTAGCAATTACTTGTAAGCAAATCTACTATTTTCCATGCACTTATTGACACCTAATAGTTTGAATGTTGATAGACGGCTTACTATCCTGGTAGTATCTTTTAAATTCATATATTTTTGAAAAATTTTAATTTGCTAGCCTTAGTATAATACCAAAAAGTTAAATTTCACAGTTTTTAATAAAATAATTTTAGTCAACACGCAATTTGTATTTATAATACATGAAACAACTCTCTCAACTATAAATTTATTGTCTAGACATGCAATCCACTTCTGCTGGTTTAATCCCCTGTTAATAAAAATTCACAATTATGGATCTATTATGCTTGGAAGACATGCATCGAACAATTAATTATTTGCTCAAGTGACAAAAACCAAAAAAAAAAAAAAAAATGAAAAGCTTTATCGGTCTGTACTGCCGTGATCTTCTAACTGTGAGTAGAAAGACCCGTGAGGAATCATCAGTGCGTATAATGCCAATCTGATTTGAAATTAGGAAAATGACTAAAAAAAGAAACAGAGAGAGTAAAAATGTAAAAAATGTTTTAACCAGTGAAGCGGAAACACGAGGAGAAAGACATTGTTGCTTGTTGGAGGAGAATAAGCTAAAAAAACAACATCTGTCTGGCTGACTTATCACGTGCAAATAATAGTATTATGGTTGCTGTTCTGTTCTCTGTCTACTTTCTACATGAGAAAATTGTACCTTGGGTGCCTTGCCTTCTTAAACCTCGTTTCATGGGAGAATAAAAACAAAAAAAAAAAAAAAAAAGCCTTGCTTCTTACACCTCGTTTTCATGGGAGAATAAAAACAAAAAAAGGAAAAAAAAAGTTTCACACGATTTTTCTTTTGGTGCATTAGAAACCCTTAATTTGGGAAACCGTTATCAGGTTTGGATTAATTTTCAAGTCGCAAGGCATTTGTCAATTTTGGGCCGGAAAAAAAAAAAAAAAAAAAAAAAAGAAGTGATTTCACATCATTTTTCTTTTTGGTGCATTAGAAACCTTAATTGGGAAACCGTTATCAGGTTTGGATTAATTTTAAAGTCGCAAGGCATTTGTCAATTTTGGCCGGCAAGGCAACAAACTAGTTAGACATTGATCAACTGGACAAAGATAGATGAAAACGTGCAATGCAACGGTTAACATAATCATGAATATCGTTAGCAAGAGGCTAAAAAGAAGCAAAGGATTCATATGGGCAAAGAGGCTGATAATGAGGAAACAAAATTACACAAATTATAACATTGCAGCAAATAGAAGATATGCTTATGTTCAATTATCAAGAGACTAAGGTTATTGCAATCACTGCACTGGTACCACTTCACTTCTAGTGCAAAAGGAAGTTGCATGTAGGAAGTCTCCAAAACAATACTAGGACAAAATTTGTCAGCTGCAAGGACAATCGAAGTTACCTATAAAAGGAAACAATGTCCTCTGCTACTTCTGACTCTTCCATAAAATCCATAAAATCATCCTCAATCAGAGAACGAATACTGGATTTTGTTTCAGGAGAGCCCCAGCTTCGAGTACACATCAATCCACTCATTAGGTCTGGTTGTAAGGAAGCCAACCAACGACCAATTTCTCTCTCAACTGTGCAATATGCTTCTGGTGAAGTCACAACAGAAACAGGAATGGCCAAAATGTCACTAGCCATCCTTGACAGAACAGGATACTTGGGGCTTGCAGCTTTCCACCAACTCAATATATCAAAATCCTGGCTCAAGGGCAATATTTCATCTTCCAAATACAGCTCTAGCTCTGACTTCAAAGGCTTATAATCAGGTTCTTCAACAAATTGCTGGTACTTCTCTAACACAGCAGAGTTATCATCAGAAACTCCCACTCCCATGGAAGAATCCTCTTTCAAGTTCAAAGAAGTTTAATCAGTCATTGATTTCCTGCTTTGAGAGAAAAGAGGTACATAATCTTCATAAAGACCCTGAATGGCTGTTAAAACAGTAGATGAATCCGAGCTGCCATGGTTTCCAACATGATTTGCCAAAGAGACCTCATGGCATTTTATCTTGCATCGCAGATCCATCACTTCAGCAATTGCCAAAACCATGAAAATACTTGTCAAGTTTCTCAAGCATTTTCTTAGCTATAGGGCTAATAAAACTATATGAGCCAAAAGATGTCTGAGCAAGACTTGCGCGAACCTCATAAAGACTATTAAGATAGATGTTTGCAGTAGGTTGTTTTGCTTCAAAGACAGCTTCCGCAGCATTGTACAAGCCTCTAAAAGTTTACAAACGCCTTCAACCTTTTTCCACTCATCAGCAGAACACTTGTCATAGTATCCACACTCTTCGTTGCTCCATTCCCCCTTGGCCTCCAACTCTAAAGCCTCTTTAGATTTGTGTACGCATTATACCAAGTATATGTTGGTCTTGCAAAACTCATAACTTCATCAACCTTAGACAGTGTTAGATATCTCATTGAATGCATCATTCACCATTAATTTAAAGATATCAGCACAACAATACAAACGAAACTGCTGACCACCAAATGGAAGCTTCCTCTTTTGTTGCACGAAATCTTTAATGGCGTCAATTCCTTCATCATAGTAATAACAGTTTTCCAAAGTAATATTTGATACTTTTTGGCCAATCTCCAAGTCAACTATAGACTTCAGAATGAGCCCATCCAAAAAATCATCATCAGATAACCTAGTAATAGGCCTAAAACCTATTACTCAATTTCTCAAATTCCAATCAACATCAATGAAATGTGCTTTCAAGCACAAATACTCACCAGCTGATGGGCACCTTAAAACATCAACAGAAAGGCTAATTTTGTCCATCCAAATTTCTCAAGACCCCTTTAGCTCTCACCTTCCATTCCTCATAAATGTTAAGGCACTCAGCTGGCAGCGCATCAAAACTTGCACTTCTAAGCATCGGATGACTCTTACGTAATAATTGAATAGTAAAACCATGCTTTGGTAAAATATCTTCAACGCAGGTCAGCACTGCCAAAGCCCTCGAAGCTTCTTTTCTTCATAATCAACATAAACATTGTGAATAATCTCATCATCTGAATCGGATTCAGCAGAACAATAATCATCACCAAAGCTGCCACCAGAATATTCATGCCCGCGAGCATTGCATTTCATTTCGATTTCATCATCCCCCTCTTTGCATTATCTCCATATAAATCTAACAAGAAAATCAGACCATTAACTAAAAAGCTTAACAAGATAACTAAAATTAAAAATCCTAACTCGGAAACGAAAAACTGAATGCAGAGAGAAAAAGGACATAAAAGAACAATCGGATTCAACAGAATAATAACAATCACCACCAAAGCTGTCACCACAATATTCGTGTCCGCAAGCAGTGCAGTTCACTTGGATCTCATCATTACCGCCTTTAGCATTATCTCCAGACATATCTAATAAGAAAATCAGACCATTAACCTAGAAAGCTTAACAAGATAACAAGAACTAAAAACCCTAACTCAGAAACCACAAACTGAGTATAAGTAATAATAAGTAAACAAACAAGGCAATCGATAAGAAAACGAACCTGATTAGAAGGATTGGAGCAGAAGAAACAGCAGAGGCTTAGTTTAGGTTATAGACTAATATCATATCACTGCGAGACTACGTTCTAATGCGCGGGAAATATCACGCGCAAGGCAACGAAACGAACGATGTCGTTTTAATTGTTGGTTTTTATTTTATTCAATTCAATAGTAACAAATAGAGCATTGGACGGACCAGTGGGCCAATGGCTACTGCATTACCTATTCACCTTCAAGAGTTATAAGTTTTGCATGCATTTTGCGAATGGCCTCCGCTGCGGACGTCGGAAGTTCCTCCAAAAACGAAAAAATTTCTTAATGGAGAGGAAAGTCTAGGCGAATGAGTCGTGTCCGGTTTGAAATTCTGAGGAAACAACTTTTGATGTTCAAATTGATTGTTGTACAAAATCTTATTTCTTATAATGGCTTCTTGGGATGTTACTAAACTATAATAAAAAGAACATTTGGAGCGGGGGAAAGCGCTGCTTTCTTAACTGATGTTTTGACAACTAATTAAAAACAACAAAAAAGTAAAATTCTGAAACAATATTTACCCACGTTACGGCATTATTTACAGTATTATTTATATCCATGCAATACTAACTGCAATAAAAGAGTTATGCTTGTAATAAGCGATGCATACTACTGGCTAGTTAATGTTCACAATTGCAAAAGTTTCGTCACCATGCACAAAGGGGCGACAATAATAGGCGTGCACAAGAAACTATCAATAACTATACATCTCAGAGAGCTACCATATGTACTTTTTAACTAGGTATTTTCTGCACAAGCTTTAATCATCAAAAATTTTGATTTTTTTGACAATCCTAAAATTTACACTCTTGCACGAGAAACCTTGTTGCATTTTGGTTGATCCCCATTCAAACCCATGCTTCTGGTCCATACCTGCACAAAACACTAGAAGTTCAACTTTAGCCTCCCAGTTAGGGGATTGTGACTACAAAGACCAACAATTTTCTAGATAAAATAATAATTAATAATAATAATAATAATAATAAAGAACAGCACAGAAAAGCTAGTTATTGAAGAAATTTCTTTTCCATGGATCTGGAACTGGAAAATGCATGCCCTACAACGTAGCAGATTGGTGTGGAAAAATCTCATTGATTAATCAAGCAGACCAACCAATTCATGTAAGAAATAGGCGTCTCACTAACAATTAGTGGAGATCTTTTACTGGCGAAAAGTTTTACAACCTGATTTCAGCAGAAAGCTAAAATGAAAACCGCCCACAGGCACTGGGTCGCCAAATCAATTCGGGCTGCTACCAAAAGCTGAATTCATAGGAAGTAATGGAGGCATCTGCTGGGGAGACCAGGAGTAAGGCCCTTCTTTTGGCATCACTTCAACATTGGCTGCTTCTGCACCTGGCGTATATGGCTTCATCACTCTATTTTTCAGCATTTCCTGAATAACATTATCAGTAATTATTATACAAGAAAAACATCAACTGTTCAGACAGAATGCTGTTATCCCATGAATAGCAGCATCTTCTAGTTATATGGTGCCAAGTTCAACCAATGAATGTCGCCGCTGTATAGATTGTTAAATTCTCCAATAAAAATAAATAAATAAATATAAGACTTAAATTTATGTCGACTCTCTGCAAGCATTATGAATCTTCAGTTAACAACCTTGTATTATAGCAGTTCTGAAAATTCATTAGATATCTGAAATTCCCATGCTTCCTGACTTCTGTCTAAAAAGAAGTTGCAGGCATGCCAGGAATGTCAAATTAGAATAGGAGAATCAGAAATAGCTCATACAAACAGAATAGGCATAGAATAAGAAACTAACCTTTGATAGGTTCTTCCCGTAAGTGTTCAATGCTCGCTCAATTGAACAGTAGACTTCAAGAGCCTGATCAGTTTCACGGTTACATTTTATTTTCCGAGCGTGTTCCTTACCCTCTGCTGGTCTACTCCTTAAATAAAGTATCAGCCGGGAAGCCGGAGCTTTTGGGTGGTCTTTCTTTCCGTGAGTCAATTCCATAGTCACTAAGTCATTCCATAGTACATCCCACAACACTGAACATGGATCCCTTGCTGGGCTGAATTTTCTCTGACCAATAATATTGGAGGGTTGCTGAAGGGAGTAAAAATTTTCAGTCAAGGTCAGGGTCCTCAGGCATTGATTAATAATGGACAATATTTTGTTTCTCATCCAGGTGACTTACTTGTAATAAAATTATTCTTCGATGGGTCACCACAACAACTTTTCCCTTAGGGAGCATAAAGTGATCTTCATAAGCATCTGACAAGGCAAATTTCCCCCGTACTTTAAAAAGATCAACCTGACTGAAAAATGAACCTGATTCTGCCAGCTGCAGTATAACCTTCACAATGACAACAGAGACTCGAGTGATGATCACATTAATGTAACATGAGATCAAAGTAAAATGCAACTTAAACCACCTGAAAATGCACAGCAATGCAAGTTTTCATGTCTGGAGAGTAAAATAGAAAAAGAATATTAAGCAGTTTAATGCATGTAAGGGGAGTAAAATCATAAAAATGCAACTGGCTAAAAGTGCATTCTGCAATAGTACAACAACTTAAGACACAGCAGGCATGAGCAAATGGCTTATGATGCAGTGGCTATTACACAAAAGTTATTAATTTGTTTCACTACTCCACAATAAGACTGACTTAACACCAGAATAAGACATTAATTCCAACAAAATTTGTGATAGCAGCAAAAGCCCTTGAAAAATTCTACTATCCTCGTTGCTAATAATATGCAGCTACATCCTTCAAACATCATAAGAAAGAGGAAGCATAGGAAAAAGGAGCTTTCAACAAACTGCTCCATGCAAATTGAAAATCAAAATGCAGTAAGTACCTGCCCTTGGGCTTTGTACTCATTGTAAGGTCGAAGCAAATTATCACCACCAATTACACGAGGAAGTCTCCTGCGAAGCAATTGTTCCTCTGAAGTTATAGCAGATGCTATCTTCATTCTAAAAGCATTGGCACCTTCAGTGGTCTTTGACAAAAGATCCAAAACTCCACTAACAGGTTGAGCAGCTGCACCTATTATTCCTTTTCCAACACCCTGAACAAAACCCTCAACTCCAGATGTTTTTGCACCCTCAAGAGGCTTTGTCAAAATGCCAGTGACTCCTCTAAAAAGTCCCTTTGCTAGAGCACCGCCTCCCTCCCTGATAACATCACCAAGATCCTCTACACCTTTATTCTCCTGCTTGGAAAAAGGAAATTCCACGGTTAACCAATCCTATCGCTAAGAGGAAATTAAAAGGAATGAGATCAATATGTTGAGTAATAAACTCTCATCACCATGTGGAATGTTGGAACATTGTCTACCTTTTCCCTATATTACATAATTATTTTGACTTTTCATTAAATTGTATCTAGGTGGGCGATTAATCAGCTTCAAGCTTTCAACATACATGTAGCTTTGACCATTGAAAATATGGTGCTACAGTAAAAAGCATTAAGTGCATATTCACAATGTTTACAGTTACATATGGTCCAGTCAAGCAAAGAAGTCATATTTCTATAACAAACCTGTCTCTGTCTACTTTGGATGAACTTCTTGTCCATTGATAAAGCGGCAACACCTTTACTCATATGTCCAAGGGCACTGCTTGCATTACCCAATATATCAACACCAGAGAGCAGTTGAAGAGGTTGACCAAGAACATCCTTTTTAATATTTGAAATAGCAATGCTAATCATAGCACTCTGCCTCATGCAAATATTCTCATGAAATCTTTGGTTTATTCTCACCTGATTAACAAATATCAAAGCAACTCTACTCAAATTTTGAATAATATCAAAGGAGGAACATCAATCAGTGGATCCAGTATCTTATGAGTTGAGCATAGAAAAATCTCTTAAGTCACATGGTCCTGAATAAGCATGAGCAGTTCATTTAACTGCCAGTTCAAGTTTCTCCAAATCTGAAACTGACCTTGAACCAGCCCGTGAACTGCCAATTTCAGTACCAGCAAGGTTCCATAACCAACAGTTCTGACACGGTTCAACTGTTATGTGCATTTTTTTCTGGAAGAAAAAATTTAATGGGAATTCAATTCCAATGTTATACAAATTTTTCTTTTTTGGAAAAAGGAGGAATTTGGGAAAATGTTAATAAATTTTATTTTCAATAATTTTTAGGTTCTGGTTCAACTTTCAGGCCAGCTTCAATCAAACCGAGTCTATGCCATGCCTAATCCTGCATTGTCAGTTGGCTATATCCCAAAGCAAAACGAATCGTGTGCTGGCGTTAATGACTGACAATTATTTGAGAGACATGCTAGACCCAACAGACAAGTACAATGGTATGATTCAGATGCCCGGTCACACATATTACGGCACAACAAAATACCAAACTGATGGTAGCAATAAGCTTAACAATAACTGCCAAAATACATGGTATCCATTCAAATAAGGTGTGGAGAAATTCATTAAAGAATGCCAGTTGCTTTTAGCAATCAGCTTCTGAGGAATCAAAAGAATAGTTAAATCGACTGAGACACTGAAGTCCAAAAATTTTAAAAAGATTTTGACACTTCCAAACAGACAACTGTCCTAACACTTACTGGCATATTTTCAGTGTTTCCCAAAGCAGTCATCAAGGATGACCAGAAACCAAGAACTCCCCTTGGTCGTTGACCAGGTGACATAGCCATTGAAACTTTGAATCGAACTTCCGAGATGTTCAGGACACTGCAATTCCAGGTATATCATTTGAAAAACTCTCCAAGTATTAAATAAAGAGGGAGAAAAACACAGCAACTTTTGTAAAGAGGTCCGCACATACCCAATTTGAATTATTGGATCAACCGAAACAGCAGTTGTTTGAGTATCATACAACCGATTGAGATTGACCTGCTGAATCATCTCATGAAGGCGCCAGATAATTGGTTCATGAATGTTTATTAAGAAAGCAGAAGTATCAGGTCCCTGAAAAACAAAAGAAGACCAACACAATCAAATGCTGGGAAATAAGTTGACATACATCAATCAACAAGATAAGAGTTGCTGCAAGCTCACACTAAAACCAATGTATGGATAAACACAAAGATCTAATGAACCATTCGATTGCAATGTCATTGAAAACTTCAAGATATAATCTGCCTCATCCCCTACTTTCTGTGGCCGCAAGAGAACTGGCATTGGAGTTAATGGAAGCTGGTTATCTACTTGTATTCCATGCATTCTCAATTTGAACCTACAAGAAAAAACAGCATTGAGGTTTCCAGCTGCTCAACTGTTGTGAACCAACAGATACAGAAAACAAAAATAGCAGAGTTCCATTAATGACAATCTAACAAACTAATCTGGCCGAGGATAACGAGTGCACATTGCCCGTTTATAATGGAGCTGTACAAAGTTACAGTCAATTCACAAGGAAGGTACCCTTTCAGAGGCAATAGAAAAGGAAACAAAAGATATGAGGAAAGGGAATCTGAGTTTAGTGCAAAGGGATGACAATGGAGACTTCAATGATGAAAATTAACGTCAACTGAGCTCCATGTACCTACTTCTTCATACCAGCATACAGCATTTAGTACTTCAGTTTTTAAACATCTGTAGTAAAAATATTCACTGGTAGACTGTAAGGCAATATCAAGGTTCTCTGGGGGTAGAGTGCATTTGGATGTCTTCAAAATTGCAATTAATCTATAAAAAATAACAGTTACTCAGGTAAAAATCTACAACTTCAGTGGGGAAAAAAAAGATATAAGATTGCCACCACAAGAGCTATGGGCATGGATCTTTTCACGTCTCCTGAATGGATGAAATGCCGCTAGTTCAAAATTTCATTCTATATTATAAGAGAATGATCAATGAGGAGAGTGTTTATGAACCAAAATAACATGGCTATAAATTTTCCGCCCCATAATGCTCAAGCATTAATACTGAGGTGGGGATGTCTAAAGCAAACAAGTTATACTAAAGAATGAAAAATTAGTAATAGTGAGTCCCACCTACTGAACCCAGATCCCAGGCCAGTAGAGTATGCTAGAAGAACATTCTGTACGGACAAATATAAAATTTCTTCAGGTGTGTGGTCAATAACAGATATTCCCAGCTCAGCAAGCTCAAGAACAACATGAAATTCACAATCTGTCGCAGATAAGAATTGCTGTTGCTGAGTCTCGTTTCCACCAAGCTGTGACAACCTAACTGGGGCTCCTGAACTTACAAGAGAAATAGATTCATTTTCTGGCATCCAATCACTGATCTTAACAACATTCAGTTTATCTTCCTTTACAATAGTGACACGTAAAGCTCTAGCTGGTCCACCACCCATATGGATAGGCAAGTTATCAGAAATCTCATCAATATTGTATATCAGTGATTTTGATGAATCAGTCCCATCTACAAACAGCTCTAACAGCCGCCTTCTACCAAGATCTTCCCACAAGAACGAAGCAGCTGCGTTAGGAAGAAGAAGGTTCCATGAATCACTGACACCATCCACTTGCTGAAAGCGAATGGGTAAAAACATAGAACGATTTTCAATCCTGTTAAGAAAAATTAATCATCACTACCATCCAGAGAGAGAGAGAGAGAGAGAGAGAGAGAGAGGGAGAGAATAGATGCAAAATGAAACAAAACCAGGGAAAAATGTTAAAGAGGATTTTAGTATTCTTTATAAACTGAAAAATTCTTTGTTCAACCAAGGTTTGAATTGAAAACAAACAAGCAAGGAAAGTTGATGAGAAAAACTTGTAGCTAAGGGTTATATAATATACTCTAACCTGTAAGGACTGGATGAAGAGTTTGGACGGAAAATAACTTCATAGCGGGAGCTTTTTGTGCCACTTCGTACTTGTATCCTCAACTGCATTTGATCTCCCCCAGTATCTTTCTTCAAAGAAACGTGCATCATGCCTTCACTGCAAACGCTAAATGGTGTGCTCCAATTGTACCCTTCTACCCGCAACTAACAGACAAATGGACATAACATAAACATCTGCACATTCAATCAAAAACAAAAGTTTTTTATTTAGCACAAACCTTCAACAGCTCAACTTGGGAAGAAGATTGCCATCCAAATGATTTTGGAGGATCTGTGGGATGAATCCATTCCAACAACTGAGAATCACACTGCTGTAGGCAGACACTGAACCCAACTCTATTGACAAACAAGGTGTGTGGCTGAAAATGAACAACCTGAATATCATCCAATTGACAGCTGTTATAAAATTATCCATACAAATATAAACAAATCATTACAGCTTCTTGGTGAATAATAAATGCAAACCGATGTTGCTATATATAAGCTTCTTTGAGGAGTTGATTACGTTATGTTAGGTCACAATGATACTTAAAGTTCACTCTGAAGAGGGGCTTACAATTTTTCCAATAATGGTCATTTCTCATTTGAAGATAGAAGCATATACAAATGCTGATTGGGCTGTATTTCCTGATGATAGGTGATCTACCTCAGGATTTCATACATTTGATTACTTGGAGTAGCAAAAAAAGAATTGTGATTATAAGGTCAATACAGAGGCTCAGTATAGAGCAATAGCACATGGCGTTTGTGAATTTCTTATGGCACAAAAAAAAAAGATACAAGATCTACATCTGTTCAAGTGAAGCCATTGTGCCTATATTGTGATAACAAGGCTGCAATTAGTATTGCATACAATCCAATTCAACATACCCATACTAAGCACATCGAGATTGATCAATTTTTTATCAAAGAAAAACTAAATGATCAAATTCTGAGTATTGACTATGTAAATTCAGGAAAACAATAGATGTGTTTACTAAGGGTTTGTGAAGGAAATTGTGTCATTTCTTTTGTATGCAAGATGCGTACAAGAAATATATATACCATCTTGAGGGAGAATATTAATAGCTTTATATAAGCTTAGTTGGGGAGTTAATTACAATATATTAGGTCTGACCCTGTAAGGGTACTGTTGTAATTCACAAATCATAGATTTATAGGTGTAGGAGAGCCTACAGCCCTTTTCCGTATTTTTTTAATTCTCCAAATTTAGAACATCACAAACTTTAAATTTGTTGCCTTAATGATGCAGTTCGCAAGACTTAAAAAAAGGTGACAATCAGAACATTCTTTCCTAAGCTATTCATTCTCTGATATGGACCATTGCCGATGGTAAGAATGCACAATGATAATCCTGTTAATATATCCTACAGACACCCAACTTACTGAATTTATTCGAGTTTGATACTATACTGCCTGTAAAAGTTATCCTAGTTTGAGTTCAGTACAATAACTGCAAACAAGTGAAGAGTTTGTCTATTGGAGGGTCCAACACAATGCCATCCTATCCTTAGGCACAGCAGAAATTAGGTTCCTTCAACACCCATTTTCAGCATTAGGCCTAACAGAACTATCCAAACACAGCAGACTAGATGCAATAACTATGAAGCTATGATGCATGTGGGAGAAACAAAATGGAAATTTAGGTCTCTTGATCCATGTTTTTAAAAGTAGATCCCAATCATTGGTTACCTAGGAGGAGGTAGCATCAGTAATCATTGTTTGACTACTTAGAAACATAGAGATCAGTATTCACTCCAATATAATCCTTAGTGTCATCTAGTTTATTTTAAAGCGGAGAAAAATAAGGCCTGCTGTTTGACTGGATTTCAGTCCAATCTTCAAAAACTAACAGGCTTTGCAAGTGTATAGGATGACTTAGATTTAACTTCCATGACAAAGCATACTCCAAAGCAAGCCAAGAAATTTAGAAAAAAAAAAACCTTGCACGATGCAATTGCCTATCATTCATGCATCAGTACTCATATGAAGTACAACAAAAACAAAAACACAGAATACTAAAGAAAAACCTTTGTCCTCTCTGAGGTCTTAAGTACTACGGAAAGCTCGTAGTAAGATCCATCTGAACTAAATGCCTTGACATCAACCCTTTCCTGAAAAATAATTCAATCAGCATCACATACTGAGAGAAAGAAAGAGAGATTTAAAGCTGTGGAGATAAATATTAAGTCTTAGCAGGTAAGAAATTCATCCATCCCAATCACCTTCTTTTCCAGCTCAAGCAGAGAAATTCCTGGACTATAGAGTTCAGAATGACGAATAGCAACGGCAAGACCCACTCGTGAGGACATATATGTGTCTTTCTGGGATGGAAATAACATAATCCCACTACGACCTGCCGAGTCTTGTGGAGAAAGCATGCTAGGTAGTGGGCTAGTATCCTCAATTACTTCAAGTACTTGGAGGTTTCGCTTTGCAACGGAAAGTCTCCTTTCCATTGAGTTTGTGGCATTTTTCGAGGCTGTTTTTGCAGGCTTGACAGATCTATCTGCATTATCCAGTGGCTCAACTTCCACCATTCTATATGCTAATGGCAGAGATGAATCATTTACTATCCAATATGGAACAAAGAACCTGATTATTTTGGGTGCCGAAATGGTCCCTCCCATATCTCGTTCAATGCTAACACGCACTCTCCTGCAAATCCAACAAACAAAATGACTATCATAACCCTGAGGTGAAAAATATGGATGTCCTGAAGATTCATACTATGTTAATGATATCTCAATCAAACTATACTTATCCCCTGGATGGAGAAAAGGCATAAATATGGAAAAGGAAGCTAGAGTTTAAGGAACCAAAACAGAAGGTAAATGTAAAAATAACTCGTATTGATAGAACTTCAGTTTCATTAAGATATGGTCCACAACGTAATGTATCATTTAATTGATGCATCAATTGTTTCCAATGAATCAGTATAATAGTCAAACAGATCATGCCAAATTTATTAGCAATTCATGCATTCCGGTCCTTGCTTGGAAAAAAAAAAAAAAACAAGGATGATTGACACAAAGAAATTTTGATACACTTCTATTATTCCATATCGAAGGACTCAAAGAAATACAACAGAACGAAAGAGAGCAGCAACCACAACTCAAATTATATATTCCTTACGGCTAACCGATTTCGCTACATGCATCCTTTTCTCCCATAACGGAAGATACTATGATAGTAACTTTGATGATCTATATATTTAATATCTAGAAAGAAAAATTTATCATTAGACCAATTCTTGAAAAGCCCAACATATGAGTGCAACACCAACCTTTTACTTCGCTGCTGGACCATCCAAAATGATGAGATGTGATCACTGCTAGTAAGATCCAAAACAAGAATACGGTCCTGCAAATAACAATTAATGCTCGCTAAATGTAAATGTCTCACAACCTCAATTTTAGATATGAGAAAAATATATGCATCAAGTATGGCCATACCACTTGAAATAAATTTCAGATGTAAGGAGTGTATCTGCATTTAGAACAAGTATTACCTTTTCCAAAAGCCAATCACCCTGAACCAGCAATGTGAGATAGATAGGTTTATGGATATCTGCTGAATATATATGTACTCCCTTGCGTGAAGGGATGATACCATGCTGGCGCTCAACGCAACCGTCGTCATCTGTTTTTTCCCAAATTGTGAATTCAGCTGAACAAGGAAGTTGGTTTTCCAACTTCAATGGAGAATTAATAGATATTCTCCAATCATAAACAGGAGCATTCAGTTCAGTGTGAAGAATTGAAGCATCGGCACCTATGCTCAGCCAAAATTGTTTACTTCCAATACCAGAAGAACAACAAAAAAGAGCATCCTTCTTCTCGAGCTGGTTCAACTTGAAAGCATTAGGCATTTTGTTTCCCAGTTTTGAAGCATTCTGTCTACTGACCAAGCCTTGTTCAATAAAAGCCTGCTCCTTTCCAAAAGCATAGCCAGAACCAAAAGTAACTGAGCGGCCCCATGAATATGCAGACTGACTATGATCGACATGAGGACGGACTTGTAAGCACTGGTCAGAATCTTTGGATGTGCTTCTCCATGGTAAAACAGCAGAAGATCCAGGACTTATGGAAATTAAATTTCCATGCATGCTACTTAGTCCATGCCCGATTAACTGTTGCCTCCTGCGAATCCAACGCCTACGACGCACAATATCAGGAGCAGATTTTATGCCTGATTTTGGAGTTGGAGGCCATTTCAAACTGTGGAAGTCAGGCCCGTATGCCCACCCATCATCATCAACAGGGGCAGATTTATCAATAATCCATGCAGACGTCCATTGCCATCCAGAAGGAAGGGAAGGTTCAAAAAAATCCTTCAAAATAAAATATGAGTCAGATATAAAACTAAACAATCTTGGATAAAGAAAAGCTGAATTTTCAAAAATGTACTAACATTTGATGTATATGAGAAGTCCCTGGTGCTCCATCGCCCTAGATCATTACTTCTAAGGCCGGACCACTTGTTACCCCAACCAGATATAGGATGATAACATTGATTTTCAAAGACCTCTTCTATCACAATTTTAATGTTGCTTCTCCCTGAGGAGGAAGCCAAAGACGCGTGATATATAGAAATATCCAATGTAATATCTGAATCATTCACTACTGTTGCAAGACCTCTGAAAATCACATGCTTCTTGCCATTTTTCATTACCACCTCCATGGCAATAAAATCATTTTCTAATGATTTTGGAACCACGGACAGTGGAAGCACTGAACGAATACCCTCCCAAGCACTATCAGGACTAAGACGAATCCAGAAACCTATGTCCCTATGAGTAGAATATTCAGTTTCTTTGTCTCCGTGAAAGTTCGATACCATATTCCTTTCGAAATAAGTAGTCGAAACTGACAGGTAGCCACAATCATTTAAGTCTTGAACATTGTCTTGCTGAACCTGAAAGAGATGATGATAAGAGGAAAAAAAAACATAGACACTAATAGACACACATACAGAGACATAAACAATAATATTTTCACTAGCAAAGGCACGAAAGAATGTATAAGTTCTCTTTGTATACAACATTAATAAACACATCTTACCCTTCTTCGCAGAGGATACGAAACTGTATTCTGGACACTACTGGGTTGATGTAACATCCTAGCTGAGGCAAGTTTCTTCAACATTACTGTTCCATGTCCAACAGGCAGTGATAGTGCACCAACAACTTCACCTGTATCCAATACAAAGTACATAAATTGCATTTTGCATACGGTTTGGCTTTATCAGATTAATTGTACTGTTAAATAGCCTAATTGAAATAATGCAAATGGAAAGGGGAAAAACTTGAAATGTGATAGTCAATTTGAAGGAGAAAATACCAAGAGAATGACTAATGTAAGAGTTAATTATCTAGGAAAGCATTTGGTTAATCATAGTTATTGAATCAATGCAACAGTATGTGAAATAAATTGCAATTACAATTGAACCATAACACATACCTTTTCCAGCTTTTGCTGCTAGATTCGTGACCTCCACTTCTAACTTAGCCATCCCCTGATAAAGTTCAAAAAGGTATCAGGAAAATCATTTGAAATAATTCATGAAGTATTCAAAACAAAGAAACAAGAATATTCGAACATTAAAAAAAAAACAGTCTGAAGGCAATTTGAGATGATAATGGATTTCAATGATGGACATCTTGTACAACTTAAATTGTTACAGTGATGAGGAATCAAAATATTGGTTCAGACAGTGTAGGTCAAGGATCCCTGTATTTAATCAAAATCTTTAGGAAACACTACAAACATGCAAGTGGGACAATACCATCGGCATTTGCAGAATCTCTACAATACATAAAGAAAAAGAAACAACATATGGTCTCTTTGGTGCATACAATAACAAATGACCACCAATATTGGCCACATACCATGGATGGACTCTATATTTTATTTGCTCAGGGCTCCATAATTTCTTCCATCCAGTTTTCTCCACAGAACTCCAAATCATTGATAATTTTTTAACAAAGGATAATCCCTCTAATTGCACTCAAAAAATATATATTCACAGACAGAGTATATTGAGCAACTATAGATGATCACAAACAATCACTGGCTTGTAATTTATTTGGAATACCAAAAAAAGTATCAGCAATCTGTGAAAGTTTTAATTATTTTTTCTACAGAGAACAAAAACTAGAAAGGTCAGCATGAGAAAAAAAAATAAAACAAACTAAAAAGCAAACGACATTAAGAATTTTTTTAGTCACTTTTGATGCTTCTTCAACCTTGCACTTTGACCTAGTAGCATCAATGCCTCATTAAATCAGTTTGGTCGTAGGATCTTAACAGGACCGCTAAGGGTAGACATGTTTAAAAAACTGATAATAAAAATATGCAAATTGTAAACTTTATGCAATAGGTGACACATTCAGTTGCATGCTCAGAAACAAATGTTTGATTCTCAGGTTAAACTATTCAGTTGATGCTCAGAAACAACCAATATAATGCATTAAATGGTGATTGAACCCTTCATTGGATTTACCAAGATAAATGCTATCTCTGAATAAATTTATTGAATGTGAAGCTTCAAATCACAAGGAGGGATGAGGAGGGAGTCAGGAACGAATTTTATCCAGCGTCCCAGAAAAGCAAATCAGATGCAAAAAAATCATGTAAAGCCCAAAACACTCATCCCGAGATTTCTCCAAACTGGTAGCAGCAAATAAGAAGAGGATGTAACAGTGACAAAAAAATCACCTAAACAAGAATACCTTTTGAGGAATTTCAAAGATGAAAAGTTCATTCCACTTTGCATAGCCATAATTCACTTGTTTGATTGTTGGAAGTACAGGCCTCACACATTTTGTCCTTGCACTCTGAGGAAAAGACTTTTGTTGATCTGTCCCCTTACTACCAATGACAAGACGTAGAGCACAAAAGAAGTTATGGCCATTACCATCATCAATGATGGGCAAACCCTGCAGAAGGTATGAAGATACATCTTTACTAACAGCAACAGCAAACAGCATTTACTTTACATGATGAGTAGGATGAGCTTAGTAGTTGCAACCTTGGCTTCAAGTATCTTGACAACAACATAACAGCGTGGTTCCCTAGATTCATCCGCAAATTTTAACCTGTCAGAAAATCTTGGAGGTGGAATCCAAACAGAAGCACAGCCACCATGATATAGTTCTTCAACTTCAGTCATATCATCCTCAACCCTCTTCAGATAAATATTACATCCGAGTTCATTTTCTATTGTAACAGTCTGAAAATCATCTTCATCCAAAGCAGAATAAGTTGGATCCACTTCATGTTTGTGATGGCCACTAGTTTCCTGCACTTAGTAAGGCATTTAGACATTATGTTTAATAGATCAAACAGATGCAGAACATTATTGAAATATAAACAGCATTTAAAAATCATGTAACCTCATTTAGCTTTATTGCTTTCTGATCAAGTTCTAGCTGCTTCCTCCAAGAAACGATGGTCCCTACAAAAGTTTCAATGCTGGCTGCACTGGCATTTACATTCAGGATGCTGGTTGCAGCAATACGTACTTTCTTTGCCAGTCTTAATGGTGGATGTTCATTGGTTTCATATGTTTCAAACCTTGAAAAAAATCGAACAAAATCATGCATATTGAAACTACATAACAGGAACAGCAAATTTACAAAAAAGCACACTATAGAAATACGAGCAACGTTACTTGAAGATTCCATCAAATGGTTCCACAAGTGGCTCCCAAGCTTCTAATTGTGCATTGAAGGTTGACGCAGCAATAGAGGAAATAAGTACAGCATTCATTGCCTCTAGTCGACCATGTGTTGCAAGCTTGATATTGGTTATTGTAGTATCAAATAGAGGTTTCATCTGAAAGGGGACTTACTATAAGAATAACAAAGAGAAAAAAAAATAGTCTTTTTGTCAAGGTTTAGGATGCTTCCTTCCAGAATCTACATACCATTCCACATAGGCTGTCTAAAACAGTTACAGAGAAGCTTCTTATCTTCAACTCAGAAGTTACATTTTCCTTTAACTTTGGCTTCATAGAATCACCAATTGCAAAAGCCAACCGATTTGACGGCTTTTTAAGATCAGAGCGGGCAAGAAAAGTGCATGCCTAAAGAAACATATAAATATTATTATTCCCTAAATTCAAGTAAAACTTTAACAGGTTGAAAAGCCACAACTTAGACAAAAATGGATTGCAACAATTTAAGAACTAAAATTAATATTTAGCTGAAACTACCGTAGTAATGTTAATATATAGAGACTACACAAGTTAAAGAAAAATTAAGTCTAAAGGTTCAGGTTACTTTTATTTTAACCTGATTTTCAACTTTCCAAATGCTCCAGCATTGAGACACTTTTGAGCTTGAAGATCTTGATATGGGCACCTCAATTATATTTACTTGGTTAACAAGATGCATCCTTGGGCAGCACACTAGAGCTAATCCAGGAGCTTCATCTGTTTTGGTTACCAAACATCCTAATGAAGCATAACCAGGAGGAGCAATTGGATACCAGAAAAAGACTTCATCAATGCCTTTCCCCACAATATGTGCAACTTTAGTAAACTGGACAGGCCTTGAAGAGATATCAGGATTATCAGCCCTAAAAATTAGGCCCAAAGCAGGTGGTTCCAAGCTGCAAAAAAGAAAAATGTAATCCCAATGCTTGATTATTGAAGACTTTCAAAAGTAGACGGATCCAGTGCCACAGTTAGGAAAGGTTGGAAAAAAAAAAAAAAAAAAGAAACATAGAAAATTGTCTAACCCTTCGGTAATGCAATCTCCCAGTATGCCATAACCAGGACGTGCTATCGGCCTCCATACGGAAACGGGTCGCCGTACATCACTACCTTTATCCCACCATATTCTCTCAAAATTGGGAGTCGATATGTAGCAATTAGATGCTTTTGAAATTGATCTGATAAGGTCCCATCCAGATGAACCTGCATTCTCACTACCTATTCCCTGATTTTTATGGCCATAGTCACCAGTTAAATCTGACGCGATTTCTTTAGTGGGAGAATGATGCCGAATAGAGTTCCAGAGGAGAAGATGACTTAGGTCACAACAACTGACTCTGGGCGGTAAATCAGTTGAAGAATAGGCAAAAAAAGATGCAATAACATTGTCCATTCGCCAGATACTGAACCCAGATGCAGATAAAGGATTTGGTGGCACACTATATATGCATTCTGAATAAGATGTGGATGTTATAAGGTCAGACCGTAGGCAATAAACAATATGATTTGCTGGTGGTTGGTTTCCAACATTCACTACACAACCCAATGCAGTGTATCCTGCTGGAGCAATAGGCATCCAAAGAGAACAATCACTATCAGAATCAGAAGAGCCTGCACCTCCAACTCCTTGAATTTCTGAGAAGGAGGCAACAAGATTGAATCCAATTGGCTTTCTCACACGTCCATATGTGTTACTTACTGCCATGACAGCTTGTGAAGGAGGAATTGTCCTGATAATGAAACAATCAGAATTAGCAATAACAAACCACAAGAGAAGGGAAAAATTCAAACGCCAGCTGTGCAGAAAAATGAAAGTAGAGAAAAGAAATATACATAAAAAAAAATCAATATTAGAGAAATGAAAAATTAGAACCTATTACATTATGTTTAAAAAGAAATCTACCAAAAATAATGGATTAAAAATATGACAGCTTGGTTAAATTTCAGATAAGTTTTCACATGAAAATCAAGTATAGAGCAGGTGTAATTAGCATTTATTAAAGGCAATACACTATTGCTTTGTTAGGCAGTATTTGAACTTTGAATGAAAAATTGAAGTCAACAACTAATTGGTCCTAGACAATGTTTTAAAAGACTCATCCTATGAATATGACACAAGAAGACTCAGCCCACAAAAAGAAAGGGCAGTTTAAGTCTTCCATATCCCAATATACCTGCTGAAGAACTCAAGAAAGCTGTCTATCTTTCTTCAAAGTAATTTTACACTGTAAAACAAACATTGCGATTCATGCACCTATTCATGTCAGCGAGAATACATAACCTTCAATAAGTCATCCTATAATGGAAACATAGGTACAGTCATTGAATTTAAGCAGTAGGTTTTCTTTTTCACAAAACTTTAAAGAAACTGTCAAGAATAAAATGTGTGTATGAGAGAGAGAGTGGGAAGATAAAATTTACCTTGATGTCACACAATCTCCCAATATAACATAATTTGATGGAGGTTGAGGTCTCCAGAAGGTAAGATTATTACGAGGCCCATTTTCTGTATAAAATACCCAAAATAATGGTAAGAGAAGAACAAAAAGTTAATCAAATCTAATAAGCAGGTTCCAGAGCCCAAGGTTAACATAATTAAGATACTCATCTCGAAGACAACTCAACAAATACTCCAGTTAAATAGAAGACAACCTTTAGGGGAGACCCAAATCCGGTCATAGTTTATACAAGGTGCCAAGGGAATAGCATTTCCAAATTGTAATGCTGCAGCAGCTTGATTCTGCAAGTTAAGTAAAAGAGAAATAGCACCCAAGGAAAGATGGAAGCATATATCTGTAGATGTCAAAGACATATTCGTCTTCTCCTTCACAGATGTGTATGCCCCTGAAATATCTACCGGATCCAGAATCATGAGACCAGAACCAGCCTCAACTGTCAGATCCTTCGCCTGAGCACGAATCCAGGTATCATTATCTTTTGAGGCATACCTGTCAAGTAAAGAAGGTAAATATCATTAAAATAGAACAAAGCCAGGAAGGCTTAAGAAAAGAAAGGCTGTAACCCAAACATATATATATGGAAATGAGTTTTCAATAATCTATTTTTTATTTTTCAACAGCCAAATGCAAACGAAATAATTATACTTCCACATAGGGGTGAGCACTCAGTCCATTTGGTTCGGTTTGAACCAAACAAGAGCACACTGAAAAAACAAAAAATTTTTTAAATGATTCGACCGGGTTTTAGCTATTTTTTATAGTTTTGGGCTTCATGAAAACTGAAATGAACTAAAAAAATTTCAATCCTTTATCTATGAAAACCGAAACTGAACCATTTGTGCTAAAACCAAACAAAAACGAACTTGTCCAGTTCAGTCAATTTAACCAAAGTTTGCTTCGTCCTACTTCCAAAAAAAAAAAAAATTTATGGGAATTAGAAGTAGAAAACAGGGATATCAAATATCTCATCTAAAACTTCTTTTAAGTATCTTAGCCTAAGTAATCTTTAACTATTTTCAATAACAGACATCTAATTGCTAAAATTGAGAATTTGAGCTTCCATTTAACATTAGAAAACCACGGGTTCTCATCAACAATCTATAACAACTAGTAGGCATAAATACCCAAGTGCCCCCGTCATCAGAGACCGCCTAGATGTTAGGGAAGAAGTGAGGAGGGTAAAGCAATGGTATTTTCTATGCATATGAATGCTGTCTGGTTATTGTTGCCTTTTCATTTAAATGACATTTTTTCTGAACTATCCATTATCAAGATTCATACATCTACGCATTGCATCCACTCAGAACCACGGAATTCAGGACTGTCTTGACAGCCATCAATATAAATTTAAGCATGAACAATGAACTTCAAAATTGCAATTGCTTTCTGGAGAGGCCAATGGCCACATGCTTCATTGCAATAATGGTAATACTGAAATCACATTATGAGGACTGGACATCAGAAAAACCAAAGATAAAATAATCACGAAGACAAAGGTGATAAATACATGCTCCCTCCTTTCAAATATGCAGCAACCAAATGGCAGTGAAAACATACAGAGTAATAAACTGGTATTCCTTACATGAAACTCAAATCCATTTTTGCACGCAGAAGTTTTTCCCCATATGAAGAGTCATCCAATGAAGATTTTGTACCATCATAGAAGGTAAACTCAGGAGAAACAACCTGAATATAATAATAAACCAAGTTTCAACTAGATAAACACAAAGACAAGTTAAAAGTCACAAAAATCACATCCTGATCGAAATTATTATTAGTTAAAACCATTAGCCAGTGATGATTATCATGACCCAAGAAGCACTATTTAATTCGTTGTCAAAACAACTACATCAATTAGAAAAGGAAAGGATTCAGCATGAACCATTTGATCCCATACTTATCCACTCAAAAAGTAGAATTCACATCAACTTACTACCGAAATCATTTATTTCTGCTCTCTTCCTCTTTACTTTCCTCATTCTTTCCCAGCCAAAATTCTGTGATTTCTACTCAGGAACTGAGTGACATACACCCCAGCTAACTCCTAAGGAACTTGTTTTAAGAGCCTGTTAGGAAGTGCAGACATGCAATGCCCTAACCATTTGTTTACTGAGAAATAGAAGGAAAAGAAGAGAGAAGGAGAGAGAAATGAACAGAGAAAATGAAAAGAGAGAGAGAGTAGAAATCAGAATGATACTAATGGACGTAAATTTACATATTAGCCCTACATACGCAGTTAACTATTTTTACTATTGAGCCCACCAGCTGCCCTTTAACATTTACAATTGAGTCCTAACAGAGCTCTTCTCTAAACCACTCTAACTCGGTGGTTGACAAATGCAAAAGGAGCTGCAAACATTTAATTTTTGTGGAAGATCTCTCATAAATGTTCATTATATTCTTCAAACAATGAAATACCACGTAATTCATAGGATGATGATGGTCCAACAAGCCTTGCAGATATCAGCCTTAACTTCACATGTGATAGAAATGACAGAGACAGATGAGCTAGCAGAACCATAACATATAGCCAGCAGCTAATAATTTTGAAGTTTTTATAGTCACCGCATATTTATATGAAAATGAGCAAAAACAAAATGAATATAATAAAAGCCGATGACAGCATTTAAAATTCCAGCAAACCATAATGTATCAAAATGACAAAAGAAGACAAGACCGTAAGAAAACCTGGGCTTCAAAGGTGAAGCTCTGCACTCCACTTGAATCATTTTGAGAGTCAGAAGTATTTGAAGTGTTTGATAATTTATGAACATCATCCAGAATCTTCTTGTCATCATCAGATGAAGAATTGTCCACCAACAAAATATCAACACCATCTTCAATGGCGATTGAATAACTGCTATCATTACTCAAGTATGCATACTTCCTCAGAAGGGAACCATTCTAATGGAGTAAGAAAAAACAGATTATTATATTTACGAAAAAGTCAGCTGTTCAGTTGGTTGCAATCCAAGATAAACAAGAACATCTTAAAAACATACCACAAAAGCTAAACAAATAAAAAAAGACACCACATCCATGTTCTGCTTTTCCAGTTCTCATAAAAGAAATTAACTTGAATTTTTAGAAATTATATTTTGAAGACAACATGCTACTAGGGTAAAATACACAAATAAATAACTGCATCAAGAATGTCATCGTGCTAACTATTCAAAAGGCTTATAATTCAGAATACCTATTGTGTAGACCAGAAATTAACAAGCAATTAAAATAGTACATTTTCCTACTGCTAGGTGTTCTCACAGATTTCCTAATCAGCTACTGCATAGAACAAAAGCGTGCTCGACATTTAGAAGAGACAAGTGTGTGTACAATGCTTCTGATGACAAGATTCAGAGCTGAACAACGAGTAGGATATAGAACCTGTTAGCCCAGTGATATTACATGAATCCCTTATTTATCAACCTTTCGTGTTTAGCATGTGAATCACCAGTTCATAGATGCACATATCCAGTGAGCAGAATAGATAAGACACAGCCATAAAAGTGAGACAATATTCATAAAAAGTGGGCACCACAAGTACCTCAATCTTTACGTTAACAAACCGCAGCCTCTTACCACGTCCAATTATTATGATTGGTCGGGATCTCAATGAATGAAATTCCTTGACATTGTTTTCCTCATTTAGGAAGATAACATTTCCACACCCATCATATGTATATTCATCAACTCCCTTGTAATCTACTATTAACTGCCTATTAGGAGACAAGTGCACCACATCTTCACTCTGTCTGTAAACTGGTTCCGTAAGTACTATACTATTGTTTTTACAGATGGGATCCTTCTTAGGATCCATGGTTTCCTCTCTTCCAGTTATTGCCCCCAAAGATGGCACAAAAAACTCTCCCACAGCTAGAAGAAAATCTGGTACAGCAAGAACACGAGGTTGTTGGACCCGAACCACACATGATTGGGAGGAAACTCGCCATCTATAGTCCATCAAAAACATTGTTGAATATGGAACATCCACATCAAAGCCATAATCAGACTGCATCCTCCTAAAGCTGCCCCTGCTCAGTGAATGAGAAAAATTTCCACTAGAAACTTGTTTTGAAGCATCGGTGGATGATCCGAGCATCAGGCGCATTTCAGGTTTTGTAACAGGACGAATGTCCAAGATAGAGAATTTAGGAATAGTTATGTAGAGATCTGTTTCTGACAATGAAGATGTTCGGTATGAAACCCATAGACCTTCCAGCTGAAAAGGGACACAATCAGGACTTGTAGCAACAAATTAAATAACATTCAACATAAAATACAAAGGACAAGCAGAAATCTGTGGTGTGTGTGTTTTGTTGTTGGGAGGGGCAGATGTTTATTGGCATAACGTATATAATAGAGAATGAAAAGACTCACAGCAAGATGAGCTAAAGGTGACTCATGAACACCATTACAGAGCTCCAACAGTGCGTAACCGATATCAACTGCCATTATGTTAACAGTTTGAGAAAATAGGATTTGACTATTCAAATTGACCTTGTCTACCAGCAATCCCATTGTATCTTTTGAACCAGCTTGGCTACCACGAAAAGTTGGAGGAAGCATTGGCTCTTCAGATAAATTCATAGATGTGCAACTAAGAATTACATTATATTCTTTATCAGACATGACTCCATGAAGGAAATCCACCTGCTCAAAAATTAGCAACAAGAATCACCACACAAGCAACAAACCACATGGAGAAAACCAAAAGTGGCCACAGAAAGCAACAACTTTATAACGTATTAATAGAGAAAGCTTTGTTTTTTCGATATTACTTTAGAGGCGGTCAGCTAGTTACAATTCCATCAAACTGGAAACCTAAGAGGGTTAATTTGAGAATACTCCTACTCTTCAAACTGAGGATAATAAAAAAGAAACATGAAAAAAAAAACAAAAGAAAATTGGAAGCTTGCACCATTCATTCTGTGTTGCAAACAACATTGAATAACCTCATACAGTTGACCTTATCAATCCACAAAATCAATAAGAAAAACTGAATGTTCCCTCACAAGAGAAATTAAAATACAGCGAGTGGCAAAAGAAACAGAGAACAACAGCGTATCAATGAAGCTCAACCAAATATTACCTTTACTTCAAGAGAAAATGTTGGTACTTTCCTGAAGATATCCCGCAAACTTCGACGCACATAAATATCTAGTCCTTTTCCTTCCCGTATCATAGGCTTACCTAAACAACCATCAAGTCCAACAGACATGTTGATTCCCAGAATCTGACATTAAGACAGTTAAATACAATTTAGAACTGGAGTTCTCATTTCCCCAACAGTAAACCAAATAATTATATATATTATATTTATATAACTTTCATAACTACCTTAGCATGAAGAACATCCATGTGTACAGCTGAAGGGTCTTTCTCTGGGCAGCCATGCCAACTAAATTCATTTGTCACTTCTAAATGGCCCAGATCAAGTTGAATGAAACTGTAATATGCCCAACATATAAACAAGTTATGACATCCAACAACATAAAGAATTGCAGCAAATGTAAAAATACAGACTTCCAAATAAATGCAAGAACACCTCTGATAAGGCATGAAAGCAATACAAATTAAACAACAATTCCAAACATCGTTCAAGCAAAAATATAACTCAAACAAAGCCCCTTGATTAAAGAAAACAAGAAGATATCCCCAATGCAACTCTATGTCTGCATGCCATCCAAAGTTTTAACCATGTTCCAATCTACTCAGAGACGGGGCTAAAGCTAATTTAGTGGGGTCAATTGACCCCACTCAAGTTTAACGAATGTATTTATAATACAGGCTTAAATTGATGAAAATATTTAAAAGTACATAGTATGTAAAACATTTTAGAGTTTTCAATCCAATTTACCCCACTGGAAAACCACGTTAAATAAATGACCCACTAAAAATATTTCTGGCTCTGCCACTGATCTACTAAGATTTGCAGCAAACTTGATATCAATTCAAACTTCTCAAATTTTCACAAAACTTAGTTATGAGTAAGCTGCACCAGGAGAAAAGACCTTTTCATTTACTGAACATCTGGCAAAATCCCATACTTACTTCTTTCAGCAAAGTAACTATACTGAACATTATATAACATCCACTAAATTGCAAATCTACATACTCTTTGCTCATAGAATTTCGTGGCACAATGATAATCGGAGTGTCAAGTGAGAGGTCCAGCTTTAATGCAGTGGCTCCATCAATCTCGTCTTTCTGAATTAACCACTCAAAACCTCCAACTTTATCGACGAGCTTAATTACTTCTTCAGTATGTGGAGTTGCAAGTTCCATAAAGTACACAGTAACCTGCGGAAATGTGGTACAGAATACTGTAAGTCTAAAACTTTTTTTTTTTTTTTTTGGGCCTCAACTTTTATCGACGACTTAATTACTTCTTCAGTATGGGGTTTGCAGTTCCATAAAGTACACAGTAAAACTGCGGAAATGTGGTAACAGAATACTGTAAGTCTAAAACTTTTTTTTTTTTTTTTTGGGTTGGGTGGGGGGGGGGGGGGGGGGGAGAGACAAAAGAAGACAAGGAAAACCTTAAGTGTAACTTAATATTTTTCCTTATCTCTACTGTCATTCAATTTTTGGGGGGGGGGGGAGAGACAAAAGAAGACAAGGAAAACTAAGTGTAACTTAATATTTTTCCTTATCTCTACTGTCATTCAATTTTTATAATGCAACAGTCCAAAAATCAGTTTGATGGATGCAGCAATATTCTAGGATATTTTCCAGTTTTCAAATTTCTAAAGAACAGAGATGGGAGATGTTTTGTTTCTTAATAATCCTAGTTTTTTTAATTTTTAGAGGGAATCACAGGCATGGCTTGAATATCAGTTGTTCTGAGAAATGATGACTTCATGGCATGTCTTGTTTTGATCCAAAATGTATCAGCCCAAGCTTAATCAATTTGAAAGGATGGAGAGCCTCCAAAGTCAAGGCATTTTCAGTATTCAATGGTCCTAAATAGGATTAACATGAGGAATCTGTTACTGATGCAAATGCAATCCAGAGATTCAAATTCAATAGTATCATCTTTTAATGTTCACGTGCTAATTGTCACCATAAGAGTGAGAAATGGCCACCAGTAAACATTTCTATCCCAGATGATTTGGAAACTGTTTTTTTGCATATTGGTACATTTGCCTTCAAAACATGCTGTGTTTGCTATGCACTCGGCATACAGTATTTAAGGGTGTTTGATTCTTTCAAAATATGTTACAGGTGTAGTGGTACGATCTCAATACATACATTGAATAGGTATAGTTTTTTTTGGTAAAAGCTAATTTTAGCCATTGAACTTTTGATCTATGCCTAATTAGGCCCAAAATTAAGTTTTGGCCAATTTTGGCAAAACTTTTACTTTGAATAAATTCCAAATTTCTGATAGTAAGAACAAAAAATTATTTTTATTTTAAAAAAGTAAAAATTTTAAATACTTAAAACAATAAAAAAAAATATGTAATATTTCGAAGTTAAAAATTTTTACTTAACCACAAAAAATTATTAAAAAAATATTAATCCTAAAATCAAATTACAAAGTTCAAATCCAAATCTCTAAAACCAAATGATAGCAACTTCCTAAATTTTCACTTCCATGTCTTTCTCAAATATTCAGCAAATCGGTAACACTTGAAGCTCTTATGGAACATTACCTTTTGGTAAAAATTTTGTTGAGCCAAGAGAAACCATTTCAAAGGCATTTTTAGTGTCCATGGTTTATTGGAAAATGAGAAAGAAAAATAACATTTGATGAAGGAAGCACGTGGAGTAGCAGTAACTTGAGAAGGAAAGGAAGGAGGAGAGTAGAATGTCGAATATGGGATTAGGGTACAATATCGAGTAACTATCTGTTCTACTCAAACAATTAGCAATTTAGCCCCGTTATGTGACAACTTTATTAGCTAATCACGATGCTCCATTACAGCTTTCACCAAAAAAAAGATGATGATCAAGATTCCAGATAGCTCTAACCCAAGAGCCATTCAAGTGGTTCTTCTTGATTTGATTTCTTAAAATAAAAATCTTGGAATTATTCTACTAAAGAGATTTCGTGTCATTTTTTGTACAATACACATGCCTTGTCCTTATCCTCCATACCATAGTAATTAAAGGCGCAACATGCACCAAGGCAGAAAATTGATCAATAAACCTAGAATATTTTAAGGAAAACATTCTTTCATTAAAAAAATTAAAGAATCATATATTCAGATTTTTTTTTCGTTAATTTGCATGCAGAAAAAAAAATGCTGACACTAAATCCAGATATTCACCAGTTGTATTCGAACATACCTCTCGCACAAATCTATAGAGGAAAACAATGCGTACGGCTGATAGCCGGCCACTCAAACTATAATCATATCCTTCATAATCATCATCCTCAGCACTGTAAGAACTAAACTTGAACTGGAAAAGAAAAACAAAGCAACTATGTTTAACTAGAAGTTATATGATACCAGAGCCAAAACTAAGTAAGCGACTACCTTTATAAGCGATTCAAGCCCTGGATTACGGATATCACAAAGCCAACTCCACCAATGATCTGCTCCAAATGACATATCACATAATCTGAAATTTCCTAATGTGCCTTCAATAGAAAGAGAACCTGGATGGAGCTTGAAGAAAAAATTAACTGAAGTCAAATAACATAGCAAGATGGGAATATTGATCTAAAATCTAAGGAAGAGAGGCATGAGGGCAAAGAAGATGCTATGCCTAAAGTTATATTTGGATTTAGCAATGGAGAGGAGCAAAAGAAGTGATGCAACATTAGAGAAAAAATGTACAGTTGGATAGGGTCCATAAAAACTTCAAAATGGAGTTTCAAATTTCATTGTAATATTCAAAGAGGAAAGATGTGCAGAAAAGGTGTTCATGATAACATTCTCCTCACCTTAAAATCCAACAGGAAACTCTCTTGCACAAGCACAGCAAACTGGGAACCATCTTCTTTGTTGAGAGAGACAGTGACACTGTCAACATTCATGTTCAGATCAAATACAACGCGATTTTTACCATACCCCAGAAATCCTTTAACTCGCCCACTATCTTCAGTTTTTTCTTTGTTAATCAAAGATTTATCATCTGTGACGCCAGCGACATCTGTGCTACTTTGAGCAGAAGTTGCATTAGTTAGATCAAAGCCAAAACCAATTAAAGCAACAAGCGTAGGTCTGTTACAAAAGAACTCCAGTTTGGACATGCGAACGCTCATCTGAAAATTTCAAATGTACACATCAGCATAACAATTTAATATTTGACATAATAATAATTGAAATTCGTCATAATCAAGTTTGTACCTGCGTATCTACACCATCATAATCAGATGAAGAGGAACTCTTTGTTGAAAAGATAACAGATACGAAATGCAAACTATCACCACCCTCTGCCTCATAAAATATCTCATTCGAAATTTGCTTTCCTTGTAACAGACCCTGTTCATGCATTAAAGCGTCCGCAGAATCAAATTCAGAAGATTCATTGGTATCTCCCCAAATTCCAAAATGAGATATATTCATCCTTGGTGAATAAACACCAGAATCAGATGACAGAAAATCGGGCAAAGCATCCGTAAAATTATCTTCATCATCAGGAGGTACAAAAGACATATCTCTCTCTTCCAGGTCTGGAGGGCAAGGAGAAGAGACTGTCTTATCCATTTTCAGCACAGAACAGGCCAAATACTGAGGTTCTGTAGACACACAACCTTGAAGTTCATCTTTAATTTTCAAAGAGTGCAACTTCACTTTGACTGTCAGGTCACCCTCCGAACGAATCATGTACACCTGCAAAGCAACATTATCACACAAGCAAAAGCAGTAGCAACAAATTTTAGTTGTTTCTGAAAAAGCAAACAAAAGGAATTGGTATTTGGATTCTTGTAGAAATTTTCTTGTGATTTCTTCTGTTTCAAGCATATTTGTCTATCCCAAGACTATTATTATCATTTAGCCAACAAAAATTGCTGTATCAAGGAATCTTCAGACCTTTCTAGTAAAAGTGCAAATTTACTAGGAGAGCCAATTTCATCCCCCTAAGTCACATTTACAGGCAAGAAACCATTAATAATTAACAGCACAAACCTTTCCCCCACCAAAAAGAATCTCGATAATTAGAGTCTCCTCAAGTTTCTCATCAATTTCATCGCTAGTCTGCACGATAATGAACAAATATTGAAGTACTCAATTAGTAATCTTGGAAGTAATGAGAAATTTGAAAGGCAATTGCAACTAGGAGTGGCTGGTTCAGTGAACCGGCAGTTCAGAGCCAATAAGGCTCTGAACTGAGATGTAAACCAGTTCTGGTCCAGTTCCAGTGCTTCTCTTTTCTTTTCTCTTTTTTTTTAACCGAACATGGCCAGAACCGGCAGCAGCCGGGAGGGTTCCAGCCAGTTACAGCTCCAAAGAGAGGAACAAGGACTAGCCCCCCTCCCCCCCCCCCCCCCCCCCCCCTTACAGCTCCAAAGAGAGGAACAAAAGGACTAGCCCCCCTCCCCCCCCCCCCCCCCATTTCGGTCCAAACTGGACCGGTGGAGGTGGCCTGGTCTAAACTGCCCCCCCCCCATTTCGGTCCAAACTGGACCGGTGAGGTGGCTGGTCTAACTGCAACAATAATTTAACCAATATCATGTTATAGCTAATAGCTAGATGAATTCACCTAAAACTTCAATAAGCATAAAAAAGAATTGCACGAATTAGTAAAAATCTGTATATATATAAATTTTTTTTTTTCTCCTCCTAAGGACAATGCACAACATCTAACCTTTCCATATATGTAAAACTTTGTCTCTACTAGTGCCCCATTAATGACAAGGTCAGCTGTTTTCAAATCTGCGCTCCGGGGTTCACCAAATTCACCTGCAATTTCATTTGTTTCTTCAAGTACATTAACTGATGAAGGAACCTGCATTTAAAATCAATGTTACTTCCAGTAATAAGCACCCAAATTACTAAAAAACAAAATACCAATTGCCTGCAATAATATCATCTCATACAGAAGCTTTATATGTAGACTGCACAAGTCCTTTAAACCAAATTGCTTTCTCTTCTTCATCTCGAAACTCTAAAATCCAGGTGCTAGAAAATTCCAATGCCTGGGGAAAATAAGATACATAATTAAATTCATAAAAGACAACAAATGTCAAGAACCACCAAACAGCATAGATGCAATCAGTTGCAGCACATATTTCATTTTTCATTACATTTATGTAAAAGTTCAGTGAGCTCAGTAACATGAAATAAAAAAGCATTAAATCATGTCATTACTTACTATGTTTGTCTCATGCACAACTTAGCAGTTACAAAATCCAAAAATATTTACATTCAGATTTGTATAAACTCCAGCAGCAGAAAAAAAAAAAACACGAGGTGAAATCTCATGGCTAATTAATTATTTTCCATTATCATCATAGTGCACAGCTAAACATGAGCTACGTCCAATTATGATGTTCAAAAATGCATGTAGTTCAAGTAAATGAACAAAAGTTGGAAGCATCCTTTAAACAAGCTAATTTTTACGGTAGTAGCACGATAATTGATGTTTATAAACAGCATTAGGTCAAGTAATCACAAAGAATAATACTATCCTGCAGAAATATTAGGCAATTTTTCTGAGTTATATGCGTAACGTGTCTTTCTTGAATGGACAGTTTGCTTCATTCTAAGTAGGCATAAAAGAGTTCCAAAATCCTTCCATACATAATTTTCATTTTCACTCAGTTTTGGAGAATTAGCATGGTTCAAGAATCTCATAGTGCACAGATACAATACGTGACCACGAGAGAAGAGAAGGGATTGTAGTAGTGGGTGTGAATGAAAGAAAGAGCTTAGGTTCATTGAGGTCCAGGCGAAGAGCAAGCTTAAGCCACTGCCATAATCTGCAAGCATTTAATAACATCAAACCTACGTGGCTCACCTGTTGAAGGTCCATTCCCCTATTGTAGACAGCAACACAGAATGGGGAGCCACCAACATTTGACAGAGGAACATCATTCACCTGTCTACCGGCCATACTGCAACAGTGAAGTCTTAGATTAAGTGTGCGACAAATCTCCAAACTAGATAATATATATGATCAGCCCAAGCAATTTAAAAAAACCAAAAAGTTAAAAAAAGCTAGGTGTTAGAAGGAAAAAAATTAATGGAAGAATTAACATAATCAAGACATCTACATTACAAGCAGCAGGCGGAAACCAGAGCCTGGAAAATAATGGGAAAGAGATTGAAAAAGCAAACCTCAAGCACCGCTGGTAGCCCAGGGACCTCCGAGATTCCGTAGCATAAAGAAAAGGTCCAGATAACACAAGAAAACAGGGCTGCCATGTAGCAACAGAATTGCCAATCCCCTAAACCAAGATATTGATACAGTAATCATTTTCTCGCTCCCAAGCCATGTATTCAACCAGCTAACTCTGCTTATGATTAAAAACATAAGGATTTACCTTCCAGACAAGGATTCGAGCATCAGTAGCAATATCTGCAGAACTCCAAGGAGAAAATTCAGCTTGAAAATTATCAACAGCTGATTGGCCACATTTTTCCATTGTGCGATACAACATATTCAACAATTCTACAAGTCTACAATATCTCGCTGGTGAAAAATGAATGCCAAGATTTGGCACTTGAACAGATATGCGTGTTGAAGGATAACTTGGGTGAGGTACTTTGATCTTCAATAAACAGATAACAAACGTCACCTCAGGTTCATACTCCAATAATAAGTAAAACCAGAAGTTTTTCAAGTGATAATACTAAAGGTACAAGAGAGTTCGCAAAAAGGTGAAAACAAAAAAGTTATATGCTAGGATTCACATTTCATGAAACTGTCAAAACCTAAGTAAATGTGAACTTGGATGACATTTTCAAGATATAAAGCAGCAATATAGCAATCAATATTTGTTACTTAAATAGATATGAGCATCAACAGCTTACTCTGTGAGGCACTTTCATCTTCAAATAAACATGTGCACAAGTACAACTACTACAAAGTACAACTTTTAAAATTATTAACATCCAGAGTAATTATTCTCTATCAGATTCTTAACATTTTACTGGTAAACTCACATGTGCAAATATTTCAAAATCAAAGAGAGAAATAAAAGTATTGTGTTTGAGAAAAGAATAAGCTAAATAGTATACCTGATCAACAATTACTGCCATTCCACACCTATCAATGAGAGAATAGTAAATATCATTTTTTTTGGGAATGCAAGATGCTCTTGCATGACTATTATCTTTTGGTACAACCACCGTAGGATTCTGATAATCAGAATCACAATTTGTAAAGAATGCAGCAATATCTCTTCCAGATATGTAGAAACGAGAATACAGACTCTGCCTTTGTTCATCAGACTGATTTTCCTGGAACAATATATAAATTTTGAGCACAGATAAAAACTGATTGGAAAAGTCTAAATAAGAACACCATACCGCAGTTTGCAATGTAAAATGACCGAAATCCAAAACAAAATGCACATCACAATTTGAAGAACCAGCGTTCCTTATAGGAACCCTGACTTTTGGAGCGCCCAAATCTATGTCAAGAGCAAATCTGAGAAACCAAGCACATATACAAGTCAATTTGCTCCTTTTTGGCAAAAATAAACATTGTAGCAGGGAAATATAAAACAAATAACAAAAATATATGAACAAATAATTACCTGCTCTGTTCCTCTAACACCATCTGAAATTGTTCCTGTGCTTGACGAGTCACTTTTTCAATCTTCATCTGCACTTGGCATTGGAAAAAGAAGAGATTAGTTTAACATCAATACTGTGATCTGTTCAACATATTGACATCAATACCTGCAAAGCATTTGCAGTTTCCAGAGCAACAGTAGGGCTGACTGCATTACTTCTCTTCAGAAACTCAAAAAAATGATCAAAGCTTTCCATCATAACCTGTCAGCAAAAATGACACAAGGAAGAGAAGGGAAAATGATGATTTGCAACGGAACAAGGGAAAGATATGAAGAGCAAATAGTAAAATGTCTTCCTCAAGATCTTATTGGTAAGGAAAGCAGTATAACTACTGTACGCAGCTTGATATTAGTACAAATCACTCCACTCCCAATCTCTCAGGAACTAATTAATCACCGTAACATGGCAAGGAGAAATAGCAGCTGACAGCCTCCAATCAACATTCTCCCCAACTGGTGAGTGTACAAAACTAACAGATAATGCATTCACCTTCTGCTCGCTAGATACACTCTGCGAAACAAATTGCATACTGTATATAAGTCCAATAAAAGTATGAAATATATGCAGACCAAAATCTAAGTCTTCATTATAGCAATTTAGTCTAAAAACCCATTAAAATGAATTTTAAAAAGAATCGATTGTTTGAGTTTGTTATTGTTCTGATTTTTGGATCTTTTTTTTTTTCTCAACTGTCAAAGAAAAATCTATTGTAAAAATATATTTATTTTTGCATTTTGGTATTTTACAAAAGAAAAACAGGGGTCCACAACTTAGAGAAACCACAAAAATTAGTTTTTGTTTTTACAAGATACAAAGTTTTGGCATAGACAACAAAAGCCAAGAACAGAAATGATACCAGAGCACCTTAAAAATTGAAAAAATAGAAAGGAGTTCAAAAAAAAATTTCTACAGAGTACAGATCTATCTGATGATAAACTCAACATTTCAAATTTCTATTCAGGTGAAAAAACTACTAACTATTAACTCAAAAGGCAAAGTATACCATGATCTTTCTATCACAGCCAACAAACCTGGGCAAGTGAACCTCCAGGTGCAGATAAACCATAGAATTTCAGCAACACATCACAGTGGGTACTTCGATTTTTAAACTTTGTTGACACGTATAATTGCTCAAATCTACCGCAAATAATCTCCCTTTGATTTATATCAACAATCCTGGCAGCAGCCTGCCCGATAGATACAGTCACCAAATGTTTAATCATATTCTGCATGTCTTTTCCTATATGCGGCATTAACTCCTCGTCAGGCTGGTAACTAAGTAAATTATTAATTGCCTGCCATTCTTCTTTAGTCAGTCTTTCTTCTGTTAACTCTGACCCCTCCGAAGCATCCACACTATTGTCATCTTCAGAGTCTGTGCTCCTAAGGTGAAATGCAAAATCAAAATAAATAGGGAGAGTTTGAAAATCATAAACTTACAAGGAAACATATAGATTTCACCAGATCTAGAAGTGAAATAAAAACAAAACAAAAAACAAAAAAATAAAGTTCCAACCAACCATCTAAATGAGAACCAGCTTTTCTTTTTAAGCCTCCTCTGTTCAGCTGCTTCCTTTGATTTTACAGATTCAACCTTAGCATGAGCAAGTAACCTAAAATGATGGACAAATGAAACACAAAACACCAACACAGAAATATAATGAGAACAGATGGAAAAGTAAGAGTGAAATTCTAGAATTTTTGTCATTGTTCATGGCATTGAACCTCATACATATCGTAAAATACTAAAATAGCACTTAATCTAGCCTGGGGTAAAATGCATGACGGGAACATTTAGAAACAGTTTTATGATACAAAACTCGGAGACCAGGACTTGCCTAGCCTTTAAAGGAAAGGTCGCTGAATATCAATCAATCATTTTAATGGGTTTTATAGGGGATCAACATTGTAACCAGCATCAGGGATGGATGTGAGAAACCATGGTACCACACAGCATGATTGGCTTTCTTGTTCTCATTGATTTTGGTTTAATGCAGATTTATGATACCAAACCACATTCATCATAAAGGTCATAATACTAATTTACAAATGACATTTCAGGGCTTGCTCAGCCTTCAAAGAAGTTTGCCTTATGATAATCCAATTATTTTACTGGGTTATGTTGGGGTTGAGATCACAGAACCCATCGAAAGATTATAGATTTTTGCTAAGATTCATAAGGACTATTCTTCGCAATTTTGATGGAATGGACCCAGGAAGTGGGAGGGTTACCAACCGATGTGCAACCTAAGCCTAATAGGTGTCTCTATGAACCCAAAGGAAAAAGATATAGAAGAGCTCATTTCAATTTGAGAATTTTACAAACCAGATAAAATGGTCAGATTTCGTTTGTGAAATCATTTTCACAAAGATTCCTAAGGGTTATTGTTGTTAATTTTGATGGAATAGGCTTAGGAAGTGGGAGGGCCACCAATCAATGCGTAACCTAGGCCTAATAGGTCTTTCTATGAACCCCCAATGAAAAAGATAGAGCTTAGTTCAATTTGAAAATTTTACAATATAAAATGGTCAGATTTGGTTTGTATCATTTCTGAACATTTTTACACAAGAAATCCATCATCAAATGCTTTCTTCAGCATTGATCATTACACTAATGCACATCAAGGAACGCCCTAAGAATGTTTTTTTTCCAAAAAAAAAATAAATAAGTGTTTCATACCTCCATAAAAGAATAACTTTGGAATCAAGATCTTTCTCCATTTCTCTAAGCTCTGAGGCATCGGTAGATGATTGTTGAAGTGAACTAGCATACAACTGAACATAACGGCGACGAAGCTGACAGAGATGTTTGATTCGGTCCCATGACAATCTGTAGCTGAAGCAGGACAGCGTTAAAAAGAGGGTTTCAACTTCAGAAATACAATAGATTGCAGAATACAATAAAGAATGCTTCAGTAGATTATCCTTTTTGTTTTCTTTTTGAATGAATTCTCTAAGCATCTTTTCCAATACACCATCCAACCAAGCAAGATTGCAGCACAGTTTCTTTTGCTGCAGCCAAGCTTGGCCAAAACAAATAAAGCATGTGTGCTTGTCAATGAAAATACATTTCACTTGCAAGGGGCAAGGGAAACATCTAAAAGAACATTAAATAATCAAATATATTTACAAAATAGCATGTATGTACCACATCTGCTTCTGCTGCAGGACAGCTAGAGCAGCATAACGCCACCACAGTTTAGGATTCTTTGAAACAGGCACCTCAGGTCTTAAATGAGAAATTTCAATATATTTCTTGTATCTTGAAAAGACTTCCAGAAGTTTTATCCAATCATGATATTGTGTCTGTGAAAACAAAAAACAAGTGGCACATGAATTTAGCAAATCACTTACTTGCAAAGAAAACAGAAGAAAAGTACTTAAATAATTTGTAGATACAAATAAAAGTGGAAAAAAGAGAACGATGAAACCCTGGGACAAAGGCCAGAGGTGATCAAATAAGACAAAAGGTTCTTTTCTAAAAGAAATGGGCATTCAAATTTGTCTTGTTGAACCACAGCAAACCATGGCAGTAACTGCAGAACTGACAGATGACATAAAGCACATTAAAATAATAAGAAGAAAAGGCTTTCACCTCTGTAATTGTTAACGAGACATCACTTAAAACAAGAGAAGCCCTCTCAAATGGAATTTCAGGATCAACCCTTTCCTGTTTTCCAAGACGATGATATTTGAGGACTCCATTGATTGGTGCCAGCAGATAGTTACGATTAACAGCCCATTTAGACACCGTTCCATAGCCACTAGAAGGTCCATTTATACCTTCTTCAAATATCTAATGGATCAGCACAAGGAAAAAAAATTAAAAAGACGCATTATATTAGTTGATCAATTATTCTGTGGAAAAACAAGTAACAATGCTACAACAGAAGTATAGAGGCTAATGATTCCAGATGTAAGCAACCTCGACCCATTCCTTGGGATTGAGATCTTCCCATCTCTTTTCTATCTTCCAAGGAAGGCTGTTGGAATCGTGATAAATAGCAAGTCTTTCAAGCTGCAATGACTGTTCCAAAAAAATATATATATAGGCATTAGTTAAATCTTAATAAGATGAAAGTAATAGGAAATTAACAAGCAAGGATTTTGAAAAAACATCACCAGTTGCTCCAATATCACAATAGTCAGTTTCACCAGTATGCAAAGGAAAGCACCTGCTCAGCTACAGGAATCCTAACTACTTCTCTACCACATTACAGAAGTGTTACATGAAGAAAATTTTATATAATCCAACTCAGCTTAAGTCTTAATCAAAACTAGGTAGGATTGATTATGTTTCTCCTCCTCCTCCTATCCTGCCAAACTAAAGCTATATCCTACATAAAATAATTAAAAATATGCTGTTGCTGCTGAGTAACTAGGCAAGGCTTTAACCACTCAAAGCATCGCCTTATTAGAAATCGGGCTCCTCATAGCCCCTAATCTCCTTCAAACAACCATGTTCATAGCTTATGAAATATATGGCCAATACATGCCCCACTGCTCCATGTTGCCAAACTAGAAGCCAAGGAAACACATACTTTATAATCCTCTCCCCACAGCCATGGTTCAGCCCAAAGCAAGTTGGACTGCTATTGGGTCACAGAAAAAACCTCCCAAAGACATGCTCCCACCCACAACAAACAATATTGAAAACAACTAAACAAATACCAATGAAACTATGGAAGTGCAAATTTGATCAAGCAATTCTTGCAAACGCTTATAGTATTTGAATGCCACAGGCTACTTTTTAGCTATCTTTTTCAGAAGAAACAGCTGAATAAGAAATGAAGAAAAGCTACCTTCCGCAATTTATCCAGTGCACCACTGGTGTCAAACGTTTCATTTCCCTGCTCATCCATTGTGACAGCTGCCAGTTTGGCTAAGGTAACACCAAAAGAAAATGGATGCCTTGGATTGCTGCAAAAACATCCAGGTTCTTACAATAAACATGGTTCATACTAGGATGGAACACAAAATACTGACTCATGCATAAATACTAAAAACAAAAATAGGTTGCTATACAAATCATAAAGAGACCAAACTAGAAATGAAAGAGAGAAAGGGTAATTTTTAAAATAAATGGACACCAACCTGACCTCATCCTCAAATCTGACGTGGACATTGGTGATTGAAATCTTAAGATTTCCAATAATAGTGGCAATCAAAGAGCCTAGCCATGAATTTCCAGGAGGAGGCTGGAAAAGCATCATATATCAGGTTTACTGCCCTAATATAAAGAAATGCACATTAAAGCACATGGTACTATACTTTCAAAAGATCAAATGTATGTAGGAAAAAATAAAGAACCGAGAGCATATGTTTTTCAGAGAAAGCAAATGAAGAAAGGTGTCATTGCCACTTTGTCATCTTAAAGGCTAAGAAAGTTGTCCAAACTTTTTCTATGGGTAAATTGCAGGCAGCAACAGCTAAGGCTGATAAATAAATAATCCAAAGACTATAGAAACAAACAGTAAAGGCACAAATAAAACTTTTAAGCAGAGAATCATGATGTTCGTGTATTAGCAAGGTCCACAATGTTTTCAGTAACTGATAAATTGCATCAACACATTCCCAAAAGAGATATAATCATCAGAATAAAGTCTTCTATAAGCATGGTAATGATAAAACAGATGACTAAATTTTCTTTAGCTCAAGCAACTATAATACATGAGTAAAAGAAAAATTGAAACCAAAGACCATACATTTCCCAACTTTGACCTAGATATTCCTTCAAGGATTGTCAGTTCTGATTCCTGCACAAATAAGAGGGGAAAAAAAAAAGGAAAGAAATATTTATAAGTGCATCAGGAGAGAAAGCTCCGTATCTCTCAATATAGACTCATTTTATAGATGTAGTGCACAAATTATGATGGTTAGTTAGGAAACAAGCATCGAGAAAACATAAGAATACATGTGCGCAATTGTGTCATGCACAGAGAGAGAGAGAGACAGAGAGAGAGTTTTACTTCAATCTGTTGAAGTTTGGTTTCAAAAAGCTTTATCCTATCCTCCTCCTGCACAAAAGAATGAACAAACTAAATCAGGGGAAAAATGAAAAGAGATCATGGTTGAACAAAATATTAAGTTTTCATCATTAAAACCAAACGAATCACCATATTACCTTGAGAATCTGACCAACAGAAGCAGGATGAGCAAGAATAAAGACACGATCAATGAGAACAATCACAGGTTCCTTACCCAAACTTTTCCATGGAACCTGACAGTTCAAGAGGAAAAAAAAAGGAAATAACAAAATCAATAATCAGGGCATAACCATCTGATAGGTAGACATGTTACAGAAATTAAGGTGTGGTTTAGGCTAACAAGGACCTAGAACAGAAATAATTTAGAGAAACTTTCATGAACTTTCAGATTTCAATCAAGTTAAATGATTAATTTCCAGAGTATTTGAACAATAATCAATAATAATTCCAAATTTGTCCATGAACGAGCACAAATTTAATCCAATGCTATGGCGATCAAATATTGAAGTCATTAAGCAAGTCAAAGGAAATATTTGAATCTCATATGACATTTTTTTTCTCTTTTGTTGTCTTCTATTTTTGTAGTTGTTAAGCTTGAAACTCATTTCCAGCAGATAGTGTTCATAGCCAACACTAAGGTTAAGGGGCATCAGAAAAAAATTTTCAGCTCCATATAAATTTTTTCCCGTGTTTGAAGCACAAAAAAGAATTACTTAACTATCAACTTTTCCTGGTCAATGGAAAACTAAGAAGTTTAGTTTGCCAATTAGCAAGTCGTTTCCAACCAAAGACATAGTATAAATATATATACACACAAGTATACATTCATATATATATATATATATAAAAACATTTCCATTATCTTTTCCACTGAAGAAAATTAAAATTGTCCCCTAGAAACCGAAAGAATAATTTATGGTGAATTTTCAATTTTACAACCAACAAATCAAAGAATTAAAAATAATAATTTTATTTACCATAAACGTTTAAACAAACAGAGGCTTGGAATACAAAAGTGAGAAACTAACCAGGTTTGAGAAAAGAAAGAAAAAAAAAAAAAAGAAAGAGAAAAAGAAACTCAACAAGCATAGTAAGTGCACAATCCATATTCCCCATCTTCATTGGACAAAAATATTTTCTTTCTTTTGTGTAGTACCAAGTATTCATAGCACTTCCCTTGCAATTATTTCTTAGTTAAACCTTTGAGGCATTCATAATGTTTTTTGAAGCAAGGAACACTGTTTATTGATCTCTGCCAAAACATGTTTGAACCATTCGTGTAATGGTAAAATAGATAAAAAGGAAGACCCATAAACAAGTAAGTGTCACAGCTGGCATTATGAATATAATGCATATCACCTCACAAACAAAATAATATACATGCTTGTCCAATATATTAACTGCAACAAGCTAATTCTACAAACTAAAGCACGTAAACAGTGATGTAGAAATATATCAGGATACAAAATTCATCCTGAGCTATGGGTCATAATATCAGCCACCTTTAATGTAATAGTACCAACAAAACCAGCTTTGACAGTGACTGGGAGTTTCAGTGCATTTAGTGCCTCTGCCTTCAACCTCAAATCTTTGAGGACAACATCGCCTACAAAGAAGAGTAAACATCAAAGAGAGGGACGAAATAATGGCATCCAGTGATCACCACATAAACAAATTCTGCCAAGCAGTCTCAAAGAAATAGATGGTTTCTACAATGCTGATTGTCCATGCTATAGCAAATTTGCTCAAACTCAGAGCCAAAATATAGCAAATTTGCTCAAACTCATAGAGCACAAAGAGATAAAAGAATAGAGGGCAAACCTTTCCAAACACTGATCCTCAATGCCTCTCCTGAGAGCCCATGGACGTATTCACCCAAATATCTTCGAAGCAAGTGAAGAACCTAAAATGAAAAATATCAATAAAAACTACTTCACCCATATATCATCTGAAACACACTTACCAGACATGATCAACCAATAAAACCACCACCACATAATCATATCACTAAAATATAACCTAACTGGAACATAATTCCAAGAGAAGCATTTGCACTTTCAAACACTTTACTATGTTTTGTACAGATACCACTATTCCTATCCACCAAGAGTTATCCTGGCATCTCATGCAACGTCAACAAAGCAATACCAGGTCAAGTTCAAGTTGAGTTTTGATTTCCTTTGCAGCAAGTTGCGGTGTATCATCTCAGAGTTCCTATTCTACTAATAAACAGTTAGGCACTTTAGTGCCCAACAATAAATTGTGTTCCCTATATTCACAAGCAATGCTCCATGCAAAATTAGCCAACAAAATGGAGGAAAAACAAACAGAAATGCTTGTCAATAAATAAAAAAAGAGCCTGAATACTCGTGATTCCCAGGCATTTTTATGAAATATTCAAGGAAACCAAACTTCATAGTTATTTACTTATCGCTAATTGACAATAAACAATAAAGGAAACTTTGCAATTAACAAAAAAAAAAAAAAAAGAAAAGAAAAAAAGAAAGAAAAATAACATACGTGAGCTTCGAACATGGTGCTTGATCAAAGTTGAATATCTTTTAGCAGATTGACGACGATCGATGTAGAAGAACCGCCATTGAAGAGTGGCGAAGTAGTGTATTAGACTGAATGAAATTTGTAATTCTGGTTAGAGTTAGGGTTTGTTGTAACTCGAAACCTGTATCTGCTTTGATCTGTACAGAGAGAAAACGGCCAAGAGAAGCGGACGGTTTGAAGAAGTGACAGGAAGGAGAAGGAAATATTGTCTCGGTCCCTTTGTGAGTTGCGAATATTGGCGTGGAAAAGTATCACGTAAAGACTACGAGAAGGAAAATTTGTCCTGGTCCCATGTGTTTCATTACATGACTACTCACTATCTCAGATAAATCCCTTTTTTTTTTTTTTCCCCTTCAAAAATTGTTGAATTTTGAATTTTTCATGTTTTAAATTTTTGAATAAGCTTCGATTTTCTTGTTATGAATGATTTTTTTTTTTTCATCTCTCATGCACCGTATAAATTTGATATTTTTAATTTTACATGAAAATAAAAAGAACAGTGAAATTAAACAAAAGGAGGGAGTATCACATTAGCTCATGTAGAATAAAAATTTCAATCTCATTATTATAACATTCTTTTTTCTATTATTCTCTTTTCCATTTCATTCTCTATATCAAAATTTCAATTTACTTTTATATATTTGTAATTGTTTCTAATGGGCACTTTAATAGAGTGTTTGATTGTTGGAATTTCACATGAAAATGAAATTTTGATGTCTAATTGGTACTCCCTCCGATCTATATGTATATATAGGTACCATTTGGTTTTACGTAAAATTTTAGAAAAACTTATTAATATAAATAAATTGTATTTTTTATTTATTGTTCCTAAAATACCTCTATATTAATAATTATAACATGTACAATCGGGACCATGAATATAAATTAAACAATAAATTATTTTTTTAAAAATGAAATAAAACTATATTTTAAGACAAATGAATAAAAAAGAGCCTATACACATGGAATAGAGGAAATATATAAAATTAAGAATTCAACATTCATTTCCCTCCAAAAAATAAAAAAGAATAATTTAACATTCATAAAAGAAACGAACACTTAATTTCTAAACATGCCTCGCTTAAATGATGAAAAATAGTTTATAAAATAAGATATTTTTGAAAACATAAAAACATTACCGCCCTTAATTAGAAAAATATTTACTTACACACGAACAATATTTATATTTTATATTGATTGATTACGACGTCGTATGGCTACGAGGAAGTCTCGGATGCAGTGTAAGGCTGTACGTTCAGGGGATACAGCTGTCCCATTTTCCCTCGCAAGCGATATTATCTGAAGAGTCTTTGATGTTTAATTCTGCTACTTACCATTTCCCTTATAAGAAAGTCGTTTGGTAATTAATTTGGTATTTTTCATGCTTGCAGGCTGCAGCACAAGAACGGTCCAATATGAGTTTTATATGGAAAGAAGCCTAAGCATGGAGATATGCAATTGATGCTGTTTTTTTTTTTTTTTTGCCGATTTTTTTTTGCCGATTATTACTCCCTCAGTCTCAAACTACAAGTCATTTTAATGTGATTATTTTATCAGAAATTTAAATATTTTAAAAAATAATAAATAATATTTTTGCAAAAACTCACAAATTATCTTTGATTTTTATTTGAAATAAAAGACTAATTTAGTCAAACTAATTTTTTTAATAAATTCCTTAAACAGCTAATATTTTAGAAATCCATCAAGTTATATCCAGTACCAATGGAAAGACATTTAATGGCCTCTTTTAAATGGTCTTGATTAGGCTCGGGGCCCAAGATATATCACCTCTCTAGATATCGCACAATTTACTGTTGCTCAAAGGTCACCATAAGAAGGGATATCAAGGTAAGTATCATACAGAAAAAGCAATTAATGTGCATTTCTTCCCCCATAAAATTTGGTAAGTCTTAAAAGCATTATTACCGTTTGATTTAGCGATTCGTGCCAGCTGATAAATGATAGTGATCGTAAATGATAGTAGTTGATAACTGATGGTTGATAGTGGTAGCTGATCATCATGATTTCTATCGCTTATCATTAGTTGCAGATTAAAAAATTTATTAAACACTTACAATCCAATTATTGGGTGTAAAACAACTATCAACTGAATGAAACGCCCCATTAGCCCCAATGTTTTTCGTCACCCATTATTTGTTTATTTGCCATTAATCACATTTGTATTGGCGGATGTAAAGGAAATGGATTGATTTGTAAAAGCTGGTTATCCCCTCTCGCAATGCCTACTTTACTCCTCAGCCATGCAAACAAAGTAAGATGATAAGATATCTAATTGGAAGGTAGTATAAGATTCATCCCACAAGTGATTCCCACCCTAACACGTATTGGATAAATTTTGCACCACTACTTTCTAATCTGACATCTTAACTGAAAATGGGAATACAGTGCCATAAAAAATTGGTTAGTTTAAGATTAAACTAATCAACATGATAAGAAGAACATAAAAAGAGGGGAGAATAAGAAGGTTAAAAAAAAAAAAAAAAAAAAAAAATCTCTAGGTCTGCTCTAAAAGCACCAACCATCGTCGACCACTCAATTTGTCAATTCCATTTCGTAATTGTAGTGCTTTCTTTCCTCGTAGAAGAAAAAACCCATCACCAAGCGTTTAAGTTTCCCTTTATTTGTCATCTAATACACGTTTATAATCACAAAGGCCCCTATTGCCCTCTTTACCTAAAATTAGCTTTTCAAATTGACATTGGGACCCAAAATATCTAGGCGGCTTAGGTGTTTTTTCAACGGTTAGTTAGAGGTTAGAAAAGGAAAAAGAGAGTTTAAGTTGGGTAGCTTTGGAATTAAATAATGAATTGGAATTATGATAAGTAACTTAATCATTGGCTGTAATTACATATTACGATCCGCCGACTGCCACTGAAAAAAATGACCAAATAATGAAGTCCATGTACGCAACCTGTTGTGACTGGGCATGGCACTAACTGCTTAATCAATGAAAGTGAGCATTGGAGTATCAATGCATTGACGCGTTTTATAAGATATTTCCTAATAAAAAAATAACATTAGGAGTAAAATGTCTATTTACTATAAAATTTTCAACAATTTAAAAAGCGAAAAAAAAAAATTTAACTAATTGTGAGGATAAATAAAATTGTATATATATATATTTTTAACATGGATTAAATAAAAAATAAATTAAGTTTAACGAGATTTTAATTGTTGGATTAGAAATTTGAAAGCTTATGTGAAAATTGATAGTCATGGTTGTCCTATTTCTTTCTCTAATCTCTCCATGATGTAATTTGTCCATCACGTGTCAATTTTGCATTAGCTTCATTTACATAAAAAAAAATAAAATAAAAAAAGTGTTTTCCATTTTTGAAACTTTGCACAAGCTAGAAATACACCAAATATAGATCTACAACCTTCAATAATAAGTAATAATAACTTTAATAAAGTCAAACATGAACTCATGAGTTGATTAGTATTCTCTTTAACATGAGGAGTGAGAAATATCGGATTTGAATTATTTCGATTATAAAATTTTTTTATTAATTTGATAAATAAGTATAAGGTTATCTATACTGTGTAATATTGCTATTCCGATACATTATATCTCCAAATGAAAAAAAAAAGAAGCAAATCAATAGCTATGGCTTCATTAAATTCATGAATTAATTAAATTCATGAATAATAAGATCTTAATTAAGTGTGATTGAAATAATATAATAATAACATGCTTCAATTAGAAAATTAATTAAATTCATGAATAATAAGGTTTTAATTAATTATGATTGAATCTTTAAAAAAAAAAAATAATAATAATTATGATTGAAATAATAATGACATGCTTCAATTAGAAGCAAAGAGGTCGCACCTCAATCAGTAACCTTTCCTTTCACTAGTGGGAAATGACTCGTATAAGGAAAGGGATCCCAACTTCCTGTAACGTATAAACCGCTGCTTACAATTAACAGCCGCAAAGTTCAAAAATTTCAGATGAACCTGTCACCGTTTCCCATTACAAAATCAAACTATTCTTATTTGGTCTCCACCTCAGCACCTCAGCTTGGACCCCACACGTGCCCGTTACCGAGAGCTATGCTACAGGTACCAGCCGGTTTTTTGAGATAAATTGCAAAAAAAAAAAAACAAACGTTTTACATATGAAAATACTGATTTACATATTTTAATTAATTTAAAATAGTTTGACATTTTAATTATTCTTCATAAATTTAGTATGGCCAGGATTTTAGATTCTAAAATAAATTGATGTTTAATTAATCTACCTAAGTAAAAAAAAAAAGAAAAAGCTGACTGTGGTTAAAATTTTTTTTTTGTTTTTTAAACTTCTAATTACTAATTAGTCCGAAAAACAAAAGTAAACTTCTACCTAATCCTACTTGGATTATGATTCAATTAATCTGAGATATATATTACCCTACTCATTCCTGCGCTTAGCTTCACATTCATTACACCATTTACGCAGACGAAAAGAGAGAGCGACACAGAGAGAATTGAGAATCTCAATTTCAAACCTCAATTGATTCGATAGTTAGATCTTTTGTTTCTCGAAAGAAAGAGAGGGACGATTTTGCGACTTGAAGCGTGAGATATTTCTTGATATTGGAACCCTAACCTCGTTATTGGTAGAACTATAAGAGGGAAGAATCTTTTAAGCGACGGCCTTTCCAAGATGATTATGAGTCAAAAATTGGTGGCGGAAGCGGAGATTATCTGTTCACCGAGCATGCCTCGGGTTCTTGATGTGCAGTATCATCTGCAGAATTTGAACGTCGATGTGACCGTTCCTTCGACTCCGATCTTTGAGGCCATTACCACCGACATATCTCGATTCGAATCGGTAATAATTTTCGTTCCGTTGATCTTCCTGCGTGTCTTCGATTTTCTCTTTTTACGTTCTTTTGGATTTATTTTACGATAATTTATGATTGATATGCTAAGATTTGCTTGACCGATTCAAGGGCTTCATGATATTACTTTTTCTATACGTGGGTGGATTTATTGCCTAAGTGTAGATTTAGGGTTGATTGTTCTTCATCAGATTTCTGATTTTTGACGGGCTTCTTGCTGAGTTATTGTCTTTTATCGATTTTGTATACGGGTTTTCTTGGTTCTTTGTCAACAAGTTGTTTGTTGTCGATCGATTGAAGTAGCTTCTGATACTCCACTTGTTGGTTGTGTATGTAGGGATTCGTTGCTGACTTTTACAGGTCTGATTAATTGGGAAGAATCTTATATTTTCACATAGAAGAAATTAAATTATATATTTTCGGTTTAATTTAAGGTGTTTAAATGCTAGATCAGAGATATAGTAGCTTTGCCTCCTCATTATAGTGATGAACCATAGAACACAATTGGCTGAAAAGGCTCAAAAGAAAGATTAGAAAGTTACAAGAGTGGTGGAAGAAGGCACCTGTAATTAAATAATTTAACTAACGGTTTGGTTAGATCACTGGGATATGTTACTTCATGTTAGATTAGCTTAATTCTCTTTTCTCTGTCTGTTCTTTGCTATTTTTATTTATTTATTTCTCTCCTGAAACCTTCAGAACATGGGCTAACCACTGCCTGTCTTGCATTGTAGGCTGTGACTCGCACAGAGATGATGAAAGAAGCAGCTATGGAGTCTTCTGCTGTTAAGTCTTTTCCAACCATTCGCTCTGGTAGCTATGCAGACATTGGAACAAGACCCTCCATGGATGACGAACACATTCGGATTGATGATCTGTCTTCTTATCTGGGTTCTTTCTTCAAATGGCCCAGTGCTTTTTATGCGGTATTTGATGGTCATGGTGGCCCTGATGCTGCTACTTATATCAAGAGAAATGCCATGAGGTTGTTTTTTGAAGATGCTGAGTTGCCTCAAACGTCTGATATTGATGCTGTCTTCTTAGAGGCATTGGTGGATTCCCATAGGAAAGCATTTTTAGTGGCAGACATCGCCTTGGCTGATGAAAGGAGTGTTAGCAGTGCTTGTGGAACCACAGCACTGACTGCTCTAGTTATTGGAAGGCATCTACTGGTTGCAAATGCTGGTGACTGCCGGGCAGTTTTATGCAGGAAAGGGGTAGCTGTTGATATGTCCCAAGATCACAGGCCTTCTTATCTGCCAGAACGCAAGCGCGTTGAGGAGTTGGGTGGCTACATTGAGGATGAATATCTGAATGGTTATCTTTCAGTTACTAGAGCTCTTGGAGACTGGGATTTGAAACTCCCATTAGGAGCTGCATCACCTCTCATTGCGGAGCCAGATGTTCGACAGCTCTTGTTAACAGAGGAGGATGAATTTTTGATCATTGGGTGTGATGGCATATGGGATGTCATTTCAAGCCAGGAAGCTGTCAGCTTTGTCCGTCGTGGTCTCAGGCGGCACGATGACCCAGATCTATGCGCCAGAGAACTCGTCAGGGAAGCATCGCGCCTGCATGCAACTGATAACCTCACCGCAGTTATCATCTGCTTCTCTTCTCCTAGTCCTGTTGAGTCATGTCCTCCTCAAAGGCGAAGGTTCAGGTGTTGTGGTCTTTCTGAGGAGGCCCGAAACAGATTGAGGAGCTTGTTAGAAGGAAATTGAATGTACAGAGATTTATTTAATGAGATTTTTAATGATAAAGGATTTGTATCAGTTTGTGGCTGTTTCAGATAGTTCAGAAAAAAACAGCCAGAAGTTTTGTAGGGGAGCTAGGGGTAAAAGAGTATACCGGGATAATTGTAGCGGGAGCAAATTATATGTTTCTGGATTTTTATGTTTAATCAAAACGTCAGATTATTTTTTATAGTTAGGTATTGCTTATTAGGGTTCCCTGCAATGTGTAAAGCCTGCAATTTATTTATTTTCCTTTGTTAGTAATACAATAACTGTTTTAAGTTTAGAAATTGAGTTGTCGTTCCTGCGATTCTTTGGAGTTGGGGTCTTGCGCATGCACTGTTTTCTATCTGTTCTCATTCCCAAAAACACAATTTGGTTGATCCTTGGTGATGGATCATTATAACTCTTGTACAGGATATCTTGTTTGTTTGACTGGATTTGTTAATCTGATTTGGGTTGGTGTTTCATAAAGGCCTTGTTATCGTCACCTTAGCTAGAAGGCTATCTATTTGTCCACCACAAGTCTGAAGAACTGGGGCGAGAGGCCACCATTTTATACTAGGAAATGCCAAATAATGGAATTACTCCTGTGCCTGGCAAATCAAAATTAAAGAAGGTTTTCCTAGCTTTCGTAAAAGTTAAATTACCGCACTAATGGTTGACCACTTACCATTCGTTACGGACAACCATGATGTAGACCAGATCAAAGGCTCCGGTTGCATAAAATAGGAAGTCAAACGTATCCAAAGGCTTCGATTGCATATCGCTTATTGATGTGTCAAAAAAATAACAGCTAACTTCTAAAATTGTAAACACCAGATTATTCTGAAAATTTATATATAAAAATAAAAGCCAACATATTCTTCTGGTCTGTCAATAGCCGCAGTCTCTAAATAATAATAGAAAAAATTGGTATTTTATTTATTTTTGTTTGATTATTAGGTATAGATAGAAAACTTAACTTGTGTAAAAGCCAGAACAATCAAAAATGGCGATGGCAAGCTTGGCAAGAAGAAAGGCTTACCTTCTCACTAGAAATTTCTCGAATTCCAGTCCGGATGCCCTCAGGTACTCCTCACTCACCAGCTTCTTCCGCGGCTTCGCCTCTTCGGGATCTGACGAGAACGACGTAGTCGTAATCGGCGGCGGCCCCGGTGGCTATGTCGCCGCTATCAAGGCCGCACAGCTCGGACTCAAAACCACTTGCATCGAGAAACGTGGAACTCTCGGTGGCACATGCCTCAATGTTGGATGCATCCCTTCTAAGGTATATGTGCTGATTGATATATCTCTAAGGTTTTTGTTTTTCTTTGTACATCTATTGTATAATTTTGTTTAATTTACTTTTATTTCATTTGTCTGAATTAATTTTTATCTAGTCAAGATCTATTAGCTTGACTAGATTACCATTTCCCTTGCGCATTAGTGTTTGATTGGTGTATTATTCCCAGCTTTGTTACTGCGGATTATTTGAAAACTTTTTTTTTTTTATTCCAATTTTTACTTCTTTTACTTTTTCTCTTATTCTGAATAGCACATCTTCAATTCTCCTCTCTCCCTGATTCTTGGAGTTCTATTTTGCTAAGCACGGCTCCGTGATGGTTAAACATGTTGTCTTCCATTTTTCAAGGAAGTGCTGGTTATTATGATGAATTAGTCTTTGTTTCATTCTTTGGTGAAATGGCAAAGTTTTGTGGATTTGCTGTAATCTGTGGAGAAACGACATGCTCTATCTTTGGAGGATTAATCAGTTACACACTGTATCTAACTATCAATGAAATTTCAAATTAGAAGTGTTAGGTAACTGATATGAGCATTGGATTATCATCCAGCTAGAACCTTTAATTTCAAAATGTCTTGTTTAACTATGCTACTTATCTGATTTCTACCATTCATTGGCATGGGAATGTACACAGTGCACTTATGGTAAGCAGATCTCTGTTCTTTTCTGAAATGGGTGATTGTACTTATACCCTTTTTCCTGATAAATTTCATTGAAGCATTTGATAATTTTCTGATTCAAGTTTATACATTCTTGTGGTTTTTCGAAGTTCAAACTAGCTTCCTCCATTCCAATTTATTTGCTTTAAAACTCTGTTTTATTTTTTTTATTCCCCCATGCTTTTATAGGCATAGGAAAATGTGTGTAGTTCCTAATATCTGCCACATCCAAAAAACTTTCTAACTCTTGTTTTCTTCAGGCACTTCTTCATTCATCCCACATGTTCCATGAAGCTCAGCATTCATTTGCAAGTCATGGTGTGAAGTTTTCATCTGTCGAAGTCGATTTGCCTGCCATGATGGGCCAAAAAGACAAAGCTGTTGCTAATCTTACCCGAGGTATTGAAGGTTTGTTCAAGAAGAACAAAGTGACCTATGTGAAAGGGTATGGCAAATTCCTCTCCCCTTCTGAGGTGTCTGTAGACACCATTGACGGTGGAAATACTGTTGTTAAAGGCAAGAATATCATAATTGCAACTGGGTCTGATGTCAAATCTCTACCTGGAATCACCATTGATGAAGAGAAAATTGTATCATCGACTGGTGCTTTGGCTTTGAAAGAAATTCCTAAGAAACTTGTGGTCATTGGGGCAGGCTACATTGGGCTTGAGATGGGCTCTGTGTGGGGACGGCTTGGCTCAGAAGTCACTGTTGTTGAGTTTGCTCCAGATATTGTCCCAAGCATGGATGGAGAAATTCGCAAGCAATTCCAGCGGACACTCGAGAAGCAGAAGATGAAATTCATGCTCAAAACTAAGGTGGTAGGAGTTGATACTTCTGGAGATGGTGTGAAGTTGACACTTGAGCCAGCAGCTGGTGGTGATCAAACAACACTTGAAGCCGACGTGGTTCTTGTCTCTGCTGGCAGGTCTCCGTTCACTTCTGGACTTGGTCTTGACAAGATAGGCGTGGAAACAGATAAGGTGGGAAGAATTCTAGTCAATGAAAGATTTGCAACAAATGTACCTGGTGTGCATGCAATTGGGGATGTAATTCCAGGACCGATGTTGGCTCACAAGGCAGAAGAGGATGGAGTTGCATGTGTGGAGTTTATAGCTGGTAAGCAAGGCCATGTAGACTACGACAAGGTCCCTGGAGTTGTCTATACCCACCCTGAGGTTGCTTCTGTTGGTAAGACTGAGGAGCAGGTTAAGGCACTTGGTGTTGAATACCGCGTTGGCAAGTTCCCTTTCTTGGCAAATAGCCGTGCAAAGGCAATTGATGATGCTGAAGGGTTGGTCAAGATATTGGCTGAGAAGGAGACAGACAAAATATTGGGAGTCCATATCATGGCACCTAATGCAGGTGAACTGATTCATGAGGCAGTGCTGGCTCTTACTTACGATGCTTCAAGCGAGGATATAGCTCGTGTTTGCCATGCGCATCCAACAATGAGTGAGGCATTGAAGGAAGCTGCAATGGCCACTCATGACAAGCCCATTCATATATAAAAGATTGAACATTACTTGCTTTCATATTTGTTTTAAGGATTTTGCAATGGTTAAGCAAAGACTTGCCCTTTTTTTTTCATCTGTCATTGAAGCAGATGCAATGCTCGAGTAGAAGTTTACTGTTATCCATTTCTGCAAAGAATAATTTCACGCATTAACATCAATGCATGAGATGTACATTGATCTGAGGTGTTTAATTTGAGTTGGTTGGCAGGAAATACCACTGGGTTTTGATTCATATCAATGTCAATAGGGTTGCCTCTCAGTTTTTCTGTTTTGATTGTCTTGATGGTTCTTCTTTGTTTTAGTTGTTCAACCAATTTGCACTGTGGAATTCTCTATGCATGGACTGGAGCTGTTGCCTTAATGCTGAAATTTTTACTTTTGTTCCATTTTTGTTTATTTTCTGAACTTATGTTTTTTCATCGCTTGGTTGCAAATATCAAAATTAGTGGAAAATATTTAGTTTTAAATTATAAGACAATTATTTAGAATTACAGAATTTTATATTTTAAAATTATTATTAAATATGAAAAAAGTATAAAAAACCAATGGAGAACAATAAACCATCTAGTGAAAAATAGAAGTGCATAAACATTTGCTTAGCAACGCTCCCCCTGGTCTCTTTTCCTTGACAAGTAACATTAAAATTCGCAGAAAATTCCCATCCGCATTTGTGTGAGCAACACCAATTCGTTACAGACCATCAATAGACAGTTCCCTATGAAGGCCTCACGTCCCTTCATTACATTTTAAGAATCCAGGTTTAAGCCCTGATTTTCACATGCTCACCTTGCAAATCCACAACAGGTTAGCAAGATGGAAGTACTAAAAGCTTAGACATCATCCTCTCGCATATCTGTCTTTCTCCTGGCCTGTAAAGCTAAACGCGCATCTCTCTCCCTCTCGAATTCTCGGTAATCCGTTCGTTGCAAGAAGGAAACCTTATCCAGATACTGGTTTGAGCTCTTCTTATAAGCATCTAATTCATCTTCTAACCCCTTATTCTCTTCTTTAAATTCTCCCCAATCTTTCTTTGTCTTGTCGAGCACACTGAGCTTAGGTTTCTTCTTAATTTGTTCTAGAACAGCATCCACTGCAGAAGGTGCAGTAGCTCTGGCCTTTTCAGCAGCCTCTTTTGACTCAGCATCAACAAGTTTCTTAAATTCAATTTCCTGGCCAGCGAAATCCCTTACCTCTGTGATCTAAAGAAAAAAAAAACCACCAACATGTTGACAACAAAACCATGTTCACAAATACTCAGATAAAGTAGAATTTCCAATTGATTCTCAATATATTATTAAATGCTTCCAGAAAAAACATTTTTACCGTAGGGGTGCATCTCAATTGGGACAGTTTATAAAAAAAAAAAAAAAAAAAAAAACCCCCCCCCCCCCCCCCCCCCCCCCCCCCCCCCCCCCCCCGTTTTTATAAAAAAAAAAAAAAAAAAAAAAATACCAGAACTGCGACTTATGCGATACAGATAACTCAAATTCAAAGAAAAAAAAAAAAAAAAAAAAAATACAGAACTGCGACTTATGCGATACAGATAACTCAAATTCAAAGCACTAGCTCATTAGCTTCGAGGCATTTCTATCAGATAATTCTACCATCAATAAAGCAAAAGACTCATCTTCATACTGCTAAAATGGATGGCTAGTTTTAAACAGACACAAGGATATAAAGCCATGAAACAGAAAGCTACGTCCATTAAACAAAGGCCAATCAACAAGAGAAAGAAAAAGCGTGTAATTACCTCAACTTTACCCCTGCCTGATGCAGCAGCAGTAGCTGCAGCATCCTTGACTGCTGAGAGAGCAGCAGCAGCAAGTTTTCTGGCCTCATCGCCAATGGGATTTTGCAAGCTATTAGATGCTTTTTGCAATTCACCTTGTGCAGAGGTTTCTCTTTTCGTTGTTGCCAGACCCAGATAAGCCATCCAGTTCTAGGAAACAAGAGCAAGGTAACAAATATACAAACAACATGGCTGGTTAGCCTTCAATAGAGGCAAAGAAAAGATAAAAGTGAACTAAAGAAAAGAGAGAAGCCCTCACATCGGACTTCTTTTGTGAAGAATTATCCAAAGATGATTTAGACAGGTTTGCAAGTGTGTCATTGGATACTCTCTTGGAGCCATCCTGTGAGCCACTTGCTCCTTTCTGCTGTTCATCTTGACCAGAGTATTCTGTCCTTTTTGGCTCGAGACCTAGATATGTCATCCAATTCTACCATGTGATGAAATTATATTAATTACACTTCATTCACCTCTTATCCAAATAATTCATTAGATGCAGAGCAGAAGAGAGAATCCTTACATCATTGGATTTGTGTGAACTAGCATTCATGGTTGAACTATTGCGTTTATTTGAAATGGGTATGGCAGCCTTATTACTGAACCCTTTATTCATTTGCTCCCACATAGCTTGCACCCGAGCATCCATATCTAGAAAAAGGAAAAAAATCCATTACATTTCTGGTTTTTAGTTAATAGTTCTTCACATTGCGAATGATTGAACATTTCCAGCAGAATCGAGAACAAAGATTACTGAGTTCTTACTAGTTTCTTCAGGTTTTGGCCCAGAACTCAAAACTGAATTAACTTCCTGTGTTGACTCAATTTGAGAACCCATTCTTCACATTACCTTCCCTGAAAGAAACACAGAGTCCAAACACTTCAATGCCAAATATGGTTCAGCCCTAGTGAATTAACAAGCCGCACCACAAATTAATTAACAACTTGTGTGCTGCGGAGACACAAACATGGCCTTGGAAAGTTCACTACTTGTTCCTCCAACTAAGAAACTTAATTTCGAGAAATCTTTCTTTTTAAATAGTTAATCAAGCTATTGAATCATTCTAGACGATAAGCACCAATTATAATGAACTAATCTTGATATACTTACGTGTTTATGGTTCTAACGAACAGCAAAGCCTCAATAAACTTTTCATTAATAGAAAAAACGCAAAGAGAACAAAAAAATGGTGACGGAAACTCCAATGAGCAAGTCCATAAATCAGTTCAATTTGCATCTATCACAACAAAATTTGTGTTCCTTTTTCTTTAGAAGTCCTCAATCTAAATCAGTTAGGTGGAAAAAGGAGTTCCATATTGTATGGTTAATATTGAAAATTCCCCAAATAATCAAAAATATCCAGAAGAGTTAAAATTGATAAGAAATCTAACGAATTGCTTTTCATGAACAAAACGAGACAGAAAAAACCCTAACAAACACCATAATCCATAGAAACCGATCAAATAAATACCTATAGACTATGAATTGATGAACTGATCAATTTTGCCTCGCTCTTACTTGCTCTTTTCGTTTTTTTCTTCTTCTTTCTTGTTGCGGGCAATCGACGGAGGCGTATCTACTGAAAGCTCCCTCCTTTTCCCAATTTTCTGTTCGGAGAATCTAGAGTTTTATTTATAATTTATAATTAAATAATTGAATTAAAATCATTCACCTTCTCTTTCTGATTTTGCCACTTCAGCATTCAGGCTGGGTCCATCAAAAACCCTTAGAATCGAAATTTTTCAAATACACGACTTGTCGTTTATATGGTTCGAGAAAAACCTCTGGTATTAGCGGACAAAGGACACGTGTGGTTTCGTGCTTTTCTGGTATTAGAGAAGAAAGGACACATGTGGCTTCGTTATTCATCCACGTCCTACTAAGTCTTATCCACTAACTACTAGCTCAATCCATGGGTGGTCCCATATACATCGAGTAGGTATTTTCCGTTATCCAATTTCTTGTGTTCAAAATCCACAATCCCGTTGTTGTACGTAGGGAGCGGCTGTCGTTCGCAAAACAGTTACACCGTAGGTAAAATGATGAACTGTTTCTGTTTTCTAAAGCGTAGATTACATAAAATATCATCGGATGGTTAACAATAAAAACACTCTTATCATCTCTCATCCTCAAAAATCTCCTTGGCTTTGATTCATATCACAGGACTTTCATTACATTTCTAAATTATCATATTGTATTATTAACGCCGTTATCGGAATATACAAATTACGACTCTTATTATTTCGAATCTGTTCGAAAGTTATATGCTGATTTTAGATTTCTCAATATTTAAATTTAAAAGAAGAAAAAGAAAAAGGAAAGTTAGATTCCTTTCCCTCCATTTGAATTATGTTACTATCACAAACCTTAGCAAGTAAGACTTCACATTCAAACAAAAAGGAAAAGAGGCTGCTAAAATTGATTGATGACAACATAGTTGATGATCATCAGTTAAAAAAAAAACCAATTTAATCCATTAAAAAATTATTTACAAGAACGGATAATCACAAATCTAAAAAAAAAAAAATGCAAAAAGATACAAGAAAACTATGGAAAAAAAATATTGTTTATAATTAATTAATAATAACGCCAAATCTAAGGAAAGCCAACTTGTAGTAGTCAAGGTTGCAATTATGATATATAAACACAAGCTACTGAATTAACAATTGTCTATATATTACTCAAGATTAAAAGGCAATACTCTTTATTTGTCTATATATATTACTATAAATAACCCCAGAAACTGTATATTTAAGCTGCAGAAGGGGCACTTCTCTGTTGAACAACTCCTTCCTCAGTCAAAGCTGCAATTAATTCACCAAATTTTGCATTATCAACAGGCGCACGGTTCTTGTAATCCAATGACTCATCTTCATATATTTCCCACCATTTCTTTACAAACGTCTTTATGTCTTCTCTGTCCATGTTCTCTTCTTTGCCTGTGTATCTCCATGGCTTCGAACCCTAATAACAATTTAAAAGAAAAGGTTATATTATTTTCTTAATTAAGTATTTTTTAATTAATAACCAGATTCGCTAATTAATTTACTAACCGCAGCACAATAGTGGACAACTTTGACTTTGTCCATCTCCACATTTTCAGGATGACGCCAAAGCATAGCCAAAACAAGATTGTATATAGGAGGGATAGGCTTGTACACGTCCTTGAAGAACATATTCAGAAAGTCCTTCACAATATAATATTTATTTTTTACCATATATGTGTGTGTATATATATATTTATATATATAAACGGAAAGAATATAAATTAAATGTATAATTTTGAATTTATGTACCTGCTCAGCGAAGGAAGTAGTGGGAGTAACTTTGAGGGTCTCCAAGAGATCAAAGTAGGTCAAAAGATTAGGCTCAAAGAGAAACATGCCAGCATTGAAGTAGAGAGGAGGAGGAGAGCCCATCTCCTTTGGCCATGGGGCTCTTTCAGGGCATTGTTGACAGTATCCAACCTTATACTGTGGAGAGTAACTCCAGGTTTTCTCGCAAAAACAGTCCATCACAGCATAAAAATACCCATTTGGTGAATCGAAAAGGTGATCAATATTCTCAAACACTTGAATATCGCCATCCAAGTATATCATCTTCTCATATTCCACAAACTACAGATACCATTAATCATTTTTCATGATAAGTAAAAACAAAAATACTAAAATTATGTAAGATCACACGTGGAAACTGGAAACTAACCCTAGTAGTAAGAGTAGTCCACGTGCACCAAGTGCATGGCAGCAACCCAATAATAAAATAAAAACTAAGCATGTATATATTTTATAAGGTTCCCTTATGAATGACTAATTAATAGTAATAATCATACCTCCCAAATACGCAGCTTTGAGTAGTTAATGACATAATAAGCCATGGCAAACTGAGTCTGGTTCTCCGGTGGATACACCGGCTCAATCTCTCGGATAATACAGCCCTGAGATTCAAGAATCTGGCGGTGCTCCTCTGGAACATCAGGCAAAACAGCCACCACAAGAGGGTATGCAGTTTTTGTCTTCCTTAAACCCTTGGCTAAACCCACAACACCTTTCACATAATCCCCATTGCCAGCCAAGAACGTAATATATGCTTTTGATTGAGAGATTATGGGTTCCATGGCTGCATAAGGAGACATCTTTTTCCTTCAGGCTAAAAGAAGAAACAAAAGAAAACAAAAAAAGGTTTCAAGAACAAAGACGATAAGACTAAGAGAAAGATCCAAGAAACTTGCGTGTGAGGTGTTGGGAGTAGCGGGAGCCTCCTATATATAGGCAACGAGGGTGGTTGTGAAAATGGCAAATAGAGAAGGGAATAATTGTGTATGGCTATTTTCTTGAATTATGATTTAGGTTTTGAAACGTGGCAAGAAAATGGCGATAGCGGGTTTCTGTATCACACTTGCTTGTTTTGAGATTTGACACATTAAAAGGCAAAGGCAATTGCAGGGTGCGTGGCCTTATTGTCAAGTGGGACGAAGTTATCAGCTGGTTTTGTTTGGCTAAGTGTCCAAATTCGTATGGTTAGTGTAGCATTCCTTTCCTTATCAATGAACTTTTTTTAAAAAAAATTTCTCTCTTTTTAGTTAACAATTAGGAGGGAAGAACAATTACGAGCCTTGTTTCTAGGGATTTTATATTTATATAGCCTGAAGATTTTATCATTTTCAAATTTTGTTATTCTCTCCATTTTGAGACTAGGCTAATTAATTTGGGTCAAACAATGCCTTTTATACCCTAGTTAAACTTGGAGGGATATTCCCAATTATTCTGTTAACTTTTTCTTGCATACGGTGTTATTAGTTTAACTAATCCATTAGTGATATAATATATAAATTATTCAAGAAAATTTTGAATTTTGACTGGGAAGAAAAGGAAACACTTGCTCATATTCATATTGTTGCACGTGCTAAAAAATCTTTATTGCCTATCTTTTCTATGTGCAAATCATATATAAATTTAGCACTAGTATGTATTCATGTAAGATAAGGAATTTATTAGTAGGCAAATATATATAAAACATACTAATTATGAAAATAATAAGAAGCAAAGATACAAATTGCTAGTGTAAACCCATAAAGATATGCATACTAGATAGTTTGATCACAAGATTGGATTGTAGTATCGATATTTTAAGAAAGATTTTAACGTCGTGGCTTTCCAAATTGAAAGGAATTAGTTTTTTATCTAACCGTTATGGAGGGTAAGAGAATATCATATCGTTAATAATTATATATGTTAAATGGAATTAATGTATTCGTAGCAAAAGATAAGATATTAAAATGGAAAATATAAATACAAAATTAAGTGATTGGAGCCCAAAAGAATAAAAAGAAAAATGATAATAACGTTAAAAAGAAAGAGTCATGCTATTGATTGATCGACACCAAAGTATATACATGAACAAAGTCGAATCTGCCTACATACTCTTCACCAGTAAGAAAAAAGACAACTAAAAAAAAAAAAAAAAAAAATAACAAAATTAAGTGATCTGGAGCCCAAATAGAATAAAAAGAAAAAAAATGATAATAACGTTAAAAAGAAAGAGTTTCATGCTTATTGATTTTGATCGACACCAAAGTATAATACATGAACAAAGTTCGAAATCTGCCTACATACCTCTTCACCAGTTAAGAAAAAAGGACAACTAAAAAAAAAAAAAAAAAAAAAAAAAAAAAAAAGGAAGAAGAGAGAATTCACTTTCAAAAATGAAAATAAATAAATTGCATACGGTTCAAACATTGAAGAACATAAAGAGAAATCTCGTTCAAGATTCTAAATATTTGTTTTGTTCTGAGACACAGAATTGTAGAGTTCCATTGTCATTCCATAAATGAAATTGTTAGAAAGACAATTAGACTAAAACATCAGAGGGGGAAAACAAATTAAATTCAATTGGTTTACAAGAAAATAAATCATTAAAATTTCACATGCCCACGTATGACATATCCATCCATGCATTTGACACATGATATATAATATATATATAATATATTATATATATATATAATTATATTCTCTTTTTGGCTTTTGATCAGTTTGTTCTTTGATACCAATAATACATGGTCACAAGTTATACTAGTGGAATTTACTAGCAACAAGTGTACATTAAGGTTAAAGGAAATTTGGAATATTCTAAAATAGAAATCAAGCTACCAACCAATTTTGCTTTCCGAGAGAAAACACTTTTGGTTTTTGGTCGCTGAACTATGATGAATTTGAAGCAAATTTTATCCTTTCGTATCCCTTTCTAAGTTTTTTTTAATTTAAGGTTAAAACTTGTGGCATGATTTGCATCTTAATTAAAATATATAAACTGGTATAAAAACCCTATATATATTCTTTTTGGCTTTTGATCAGTTTTGATTCTTTGATACCAATAATACATGGTCACGAATATACTAGTGGAATTCTAGCAACAAGTGTACATAAGGTTAAGGAAATTTGGAATATTTCTAAAATAGAAATCAAAGCTACCAACAAATTTGCTTTCCGAAGAGAAACACTTTTGGTTTTTGGTCGCTGACTATGATTGAATTTGAAGCTATAATTTTATCCTTTCGTATCCCTTCTAAGTTTTTTTAATTTAGGGTTAACTTTTGCATGATTTGCATCTTAATTAAAATATATAAACTGTATAAAACCCTAATCCATCAACTTGGTATTTTCTTCATTAATCGAATCCGTACGCTAAAAAAAAAATCAAAATAAACTTAATACAATGAGTAGAATCTTATATAGTTTTGAATTTATTTATTGTTAACTTTAACTTCTAAAACAAAAATTTTTGACAAACCTTAGATTTTCGCCTGTCTGGGCCTGAGGCCCAAATATGATTGGACGCTAAATTTGATTGGGTAGCATTAGGTAGTGTGGACTTGGACTTGGACTTGGACGTGGGCTTAGCTGTCTGTATATGGGTCTTAGCAATATTATCGACGGAAAATAAATTTTGCATTGAGTGCGAGGCAGCGGTTTGACCGTCCGATCTGAGTAAAATTGGTCCCGCGGTAATTTTATCTTGCTAGCGGGCACTGGGCACCGGCTCCGTGTCGCGATCAGCATCTTACCTTATCCTGCTCTTGCACAGCCACTTTACAAAAACAGAAGACTGAAACCAAAAAGGAAAGGTACATACATGGCGTCGCTGGCTCAACAATTCACAGGCCTAAGATGCTTACCGCCCTCAACGTCTCGCCTCAGTAAAAGAGCTTCACTATTATCCTCTTGGAAGACTAGAAAGTCTACTTTTGTTGTATCAGCTGTCGCAATTTCTAATGCGCAGACCAAAGAGAGGGAAAAGCTTAAGGAACTCTTCGAGGAAGCCTACGAACGCTGCCGTACTGCTCCAATGGAAGGCGTTGCCTTCACCGTCGAAGAATTCCATTCTGCTCTTGAGAACTATGACTTCATTTCTGAGATTGGCGCCACGGTTAGTTCACAACGAACGCTTTTTTTTTCTTTCTTTCAAATTAAGAGTGGGACTTGGGAATATTTGAGGTATCTAAAAAATTGAAAAATTGCTGTAAGGTTAGAATGTGTTTGTTCATTGATTAAGTGTTTTCCTCTTGTTTGAAAAGGAAAAATGGTGAAGCTTTTCTTTTTGGTAAGACAGTATTGTGATTAGTATTATTGTGCTTGTTTGTGTCAGGTGAAGGGCACAGTTTTTATGACTGATTCCAATGGCGCATTGGTTGATATTACTGCAAAATCTTCTGCATTTTTACCAGTTCAAGAAGCGTGCATTCACAAGATAAAACATGTACATGAAGCTGGTATAGTTCCTGGAATGACAGAGGAGTTCATAATTATTGGTGAAAATGAAGCTGATGATAGCTTAGTCTTGAGCTTAAGGGAAATTCAGTATGGACTTGCCTGGGAAAGGTGTAGGCAGCTTCAAGCTGAGGATGTTATTGTGAAGGGTAAGGTGAGTATTTATGCATCTAACAATGCATTTAGAATCCAATATATTCTAATTTCCCCTTTTTCATACTCAATATTTTAAGTTATGAATGCCTCGTCCAGTATGATGCAGGAGGAATATTCAAGTTTCGTTCTTTAGTTAGGATTCTTATGTGATAGAATATTAACTAATTAGGAATACTTTTTAGTGTAAGAATTAGTATTTATCCTAACTAGAACAAATAGGACAACAATAGTTAGTTTATGAATTCTATTTTTCTTTATTAATTCAGAATTTAATTCTAAGGGTTTCTTTGAAACCAATTATATTATTTTACTCCAACCACAATCACCCTATTCTAGCCTAATTGTTGAGAATTAATTGCTACAGATTCTTCCCTTGCATCACAGTATTTTAGTGATAGATGTATGGAAACCCTTGATATTTATCCTTTTTTACTGACTGCCTCTTGTTGAATCTTTGTCAATAGCACTTTGTGGTGTTTGAATTACTGCTAATTCCTTTATTTCCACAATTTGAAAATTGGCATGTATATGTAGGTTGTTGGTGCAAACAAAGGTGGAGTGGTTGCAATAGTGGAGGGCCTTCGGGGTTTTGTCCCTTTTTCACAAATAGCATCGGTTTGTACTTAACCTAGCTTTTACAGTTCCACATTGATGTCAGAAAGAAAAAATGTCTCCATATTCTGACTTACTGGCTCTTTTTCTGAACCCTTTTATTATATCCCATCAACATGGGGCTGGGCATTTCACTTCAAAAAAATGGTTTGATTAGTGATGAGAGGCAAGCTAGAGATGATAACAGTAATAAGCTATTTATCCTCTCATGAAAATAATTTTTTATTTCACATTTTGCTAATCCTTTTAATTGAGAAACAACTTAATCCTTTTCTTTTCCTCAGCTTCTTTACTGTCGTATTTAGTTTCCACTCTATGTAGCAGTGTGTTTCTCTGTATTCCGAGTTGTCACCTTTCCTTTGCATATGTGTTAGAATTCAACTGCAGAAGAACTTCTTGAAAAGGAGCTTCCACTAAAGTTTGTTGATGTTGATGAGGAACAATCTAGGCTTGTGCTAAGTAACCGCAAGGCCATGGCAGACAATCAGGCACAACTGGGTATTGGATCAGTGGTCCTTGGTACTGTTCAGAGCCTGAAACCATATGGCGCCTTCATTGATATTGGTGGAATCAACGGCCTTCTTCATGTCAGTCAGATTAGTCATGATCGCATCTCCGATATTGCAACCGTCCTTCAACCTGGTGATACTCTCAAGGTCAGTAGCTATTGATCATTTACACTACATTCTGCATATCTGTCATTTGGTAGAGCTGATGGTATTTTGACCATACCTTGTTATACAGGTCATGATACTAAGCCATGACCGTGAGAGAGGTAGAGTAAGTCTTTCTACCAAAAAGTTAGAACCTACTCCTGGCGATATGATTCGCAATCCAAAGCTTGTTTTTGAGAAGGTAATTTTCAAGTTTCGTGGATACATTAGCTATTATATGAATGATCATGACCACCACTGCATCTTGTTCTGTCCTTAGTTTGACTATCCTTTTGTAGTTCAAAATTACCAGGCATATATGGTCAGAAATGACTTACTATCCTTTTGTAGTTCAATAAGATATATCTTATTACTACTTTTTGCTTTGATTTAACAGGCAGAGGAGATGGCTCAGTCATTCAGGCAGAGAATTGCTCAAGCAGAAGCTATGGCTCGTGCTGACATACTGAGATTCCAGCCTGAGGTACTTGTTCAATCATCTTTCTCTTTATTTGAACTAGGTCCATAAATAACCAGAGGAGCAAATAGGAAAGCTCCAGAGGTGATGGATTAAATTGTTGTTTTCAATAATTGAGATCAGTTAGTATGAGGAGACGCATTTGATTTTTTTTTTTTTTTTTTTTTTTTTTTTTTTTATGAGGGAGGACGCATTTGATTTTTTTTTTTTTTTTTTTTTTTTTTTTTTTTTTTTTTTTTTTTTTTGCCCCTTTTTCATTCAACAGAGTGGACTAACGCTCAGTTCAGATGGAATATTGGGTCCGCTGACTTCTGATCTACCAGCAGAGGGTTTGGACTTGAGTGCTATTCCTGCGGCAGAAGAGTGATATGATCTCATTTTTTGGTGACTTTGTCCTTTCAAGTAAAATTTGTACAAATGGCTTCACTTTTTTGCCTGAGCTAAAAACGTTAACAATTCTTCCGTTTGATTTTATTGCGTACGCGTACTTTTGTCGTTGTACGTGAAAAATCAGAAAATCAATTCATGCACTTCAATGGAATATAGCACCCGCGAATGTTACGATTTCAACATTTGTCTTTGCCCCTTTCCATAAAAATAATTATCGTCAATTGCTTTTGCAAATGAACAACTTTTTTTTTTTTTTTTTTTTTTTTTGTACAGCAGAGTAATTGTTCCAAAGACAAAACTTTATCCCTAGAAGTCTGTGAGGATATACAGCCTTCTTTTCATCGAGCTTTGCTTTTACAAACTCGTTAGCTAAACTGAACTTTGCTATTTTCCCTCTTTGTTCTTCTTGCCTTTTTTTTGCTTCTGCTTCAACTGTGTGAGGCCTGCAGCTGTGATCTTTACATTGCCGATAATTGCAGCAACTAGCTCAGGATCTGTACATGCTTTCATCAATTCCTTCTCCCTGCTAGTTGCTTCTGGCATGTGGCTGAACAAATTCATGGCAGTTTTTGCAGCTAAAAAGAGACAAGTGCACAGCTTAGTCAAATTTTTAGGAACAAAGACTCAAAAAGTAATTGAAGCTGGAGGCCTATAAAAAGCTAGAATACCTTTTCCTTTCTTTGCAGTGCCAGGAACAATTTTCACTCGGTACTTGTATGACTGCACTGCATTGTAAGGACCACAAACAGGCACAGCATACAAGAGAATGTCGCTAGGCAAGGGATTTCCAGTCAAGTAATCCAAATCATTTAACTTCCCTTTGTCTTCTTCACCTATCTCATGGATGTCGTCTTCCTCCATGGCCATCCTGTCTGCCTCCAAAGTGGCATGGTCAAAACCCACACGAGAGTTATCGACTGTTCCACCATTTGCACGACTACCTGAATGATCATCTGGATGTTCGGGGCAATCCCGAGCGAGATGACCTGCCTTTTTGCATTTATAACATACTTTTGGAGCATCATCAGGACCTGTTAGAATGAAACAGCGTGATATAAAACTTAAACTACTTTAGTTTTTCCATCAAATGATATTGATTGGCATCTAGAGATATTGATTGTTTTCGGACACACCAAAGCTATTGAGCATCTAAATATAGATAAAAAGGACAAATAAAAATCAACCAATCTTTTATCAACAACTCATAAGACTTTTAGTTTGGAACACGTACCAATAACAGGTGGTTTCCCTTTGCTAATAGCAGCATTTTCATTTTGTGTCTCTTCATCTTTCTTGCATGTGTTTCCAGCAGACTGAAATTTCAAAATGTATTGTCAAATTTCGAATTTGAGACTAAATAAATAAAATAAATCTTCATTTCATCCAACATGTGAATGTGTGATATATCAAATACAACCTTTACAAAATTTTGGATATGCTAAATGGGCAGGAAGGCCTAATGGGCACAATCTATTCATGGAGTTACAAAATCATAGCAGTCATCGTTTCTTGCTTGCTATCTCACTAAATTCCCTCTGAATGAGAGTGAGCGGGGGGAAAAAAAGAAAAACTCAACGCAGGGATTTTTTTATAGTGACAAAGAACCAGCTCAAAAAAAGAGTGTGATATGTCGAACATTTTGGTATCAATAAAAGCAATTGTGCTTTTAGAGATGCCCAACTTATGTGATGGACTAAATATAAAAAGAAATTTCTATATTGGTGCAAAATGATAAAAGGTTGAAATGAAAGTTTTTGTACTCACAGCCAGTAAAGCCATCCTGATGCTCCTTTCTTCCTCATCTTGATTTGCATACTTCTCCTTCATCTTCTTAAGTTTACTCTTCTGCCCACGACTGATTTTTCCACCTCCTGCCTTGTTATTTTGAATACTCTTTTCAGGTTGACTACTGACAGAAACATCGATTTCTTTTGATTCTTCTTTCTCCTGCTCATTTTTTGCATCTCCAACACCACTTTTCTGACCTTTCTTTTGCTTTCTTCTTTCAGCTTTTGAAATATGAGGTTTATCTCTCAATCTTGCTTTCCTTTCCTCATGATCATGATCATCAGACAGATCAACCTGGGATGTTTCCACATCATAATTTTTTTGAGATAAAGTAGCAGGTCCCAACCCAAGAGCTCTATCAATGAGATCCTCAAGTTGTGGGGTAACAGAAGCAACGCCATTTCCAACAATAACAGGCATCTCTTCAGTGCTGACTCCACTGACAGCAGTTCCTCCTTGAAAAACTTTATGTGGATCAATGACTTCAGCATTAGAGACAGTCGAGTCATTAGCAATATTTTCTGATTCTACCCCGTGTTCTTTGCCTGTTGCTTCCTTCTCTGAATCGGAATCGGAAATTTCTTGGACAGAGCCACTTTCTTTAAAGTCATTCAATCCTTCCTCCTCACCACGTACCCTCCTTTCATTTAAATGTGATCCCAAAGAGCTCTCGTCCAAGCGAAATAACAATCCAAAGCCCATTATAAGAGGATGCGGAGGGAGAAAGTTCTTCTTCCCACGAATCATGAAGCTTCCAACAGTGAGATACTCCCCTGTAGGAGCAGACTTGCTGACCTGATGAGGGTACACCCACCAAGCACTAGTAACAATCTTTGAATCCCATGCCTGGCTGTGGCAAACGCTGACCTGATGAGGGTACACCCACCAAGCCACTAGTAACAATCTTTGGGAATCCCATGCCTCTGGCTGTGGCCCAACCTACAATGCAAATTAATTTAAAACAACCCTCAAATTATGCTGGCATTATGTATCCCAGTAACAAGAAAAAAAAAAAAAAGTAATATATAGTATATATATAATATATATGTATATATATATATTAAATTATAACAGCAGTGGAAATAAAAACTTACTGTGAAACATCCAGCTTGGTTTTAAAGTGAGAGGAGGTAAAAAGGTTGTTTATATATATAACAGCAGTGGAATAAAAACTTACTGTGAAACATCCAGCTTGGTTTAAAGTGAGAGGAGGTACAGGTTGTTCAGGCCTGTGGTTCTTAATTACAGTACTAGAGGCTCCATGAAGATCTGCATGGACGTAACTGTTCCACAGTTTTAATAGATATTAAAACTTCATTCATTTGCATATTTCATGTCAAAAAAGAGTGAAGACTATATGAAATTTACTAGCAGGTCCTCTTGCCTGCCAAGCAAAGTAAAAAAACAGAAAATTTCAATATTAAAATAATAGACTTACAGATCTCCTTTTGACATATAACGCTTGACTATCATCTCATTTTGTTGCGCATCACGTCCACTAATAACCAAATAGTTCTCGCTGCTGATAAACCAATTAAATTTCTCAAACCAGTGAACTTTACGCATATGTGATATAGTGGCAACAGATTTTTCCTGCGTGATCAGCAAGTGAAAAAATAGATTTGTAAAGATTAAATTTTTTAGAAATAATAGTAGTTGAAACAACAGTAAGAAATTTAGAAGAGAAAAACGAGATACATAATGGCGCTTGCCTGTTACGTTTTCCACAAGTGTGTTCAAAGTTTTCAGAATTAGATTCATTTTACAATGCATTCCACCACTTATTATGCCTTCATCTCATGCTAAATAATGAAAACCTACTACACGTCATGCTATCCATCATAAGAAATATTTGTCTGTCACCAACTCAATAAACCGATGGACCTTTACTCATTTGATTGGCAAAGAACCTAGTATCTACTTGAATGATAAATGCAGGAGCAAGCATCACCAGGCCAGAAATCAACATCAATATATTTGCAATCTAAAAAGCTACCTGTGAAAGCTGCTGACGAGTCTTTCTTTCAGCAGCTTTAAAAGCCTTTTCATGGGCTATAACAGTCTTTTCTTGCTTGCTTTCCTGCCTTTTCTTCTGTTCATACCACCGCCGAGCATTGGCATGTGCAGAAAGTGCCAAATCCACTTCAACCTGAAAGTGGGGGAAAAAAGGAAATGAAGAATAAGTAATAATAATAATGGCATAAGTTTTGGATGCTATTCTCTCTGGCTAATAATTAAAGTACATATTAATTCAAAGAGACACAATGATAATGATGATAATGTTGTGAAAATAATCACAGATCAAATCAGAAAAGTTAAATCAAAATCTTTGATCTAATAATAGATATTGAGAAATTACAGCAGAACCATTACTAACGAGTCATCTTGTTAGTTATGGGATAGGCATTACTCAAGAAATTAAAACAAGAAGAAATTGATAAGCTTTGCCTTCAAAGTTCAGAAGCAAATTAATCACATAAGCTAAGCATGTACAAATTTAAATTGACATTAGAAACTAGACAGTGCAGAGAAGGATTTCATGATTTGCATAATATAAATGCTTGAAGTGCACAAGTGCTAGTTTGCACTCAAATAACACCTTGTCCACCGGAAGTGTCTTTTCATCATCATCCATGTCATCAAGATTGTTGCTTAAAAGCAATGTCATGCAGTTCCTTTCTAGGTAGAGCTTGTCAATTAGGCCAGCCACAGGGTTTCCCAACTTCTTCTCTTCCTTCACCATACGAGTTAGGTCCTCCCAACTCATTCCCTTTGCAAGAGCCACACGAACAGCCAATATAGCACTGTCTACATCTTCTAGGTTGTATTCTATCAATTCCGCCATTCTAACACAGTGGTCTACTTCTTTCCTTAATGTTACCACGCGATTTTCCTGCGCATAAAGTAGAAATACATTAAAAGAAAGAAGAAGAAGAAGAAGAAGAAGAAGAAGAAGAAAAGACATAAAAAATAAACATAACATGAATGCTTAGGAATACCATATGTTGATGATGACAATAATGAAGCCAACAGCAAATGAGAATATGGAGTAAATTGCTTAAATGCAAATTCGACATATATGAGATAGGCAATTCAACGAAATAACCCGCAGCTTATCTCAACATTTATACTTTATCATGGAAAACTGTAATGCCTCAAATAGTCATGTTGTTCTGCCCAACAACATCTTTACCCCTTCACTCTTACAGAAATCATAATAAAACTACTAATGAATGTATGAGATAGGAAATATATGCTTCTTGATCCCATCCCATAAAGTCAAGATGGCTGGTCAACTTTGCAGTCGAAGTGCAGAACATTCCTAACTCAAGGCAAATTCAAGCCTCATACATGTTAACCTAGCAAGGAAACCTTAAATCAGTTCTGAGATGTAGAAAAATTCCAAGAAGCACTAAATGATTCCTAAAGGGAGACATAGAAGAGCATGAACCACACATGATTCAGTGTAAAATAAAGAGTTCTTATTTCCAAATGTCATATCAAATAATAATAAAAAAAGACCTGATCCAGGCGTATTTTATTTAACTTCTGAACGGCAGAGTCCTCTTTTGCTTTTTGTTGTTGTTCGGATCTCTGACTCTCAATCTTGCTATAGAACTCATCCAATGCAGCATCAAATGATTCAAACTTTGAATGTTCCCTTGTTCTGAATTGGTTCAATAACATGGGGCAGAATTCATCGTAGATCTGCAAAGAATAACCACGACATGCTAATTAAAATAATATATCAGTAACTAGAAAATTTGTCATCCTTGCTTGGGTTCGCCTCAAGAATTAAAGGAGCATGGTGGAAATATTAGTAGGTCATATATTGAATCAACTAATAACTAAAATGTAAAGGATAGGAGAACCATATACGCGATCTATCAGCTATAAACTATTGGGAAGTTGATGATCACTGAACTACTCTCTCCTTGCACCCTCCAACAACAAAAATAAAAAAAGAGGGCCATTTATTGTATACTCTCACATGTAAAGAGACAATGCCATCATAAATACAACCTGAGAAGTGCTTCCAGATTCAGATGGGGTGCGGCCCTTGCTCAAATTTTTGTTCTGCATCAAAATGTATCCTTCAGGAACTTTGTCCCCTGAAATAACATCTTCAAGCCAGTCTTCGAATTTTGCAACAGCATGGAACAAAACCTGTATTGTATCATCATCTAGCCTATTATCTTTAGAAAATTTTGTATTTGCAGCCAGATCAGCATCCAATATCATATGCTCAGAAAGTGCAGGACCATAACCCAGTGCCTCGCCAAGGACAGTCTTCAATGTGGCTTGCTTGCCACGATTTCCATCGCCAGTATTTTTACTTGGCTCAGAAGATTTTCCACCCTTATGTTTACCCTGCTTTTCTTTTTTAGTTTTATCAGTCAAGTTACTTTCATCATCTTTAACAGGCTCGCTCTTATCTAGCTCTTTAAAGGATGTAAGAACTTCCTGCAACTTTGCAGCAGTTGTTCGCTCAAAAATTCGACAAATTTCAGTAGGATACCGATGCCGCGACATGATTGCAAACCCTTTATCATCATCCCTGTCATCAATAAGTTGGTGGCATTTAATTAGCAATTAAGAAATTAATTCAAATGTCAGAAATATATGAAGCCAAGCATCAAATACTTTCTGCTGCTGTAAATGCCTTGTCAAATGTGGAACAAGAATCACCAACCTGTGTGACCGAAGTAGCGTTAGAACAGTGAACTCAGAATCAGTGAGCAGAATATTTCCTTGAGCATACAACTCTAATATTACATAGTGTGCATTAGCACCAAGTCCAAATTGGAAGAGAACGATCTAAGGGGAAAAGAAAAGCCAATAGTTAAAACTACCAGCAACAAAAAGAATTAAGAAACAGCATAGCTTTTAAGACATTGATATCCAGCAAGGCTATACTCTATCGTATCCAAGCTGCCGCACATCCTCGAGCCTTCTTGTACGTATATGCTTCCTTAATTTTAGCGTAAACCCAGAAGGTGTGTTGCTTTTATCCCTATAGACCATGAAGATTAAATAGTTAATCATAAGTCTTCATATCTCTTTTCTTTTGAAGATTAAGTAAAAGTCGTAGATAGAACAAGTAATAGTGAAGCATTACCGAACATAAGCAGTGGTATGCAAACGGACGCCGCTTTCCATCAAAAGCAAAACCTTCTCACTCTCTCCTGATTCTGTTACTCCGCTGCTATTCATTAGCTTGAATACATACGTCTGTCGGTTAATTGAAGAAGGAAAGAAAATTTCAGTAAGTGTCCTCTTCGGGATTCAATCAATTGCAAAAGACATCAAAATTCACGAAAAGAACACGTTCAACAATCAGCAGAAGGTGACTAAACGAAGCAATTCAACGAACGGTTGATGATTAGCTACAATTTAATTAATATAGATATATGAAAAGAGAGGGAAAGACAGAATGACCTTGGGAGAGAGATCATAGACATTGGAGCATCGCATGCCGATTAACCTTCGCAAGCACTTGACTTCAGCGGCCACGTCGGCCGTGTTCATGCGCACTTTCACCATAGCTGCTCCCTATCGAACGCTCTGTTCCTTTTTCTCTGTGTATGCTTGGACAGCACAAGGAATTGTTCTTCCGATTTCTAGAAATGGAGGAAGGTTCAGACTTCAGAGTTCAGACAATCCACGCAGATTGCCCCGCTTTGCGTTATGTACATAAACCTTACCGCCTTGTTTACTTTCCAGCTCCGACCTTGATTTGCGACGTCGTTTTAGAGATACGGGAAATTTTTACTGAACGTAGCAAATTTGCAGCTCTGTTGTCGGATGATCCCCCAACGCAATGATACGTGGCAAGATATAGTTCGGTCGTTTGGATGAATTGGTGTGTGACAAGAATCGGCATCGTTTCTCTAAGAGCGTCGTTCCGTCGTCCGGCGACCACGCAAAAAATTAAATGAACCATCTCATTGAAAGTACGACATGCACTTTAACGGTTTCTTGGAAAGTCGTAACGACTCGAGGTTCTATCGTATTGGTTTAATTAAAATTTGATATATCGGTACTCGGTCATTAATTTTAATTTTTGAAATAATAACAACTCTAACACTAGTTTCTGATACTGTTTGTTAAATTGGCAAGGTTTTAGGAAAAGCCCTGAAGATCTTCAACGTGTCGGGACTGGCAAGATTTCAAGGTGTGTAACATTTGAAGGGGAAAAAAAAAGACAGAGCGCAATAGAAGAAATACTAATGGCCATAAAAAATGACCTCACCACGAGGTGTGACGTTTGTTCTCTTAATTAATTACAAGATCAAGGTATAACCCAAACACACGCTTCCTTCCTCATTATCTACCTCAATGGTAGATGATTATGCAAGTTAAATTACTAAAAGACAGAAATACCAACACCATGTACACAGATGCTTTTGCAAGGACCTAAATCACGAGAGACAAACCATCTCATTTACAGATATAACATAAGAGGAAATTCTTCTGATAAAGATACAGTTCAGCTCCATAAATGTACAAACTTTACAAACATTATATCTACTGCAGACGTTCCCACATATGTACATTTGAAACACTCGTCGCATATAAAAACTTATAGTCCTGCTGGTTCAGTAAGCCTTTTCCTCTAAGATTTCCATAGAAATAGTGTCCCAAGCACAGCTCTTGGAGGTCGTGGACACATGGCATCAAATGGATCATGATTGGCCATCAAAAGGTCACCATACTGCTTTCCTCCACTTTGGTATGGTATCATCCAAACACAATCTGTTAACTCAAATCAAAACCAGCTTCTGCATTTATAGCATATAGCAATTTTGTTTCCAGATGTTGTTTGCTGTATCATAAATAGTAAGAGTTACTAATGTCTGGCAGGTAAATATAACATGCTTCACAAAACATAAATTTATGCATAGAAACGACAGGGTTGTTCTCTGGCAATTCCATTGCACATTGTTCTATGGCAAATGTAATCACAACCACAGGACCAAACCAAGAGTGCTGAACATCCTAGAAATACCCTAAAATAACCTGAACCTTTTTATCATTTTCCTGGCCTGTCTATGTTATTTGATGCTCAAATTGTTACCTCTTCAGGCAACAGCAGGAACTTTACAATGAAGATCCTATTAACCAATTGATAGGGACAAACCTTCTATAAGGTGGAAGCTTCAGAAGATTCATACAAGTAGCTGATGTTGGCAACCGGTCAAGAGCTTCTTCATTAGCATTGCCCGCAGCCCTAAAGCCAACAAAATATTTAAAAAAAAAGTTAAAGGAAAGACGTGGATTAATAAAAATTTCTAATATTTGGTTACAAGCTCTTTGTCAACAAATTAGCTTTAGATCAAACTCAGTATCTATCAGCTCTTCTCAATTAAATTGGGCAGAACTCTTACCTCTGTATGCAAAATAATGGCTCCAGGTATTTAAATCCAAGTAGAGGTCCTCGCGAGCAACCAGTCACAAACCTAAAACATTATTTTCCAGTTACATCATTTTGGGAGTTCAACTTTTTTTTTGTCAAGCTGACTAAAAAGACTAATAACTGAGATATAAATATAAATAAATAGAGTTGAAGCCTTGATAGATAATAGGAAAAAGATAACTTACTTCAAAAATTTCTTTTGATTTTCCAATGAAAAGCCTTTCAGAACTTCCCAGAACATCTCAATGACATAATGTTCCTGTCAAGAAACAATAAATTCTATTACGAAAGCAAGAAGTATAGGTGAATTGCTCTGAAGTTACAGCATAGTTTCCTGTACTGCATTGGGAAGATAGAGGTCAAATAAAAGGGGAAAATTTTCAAAAGTCAGTGCTGGATTCCCATTTCAAAAGTCAGTGCAGCAAATATGGGGACCAAAATTTTCGTCTTTTATGCCTTTCCACTTATCTTTTGTGATGCACAGCTCTCAGCTGTATTTTCCAAAAATCCAAAGAAAAAACTTCAGACTCTGGAAAAAAGACTTACACTGTGATAACCTCCAGCATAATTGGTATGAAGTCGAAGGTCTTCAACATCCAAGCTTTCAAGTGAACCTGATATCAGAAGCTGTAAATGAAAAACAATAATTCAGATGACAGACAGGTATCAACTTCATCCCTCAGCTCGTAAAGGAATTACCCCAAACATTATGAACAAAAAAATAATTGAAATCAAAAACACCAAGTGAGCAGACTAAGTGCATTAGGGACAATTATATTTGGCCAATCAGATTCAGTCCTTACACAAATTCAAGATGTAAGAAGATAATTCAACAGTTCACATTCATAGAACCCATCATTCATCCCATCTTGAATTTTATAGCGAACAGGATAGAGTCCAAAATGAGATCATGGAGTTTCCTGTGGTACAGATTTCCAGTACCAGTATGCACATGCAAACTTCACTATGCGATATAAGGTAATATCACAATTTCTACCACCATCTAATGATCATTGTCGAAAACATTAGTATGGATTCAGATTTGGCTTTGCATGCCTACTTACCGATAGTTCAGTTTTCATAGAACTCAAGAAGTATGTCTAGCAGGCATTAAAGTAAATCATGTCAATAATAATAAAGTGTACCACAGAGCATCCTTGGCATAACACTTTGTTTCACACTCATGCTTCACTAGCAACTACAACGGAAGGTGAGTTATGATGAGCAGTTGGTATTTACCAAGTATCAACTCTCCATATTAAAACATAATGATCAATGAATTCATTAAGGTGAAAGATCTTACACTGCTGCTAAAGTGATGCAAAGCAACTATCTAAGAAAAGAAAGCTTATTTTTTCTTCATAAAGTGGCATAATACCTGAAGTTCATGTTCGTTAAACATATCAATCCAATCTTTCTGTATGAGCTGCTGAAACCCCCTTAAAAAATGAGAACTTTGTTGACGTATCTGAAGATGAATTCACAATATAGCAATCATATGACAAAGATAGTCTAATATAAAACTGAAGTGAACTAGATGAATTACAAAGGAATGCTTACAGTACCTGAAAATTCAAACGATGATTGGATACAAGATGAATAAATGTAATAACATTCTCATTAGTAACACGCAAGTTTCTTCCTCCGGGAAGCAGCTCTTCTTCTGTTTGCTCTCCATATTCATTATTTACAATGACAAAGTACAGTTCCAACTCAGAAATATCACCTTGATAGTGCTGTAGATAACATAATAAGAATAAAAATAAGTGCAAAAAACATAAATGTATCTATGTCTAGAAGGTGGGATCCAAATTTAAAGAACACACTATGGAAGCACAAGCATCTAAGTTTGAGCCAAATGAACCTTTAGGAAAATAAGATGGCGATACAATTCTGGATCCAGCGAAGGCAAGTCATTCAGATAGTTGAACCTGATCCACCAACAAAAATAAATGTAAATGATAAAAAGCATTAACTGGAATGCAGAGATATCCATGGCAAGGCATTTTTAACTATTTGTTCGACCAACAGAAAAAACAACACCTCTACACTGTTTCCCTTATCTATAAATAGTGATATTGGCAAAATATAACTCAATGAATTTAACAGCGCAAGCCCCCGAGATTCTATGGGAAATTGGAAACGTCGAAGTAAGCTGCGGCTTATAAATGGGAAGATGAGGAGATAACGGGCGAAGTATATTCATGATACAAGAAGGAAATATTGACTCTAGACATTAACATAAACTTCAGCATCACAGTGACTATCATCTATTTATGCACAATATCATGAATTCACAAGTTAAACAATATCCAATATATCTACTATGTGGAAAACAAATGGATATAAGCAGGGAATTGGTGGATGTTAGCTTGAACCCAGAAAAATAAAATGTTGTAATCTAAATGATAGATGGCATTAGAATCATACTTCTGTTTTAATTTGCTCAAGAAGAATGTCGCGAATGGTATGTCAACGAGAATACCTTCAAACATAGCCTGCACAAAGAAGAAAACTTAGCACCATTATACATTAAAATCAGATATCATAGAGAAGAATCTAATAAAAACATAAGCATGTTCCATATCAGCATAAATTAAATGGATACAAACATTTAAACCAAGTTAACCACTTTGCTCTTCACAATATCATATAAAAAAAATTAAATACCCTAACAACAGAACACGAGATAGTAAATCAATAAATAGCTATTCCATGTAGTCAAAGTGAATAATGTGGACAACTCCAAATCCTAGTGACAGAAATAAATCCTGCTCTATACAAATTGTTATGAAGCAAACAGAGAGACAACAGGAAGTTTGGTCTCAAGCTGTAAACAATTATGGAACAGCAACATTATGTCCAAGATATGATAGTTATTTCTCAAACCTTTGCAAGAATAGTTCCAAGAAAATGGAAAAATTGAAGATGCTGTTCATGTATCATTCCCGATCCAGGATTAGGGTAAAGTAGGTGATCTGCTGTTTCCTGTATGTATCACACAAGCAGAAAGTAAATAAAACAAAGAGTGCAGGATTGCAACACAAAATCAGCATGAAGTATGGCACTGATGGGCAGCAAGGGAATATCAATTAGGGTAGACTACTGATTAAGTGAGGGGCCAAACATTAGACCAAACAATAGAAAGAAAGAAAAAGAGTATAATGAAAAAATTCACAACATGGTAAATGCTCCAGCGTCATATGGTTATGGCAACTCTGGTGCTCTATCAATAACATGTTTAGAGAACTAATATCAGCCTACAAAAAACAATTTTTTATCTAAGAATAAGTGGTTTTGATGCAGACTGAAGCAAGCATAATTTTGGAACAGTGCTGAATGCCCTAAAACCCAATCTTAAGAATGCACCTTGATACCCTAGGCAGTAAAGTGCACATATTCGCTACAAATTACATAATTGATGAGTTTTAATTCCTCTAGAACAGAGATTCTTTCAAGCTAGAAAAAGGCAACCTCCTCCAAGAGTCTAAACCATACTAGAAAGATAATTCATAGGTATGTGGGGGTCTCTCTTTATCTGAAATATTTCAAGGTGTGCGCTGCATATTCGCAGCAGGATGTTTTATGTTCAACTTAATGCATGTGCACGTGTATCAGTAAGCACGCTAGAATGCGAGACAGAAAAGAGTTTGGCAACATAAAATGCAATAGAACAAGAATTTCAGACCTTAAACAACCCATACTGCACATCAAATGCTGCTCGAGTAATGTTCTCCATGAAATCTTTAAAAATCCCACCACCATCAATGCCAGCCTCTTCAACTCCAAACTCATTGACAAATGTTACGCGAATCTATAAGTTTATCAGAATACTGTGATCATACTAGAAAATAATTTTTCCACCTGAAAACAGAAGCTATTCGTAAATAAATACATAAACTAAAGAAATTACCAATCCTCGAAGATCTTCTTCAGACAATGCACTCATCTGATTATAAGCATCTTCTAGAATACGATCCCGTCGTATTCTGAATCTATTTCTTGTGAAAACACCATGAGCCCCCTGTCTTTGCCTGGCAGACAATAATTGCGACTGGAAGACAAAATTATAAGTCACAATTCATACATCAGGTATGATCGTATGAAACAAGCACACACATATCAGGTAGAAATTGTAGACATCTAAAATATTTTGCCTCATTGAGAAACAAAGATAGATAAATCAAAGGAAGTTGGATGGGGGTGGGAAGAGAGTGCATCACTCCATAACCTCCTTTTCTCACAAGTTCAGCTGTTCCAGAATAAGTTGGGACGTATCACTTACATTGAATATCTTAACCCTGCTTGTAAAAGGTACCAAAAAAGGAGCTCGCTTCATTATGTCATTTGCTTTTGTTCCATCTATTATAGCCTGAAAAACTAAGCATAAGAACCAAGAAATAATGCAATTTGGTTCTGGAATCCTAAAGATGCATTGGAGTAGATTACCTGAGAAATAAAGAAATCATCAACCCCATCAGCATGGAAGTCACTGGGTGGTGTAAATTGTCGTCTATTGTTCCAATCTTGCAACTACAACCACATTTTTTTGTTGATATTAGACAACAGAAAGCATATTATCTCCTGCACCATTAATGCACTCTACTACAACCATACACTCCAAGCAAAAATCATCCATCTCAATTGGATTAACATACTAAAACCACCAATGGTGACACAACAAGAAGCAAGTAAAACTTGTCTATTTAGATTTTAGACATACAACAAGTACCTGAGAGAGGAGCTCAGAAGCTACAATGCTAACTCTGTGCTTGATAGATTCAACCGGATTCCGCTTATGAGCAGGTGTGTTTGAAATAGGTTTCACTGCATTGCTGTGTGCCATAGGATTTACCCATAGAAGTTGCCATAAAGCCTGCGAAAAATAGTAAATGCAACAAATAAAAGTAGGAATTATTACATTTGAACATCGCAAAGTAGAAAAATGTTAAACATGGATTCCAACAAGCTATTGAAAGTAAAAGTCTGCAGTTCACATCTCCCTTTTAAGGCAATGAACAAGAACTTAGCAACAAATATACCTGTCTCAGGATAATAACTAGGAATCTAATATCTTTCAACGATAGTGGCTTCTCCTGTTCATAGAACTCCTCATTATCAACAATCATTAGCATGTGCCTGTTGCAAAAAATATAAAAAAAAAAAATGAAATTCACTTCTTTTTTTCTTCGAAAATGTAAAAGACAAACAAAAACAAGGTGAGAACCCTACATATATATTTAATATGACAACCAAGTACTGAGATGGGATATGAAATCTAGAATATGTAAATGAAATTCAAACGTAATTGTCAGAAGGAACAGAAACAACCAAAACCAGATGAGCAGACTTACTTGTATACAGGACAAAAAACAGCCAGAGGTAGTAACCAACCAGGTGCATCAGCTGGGAGATGTGATAACTGCTCGGGCAATGATGACCATTTTTGCTTTTCATGGCACTGCTTCATAAAATTCCAAAGAACTCGAACTAGATCGGTCCTATAAGCCAGTACAGTCATGATTCTTTCAAGGGGTAGAGTGTCGAAAGTGACATGTAAAAAAGCACATGCAGCACCAATGGCTGTAACCTCTTTTTCATCTAGTCCATAATGGTTCTCATTATGCAGAGCAATTCCTCCAAATAAAACATTTGTCTGCTCCAAAACAAAATTCCAAATTATCGCTCAGTGAATTAAATATCAAAGGGTAAATGTTGCTTTACTTATTAGAAACAAACCAAAGAGAAAAGTGTCAAACTAGTCAACAGTATACCAATTGTAAAAGAAAGCGCGAATCTATAGCATTGGTTATCTGTTGTTCCAAATCTCTATTTAGAACTATTTCCATTTCATCAGGTAGAGTGGCATCATCCTCACCCAGTGTGGAACCTGAAGGACGAGATTTATAAATTCCAATCAAACAGTTGTTAAATGCAATCCACAAAAACAGATTTAGCAACCAAATAAAGAAATTATATTGAAAGTGAGAAATTTTTATTTAAACTGCATACTTTCTTTAATTTCCCGACTTGATTTTATAGAAGGAAGTGTCTCTAACAAGAATGTTGTAACAGCTGCAAGGTCTATGGCCTAGTTAAAATAAATATGAGAAGGAAATTAGCTTCAAAATCCAAACAACTCGTGGAACTTGATAATTTTCATAGCTAGAGAAGCGCGCCAGTTCCCACAATATATTTATATGCATATGTATGAACGAGCGCATGCACATAAACATAGCACCTCTACAATGAATAACATTATACTCTCATGTTCATGGATCCTTACCATCTCAAATGAACAGTCAGGCAGAGATAAAGAAACTCCTGCAGTTTCTAACATATTTCCAAGAAGACAGGCATAACCAGGATACTCAGCTGAAACATCATCCGGCAGCACATTAGCATGACCTTGCACACATACTGCCATCTGATGAATGTAATGTTGGCTCAGGCCCCGAGTTGCAAAAAGCTGGTTCAGGAAGTCGCAAAAATTATTATTAATCTCTCTAAAATTTTAACAGTGCACTAGGAAATAGACAATAGAAAATGAATCAGCAGAAATACACATTCAAAGAGACAAGAAGAACAAAAGAAGTAGAAACAATCAGCACTTTTCCCCTTTCATGCCACTATTACATTCTTTACTAAGGGAAACTTATAAAGAAAAAACACCAGATACGGTATTCGGCAAGAAAAAACCTCTTTCAAACTTGGAAAAAGCCGCCACAAGAAAGGAATTGTCAGCATCTGAGAGGAGAAACTCCATCGGGGATCAACAGGTGGGCAAACACATGGCTTTTGGCCAATGTGAGAAACTATAAGGGAAAGCATATGCTCAAGGGAAGACATTTTTCCAATGGAACTGCTAGCCTTTCTAGTTTCCTGCACATCATTAAGAAAAACAATGTCCGAGTGATCTTTGATAAAACCATTCATCACTAAAAGTTAAAAAACCCAGTGCTTATACTTTTTAAGTTGTCTGATAATATTCAGGGCTTATTACTTTTGAGTTGTTGATAACCCTTATTTACATAGCACTTAAAAGTCGCACTTTTTACTTTTAAGTTATACGTAAAAATTTACTCAAAATTGCTTTGAATACAATAAGTTAGTAGACTTCTAAACGATTGTGCAATTTGAAAACTTCAGCACTTGTATTATTAAACACTTATCTGCAATTTTCAGCACCTAATTTTTAGTTTTAACAAACACTCCAGACTTGAGGAAAAGAGCACTCTGGTATATGAGGAAAATCTAATTTGACAGAGTGTAGCATGAAACAGTTTTATTAAATGAAAAGTTAAATGGATACCCTTGCTGTAAGGACAATATCTCTGAACAGAGTGAAGGCATTTCTTCGCAAAAGATAGCCAACAATATTACATGCCCATGGAAGTTTTTCATCTACTAATAAAACAACTACTTCCAACAAGACAGCTACTGGTTCTCTAGATTCCCAGGGTGTCATCAAAAGTTGATCCTTCAATTGTTCTCTGCTCAAAAATAAAATGCTGCATGAGCGACACTTACAACACACAAAAATAGCATTGGAAAAATTGCCTCATGGCATCATTCAGAAAGGATTCGTACTAATCGAACATATTGCCAGAAATGAGGATAAAAGATTAAAAATGGAAAGAAACAAGAAGAAGTATTCTAGTAAATATGGAGTAGAAGAGAAAAGAAAAGTGCCAAAAAGTGACATAACAACAATAGGTGATAATGCAGATTCCAAACCATCAGCTTAACCATTAATACTGAAATAACTCCAATAACCTTTTTTTCAACTAAAAAAAATTGAGCATACCACGAAAGCTACCCATCAAATATAATAAAAATTACAAGGTCCATTGTCAGGATGGAGTCTAAAGCATAAGATGTAAATGACACACATAACTATCCAAACCTAAGACACCCTCTTCCCTGTGAATTGGCTAAATGCATATCAGTTCCATGCCTATTTTAAGATTTCAACAGCTAAATATCACCCCGGGTTAGCAGAAATCTCAGACAACTTAAACCCAGCTCAAAGAAGACCAACACAATGGACAACCAACCAATAACACAGAGTTATATACACAGAAAAATGGTATGTGCAACAACTTTCAATCAATAAATCTGTATAATCTCTTGTTTTTGAGAGTAAATTGGGGCAGTAACAACAGATTACCAATATATGCTTATTAACAAGGAATATTTACGAATGAAGCAGTTAGATAGACAGCAATGGAGCCCCCAGAAATGAATTTCTAGCACTCTGGAACCTAGAATTATTAATCAAAAACGATTACTATAATAGCAACTTTAATAAAAACACATCACATAATTGGATTCCTCTCATATAAAAAGGGTTTAGCCAGTCCTACATGATTAAGTATTTAAGTTAAGCTCGAGCATGCATAATTAAGTTAAAATTCAAGCATGCAACTAGAAACCAAATTCAGCATAGTTAAATGCTAAGCAATTTCGAGAGATAATTGAACAAGATAGCTACAGGACCAACCTATTATGATACACGGCCTGAATACAGTAGAAGGCAAGTTGTTTCACTCTATAGTCCACCAAAGCACAATTAGCCATATAATCCACACCACCAAAAAGACTGAAGATATCCCCTGTGGATGACAACAGATAGTTAATACTGGAAACAGTAACCAAAAAGCAAAATTAAGTAGGATAACATTAATTGGCTCCTATTCACAGTACATATTTTTTTAGAGTTAACAACAAATTTCAATCAATAGGAGTGTCACTCTAATTCTGCTGTTGTCTTCAAAATTCTATCTAACTTCTTGGTAAATAAGAAGATAAATATTGTATTTGTATGTGTTTTTTCATTAGAAGCAACTCAGCACAAGCCAGCTTTGCAAGCTTACTGAACCAAAACAGCCAGAATGATTTCTATAATTTGTATTGCACAACATAACTAATTCTATATTTATGGTCCATGATTCGGTTTTTACAGTTTCATAAATTCTATCCATTGCTCAACAACTAACTATTAATAGAAACTTCCCACAAAAGACAGTTCACGATGCAATTTACATGATGAGTTCAGACCAACCAGCAAAAGTAAGAGCAGAACAGGATATCAAACGAGCATATGCAGTCAAGAATGCTAAGAATGCCATATCCAATGAAACATCTTTTACAAATGAAACTGCAGGCTTTGGGGTACAGGAAGAAATGAACAAACGAGTTGTAAGAATCCATTAAGAAGTTATCTGATGAAAAGATACCGCAATCTTGAACAAATTGCAGAAGCAAACGGCATGTCTCCACAAGTACAGTAAAGTCAACCCTATTTTGAGCATTGAAGAAAAAGAATAGCTGGCGTAGGAAGTCTGAATGTGGACCAAAGGAATGCCTGGATGCAAAAACAATTCAATGAGGACACCAAGAACATCAGAAATGTAACGACCAATTGAGATTAAGTAAAGATAAAGTAATTAGAAGAAAGATAATGTGGTGCAACCTGTCTACGTTTTGGCAGTGCTTCCCGTACATTCTGTAGAATTGATCTCGCACCTTATGACGCTCAGCTTCCACTGCCTTTCTTCCTCTGAAGCATTTCTGTAATTATTTATCAGTCAACACTTTGCAAGAAATCACAATCACATCTGCAATCTATGGTCCTGACACCAGCTTAAAATCAACCAATTCAAGCTGCATATTTTAGATTATATGCAATGTAAAAAGGATCTTTCCAATGTAATTCTCACTCTGAAAAATAAGACTAGTTGTTTCATATTGCCTCAGAGTTTCTACATCACAAAAGCTAACCAAATGCATCAAATGGGAACCAATTATGAGCCCCTAAAGATTATGTGTTTATCATGACCAAACAATGAGATCTCCTTTTTCTTATTTTCAAACTCCCCACATTGAATCACGCACTATACGTAAATTCCAATGGAACCAGCTTTTTCTTATTGGTTTCCCTAGTAGAATTTTGATGACGTGATATTGTTTTCTTTCATCCATTATCACTTTTTAATTTTCTTCGCATTGCACATATTTGGTCACTCGAAAGCAATTTCTCCCCCTATATTGCATATAAATTCTTCCTAAAGGATCATGGTACAAATAGGACCCAAGAGTTACTAAAGCTCACAACTTTAACATCACGTTCCTAAGAAACAGCTTGGTAATCGACTGAAAGGAATCCTACTGCAATTGTAAAAATCAGAAAGTCGAGCTCGCATTTAGGTCTCTGATTAATAGTGACAACAAAAGGAACTTAAAAGTATCAAAATAAATTCAAATTCCAAGCTCAGCTGCAACCATAAAATATTAACAGTCATGAATTCACATAGGAACTTCATTTATCACCAAAAAACCCCCAATCTTGGAAATCCTCCAAACCCTACTCCTTATATCTTTAATTTTAGAAAGAATCCATATCTAAACAACATCATTATGCATAGGATGTCACAATGTACACCAACTCTCTAAGTCCAAACCATAAAAATTACTTTCATACGATAAGCACAAAGATTCCATCAATATAATAGAAAGCACAAATAAACTTAATAGCATCACAAAGGCAAAGTCAATCTAGCAAAACCTAACCTGAATTTTGATTGCCGCTGCATTCTGCTGCCGCAACCACAACCGACGGTTTCGCTCCAATCTAGTTTGCTCTAGAAGCTTCTGCCTGTCTCTCTCCTTCGAGCTCCGGCCTCCCAAGTCAACTCGTTTCCGAGTCGTTGGATCACCGGTGAAGAACATTTTATACCTTTGGGCTCAAACAACTCGCGCCCTAATTTTAACGGCAATTGATATCGATCACACTATGTAAAATCGATCGAAGTTTGAGGATGCACGATACCAGACTTGTGTTTATGAATTTTCCTACAATCGAGATATAACTAAGGAAGTGATCGATGAAGTAAAATTTCAGAAAAGAAAACAGAGGAAAAAAGAGCGTAGACGTTTTTCTTTTCCTTTTTCTTTTCGAGCTTTTTCAAGCTGGAAGAAAAGATGGCAAAATTGCGTTTGGATGGAGAGAAAATTTAGGAAACAAGTTCAATAGTTAAAGAAGAGAACAAGCTGAGAAATTTTGTCGCGCTTTTTCTTTGGCAGAAATTGAAGGACGATGGAAGAAGACTGAAAAGGTTAATAAGAGCTAAAGAAAAATACTGGCCGTGATGCGTACGGGACAATAGAACTGTACTACAATTTAATGCGACTTCGTTTTGAAGCCGTACGCCAAAACGACAATCCAAAACGTTTCCGACTATTGGATTCTGCCTCTGAAATCGTAACAACGAAAACGCTTCTGGAGAAGGAAATTCAATACTTCGTCTGTACGGTAAGATTTTAAAATTTTTGAAGATGGCGATATATGGCCCAATGGGTTTAGGACCATTTAACCGACACCTAACCAACATATTTGGGCTAAACCTTTTGGGCTTCAAAAAATCGAACAGAGAAGGCCCACAAGGCTTAAATACATAAGAAGATGGAAACTTGTATGTATGGGCGTCCTAAAAATTTTTCAAGAAAAAAAAAATTAATAAATAAATAAATAAAATTCATGGAAACTTCTACAGATTATAAAAATATATATATATAGGATATTTTGAAGTCCAACCTTATTAATTAATGTCAAAGGAAATTAGGTGCCTCTGCAAATTTATAACTGATAGAGTGTTAATTTCTAATTCTGTGAACTAAAACAATGTTATCATTGGATTAGAGGTTTATTATTCAAACTGTGAAAATGCTTCTTGAGCTGACTCCTGCCTTACCCACTTAAGGTTTGGTTCAATTATTTTTGCAGAACTGCTAGTTGACATTTTATCCTTTGACTATACATTGCTTCAACTCATTTTTTTAAGGTGGGTCAAACTTTGGTTTGACTGGCTAACCTTGTTAATCTGCTAAAAAAATATTTGGTAAATAAGTGGTAGGTTGTTATTTTATGGTAATCTTTGGTATAGCAGAATCTTTACATGTACTAGGACCCAAGGTTAAAAATAAATTACCCATTTTCCTTTTTCTATTGAAGTTTTCTAATTCATCAGCAGAAATTGATTTTACAGTAAGTAGGTATTTGTTGATGCTAGATTTAACTTAAGGTTTTTTATTCTTTTTACACAAATATTTAACTTATTGAGGACAAAAAATGATTAATTAAATTTTTATTGGATGGTATTCTATTTTGAGTACGCAAAATAGCGTTTCATTGAACGTTAAAGGGGAGTAACGTTTCACGGTCGCTCTTGGAACGGCCAAATAAGGCTTTGCTGATCGTATTACTACCGAATCCATACGAACAATTATAACTTGACATCTAAACGCACTATCAAACTGCGCTACATCCCTTTCAATTAGTTTGTAATGTTATTCTAAAGAATACCGGTTTTGTTTTCCACAACAGATCTACTAAATTCTTTGATTCCAGTTAGTAAAAGGGATCTTGAACTAATCTGCTCAGTCAAACTCTAAATACCCTATAAACACACTAACGTTACATGAACAGCAATTGTTGAATCGGGTCTTTGAAGAGAGAATAAGCAAATTGTTATTTTCCCCTTTAATTAATTAAAATTATGTCGTGAATAATGCCAGTGTAGATATTTGTAATGGAAGTAATATTTTAACTTGATAAGCATCCTTTGTTGACAAGCAAGTAGGGCAAAGCACACGAGTGAAATGGTGTTTCCATGATGGCTTTATAGTTTATAGACTTAATGTAGGTGTTGAAACTTTAGGCCACAATTATAAAACGCACGATATATATATATTAGCTTGTCACCTAATATGTTAAAAAAAAAAAAAAAAAAAAAAACTTTTAGGCCAACAATTATAAACGCACGATATATATATATTAGCTTTCACCTAATATGGTTAAAAAAAAAAAAAAAAAAAGAAAAGGAGGACCCTGATTTTTTAAAAATATGTTATTAATAACGGTTACTATAATTATGCAAAAGCACAATGGGCAATAGCATTTCACACCTTGGATTGTTGCGGGTTTAAAAAAAAAAAAAAAAAAAGAAAGGAGGACCCTGATTTTTAAAATATGTTATCTAATAACGGTTATATAATATGCAAAGCACAATGGCAAGTAGCATTTCACACCTTGGATTGTTGCCGGGTTAGATAAAGGCAATTGTACTAGCTTTTAACTTTTATTAATTTAGTTTTAAATAATTGTAGATGGTATAAGTCAATCATGTGTGGTTTGATTAGTCTTCTCACTTATATTAAGAGTAGAGAATCTCGAGTTTTAGTATTCTCAATCACCAATTTAATGAGTTAAAAGAGAGAGTTAGCCGCAGTTATTATTTTGGCCATTGAGCCTCTGTCTCCCAATTAATTAAAATAAACTGTGGATGATATAAATATATGTATAAATAAAGCACAAGGTGTTCAACTTGAGCCATAATATTGGCTGTGCTTTAACCAACAAAATGTCTCCAAATTAGGGAGATAAAAACAAAGAAAGCATGTTCCAACCACTTTGCTTTTTGCTTTTGGAGGCATTGTTTTGAGTTCAAAGTTCTTTTAGTTATAGTTTAAGTAGTTCCTTTTCAAGAATAGGAGCCCATGTTTGATGATGCATGCGCAAGCTTTGGCTGGTGAATCATGCACATATACTCTTTTCTCTGTCTTTCATATAGGAAAAGTTCATAAATTTTAATCATTATATTTCAATCTAATAGTTATGCAAACATATATCTAATCCTAATCAATCTGATTAATACTGTCTCATAAGTGGAAGAGTCACGAGTCATTTTATTTATTAACTATGCTGTAATTAAGAGTTTTACCTCGTTATAAGAAAACAACAGAATTGATCATATGCTTATATTGACAAAGGATATAGATCAAACACATTTTTTTAAAAGGCGGCCACACGTGATGCCTCATTTACGATTATAAATTTCACTTCATTAAAATATAAATAGACTCGTGTAAATCGAAACTTAAAGAAAGACCAGTTAAATTAAATATTTAAATTTTTGTGAAAGAAATTGCTAATATTAATTATCAAGTGTCATTTTTTAAAAAGGAACTACCAATTGTAATTAGCATATGCATCTAGATTCATATATAATAATAAAAAGAAAAATAGGAAAATGAGGGAGGATTTGACTACTTTAAAAAAGCAAATAAAATAAGTTATTTACTAATAAAATCCAAAAAGACAAGTCGTTTTACGACGTGGACCTGAAATTTTTGTTGTGCCATTGAATCTAGACTCTAAGAATATCATATTTTCTTATATATATCAACTTATAAGTCACATCACAATCTTAATAGGCATGACCTCTGTAGTTAGATGTCCATTGCCACATCAGCCATCGTCATGTTCATGTAAATTTTATCCCCATTTTCTCTTCTATTTAGTTAGAAATGGGATGAACAGAAACAAATTATATCTCTAGGCGAATAAAAGATTAGATAAATAGAAATAAATTTTATATCTAAATAGAACTTATAAGGTGAAAACATGTATGCTAGAAAAAACACATGCCAACATGTCAACACTAGACGTGGCACGTTGTCATCATCCGTTTTGCGACAATTATGCGATAATGGTACTGGTAACTAAGCTTGATACGTGGCATTATATATAAAAATAATGAGGTTGGAAAGTGAATTGTACATCGGTTGGCTGAGTGGAGTTTTGGATTACTGGTCCCCTCTCTTCCTTATGTCCTTTCTTCTCCTACCCCAAATCATAGAATCAATAATGGCAAATGGGCAATGGTTAAAAATCTTTGGTCAACTTGCTACAAGAAAACGTAACTGTGGAGGGTTAACTAATGCAGATCATCGTATCCTGCTATCTTAACCTTAATTTGTCATAGGATATGTCAAATCTTTCCTCGTTTGAACATGTAATAGTTTAACAGGTATTTTCCACCATCTCCAAAATATGTATACGTGAACCAATACCCAGTTGCCACGGACATTACTTGCCTAAAAATATTAGTTTTTTAGTGCAGAGCCTTAACCTCAATGAGGACTACTGCCCTAACAATAATGAGACTTATCCATTGAAAAGATCAACTTCATAAGGTTCTAATTCTTAAAAGAAAAGACCCGTTTCTCACCTGAAAGGTCACCAGCAAACCAAAGCTAAAGTGGGTTTTTGTTAATTAACAAAAAAAAAAGAAAAAAGAAAAAAGAAAAGGAGAACTCTATCTACAGACAGTCAATGACCACGTTTCAGTACACAGAGGCGGCAACCAAATCAGTGGTAATGCCAAGTCATCACCCGTATCAGATCTCCTCTTCTGTCATGGGTGTGAACTCTGACTAGGACTATATAATTAATTAAATTTAATCCTAAATAATCATTAATTAACCTAAGTAAATTAATCATAAACCTTTCCAATTTGCATAGTGGGAGCAACAACTAATAAAAATTAAGTTAATTACAAGCTTCAATTATTAATACGATAATAATCATTTTAAGCACACCTTATAATAATAAAAGAACAATTAGATGTATGAAAAAATAAATCTGTGAAGAATAGAGTTAGAGACAAACATAGTTACGTATACTTAATAGAAATGGGAAAGACTAAGAAAACAAAAATTGCATACTTTAACCTTAAAATTTAGCTTTAAACGAAGGCATGCGTCTAGGAGATGAGACATTGGTGGTCGTCCTTTTCGGGGTTCTTTGGCGGCTTTTTGTCATTTTCTTAGCTGAATACTATTTACTATATACAGAATTTTAGTTTAATGATCATTCGCTTGCAGAATGAGTTTATTTTAACGTATTTTTCTTTCAAATGAGTTTATTGTTCGTAGTTTATGGAGATTTAATTGGAGTTGTCTTCATTCATTGAAAGTTGTAAAGTTATTATAAGTTTAAATGGAAAACAGGGTAATACATTCGCTTTTAGACCAAGAACCGTGTGGTCATGCAAGTAAGCGGCCAGGCCTGATAGGGAAAACGCGGAAAGCATATGTTGAACATATATAAGATAATCTTATGTTTAAGGTTGAATTTAACAAGATCAAGAGTTCGATGATTAGAAGAGCATTTAAGAAGGAATAATAAAAATTTTCTTACATGTGAAAAGAGAATGAGATTTGAAATGAAATGTATTATTTTTATTTATTATTGTGATGCCTGCTAGCTTGAATACTATATGTTAGTGCAAATGG